ACTACCAGAAGCTAATGTATTTCCATCAGGAGAGAAACAGACTGAGTTAATACAACTACTATGACCATTTAATTTGGCTTTTTATAATCCTGTTTTGACATCCCATAGACGGATAGACTTATCATAACTACCAGAAGCTAATGTATTTCCATCAGGTGAGAAACAGATTGAGTAGACATAATCAGTATGACCATCTAATTATTATCCTGTTTTGACACTAAAAAAATCTAAAAACGTAAGAATTGCTGGTTTTCTAGTTCACTTACTCTTTTATATTATCATTTGATTAATTACTGTTCTTAATTTTTTAATTCCTCTTATCACAAATTTCATCTCTTTCTTTTCTATTTTTGAGTCTTTTTTAATGCTCCAACTGATTAATAAATTGGAGCTCCATCAGTTTTACCCCTCCCATTGTTCCTCTCAATTTATTGAATGGTAACCAAAGAGAGAGAAAAATTGGTCACTTCAAAGGAGCCAATCCATTTATTGTATGCCCTTTAATCCAAAAATTTATGATCGAACATTCTCTAATGTATGCTTATCCATAAATAAAGCTTTAGCTAAGAAATAAACCACTTTGAAATGGAATTTTGGATTAATTGCTTCTTCAAATATCTTTCTTGCTTTTATTGTAGTAACTGCTCTTTCATTATCAAACCATAATTCCCCTAGAATTACAATTCTATCAAATTCTGGCAATTCTATGTCATAATGATGGTGTATTAATAAGATATTGTTACATTTTCTCCAGCTATTGGGAATCTACCATTTGGCCAAATTGAAACGTCTGACCATATCTTTGTATTTTTACAAGAAAGTCATCAGTATATGCAGGACAAATTTCCCTGCAGAAGATTCCATATAGTGCAACTGAATCTTGTTGTATTTTTTATTTGGCAGAGATACAAATATAAAAGTATGATGTAGTTCTATCATCGAACCAGTCACAATTGTTACAAGTATTTGGATTTGGAATTTCTGAAACTTAAATGTAATTTGAAAGGAATTTGTGATTTCTGTTTTATAAACATCAAAGGTTTCTCTTTAAACAGTATAGTTGAATCTGAATACAAGACCAGATTCTTGAGAACTTATGTATTAAGATGACATGATCGATAGACTTAACCAACTGTTGTACCAACAATTTAGGTTCCAGTTGGTAGATTAGTTAGAGTACCATCTAAATCCCAAAAGATGTTCCAATGAATAATTCTTGCACTTGCAGAATTTATCATCTTAATTCCTTTAATGTTAGTATTCTTTCCTCCTGTTACCCAAACCAAATAATTCTTGCAAGCTGAACATAATTCATTCAAGGTTGATGTACCTTGGAAGTTTGCAAATCTGACTGTGTTAGCCAAGAATCCATTTGCTCTAGGCACTATCAAACCAGTATTAGTTTGTGAATCAAAAATAACAAAGTTTCTATTAGTGGTATCTTCAGCTGAGAAATTAGCTTTATGTTGTTGATAACCAGCAATCTTTGAACTTGCAATCAATACATTTTCAATCAAAACATTTCCTAAATTATCTGCTAAAACACCAATTTAAGCATTTGCCCATGTTATAAGTCCTGATAATGTAGTTTAGACACTTGGATTAGCTCTAAATCGATCATCTAAGGCATTATTTCTATGAGAAACACATTGAGCAACTTTTGAAATAAAGGTTCCAATTCTTAATCCAATTCTTCCTGTTGAATGGGCAGCGTTATTAATAAAGTTCAAAAATGGTACACAAGTTAGACAAACATCACTTGTAGATGCAACACCAGAAGGATTTGATTTAAATGCTAAATAGAATTCATACTATTCTGCTCCACCTACTCTATTATCGAAAAATATATTGATAGAATTTGTAATCCAAAAGGCTGATGCTGTTGCATCTGATTGATATAATTACCAAGTTGATTTAACAACAGCTACAAGATTGTGTTCAAAAGTTTTATACATTTCATTACCATTTTAAATGTAGATAGCATGGCCAACACCGTTGTAGCAAATGTTATATGTAACATCCAAATGTGATACACTTTATAAATCCTACACAACGAGTATTTGAATTTTGAATGGAATTGTTTCTAGTATATGAGTTTGAAACTACTCCATCATTATTGAAATTAATTGGGAATCTATTTAAATATCTTTATTGACCACTATTTACTTTTTCTACATTTTCAATTCTTGCTTCAGTGCCTTCATTTTGTTTTCCTTAAATGTAAATATGAACTCCATGATAATAGTACCACTATATAGTGCAAGAATTTTTCTAACTTCAGCTTTGCTTTAGACTTAATTGCTGGATGTAATGATTATTTGATCTCCATCTAGTTAATTTACTGCTTCATCTACAGTTATAGTACTATCATTAATTGTAGTTTAGGATAATAAAGTCCATGATGGTGTTCTATCGATTTTGAATTGATTGCAACCAATCATTTTGTTACCCATATTTGGATATTATTTTGCTCTTTCCTCACCTCTGATTGTAATTTTAACATTATGTTAATTTGGAATTGCTTTAGTACCAATTTAGAAAGTTCCACTATTAATAACAAGATATTATGCGTCTAAAGAAGTATAAGCATTTTCTGCAAATACTTAAATTCCCTTGACCTAAACTTAAAAAATGTTGGAGTATGTAGTTTCATTATCTGAATCATTCTTAATCCCTCCTCTATAATCTATATCAGCAATTTCACATTTGGATCCACTAGCTCCTCTACTATCTATGAATTTAATAGCTCAATGCCATCTAAATGAATATATCTATTGTGATTTTCAGGTTCATCATCTTCATCTCTACCACAGTGAAAATTTTTTAATTTTGCACATTTACCTTCCCTCCTTAATGAACATCACTATCATTAGTAAATCAAGCTTTAAATGTTACTTCATCAGAAAAATATTAGAATTTAGCTCCTTTCAGATAAGAAGCACCAACATCGATTCTTGGTAAGAAACTAAATTGTTCTGATTTAATTTATCTGTTCTTTACATAATCAATTTAAATTCAATAATTTGTAGCTGAATTAAAAATAAGATAAGTAGTTTAAGATTCATCATAGAATCTTTTTACTAAACTTTTATTTGTTATGTCAGAAGTCTCTCTAAATTCTTCATGATCAAACTTTTAATTTTTGGATTATAATCCCTTCTAAAATTTTTTAGCACAAGCTGGGTTAAAATCTGGTACTCTACATAATATACTGTGATAATTAACATTTATCAAATCACATTTCTTTCCAAAAGGTTTTACATTATGACTCTCAAGGAAACCATGACAATGAATTTCTCTCCTTTTGCATGATGCCTTAGGTAATGATCCATTCTAAACTGGATTTTAGAAAATAATCTTTTAGTATTCCCGAGTTGTCCATATTCCAACTTTATCATCACATTAAACAACAATATCAAATTATCATAAAGGAACATTAGCGAAGGAAGCTTGAATTATTGTAGCATTATTCGAAACAATAGTTCCAACAACATGATCAAGACCATCTTTTTCTAAAAGGACATTCAATGTTGTAGCACCAAATTAGTACCTATAATATTGAAAGCCAAAGTTTCAGTTGATGCATTATTGATTTAAGCTGATTTTATAGAAACTTATACAATACCAGCATTATTATTAATTTATATTATAGCAGATTAAACAATATTAGTAACAGTAAGATTAATTGAAAACTAGTATGATGATTTTGTTTAAAAATTCTGTCTGGTATCACAATATAGTATTTTAACACCATATCCAGAATTTGTTGTGTTTCTTGGAGTTCTGCATTTCAATTTTCTAAGTCCAGTCTTCTTCAATCTTAAACAATTCCATATTCTAATGTAGACTTCAAGTTCATTATCAACTCCAAACCACTACATTTTATTTCAATATCTTATCCACCTTATACAATTGTATTTGTTGAAATTGATGTATTTTAGAATTCAACATTAGTCCACATCCTTGTTGCATATCCTGTATATGTAAGAATTCTCGTTTGTTATTCACCTTAAGGTAAATCAGGCACCGTATATATAAATTATCCAGTTTCTGAAATTGATCCTATTACTCAATATTTATCATGAATACTATGATTACTTTTTATGAACTTGTTGCAGTGCATTTTATGCTTTCAACTTAATTAACTGTGTAAATTTTAATTTAATCAAAAAGGTAATCATTTTAGAATAGTTTCATAACTTTAGTAATGGCTTATTCTCAAAGAAGGTTTAATTCTTTTAGTTCAGGGTATTCTCTCCTTTTGTAAAAAGTATTTTAAATAATCTGGCAATACAAGTTAATCTTCAAAAAATAGTCTTGAACCTTTACTTGCAGTGGAATCAGTTGGTGCATTGCTGGCTAAGGTTTATGTGGAATCAAAAGTGAACTCGCAAATCGAATCAAACAAAATTCTAGTTGTCCCAATAAGTTATTGGGGAGTTGTGTATCAATAAAATTTTGGTGAAGTCACACAATAATAATTTTTTTCTGCCTTAAAAAATTCTACTGTAATATCAGAAATGAGTGATCCAAATCTAGTACCAATAATAGTATTGGTTCCATTGTTAATTGGTATTAATATTGTCTCTTAAATCTTTTAATTGAAATAAGAGTTGTATGATCATTAGTGAAATCAGGAATATGAACTTATCCACCCTTAAAATGCAAAACAACTATTGAATTAGGCATTGATTAATCATATATTGGAGTCTTGAGAACCACTTAATTACTTAATGTTGATTTGATAACAGTCTAAACTCCTCCAAGATTAACAGTTAAGTCTGTTATAATTTCTTTAGAATGCAGGTTTCTTTAGTTATGCCTGTTAAATCATATTTTCCCCCTAATTTTTATAAGTTTGTTTAATAGAGCGATTTAGATATATTCACTTCAAAATTTATTTATCAAGTTTCAAAAAAATTTTCTATTGTTCAACCTGATAGAGGGGCAACATTTGAAACAGCAAAATCATCAGCATATGCAAATATTTTGGTCCATGCAATTCTTTAATATTCAATAATTTTCTACTTTTTTTTTCCTTACCTTCCTGGTTAGCATTTTTAGGCTAACCTTCTGTTAGAATTATTCAATTAATTGATAAAAGTAAATATCATAAAGGAAAGATGGATCCTTAATGAACTACATCTTGGAACTAAACTTTATTGTCTCAACAGGATATATATATATAATTATTCATAAATCCATTCAAGAGTATANAGTTCATTATCAACTCCAAACCACTACATTTTATTTCAATATCTTATCCACCTTATACAATTGTATTTGTTGAAATTGATGTATTTTAGAATTCAACATTAGTCCACATCCTTGTTGCATATCCTGTATATGTAAGAATTCTCGTTTGTTATTCACCTTAAGGTAAATCAGGCACCGTATATATAAATTATCCAGTTTCTGAAATTGATCCTATTACTCAATATTTATCATGAATACTATGATTACTTTTTATGAACTTGTTGCAGTGCATTTTATGCTTTCAACTTAATTAACTGTGTAAATTTTAATTTAATCAAAAAGGTAATCATTTTAGAATAGTTTCATAACTTTAGTAATGGCTTATTCTCAAAGAAGGTTTAATTCTTTTAGTTCAGGGTATTCTCTCCTTTTGTAAAAAGTATTTTAAATAATCTGGCAATACAAGTTAATCTTCAAAAAATAGTCTTGAACCTTTACTTGCAGTGGAATCAGTTGGTGCATTGCTGGCTAAGGTTTATGTGGAATCAAAAGTGAACTCGCAAATCGAATCAAACAAAATTCTAGTTGTCCCAATAAGTTATTGGGGAGTTGTGTATCAATAAAATTTTGGTGAAGTCACACAATAATAATTTTTTTCTGCCTTAAAAAATTCTACTGTAATATCAGAAATGAGTGATCCAAATCTAGTACCAATAATAGTATTGGTTCCATTGTTAATTGGTATTAATATTGTCTCTTAAATCTTTTAATTGAAATAAGAGTTGTATGATCATTAGTGAAATCAGGAATATGAACTTATCCACCCTTAAAATGCAAAACAACTATTGAATTAGGCATTGATTAATCATATATTGGAGTCTTGAGAACCACTTAATTACTTAATGTTGATTTGATAACAGTCTAAACTCCTCCAAGATTAACAGTTAAGTCTGTTATAATTTCTTTAGAATGCAGGTTTCTTTAGTTATGCCTGTTAAATCATATTTTCCCCCTAATTTTTATAAGTTTGTTTAATAGAGCGATTTAGATATATTCACTTCAAAATTTATTTATCAAGTTTCAAAAAAATTTTCTATTGTTCAACCTGATAGAGGGGCAACATTTGAAACAGCAAAATCATCAGCATATGCAAATATTTTGGTCCATGCAATTCTTTAATATTCAATAATTTTCTACTTTTTTTTTCCTTACCTTCCTGGTTAGCATTTTTAGGCTAACCTTCTGTTAGAATTATTCAATTAATTGATAAAAGTAAATATCATAAAGGAAAGATGGATCCTTAATGAACTACATCTTGGAACTAAACTTTATTGTCTCAACAGGATATATATATATAATTATTCATAAATCCATTCAAGAGTATAAAGTCAATATCATTAAAAACTCCTTTATTTTATTCTCTCAATATTTTAAACCCTTAATCTTTTCTAACAGTATTAGGGGTATCTGATAAGGCAATATTCAAAAGAACAATCAAGCTGAGAAATAAAACCAATTTAATTTAAGAAGAATTAATCATGGTAAAACAAATATCTTTGAACCTTCCAAGAGTGTGAGTTTCAATCAATTTTATAAAATGACTAATTAAAATAATAGATAGTTAGATGCATTTTGTTAAAAGGTACCAACACTAGTTAAATCATCAATTCAAAATTGAGCTTCACTTAAAATTGTTTATTAAAATATATTTTTAGATGTTTTAGTACTACCAAATCCTCCTCAATTCTCCATATAATATGGATGTAAAATTAATTATATAACCCTCTTTTTATAAGGTTTCAGATTTCTAGAATTTTAGATTACATTATAAATATCTCAAGATTTTTTAGAGAAAAGTGGAGTTTTGGTGACTTCTCTCACTAATTTATTAAAGTAAATTCATATTCCACATATTTAATTCCATAAAAAGTTTGGCTATTACTAATTTTCATAAATATAGAAAAATCTCCTAAGGTTTTACATTAATTTCATTCCTTATCATTCAATAGTCAATCAACCTACCTTTCGTTCCCATCACATTCTTCCTAATGACATTAAATTAATAACAAATTACCTGTGATTACTCAATTTATTTTGATAACTTTAATTCCAAAATTTTTAGATTGAATCCTTTTACTTTTATATCAAATTCGTTACATTAATTTCTAAGTTAAACTGTATTTTACATTAATTTTCTTAATACTTAAATTAATATTTTTTAAATTAAGCCTTTATGATTTATATAATTCATATGCTTTATTCATGAAGTCATTTTTGGGACTCTATAAATTTATAAAGTTTTATTCCATCACTAAAATGGAAATCACATTCTGAATTTTTCATAAAGGATAGACTAGACTGATTTTGGTGTGAAAGTACAATAACTCATCAGGGATCGCAATATTGTTATTGATTGCGGTTGTTATATAATGAAAATAAATTTTCATTTCTGTTCCAGATTTCTAAATTTTAAGATAACATATTTTTTCATTTATTGTTCTCCTTATTTCAAAGATTTTTTGAAATATATGAAATTTGCTGGCTAGACATATTTTTAACTCACCACTTCTAATTTAATTGGGGCATAAATTTTAACTTTCAGAAATAATTATAAAATAAATTTCTATTAAATAATGAAATGCCTATTGTTAAATCACAACTCCCAAGTTGAAAGATATTTTATAAACCTAAAATGTATTGAAAAAACAAGCTTATCTTGCAATGAATGCTATTTATCCAGTTTTTATTGTAATCATCAAAAAGATTATAATCTAATTTCTGATTTGCATGATTATGTTGAAAAAATATCAACCTAATGTGAAAGAGAACTAATTAAGTTTCTAGGAGATTTAGAAGATTAAATTTCAGGATCGTTTTCTCATTAAAAGATAAAATTAGATCACAATTTTAAATATCCTCACTCAGGTTGAAGGCTTTAAATTATTATTAAGTCAACGAAATGTTATGTTAATTTATGGACTTAAACAGTTTTAAGGACGATATGATTGAAATAGAAATCAAATCCAAAATTTATTAAATGAATTAAATGAAAAAATCCAATAGCTTCGTTCTAAATAAATAATATAAGTCTCTAGATAAGAAACTGCTGAAGCAAACTCATATTAGATTGAAGGTATGNTCCTAAGGTTTTACATTAATTTCATTCCTTATCATTCAATAGTCAATCAACCTACCTTTCGTTCCCATCACATTCTTCCTAATGACATTAAATTAATAACAAATTACCTGTGATTACTCAATTTATTTTGATAACTTTAATTCCAAAATTTTTAGATTGAATCCTTTTACTTTTATATCAAATTCGTTACATTAATTTCTAAGTTAAACTGTATTTTACATTAATTTTCTTAATACTTAAATTAATATTTTTTAAATTAAGCCTTTATGATTTATATAATTCATATGCTTTATTCATGAAGTCATTTTTGGGACTCTATAAATTTATAAAGTTTTATTCCATCACTAAAATGGAAATCACATTCTGAATTTTTCATAAAGGATAGACTAGACTGATTTTGGTGTGAAAGTACAATAACTCATCAGGGATCGCAATATTGTTATTGATTGCGGTTGTTATATAATGAAAATAAATTTTCATTTCTGTTCCAGATTTCTAAATTTTAAGATAACATATTTTTTCATTTATTGTTCTCCTTATTTCAAAGATTTTTTGAAATATATGAAATTTGCTGGCTAGACATATTTTTAACTCACCACTTCTAATTTAATTGGGGCATAAATTTTAACTTTCAGAAATAATTATAAAATAAATTTCTATTAAATAATGAAATGCCTATTGTTAAATCACAACTCCCAAGTTGAAAGATATTTTATAAACCTAAAATGTATTGAAAAAACAAGCTTATCTTGCAATGAATGCTATTTATCCAGTTTTTATTGTAATCATCAAAAAGATTATAATCTAATTTCTGATTTGCATGATTATGTTGAAAAAATATCAACCTAATGTGAAAGAGAACTAATTAAGTTTCTAGGAGATTTAGAAGATTAAATTTCAGGATCGTTTTCTCATTAAAAGATAAAATTAGATCACAATTTTAAATATCCTCACTCAGGTTGAAGGCTTTAAATTATTATTAAGTCAACGAAATGTTATGTTAATTTATGGACTTAAACAGTTTTAAGGACGATATGATTGAAATAGAAATCAAATCCAAAATTTATTAAATGAATTAAATGAAAAAATCCAATAGCTTCGTTCTAAATAAATAATATAAGTCTCTAGATAAGAAACTGCTGAAGCAAACTCATATTAGATTGAAGGTATGATCATAAATTAATTAGGTTTGATATTTTCTTAAGGAGAATATTTGAAAGCTTTAAAAGCATTTGATACTTCTTTAAACCTTAATCCATATTAAATTGAAGTTATGTTGTGGAAGGGTAATAAGAAAAATAATTAGGTGATTGTTTAATAAATAAATAAACATTATTAATAGTATTTTAGTTCATCATACAGAGATGCTCTTTAGTAATTTAAATAAGTTTTCAAATTAGAGGAATCTAATATCAAATCATTGTATGGAATCGGTATATTTTAATAATTTTTAATTAGGAGATTGTTTATTTAGGTTAAACTAATATTAAGAAGCTATCCATTGGTTGGATTAAGCATTGAAGTACAATCCGAAAAATGCAACTTCTTTGTCAAAGAAAGGTAATTGATTACTCCTATTAAGAAGGAGACTGCTTAAAGAATTCGAAGAATTATTATGAAGCTATAATTTTGTATGATAATGCATTAAGTATCGATTCAAATTTATTTTGGACATCACAATCAAAATGTTTTTATTAATATCAAAATTATAGGATCATGATTATAAGATTTAAAGCAATTCAAAGAAGCTATAGATTGTTATGAAAAAGCTTTAATCTTAGATTCAAAAAGTCAAATTGTAAAGTCATCAAAAAGCTATTACGAAGAGATGTTATAAAAATGAATTAATATATATATAAATACATATAATGAGAGAAAAGTTTTTATATCGTTCATCCTTTTATTATTTGAGATATTTTATTTTAATTTTATATTGATTATCTTTGACTATTACTACTCTTAAATAATATTTAATAAAACTCTTAAAATATTGAATGTTTTTGCACTTAGATCACAAATGCTATTTTTTTAATCCCTCTAACTCTTGAACACTTGGGGTTTCCTAAACCTAAAATAAAGAAATTTTTCAAACATTCTGTTATATTCTTGGCATGATCTCAGTGCTTTCTCTTATAGCATCCAACTACAACAATAAGATTTCTCAATTTATATAGTCTTTTTAATTATTCATTTAATTCGCTCCATCTTATTAAAGGAAGCAGCATAAATATGTCTATCGAAATACTCTTAAAAGTGTCAAACTGATTTTTTTTTCCTCAATATTTCAAGTTTTTATAAAGCTCTAAATGTCAAAAATAAAATTAGTTTATTGGGAGTTCTTGTCGTTTATGTTGGAAAAAAAGGATTGTTATGAAAATTTAGTTATTATTTATAATAAAAAATCATTTAACTATTGTCATTCTCGAAGAGGAGGTGATTTTATTTAAATACAATTAATGAAAAAATTATGAATTATAAAAGGATTAGCTAAATTCTATTTTTTTGCTAATAAATCATACTCAAAAGATGATTTTAATTTATTTTACCTAATTAATGAAAATTACATATAATCTAAATGAAGACTTAAAAAAACATCAATTACGGGGGGTATTAACCATTGAATAGTTTTATTCGAAATTAGGAAATGCCACAGCTTAAATATTTCATTTGAACTAAAAAAATAATTTAACTAAAAGGTTTTCTTCTCAAGCACATATGTTAATTTATAAAAATGTATCTTTCCTCCTTATAGACAATTATCCTAAAATAAGAAAACTAGATCAAAAAGAAATAGAAAAAAAATTAAAAAGACAAATCTCAAAAGTTAAAAACTTTCTTTTTCAACTATTTTGTTAATAAAGAATATTTGTATTTAAGTTTTAATACATTTTATCTTTAGAAAATAAATTATTTAAAATGATTTTTTAATAAGTGTTTTCAAAAATTTTTTTATCTTATTAAAATGTACATCTTCCTTGAGAAACTAGTCTCGACCAGGTCTTTGGAGGGGTGTCATTGTTAAAAGCCCTTATATCTTACCCTCTTCCTTTCTTTCTGATTCCTAGATGATCATGGTCAGCACTCATCCCTATTTGATGTAAACCGCTATCATTATCTAAAGGGATCGAAGGAGACAGCTCCTTGGGTGACCCGATTTATGACATCATCAGGGATAAAAGTTAATTAAATTTTTTAATTTTTTTAATCTTATTAATTCTAAAAAATGTTAATCGTGCTAGATTATTATAAAAACGCTTAGAAATAATCTCAATTATTTTAATTTAAGCCAATTAAAAAAGTTGATCCAATCTAATAACGATTTAATGTAATTAGGAAAAAATAATTGTTTAGGAACAAGCTAAAATCAATTTAATCTTGAATGCATGTTCGATCTTAGAACCAAAATTCTTACCATCAATATCAAAAAAGAATCCTCGTTCAATTTATAAGATATTCATACGATGCCATTCCAGAATGTTAAAGTTAATTCTTTTGCGAAAAGTAAAGCAAGGTCAAAAAATATAAAAATAATTCCTTCATAGTATTTAAGTTATTTTTATAAATCTATCTATATTTGCATCTTAAAAATGTATGAAAATATCTGCATTAATAAATATAATCAAATTCTATCGCATTTTTTCTACTTATTTGTCTAACTTACTCTTCTATGCAAGTTTCAATGTTCAACAAATTTTAGCCAAAAAATCAGAATCATCTAAAATAAATCTGTAATTAGTTGAATGATTCTATTAATTTTTAGGAATATCTTATTGTTGTTAGAAAAAAATTGATTATTTAAATTATCTTGATAAATATTTTCAAACTAACTCTTCAACTCGCCCATTCAAAATATTTAGTATTAAAATAAATTAAATTATTTTATAATAATAATTTCGAGTTTACTGGATAGCATCCTGTAATATAAAACTTAAGTTTAATATAGGCTCTTTTATTTTGGCTAATATTTCGTATTTAATGATGCTTTCAAAAAAATACTATTTAAATTATAATTGGAATCTAGTATTTTATCTAAAAAATGCTTGGTTATCAATATACAGTTTAGAATTATGTTTAGCAAAATGATTAAAGGTCCATTATTATCTATATATTTTGAATTTCTTTCATGCATATTTATATCTGTATACATTTTCCAAACTAAGGAGGCAATTTTTGTTTAACTTTTTGGTGAAAAACCTAGCTTCTTAAAGATGGTATCATTTCTGTTATTTTCACCTTATTAAGCAAACTTAAACATTATAATCATTGATTTCTTCCTCAATGATACTATTTTAAACAATATCCTTGTTATATGCAGCTTTAAAATAAATATTATTAAAATCGGTACATATGGTTTGGATTTATAACTAAAGGAGAAAAAGGATCTCTTTATTACTCACTCATAGAAGAAGCCAACATAGTAAAAGACTCTTAAAAGTAATTGTAAAAGTTTCTCTTCATCTTACTATTTCATCTAATAATAGTATGTTTCGAATAGGTTTTGAAAGAACAATTAACTACTGAATAATTTGACTGGTAGATTATATAATATAACAACAATCTGATGCAAAGATCTTATTCATCAACTATTATAGGTAATCCTAAATTAAATTGATACTTTGTAGGGAGAAGTTTCTCATTTTAACTTTCCTTTTCTTAGGAATATACTAAAGAAGCTTTAATCATCGATAAAAAATTTATAAATTTAATTCCTGATGGATGATTAACATGTTGACTGATTGCATATTATAAAATTTAACTAGGTCTATAATTTTTAAAGCATCTTTTGAATCCTCAGGGTGTCAAAATGGTAGAATTAATCGTCACAGTACCATATCTAGGTATTACCCTTCCTTTTGACTTATAAGTAAAAAGCATAATGATTCAAAGGATTGATCGCTTTCTGTATTAGTTACTTACATTTTTCACTTATTTTAACGCTAAGTTCAATTACTAGATTTCTGGTGCCAATAAGGTTGGCATATTTTAATCTATCTAATAATTCCTTAGTTAATGAAACTCTAAATCCAATTAGTTAATATTATTTCTCTATAATTTTATTTGCGTTATAAGGATAAATTTGAATATTCTCCTAATAACTTTTTTTTTGTCTTAACACATACTACTACTGGAAGATTTTATTGCTTTGAAATATTTACAGTTTTTATCCTCTTTTTCCCTTATTGTTTTAAATTTTGAGAGTGTTTTTTATTTTTTAGATATCAGGTGTTTTTTAATTATTAATTTTATAAGTGTTTTTTATCTCAAAATTAATGATACGAAAATTTCAAAATTTAATAGCTGCTCACCTTAATCAATTATTCAAAATTTAGGGATTTTACTTTTCCTGTTTTACTTGTTATCAAATCTTATAGTTTGCGTTTTAAATTATATTCTTTTTTGTAACTCTTCTATGAGTTAGTTGAAGTATAAATGAAGCATAAATAGCGCTTCTAGAAAATAAACTCCATTTAAGAGATAAATATTATTCCTATCAAATAGGTCATAGAAGTACAGTTTTACATGAATCAATTCTAAATAATATATCAAATATTTTTTGTATCTAACATCATTTTTTAGGACATCAAAGTGTCTTTATATCTTTACCAAATTATATGTATTAATGGATAAAAAACATGCTTCCTTTATTTGGAGAATTTAAATTCTCTGATCATTAATTCTATATGTTGGTCATCCTAAAATAACGCACGAAGCCAAAATAGAGTATTTATTCCTTTACTGCAAACTTTTAACATAGTGGACTTTCATAAATTTTATGAAATACTTGGAATTTTGACCAAACTTTTCCAGGGCAGCTCGATTTATTTAAGGGTAAAATTTTCAAAGAAAATTTTTTAATACAGTCTTAATATTCACTTCAAAAGCCATCCCTAATTATACATCTGTTTTTAAATATCACATAAGGTGCTTTAATTCCTCAAAATTGAAAGAGACTGCTTTATTATTCCCATTTACTTTTTCAAAAATTTCCCTACCTAGTTTAACATTTTAGGAATGTAAATTCTTCACACATGCTAAGGTTTCAACTTAAAATTTACTTTTAATAAACTCCTCAAAATTATTCACACTTTTTATAGAAAATAAAGAAAAATGAAATTATTTTATAATTTTCTTTTCAAATAAATAGAATTCGACATACTGTTAGTAATTGGACCCCAAATTAAATTTATTGTCAAAATATGCATACTAATGAAACAATAAGATTATTTTCTAAGAAGTTAGAATAGGTAAATAATCAAAAATGATTTCACTTTCTTCCTAAAATAGAAAATTTCATCTTTGAAATTTAAAAAAAAAAATAATCTAAAAAAATAAAAACTAAATAAATTTTAGATGATATATTAATCAACCATGAAACCTCAAATAAGCAAAAACAGCATTGCAATTAATTTAATTTATTAATGAAATATAGCTTAATCTTGTGCATCAGCTACTGCATTTACTCCTAAATAGGAAAATGAAGTAGTCGCTAGGACTAAGTAAAATTGGCTAAAAAACCGTAATCACAATAGAAAATACAGAAAAATTAAAGAACCGAAGCATATTTCGACTTCATATTCCTTCAATCGTGTTTGGAAAAGTTTCAGGTTTCTCTGTATGGAAGTAGCTGGGTCTCCCTTCCATAACTACTCACTTCGACTCTACAAGTAATTTATTTATTTCAGAAAAAAGAGCAAAACTTGATATATGTCTGATTAATTTTAAACAATTTCTAACAATTTAAATGATTTCAATTAAGAGACCTAAATTGTTCATTTAAAGTATAAAAAATTATTATCTTATTAATCCATTTTTTCTTCCTACTGATTATCTCTTTGAATATTTATTCGAAACAAAGAATTAAAAAAATAAAAAAAATAAGCTTATTTTAATAGATTTAAAATTTCGACTTGCTGTATCTATTTAATGTAATTATTAAGATGCCTAAAATTTGAAAAACTTCATAAATATATATCTTAAGCAGTTTCATTAATATTATATTTATCGTAATAATTTGTCTTTCAATAAATTTAGAATCTAATAATCACATCAATAATTTTTAATTTTATTAATAATGAAAAAAATATTGAATACTATTGACAAAATCGATATATTTGGTGTTCCTGTCAATCTGTTGACTAATTCTAAAGATTTATTCTATCAAAGTAAGCTTGGTGGAATAGTTACTCTTTTTGTTGGAAGTCTTGGTTTTGCCTATTTTTTATATGTAATAATTTTATGGATCGAAAATCATCTACCTCCAAATGTGAGTTTTAAATAATAAACATTATCGTATGCAGAATTTGAAATAACAAACTCTGTTATTCAATTAGAATTATAAGATTTTTCAGGTGAGGTAGATCCTTTCAGAAGAGAAAACAATATCATAACTCCTTATTTATATAAAATTATAGATAGAACAATTATTGATAAGCCAATTCCATTATTTAGTAGTGAAGATAAACCATTTATTATATCAATAGATAATGGAACTATCGTTTTAAATCATGATTATTCTGGGCAAAATGGTAGATTCCTTATGACATAGTATTTGTTAGTATTCTAAAGTTGTTCTGATAGTTTACTTGAAAATGGAAGTTATTGTGCTAATGAGAGTGTAATTAATGAATACTTATCAAAATTTCATGGATTTTTATTCTTAAGCATAAAATTACATTAACTAAACTATTTTACAAGACAATTGGAAGAATTTAAAAAATAATATTACACAGCCTTCTAACTAACTAAACCTTTGTATTCTTAAGTTATGCTTAAATAATAAGAAACTATTATTGATGATGGAATCTTATTTAATAATTATTAAAATTATTACTTCTTAAACAATTACGAATTAATAAATTAAGAGGTTGAAAACTCTTTTACTTCTAATGTGGTTAGCTAAATGTCATAGCAGAATTATAAATTTAATAATTTTGGTTGTTATTTATTTAGAATAGATGATATTTCTATTTCAGAAAATGTCACAATGCCTAAACTTGGTTAAGTGTTAGCTTAGGTTGGTTCAATTGTACAAATAATATTTATGTTAAAATATATTGCATTATATTACAATAAAGTGCTATTAGAAAACGAATTACTCCATGAAATAATTACTATGTATTATCCAGAAATGAAAAATATAAAGTTGAACTTTTTGAACTAATTTGAATTTAAAGATAATTCAATTAAGAGTATTAAGAACCTTAATTAAGATTTTAAATATAAATATAAAATCTTTTTAAAAAGAGCAAAAGTAAAATGTAGATTAAATAACATCTTGTATGAGATTTCAAGGATATAATTTATTCTTTAACAATAATTTGGTGACTAACTTTTGCAACAAAGTCATTAAATGGGAAGTAGACTTTCAAATAATTATATTGATTATGAACATTGTAAGGATTCTAATAGATTAACTGTAAAGCCAGCTAATTCTTTAGATATTGATAATGACTTTGCTTTATTAGAACCATTAGAAATATTATAAAAATAACCCTGAATTTATTTTCATATCTAATTTTAATTTAATTATTGATATCAGTATAATTATACATAAATCAAATAATAAATCATCAATTTTCTCTACTTCAAAATTTTATATGTTTATAACTATTGAATAACAAATCTATAAATTAAAGTAATTTAAAAATTTTGAATCCAATTCTTTCTATAAGATTTATATAATTTTAATGAATATATTATTATGAATCCTTTCACAAGAAATATTTATTGTAACGAAACAATTTTTATTTGAAATTCAAGGATTAGTTGGTTTCATTTTGTAATAATTGAAGCTATGAAAGAATTATTATTTAATCAATACATTTAAGGATTGGATGGGAAGATGTTTTCTTAAAGCATTTTTGTCAAAATCGATAAGTTGTAATAAATTTGAGAAATTTTTTTCAATAATCTATTAGAACAAACTTATAAGCTTAAATAAGAATATTTTGAAATTGTTATTACAGAATTGTTGTTTCCAAACATATTTAATTAAAATAAATATTTTTCAAGAAAATTATCAGTCTATTGCAATTCGTATCTAAATATCTATTTGATTCATCTTTAATTATAAATATAAATTTGTGGATTTTCTCAAACATTATATTCAATTAAATTCTTAATCAGTATATATAATAGAAAACCTACACAAGGACATATACCCAACTATAATTTATGAATAATTTGGATCAATTAATTGAAGAATTAAAAATTTTAATAAATATAAAATTATTCAAACATGTCTTTCAAGAATCTAAAAATTTAAATGAGAAAAGATTTTGTAAAAAGTCCCTCACTATCAATGATAATTTGAATTAATTTTCGGTGATTATTATTACCAATATTTCATCTTTTCTTTTTATTTCTTCATCTATTCTATTTATTCTGAATTGAAGTTTTATTGCATGATTAAAAGTATTGTGACATTAATATCCGAATATTACAGATTATTTATCAAAACCTTATTCATAATCAAAATTATTCAATTGAATATTCAAATTCTAATTTTAAGAGCAGCTTAAATCAACTTCAAGATTAAAAAATGTTTAATTAATAAACGCAGATTCTGCGTATTAACCTTTCATATAAAATACTTATTTATCTGGAAATTCAGAGCATTTTACTTCAATTTTTTTGGTTAACAAAATTTATGAAGAAAAAGATTAATTGATAACTAAATCAGAATAATAAAATTTTGGTGGTTCGGCTAAATAATCATTTTCTATATTTGAATAACAGTTATTCTTATGATATAAAAATCCTTTTTTACATCCATAGCATAAACCCAAATAACAAAAATTTTATTCACATGAAATAGGGCAATCATATAAGCATTGATGACATCCATCATTAAAATCAAGATCTTCATCATCACATTGTTCAGGTTCAACTACTTACTAATCTCCACAAATGGAATGGCATTTATTGTCAATTTTATCGAATCCAATTTTACATTACAAACATCCATGTCCTTCGATACTGCAATTTAAACAATTGGAATCACATCTAGGATCATGATATTTTTCATTAATTTTAATGCATTAATTCTTAACAAATTGGAAGCCTTCATAACAATCTAAGCAAACTCCAAAATCACAAACAGAACAACCAATAGTGCAAGTTTTTAAACATTGATGACATCCATCATCAAATATTAAATTGCCATCATCACATTATTCATCAGCAGTAACAAAACCATCTCCACAAATAGTTTTACACATGTTATCTATATTTTGATAACCTTATTAACATTCTAAACAACCTTTGCCTAAAGTAGAACAATTTAAGCATGAATTTTAACATTTTGGTTTACAATTCAAGCAGCCTCTATATGGTAAAGCAATATCACATATCTCATCTTTTGCTACAATAACATCTCCACATTTAGAATAACATGAATACTAATCATTCAGATAGTATCCTATTCCACAAGCATAACATCTGGTATTTCTACAGTCGGTACAAATTTCTGGATCTTAGCATTCTATCTTACATACACTACTGCAAAGATCTCCATTGATAATATTACTATCATCACAATTCTCAGTAAAAAAGTTAGTAGGATCTTAATCAATTATATTATTTCCACAAATATTTTTGCAACTATTAGAATAGGGTTTAAATCCTGGGAGATCACATTGTAGACATGTTCCAGTTTTGTAATCACAATTAGAACAATTACTTCTGCAATTAAATCTACAATTCTAACACTAGTCAATGTCATTTGAAGTATCATTAATGCATGAATCGCTTTGAATTAAATCTCCAAATCCACATTGTAATAAACAATTTTCTGAAGACATAGTAAAACTTGTAGTATATTTTTTAGTGACACAATGTGTACATTTTCCTTTAACACAATTTATACAATTTGAAGAACATTAAAATTTACAATTATGACATCCATCAAATTAAATCTAATTCCCATCATCGCATTCTTCAGTTCCATTAACAATCCCATCTCCGCAATAGCCTTAACATGGTAATGTGGTTGTTGAAGTACAAGTTGTACAATCACTAGGACATTAATACTAACAATTAAAGCATAAATCGTTTAAATCATTATTTCCATCCTCGCATTATTCATATCCTTCGACTAAGAAATCCCCACATTTTGGCATACATTGTCCATAAACAAGTTGAAATCCAAGATCGCATTTTGTACAAATTTGTGTATGCCAAATTGACATACCTGCATCACATATTTTGTAACATTGTACTAATGATGTGTTTTCTATGGTAGGACAACCTATGATATATATTTAAGAATTACTTTAACAAACACCATTTAATTCATAATAACCTGGCATACAAACACATTTTAATCCTTTTAATATTCGTTTGTTGTTTATGTTACAAGTTAAGCATCCATCAATGCTTAATCTAAAGCAACTTTCACATGTAGAATGACAAGCCTTACATGAATTTGAAGTTGAATCATAACTGGTACCAAATTAACAATTACAAGTTTATTAACTATGACATTTTTAACAGACTGGATTAGAATTAATAGAATAATATCCTGCTAAACACTCACATTTTCCATTTATTAATTCTCTGTTATCTGCAGTCAAACATTCTACACAAACTTAGTCATTAACACATTGATTGCATCCTATTGGACATTCATAACATTAATTATTTGCAAAATACTAATTCATTAAGCAACTACATCTTTTTTTTATAAGAGTAAGTGTTAATTCACATGATTAACAAATAAATTCAGATGTACATGTCCGACAAGTTTCAGGACAAGATAAACATTGTTATTCTTATTTATTATAATATGATTTTGTTAAGCATCCTTCTTATTAATGAAATTTCACATCAACAGAATTATCCCATTTAGTACAAGTAATTTCATTTAAACACTCTAAACAATAAGGTGAGCAATAATGAACGACAACATTATATCCGTATATTCCACAATATGCACTTTCTGGATTATTGTTACTACCTTTACATTCCCAATAAAGGGTTAAAGTATCAGAAGAATGTTTTTTAGTCAATATCACTTTTTCTGAAACAGTTGCATCAGAAAATGATAAAGTTGCACTTGCTCTGGATTTTATTATAGGCTCATTACTTTCTAAAGTATAAATAAATTAACTATCCAAAGGGAAATTGGGACCATATAAAATATAAAATACTATAGTAACACTGTGATGTGGTTTTTATATCTAATGAGTTATTTAAAATTTTGCTTAACTCCAAATATATTATCCACCAAAAATTTATTTTCCTTACCAAATAGAATAAAATATATTTGATCCTTTTAAAAAATTTATAGATTCTTATGAAACAAGAACATATTAAGAGGATTAGGATGGATCATTTATTTTACTAAAATACTCATTTTTTATTAAAAATTATGAATCTAATAGTTTATCAAAATAATAAATACATGGGGTTTCATTATCATAGTCAATGCAAGAATTTCCATTTATTACTTGGTAATATTCTTCACATTTTACACAATTACCATCACTTGATACATATAATCCTTCATCACAAATTTAGCATATATAAGGTAATTCACAATATTTGCAATTATCTTAACATTATCCAGATGAAATCTTTAATTCTCTTAGACTCCAAGCAGCGTTAGAATTTCTATTAAAAATTTAATATATACTGATAATTTCCAAATACTGTCAATGAAAAAGAATATTTTGGTATATCAACAAACATAAATACTCCCAAAGTCTAGCAAGTTGTCCAATAATCGATACAATTAAATTACTCTTATTGATACATTGAAACCCTATGAAATTACGTACCTTAATCAGTTTAATATATTGATCCAAAGTAAGTACCATTAATTTTAAACTCTATTTTACCTCCAACCGGAATTGAATCATATAATGTAAAAGTTAGTTGTATTCCTAGCAATAATATTCCTTAATCAAAAGAGGATAAATAAATAAACCTAATGAATCCAGAATTCTTAATGTAAATACCATGCTATTATGATGCTTATACTTAATCAAATAATGGTTTGGCTATAATATCAGCAATCATTGTTGTAAATCTCTTTTCATTTGGATATAACTATTCAACATAAATAGTGCTTGCTAGAATTAAAGAAATAATTACTTTTAAAATATACACAGATCTTCTCATAAGTTTAGCGGTAATCAAAATGGCAATATTGTGTACAACCTATATTTGGCATGAATACTTAATTTGCTGGACACATGGGACATCTATTATTTTCAGGTGATCCACTCTAACAGCTTGTACATTAGTTATGCGCTGCCCCTGTACAAGATATACATAAAGGATAGCATTATAGTCTAGATATTTACAAATTTTTTATTGAAACTTTTCCATTGTTGTTTGTATTTGTCATTTACAATTCCATTTTACTTTTTTATGAAGATGAGAGTGTAAAACTTACAGTCTTAATTTCAGTTTTTAAATTATCACAAAATCCACTAGCTATTGGATATTATTAAGGTGAAGAATACTAAACTGTAAAAATTTCATTCCCAATTTTTATTTTTATATTTCCATCTATCCATATATCTTAAAAATATAAATCAAGTGTTATTTAATCTTGATTAATAAACTCTATTTCATTTTCACTTATGAGTATTGGATTTTAAGAATTTAAAGTTATTAAACTGATTATGGTTGGAATGATACAATCAATAAAATAGGCAGTTTTTGGTTGCGAAGGGAAGTTGAAACCCCCTACATTTACTAGATTCTAAAATTTTTGATTCTAACAATAATATTCTGCAACTAAAAGCCATTAACTTACACAAGGCTAGAAGATGATCATTAAATTTAATATGAAAAGCATTTTTGAAATAATTATTATTGAATTATTGATAAAAATTTATGTCTAATATTCGAATAAAATCATAGATTTATAATATATAGTGTATATATTTTTTGCTCTGAAAATACTGAGAGACCTCATTTATATTTTATATATAAAGATTTTTCATAATTAAGAATAAAGATAATTGTATTTAACAAAATGGTAAACCGACAAAATTCAAACTTAGATTTATTTAGAATAGATAATATTATACTATTTTTTTATTTCTTTAATTACAATAATTATTTGTGATTTAGGATATAGGAGGAGCAGAAATCATCATACACCCATCCATATCTGATAAAGTTAAAATAAACTAAAATAGAGTTAATTCTAAAATGATATTTATTAAGCATGTAAAAAAAGAAAATATAGTACACTTTAATAAATAGTAAATTTAGAGTTATTAAATCAATAATTATTAGATAATTACAAACATTAAAAAGAAATTATTTGGTTCAAGTTTTGAAGATAACAATGAATATATTTATAGATTTCACCAATTTATACTTCTTAACATATATCTTTTTATAATTTACTCATATAATTTTCTAATTCTGAATTTTGTGTCCATTCTTATGAATTCTTAGTTTATTTTGAAGGATCTTTATTAAAAATCTTCTATTCTAATTCAAATTGTTTTAATAAAGTCTAATTAGTAAGTTTTGAAATGACCTTGATTAGAAAAAGTATGTTAATAGACCAATCATTTTCAAAAAAAAGCACTCTTTTTTTGTTTTTTTTTAAATCTCTAATATAAATTACTATTATTTTTATTTTTTTATTAAACATCTTTTAATTACTCCTTAGTTGATTAACTAATTAGGGTTTAATTCAAAGTTGGATTGGATACTAAAGTTTATTATTCAAAGTGTAACAGATCTCTTGAGTAGACTCATAAACAGAATGTAACTTAAATTTCATTTAGAGTATAATCCCTTTTTCATAGTATATTTCTTCCCATGAAACCAAATAATATATATAATTATATTTAATATTACTATTGAGGATTAAATGGAAGTTGAATATTTTTATTTTCTTTAAATTTATTGATATATCTCAAATAGAAGACTAAAATATTTCCGTTTCTTTGTAATCTTAAAATGATAGTCATTTTCATATCCTTTTGATATTGTTTTTAGTTATCAACTATTTTCATATTGAAGAATAATCTAATTAAAAATGTTTGATTTTTGTTAACTTAATTATTGTAACCTACAAATCTTATATTCTAATTCATTCTGACAATGTTAAAGTATTTATAATTATTTTTCTTAGAATTGTACATTATTAAAAAAATCTAATAATGTAATTCATTAAGATATTTTCATTATTGAATATTTTTAAAATAACTACTATTTCAATCATAAGTATAAAAATACACATTCAATCCGAGAGCAATGTATGTAGAATAAATTTTTGGAAAATTTGATGTAATGACTTAAAAATTTGAATTAAACATTTAATAAAATATATTATTTTAAAAAACATTAAGTCTATAAATTTCATCATAAAAATTAAATTGATAATTGTTGATTAATTAATGCTAAATCAAATATAATTATTTCTATATTTTGAAAATAATATAGGGATATAATCAATTCAACCATTATTTAGTCCTTTTAATTATTTTTAAGAGAATTTATAATTAAAATTACTAACATACTCAATTTATTTCATATTTGAGAACTACTACATAGTTTAATTTTGTATCTATTCTGATTAACGCTAATTTATTTTAATACATGAAAACTGATGATTTATCAAATTTTATTAACTTTTTATTAATTATTAGCAACTAGATCTATTTTTTATTATATGCTCTGTCTTAAACTCTTATAATACTTAATCAATATTATATCTCTATTATGAATCAATTTGAAGCATTTTTTCAAAGAGTCTCTTATATTAAAAACTACAATTAATTGATTGAATGAATTAAACAATATCTTATTATGTTATTTCCTTAATTTTTTTCTCCCCTAAATATCAATAATAGTTACTTAGAAAGATTAACGAATTAAATAATTCTAGACATAGAATACCAAAAGCCCAAATATCCACTTTATTTTGATGAATTTACATTTGATTGTTATCTGTTAATTCTGGTGCTTAATACTAAGTTTCATCGTAAAATAAAAGTAACTCTTGTTATTTTATATACTATCCATAATCACATAACTTATAAATATTTTATTGATTATTAAATTGATCGGTTAATGTTTAGATTACAATATTACTTGGTTTAATTTACATGTTTAATTATATATTGTGTAACTCCTTAATTCCATTAGCTATTTATCTAATTATATATCCTGTGCTTTATTAATTTTATTTAAATTAATCTTAACACTCAAACAATAAAGATTTTTGACTAAATTCCATTGCTAAATATAACTTTTCCTTTCTCAATTCAAAATTGATGATGTTCATTACATTTTTAAATTTTTTTGAAGCCATTAATTTATATTTCTAAAGTTCTTAAGTTTAAGATGTATCTATTATTTTTATCAAAACCTCCTCTTTTGTTTATATATTTGAGGCTTAATATACTTAAATATGGGCATTGTTATCTAATAATACTTTTATTTCATATTTTGTATCTTATATTATTACAAAATCAGGTGTTAACAAAATTGAATTCCTTATTTATTATTATGGCTACATTATATATTTTATATAAATAATAAAAATTAATTTATTAATCATATGAATCAATCAAATTTATAAATTTCATTATTATTATTCTCCTTATTGAATCTATAATTTTAATTACAATTATTTGACTAGATGATTTGGATCTTTTGAAATTTAATAAGCCTATTTATAATTTTTTAAGGCTTATTAATACTATTTTAAGCCAGATAACGCATCACCTAATATAGTTTTATTATAAGACCTTTATTATTTAATGCAAATTCATTAATAGGATTAATTTCTAAAGCTTTATCAAAATTTTATATAGCTTTTTAATACGATTATAAATTCAATAATGCATAACCTAATTGATAATTATTAATATTTTATGAAAATACCTTTATTATTATATATAATATCAGACTTCAATTAATTTTATATGGCATCGTCACAATATTAGATTGCTCTTTCAAAGTCTTTTAATTAATTTAGAGCAAAAGCTTAATATATTACATAGATACTTAATGATATGTATGAGTCCAAGTCATCGACTTTAATTTCAAATGCTTTCAAACTAACATTGAAAGCCTCTTTGAAATTTTCCAATTTATTTAAAATAAGAGCTAGAATATTTTGCTTTTTACCCTAAAATTTATAAGCTGGATAAGCATTAGGGTTAATTCCGATTGCTGTTTCAAAACATTAAAGAGCTTCTTTGTAACTTTACTATTCTAATAACATCTCACCTACATTTATAATAATAAGACCTTTAATAATATATGCTTAAACGTCTTTTGGATTAATTTATATTGCTTTTTCTAGAAATATTCTTGCTTATTCTTGAGAATTAATTCTATTTAAAGCGAAACCTATTAAAATTGAATAGATATTTTTACCATAATTACAATGAGCTAGATAAGATTAAGGATTTAATTCGATAGTACCTTTACAACACTCAATGGCCTCTTTGTATTATTCAAGATTAAGTAGTTGATTACCTCAATATAGAATTTACTTCTACTTTTAGCTAGATGATATACGTCATTATTTGGATCTAATAAAGTTGCTTTAATAAATTATTCTAAGGCTTTATGATGTTAATTCACATTAGATAATGATTATCCTAACAACTAATTGCTATATTATACCATACTGATAAAACCTTTTTGCATTAATTATGTTTACATCTAATTGTTGATAATTTTTTTCTCTATTATTTGAGGCGTTTTTGATTGTCTATTCAACTAAATCTAAATTGTGTAGGAATTCACCTAATATTTTATAATAGATTTTTACAATCTTTTATTTATTAATTACTGTTGTGGCACTATTTTATAATATGAATATTATTTCTGAAATCATTGTGTGCATCCGTTTTTAAAAAAGTCTCCATTTTTGTTAAATTATCAATTTCTAAATAGGATTAGTTTTTAATAGTTTATATTATTTTTTCTATTTACTAGAATTTATTTTATATTTTCTATGTAAAATCTTTTCTGTCATTAATTAATTATTAAATTATCTGATTTATATTATTTATATCTTTGCAATCGTTTTAATGACCTCTGTGGTAATGTTATGCACAAAAGTAACAATATTAGGGTTAATTTTTACATTCTGAATTGATGCAATAGCCAATAATCTTTTTACATAAATGCTATTCATATTAACTAACAAATTGATTCATTCTTTAATAGAATTATAAAATTTTTTAATTTTATTAATAATATCAATAAAATTTATATACTCATTTTATAATTTAATACTGAATTATATAAAATTTCCTTAGTCTATCAGCATTGAAATGTTTTGTTCTATTATTATTCAACATTTATTTGAACTATAAAAATGAATGTTGAAGAAGAAACAAATTTTTAATGAAATATTTAGAAATATCATAAATTAAAATAATTGTAAAATAATAATATATATAAGATGTATCTTCTTTAAAAATTATGAATATTCATTAATAAAATTTAAGTAATTAATAAACTGTTAATGAGATAGATAACAATAATTATTATTCATTTTCATTTTGATATTATAATATTCTTACTAAATAATTATATATATATATATTATTATATTATAATAAATTAGTGATATAATAAATATTAGAATATAAAAATGGGATAAGTTTCATAAAAACTATTTACAACAACAGAAGCAGATGAATAGATAGTTATATCGACTAATTCAAGAATTGGATATATTTAAAAGAAATTTTTATTTTCACAAGCTGATGTTTCTAATTTACATAAAATATTTCGAAAGATGGATACTATGGGTACAGGGTATATTAGTTAATAAAACTTCTTTGAATTTTTAGATGAAGAATGTAATAGTGTTGTCAGTCCTTATATTGAATATTTATTTTAATTAATTGAAAAGGAAGTTGAATAAAAAGTAAGTTTTTCAGAATGGTTACCAGCTATAAGTTTATATTGTTTATACACAAAAGATAGTGTAGTTGCATATGTATTTTAAATGTTAGATAGTGATCATGATAATTTTATTTCTAAAAAGGATTTAATGAATTTTTTAGTTTAGAAAAGAAATGGGAAAAAGATTTTCTATTATAATTATATGAAAGCAGTTGAATTATTGGATATAGAAAGACCAGATAAGATAAGTTTAGAATAATTTAGAAAAATTTAATAACAAATTCCATTTATATGTTATCCTGCTTTTCGATTATAAAGGGAATTGAGAAGTAGAATATTTGGTGTAAAATATTGGGATAGTCTTTATGATAGAATTTTACATAAAGAAAATGAAGAAAATAAGTAAAAATAAATGTAGAAAATTCAAGATGAAATGAAGAGAAAACAATAAAATAAATTAGATAAAAAGGTTGAAAAGTTCTTATAAAATACTCATAAATCTAGAGTATCTATGCCTTCTATGAAATTAATACATTAGAGAGTTAATGGAAGGAGAAATTCAGATACGAATATGCCTTAAAATCAAGAAACAGCTGATGAACTAATAAATAATATGTTTCAATAAATTAGTAAATAATTAAAGGGACAACATAACCAAAGAAAATAAAAAGAACTTAAAGTCCTTAGATGTAGATCAAAATCTTTGTAGTATATAAAAATGAATTTTAAGCATACAGAAGAATAAGTAGTAAGATCATCAAAATATATTAAAACACAATAATCATCATAATAAATTCCTTTAAATTTTAAAAAATAAGAAAGAAGATCAATCTTTCATATGAATAAAATTAAACCCTAAATTGATAAACCTCCAGGGTCATCTCATAATAGTTCAGATTCTGAATCAGTTTCTTAATCATTATTATATTGAATGAAGAAGTGTTAAATATTTATGTATCTTTATTTATATGATTATTTTATGTCATTCTTTTTAATATGAACTTCTGATAAGCTATGTAGCACCATAGCCAACTTCTGGTTCTTATGGTTACTCTGGAGGAGCACTGCCTCTAAATAAAGTAGTTGCTCCAAAACCTGTTTCTTCAACACCTTCCTCTTGAATTTAAGCTGCTTAAGGCACATAACTTTTTGAAGTTTTGCTTCTAGCCAAAGATGTTTAAGTATTTCTTTGATTAGATTAATAATTTGATTGAACAGCTTATGGATCAACCATGTCTAGAATTTAAGCTTTCCTTGATTATTGAACTGCTGATGAAGTTCTAATATGAGATTTGGAAACTCCAGACAAACGAGCTTATTGTTCTTCTTCCATATTTAATGGTGCTTTCATTAATCCAATCATTTCTTTTTGAACTCTCATAGAAGATCTTAAATAATGTGATTCTAAATAATTAGCTTTTTCAATTAATAATTGAGTGCTCAGTATATCAACTTCTTTTCCAACACTCCAAATTTCTGCATATGTCAATTTATATTCTTTCAAAACTGGATTGATTAATGAACCTGAATTATAAAATTATTAAAATACCTTTTTTATATGTTTCATCTTCTGGAGTAACATAACTTTTTCTTTACATATCTTGAGCATCTATCCATAATCTAAATTTATTATTGGCACCTCCAAAACCAACTCCTGATGGTGCGACTTCATTCAATCCTTTATAATCACCAATACCTTCTCCAAAATAATGTAAATAAGAATAATTTTGAGTATTTTAATCACTTTCATTAGGGAATGTTCTTTTGAAACGACTTGCTGCAAATACTTTGAACTTAGGATTCAATTAGAAAAGGTAACTTTCTTCATTACCTTAATATAACCCTTAATCAATCCATTTTTTCTTTTGGAAAGCACCAACAATAGATTCATCAGTATCATTACTGAATTTCAAGAGGAATATAGTTGGTCCATCAAAAGATAACAGTGCTCTATAAAGAGACTCAAAATTCCAACCAGATACGGCATTACTCCATAATAAATTTACTTGACTTGATGATTTAATATATGCATTTCCAAGTGCTAAATATATATATTATGGACCATTAAGTAAATAAGATGGTTTTGTAAATCTGATTTAATTGAGATTTGATACCTTGCTTAAAGTTTCTATTGTTATACACTCAAAAAGAGCATGGTGAAGTATTGTTTAACTTATTCTGTTAGATGAGGGAATAGTTATTTAAAGAAGAGTACTAGACTCCACCATTTGACAGCTCCTGAACTGTTAGGATATACAGCACTCAATATAGATCGAGCAACTGATTCATCAGGAGTGAATTTTGAACTTAAAGCCAACCCTGATCTCAAAGAAATGTACTCTACATCTTGGAGAAATTAAAGTGCTTCTAAGTAGGATACATTAGAATCTTTGAATTCAGGATCATCTATTGATAGTCGTTGCAAGCTAATAAGGAAAAATATTTCCATCTTATCAAGGGATCTGTATCCTTGGAGATGATAAGAACTCGGTTCTTCAATCAAGATTTCGACTATGGGTATGAAGTTCTCGAAATCAACTTTCTTGTTTGTAGAATGCTTTAACATGAACTGATATAGTTTTCCTCCCAAAGATGGATTACCATCGCATAGAAACTCCAAACTCTCTTAACAAAGATAGTCTGTTGTAGCCGTTCTAAAGAAAAACGAATTAAATTTACTCTCTATAACGAGTGCGTAATCTATCAAACAAACGGCGTAGTTTATCTAACACAACATCATTTAGTGAGATCTTATTCTCTTTACGTGATTCATTGCATCCCATTATATTTTAATGTTATTAATATTAATATAGGTGGCCTTAGCTGAAAGAATCTTCACTCCAGTCATAAGGCATGTTTATGAATAGATTCCTCACACCTTTTATTCTCCAAATGTCAACTCTACACTCCTCCTACAATATAATAGGTAATCAGTAAGAATATTATTATTTAGCTATCCAGGAGTATATAGTATGGAATTAGGAGAAATTATTGATGGAAATTATTTTCGAATCCATCCTAATGTGACTCTAGATCCATTCACATTACCTGGATGTAATTAATATGAAAGAAGGTTGATTTATAAACATTTAGCTAATCAATCAACTTAATCACCCAATGCATTTTTGACAAATATGTACATAGATGATAATCTTGTATTTGTTACAAGAAGTGATAATTCAATTCTGACATTCGAAATTGTCCTTGATATACTTGATAGATCAGTAAATGACTTAAAACTTAAAAGCATACAAACTACTCATGGTAGTAGTTTAGAACACCATATAGCATGTTTCAATAAAACATGTGCTGTATTTGGTTAGGATTCAGCTTTTCTATATAAAGATCCTGATTTTTAACTAATAGATTTAGAAAAGAATATTTAAGGAAAAGGAAGCTTTCCAATAAAAATATATTTTGATGAAAAATTAAATGCTCTTTATTTAATTTATGGTACTAATTTAGTTGAAGTTTATTAATTCACAGAAACAAGTCTTATAAGATTTACATCATTTACTGCAGGTTAATAAATTGTGTCAGTCAGAACTAATCCTGAATCAACTATGTTATATTTATTAGATAATTAAGCTGGATTACTTTTCTATAAGATATTATCTATAGGAGAATATGTTGATACAGGATTTATGATTGCATTGAAGAATTGTTAATAGTTTGATTTTTATTAAAATACTTTTTTTTTAGTAGCTGAAACAACAGATAGTATTCCATATGCACTTGAAGTTTTAGTAAATGAAGATTCATATTATTTTAATAAAATATATTCAAAAGATATGGATATATTTGATGTTTGGGTTGGAGAACATATAGCAATTTTAATTGGATCTGAAGTTCATAGAGTAATATATCACTCAGTATATAATAAATTTATAAGTGAAAGTGAAACTCCATTATTCTTTTAAGATATAGATCTTATGAATGTAGAAGAATTTAGAAAGTGGGAATCTACATAATATACAAAAAATGCTATAGAATAAGATCCATTTTCTAAGACTTCTTTTTAATATAAATAATTTTTTATGGTAGGCATTTCTAGCTAATAACTTTCAATATTTTCTATAAAATCAATTTCTCCATGGTTATAATGTAAACCAATTAGTACAAATACTACACAATATTATTTGAAAATGAATGCTACTAATTGTCCTACAAAAATAAAAGAAAATGATCATTCAGCATTCAAATAATGTATAATAATGCATAATTTTACATTGGCAGGAAAAGAAATATATTTTTATGAATAAGATTAAATGACAGTAATTATTGGAGGATGTGTTTTGATGTAATAATTTAATTAATAAAATTTAGTGGTTTTGTATTGTTATTAATAATTGCAGTTGTTTGTGTTAAAAAATATCTAGATAATAGGATTGAATTTTATATATTATAGGAAAAATAACATGTTAGACTTGAAGAATTAGAACCTGAAACCATTCCTTCAGAAAATGTTATTGTATGATTTGATATTAAATTTTATATGCAATTTAATTATCATTATGAAAATATATCCTTTACTTATTATAATAATTATTTCTACATTATTATTTTTGATTTTTCAAATATCTCTAATCTTCTTTCTTCTATATTCTTAACCCTTTAACCTGGATCATGTGAAATATCAAAAGGATCTTTTGTTAAGAATTTATTATTTGTTGCCCATTTTTTTTATAATTAATGATTTGGTAAATGGATTGAAATTATGTATTCATCTTTAAAAAATTTACCATCAGGATATTAATAAAATTTCCAAAAATCTCTTAATAATTCACTTATCTTTGAACTTCCTATTGTACATTATTCCATTTTCTATTTGATTATTTCTGGATCAGTTAAAAAACTAACATCTGTTGTAAAACGATCGCTTGCTGTTTATATGTCATCACCTGGTTTGGCTCTGGCAATTTATAATTTACCTGATTAATCATTTCTTTAACGTAAATATTCTTAATCTTATAAAACTGGTAATTTATGTTCCCTTTATAAAAATGAAATCCACATCAAAATAATCTAATAAGAAGAGAAATCATTTTAATTTATTAATTTTTATGCTTTACCCCATATTTTTAATAAAATACCACCTATTTTAACATATTCATGAAGATTAGCATATTAATTTAATAATTTTGTATTTATTACTCCAAGAATATTATTGACACATAAATCAAACTCCACATTTTCAATTGTATCCTTAATATTAATAACTGGAATACGAGCAGAATCAACATACCTTTCTATTACAAATCTCTAATAAGTTTTATTTGATTTGATAATTTTTTCAATTTCTTATTTTGTAAATTAAAGGAATTGCTTTTCATTAACATAAGAATTAGTTAATATTGTGTAATCAACATCTGATGATTATGTACCAAAACCATTTAAAAGCGAACCAAAATAACTATGATATAACTTTGAAAGGGGAGGATTAAGTGATTTATAATTTATTTGTTTTAACAATTTTACAAATTTCTCAATAGATTTCATTATTTTCTCTTTTATTTCTTCACTCATTTTCTTTTCATTATAAAGTTTGATCAAATAGTCATCAATAGATTCTTCATTCTATTAAATCATTTATACAATTTATATTTATACAATTTATGTTTATACAATTTATGTTTATACAAAATAAAATAAATGATAAACATAAACATATATATATTTTTATTATCTTATTACTATTAAATTATTTTTATCCTTATAAATAATATTTATTATTAGATACTACTTATAAGAACTCATATCTTTTCAAAATTTAATATATATATACTCTTTTTCATTAAAATTAAAATAAGTTGATTATTAAATAAAAAGTATTATCCATTCTTTATATATCCAAAATCTTTGATAGTTTTTATAATATCATTAATTTCTTGTAATTTAAATTAAAATTAATTATTTATAACATAAATATTATATTAAAATAAAAAGTAATATAATTTATTCCATAAATTTACTGCAAAACAATAATTATAATTGCATATTCTCACTTTTTTTTCTTTGTTGATTATTTTAAAAATGAATCTACTGATTCTACTCCAGGTTTTGAATTCTTTTTTTTTGGTGAAGCTGATGATGATATACTAGAATTGCTTTTTTATTTCTTTAATTTTCCATCAGGTGTTTTTGGAGTTTTACTCTCACTTTTTGATGCCCTTGGTTTTTTTTCTGGATTAGTTTCTAATTGTGATTTTCTCTTTTCTTCAATTTTTACAGATTTTTTTTCAGCTGTTTTTTATGCTGATGTTTTAAGATTTGATTTCTTTTTCTATTCATCATCTTTTGTTTTAGATTTGATAATTGGATGTTCACTTAAATCAGACATAATTTATGAATCTAACATATGTGCAATTAATGATGGAGATCTTTGAAATTTATTATCCAAAGACATATTTATTTAAAGAAATTAAGCATTATGTTATTCAAATCTTGATCTTAAATCAAATGATTATTTTGGTGGATAATTTGGAATATACAAATTCTTTTATTTTTATTATGACATTTATACAACCATCTAGTCTTATCTTCTTTACCATTCATCAATTTTACTTAAAGTCTAATTGCTCTAATAATTAAAATTTGAAGCTTATATTGTTGTCATAGTATTTAATGTTTCATTTACGAAACTGCTGTTAGTCCTTGAACTAAATCCCAAACTAGATAATCTTTATTTGAAAGTATTAAATGAACTTAATGTTGAATTATTTACAAATCTTACGAATATGAATCATATATGATACTAGGTGTCAGATTTCACCATTTACTGAAAAACTTCTATTGGACTCATCATAATTAATATTTATTACAATTTATTAACTGTATTATAATAGTATTATAAAAAACAATATAAATTAGCTATTAATATAAATAATTTAACTAATCAATTTTTCCTATGTTATTCTATTTTTTCTCCCCATCTTTTTTCTAATCTTTCTAAATTTTATATTGCTTCATCATATTTCCTTCTTAATATTGTATATTCTTCAGATTTTTCTTAATATTCTCTTTATTTCCTTTAAATTTCATTATTTAAAGAGTTCACCTTCTAAGTCAATGTTAAATTATCTCTTTATAAATTTTCTAACGATACTTATAAATCTTATTATCTAAGTAATGTTCCTAAAATATTATTATTATTAAATAATTACTTCTATTATCTTCAACTATATTCTTTTTAAATTAAGCTTCCTTTCTTGCCTCCTCTAATCCTAAATGTAATTAATCAGCCTCTTCCTTTCTTTTTTTTAACATATCAATTAAATGTGCTTACTCTTATTTTGCTTAATTTAATTCACCTTTCAAATTATTAATTATAACATTTAATTATGTATTTTAAATATTATTTTTAAGTACATCTTCTTAAATATTATAATTGATGCTTCTAGTTTTTTCTAATTCCCCTTTTAATGTTTCTATGATTTCTGTTTTTTATTAAAGATCTTATATCAATTATTATTCTCTTTCTTCAAAATCAAAATAAGAATTTGTATTCCTTTAATCCATCATTTTTAATTATTATTCCATATTCATTTTTAAATCATTAATTTCATTTTCCTTATTTTCTATTGTTTCTTCTAACTAAGATTTTAAACTCTTTAATTTTCTTTCTAATTCATTAATATTTTCTAATTATATCTTTTTTTAAACTTCATATTGATCTTTTAAAGCACTCATCTCTTCCACTAATTCTTTATTTTATTTTTCCTTTTCTTTATTTTTTGTTACTTATAATACTAAAGCTTAATTTAAATCATTTATTTAATTTTTAGCATCTTATTTTGTCTATTTTAATTGACATTATAATTAATCCAAATCTTATTTTTATTAAGATTCAATTTCTTTTAAATTATCTAATTATATTAACATTTATTAAGTTGATAATTGATATTATTATAATTATTGACTCATCTATTCAATTTACTTACATTAATATTATAATTTATCATTAATCTTTAAATTTTCATTTTATAATTAATTATATTCTTATTTTTATTATTCTAATGATTTTTCACATTATTTTAAATTTTCTTCAGTCTTAATTCTTTTTTATTCTAAAGATTTATAATCATTTAATAATTTATCATAATCTACTTTTATACTTATAATTTTATCATCAAGTCCTTTTTAAACTATTTAATAATTTTTAACTGATGATTAAAAATCTCTTTCAATATCTTTCTTTACTTTTGTCATTTAATTCAATTCTTATTCCTTTTAATTTAAATTAGATTTTATCTATTCAATTTAATTTTCCAAATTATAACAAATTTATTAAAGATGATCTTCAGATTCTGTACGTTCTCTTAATATTTATCTAATTTTCTCTTCTAATTAATCAATCACATTATTTTTTTAATCTAATTATCTTGAATCAACTTAATTATGAGCTATCTCAGCTTTTAAATTATCATTTTCTATTTATAATTAAAATATCTTCAATTCAAATTATTCCATTTATTTATTCTATTATTAATGTGGAGTTCCAGATGGTGATCTTAAAATAGAAGGAGATTTATTCATATCTCTTGTATTTCTCTCTTAAATTACTTATTTATATTTTGATTCTAATTAACTATAATCTTTTAATAAATTTTAATATTTTATTTAAAATTCCTTTGATTATTCATCTTACTGAAATAATTATCTACAAACAACTGAATCACTTATATTTTTTTCTAATTTTTATAATTGATTCCTCAACTCTACATTTTCTTTTTAATTAAGTTGTAAACATCCAAGAACTCTATTCAATTCACATTAATTCTATTATAATTTTTAATTTTCTTCTTTTAATCTCTTTCTTTCATCTTAAACCTATTATTCTTAATCTATTAATTGTTTATTTAACTAAAATATTATAATATTAAATTATACTTTCTAATTCTCTTAAACAAGTGAAGCCATTTTTGTCTATAATTAATCTAAAATAGCTTTTAACTTATTATAATCATCAGTTAAAGATTATATTTTTTATTCATTTATATTTGTATTTGAATTTTAATAATTAATCTAAGGTAATTATTAATTTGTATAATCTGAAACAATTGTATCTTCTAATTTTCTAAAATTTGAGAGTACTTCTATCATCTTATCATTTAAAATATCAGTTAAATTACTTGTTCCTAATTATTTTTATATAGAATTTATTAAATCTCTTAAAGAACTAGAAATTTTATTGATATCGTTTTATAATTTAGACTTTAATGAAGTTGTTTAAGTTAATTTTTATGGTAAATTTATATTATTTGTATTCTAATGTGCTAATTCCTAAATGGGAGATATACTTAGAAATTCAAGTCCAACTTTAATATTTTCTTTTGATTCTAAAAATGGATTATTTAGAGTTCTTCTATCTGTATTTGAATATGATTCTTTATTTTCTTTATTTATATCAAATTGAAATGTCTTTGCAAAATCTTATTGATTGATTTATGGAGGTAATTGTTTAGTGGTTTCAAATGGTTTATATTCTGCACCTGTAGATTTATAATCAAGTGTCTTCTATTTGTAATGATAGGAATCAATTAATTTTTTTGGTGATTAAGGTTGGACATTTAAGTTAGCTAGAATTATTATAGATATATACGTGAGGAAATGAATTATTTATTTGCATCATAGGTAGGAGATTATATATATGGAGAACCCACATAAGTTTATACTCTTGTTTATGTTTATGTTTAAGTTTTAAGACCATACACCAATTATCTATCAGGAGAATGAATAGAGATTGGTGTAAGCTCTTTAGATAATGAGCAAGGACGAGCAACTGTAATTATGGTCTATTGTTTTGGAATAGTTTTCATTTGTAATGTTTTTCTGTTAATTATTTTTAAATTCAAACATTATACTCATAGAATAAATTAAATATTTATATGTATACTTTATTTATGTATTCATTATAGATATCTATAATAATAATAATGATATTATATAAGTATATCTAAATTTTAAGATTTGACACTTATTAAAAAGTATTTTAGAATATTATTAAAGAGTTTTAAATTATTGAGTAATAAAACTCAGATATATATTTATATATATATATATTTAATATAGATATAAAAAAAATCAATTAGAAACAGTAAAGTTCTAATTACATATTTTTAATTTTATTTAAATTATAATTAGATGAAGAAAGCAGTTTAGAAAGTCTAACTACTTAAGAACATGACTAAAATATTTGCAGAAGGCAATTATTAGGTCACTGTTAAAAACATTTTAAATGCATTATCTAATTAATGTGAATCAGATATGTAATATCTAGAAAAATAGATGCTAAAAATATTTCCAATTTGTTCTAAAATTTAAAGATACTTAAGAAGCACAGATAAATTTAGAATGTTCATCAAATAGTTTTAAGTTGAACTTCATTCTGAAAAGGATGTAATTTTCAAAATGGGGGAAGTTGGAAGGAAAATGTATTTTATATTGGATGGCAATCTGAATATATTTCCTTATGAAATTAATGAAATTAGTATGACAATTTTATATTATTGAGAATAAGTAACCTGCAGCTGTATTAGTTCCTGGAGATTATTTTGGAGAAGTTAGTTTACATCATAGACTTCCTAGAACAGCTACAGTTATATGTGCATGTAATTCTGTGCTTCTAGTTATCAGTTATGAAGCTTATTACAATTTCTTGTAACCTGTTATTGATCATCTAATTGCAGTTCAATATTATTAATTAAAGCCAACAGCACTTTTCTATGGTTGGAATGAATTAGCATTAGCTTTAATTATACATCATTTGAAATTAATTACAATTCTAAGAAATCAATATGTGTATAAAGAAGGATAAAATGATAAATCATTCTATGTAGTTAAGAGTGGGGAAATATTAATATAATAAAAGATAAAAGTAAAAGGGAAATTTTAAGATCATGGTCTAGTGAGTTTAGGGATTGGACAATGTTTTGGTGATTATGAATTTATAGATAATCAATCATGGTACTTAAATAGGAATCAGTTAGATAATATTAGTAGAAGTACTGATGCTGTATCTACTACAGTAAGTGAAGTTTATAGAGTTCCATTATTTTAATATTTATAAATTGCAGAAAATTATCATTCGGTTTTATTGAAAAAATATTTAAGATAAAATAAACTCATATTAAAAGAAAGAATTGAAAAATTGTAAGAATAAGTAAGAAAAATTGAAAATTCAGAAGAATATGACAATCCAGAAACTGTTTTTGTTCCAGAAATTAAACCAAAATCTTATAATCCATATTAAAATTTATTGAAAACTATTAGAAATAGAAAAATAATACCTTAATAATAATAAGTAAGAGAAGAAATAGAATCAGATACTAATATTGAATAATTGAAACAAAAAATATAAAATTATTTTTATTAACCAGCCAATCTTTAAACATAATTGAAAAAGAATGAATAAACTTAAAGTTAGTCTTAAAGAAATTAACATAGAGTTCATTTAAAATAAAGAGAAAATAAGGATGAAAAAGATAATTATTTAAAGAAATTAAAATAAATGAGAAATAAATTATTAGCTTAAACATCATATAATAATTCTTAGATTGATACACAAAGACCATAAATTTTAAATTAAGATTCTCAACACAATTTATTTTAATAATAATACTAATCATTAAATATTCATTCCTATAAAAATTCAAGAACTGTTACACCTAGTAGATCTTATGCTATTAAAACTCCAAATTAAAATTATTCAGAAAAAAAAGATGAATTTCATAATGTTCAAATCATTAAATCTCAATCATAAAGTTCATTTTAATTACATAGATAAGATAATTATCCTGTTAAAAAAATTATTATGGAAGCTCGAAGTTAAAAAAAGTCATCTTTAGGTTGTTTAATAACCTAATTATGATTATAAGTATATTGTAATTATATAAAGAATTCTAAATTTTATATTCACATTAATATTTTAATATTAATAGAACAATTCTGTATATTATATTCCAAAATGGATAATAAAAATTAAAAGTCATTTTATTAATATTTATTCCATTTTAATAAAATAATGTGTTGCTCATCAAAAAAACCTAAAAGTGAGATTGATAAAAGTTAAATATCTAAACCTCCTCCAAGTGTTATTAATAATCAAAGTTAAGTTCAAAATTAATAAGAATCTTAATTAGTTTAAAATCAAAATAAACCAATGGAAGTCAAAGAAGTCAATCTTATGGTTAGTCAAATTGAAAGTCCAAGATCTAGATAATAAAAACTATTTGAAAGTAAAGTTGAAGGATTTAAAGAAAAATATGCTAAACTTCAATAAGATTCTACAGAAGTTCAATTTAATCAAAAACCTGTTGACCAATTGAAAGCTAAATTATTAAAGGAACAATTAATAGATCTTTAATTTCCAAATAATGAGATTAAAGGACCAATGTTTTTAGATGATAATATATCAAGTTATAAGGAAAGAGGTGCTGAATTTGCAAATACGTTAAGAGAATTTGATGGAGAGATAAGAAATATGAGAATTGTACATTAAACACCATATAACTCATATAGTTTTATTGGACATATAAAAGATAAAGGATTATATTTTATTAAGTGCTGGAATTAAGTGAATTTGACAAAATTTCAAACTTTTCTCATAAATCTAGGTAAATAATAGCAGAAAGGTGAACAATATAAGAAATATCATGCATTTAAAGTAGATCCACTAAAAGATACTGATTAAAATAGTCCTATTGGATAGATGTATCTTATTTCAACTCTAGAAGATCATAATCTTTATTCATTTGCGTAATTTATTTATATTATTATATTAATTTAGAGCTTCAACTTAATTTAATATTGATTAGAAATTGTAAGTGGCTCATTAAATATTAACATATATAGATTAAACAGATTTAAAATCATCAGGTTATGGTAATTCATAATTTTAAAAGAAAATTAAATTCATATCTCCATCAAATATTTTAATATCAACTTAAAGAAATAGAATAGATGTTAAGATTTCAGATTGGTAATAACATTTAAAAGATTTTAATGATATGATTCCTGATATAGAATTAAAAAATAATAATTATACTTCTTGTAGTGATGAACCAGATGATTAAAGAACATATTTAATAAAATTATTACTCTTATTATTTTTTAGATTAAATTTTAAGTAAGAATATAATAATAATATTTTTAGTTAAATTGAATCATTTGGTAATCTTGATGGTACTGATTAATTATCTAGATTTATTGATATAAAATAAATTAATGCAGATTCAAACTTTTATAAATCATCAAATTTTAGTAGATATATTTAGAGTAAAATTAATTTGATAGCATAACCAAATTAAGAGAAATATTAAAAAATATGGGAAGAAATGAAAGATAAATAAATATAAGAATTATCATTTTATAGATTAGAAAAAAGAGAGAATTGATAAAATATAATAATAATAATAATAAAAGCAATATTAATTATCATATACTCAAAGAATAAAAAATAAACAATCAAATTCATTTTTTTTCTTATTGTTTCATATAATTATCTAAATTATTTTGAAGAGAGTTTTTAAAACTGACATTTTTTTAATCCTTTATTAAATATTTTAATATGAATTCCACTGATTCATAATTTTTTGTCTTATCTAAATGTTTTGTTAAGGCTTTAAAAATAAATATTTTTAATGTATTTGGTGTCATTAAAAATATTTCTGCAATCCCTTCACAATATTTATTTGAGTTAACAAAACAATTCACATAAAATTGTATTAAATTATCCTATAAAATTCTATAATATTTATATTACTTCAGATATTCTCTTAAATTATAATAATAATTAAAACACTTAAGTATATACTGTCCAAAAAGTTTTACTTGGATTTTCTAAATTAACAAATATTTGATCTATCAATATATTCAAATCCTTTTAATTTTCATTAAGTCTACATATCATATTTATCTATACTTAATTATCTTTTGAATTAAATCCACAACTAAACCAACAAGTTAAAGATTTTCAATTTAAGGTATTTTCTTTAGGAAATATAAAATTGAACAATAATTAGAACTGAACAAATTTTAAATTTTATTTTATGCTTTTTATATTGTTTAGATATTTGTAATGATTAAAAGATTGAAAACAAATTCAATATTTGAATTCAATTAACAATTTGATAATATTTCTTCAAATATTATTTAACTCCTTTAAGCTGAAATTAAACTTTAAACAATTTTAAATGATTTTATTATTTAATCTGTTGATTGTATAAGCAATTTTTCTAAATGACTTGATTTTGTTTTACGTTCAAAATAAATCAAAAATAAATAATGAATACTAAATTATTCAGAAGATATCAAACTTTTTATTAAATCATATAATAAACTTTCTTAATTAAAATTTATCTATAATAATGTTGTTAAACAATTAAAAGGATATTCTATATAATAATAATATATTCAATACCATAATCAAGATCATAAAATTAATCTTCATATAATCTAATAATAATTTTAGTCAATTCTTAAAGAAATACATGTTTAACATCTGGTTAAATAGATTTATTAAAGAAATTATATAATCTAATTAAATTGATTTCTTATTATGGATTTTAAAATATTGCATCAAGTTTTTCTTTTTCTAATATTTTTTATAATGTAATATCTATTTATATTGTATTTACAACATCAGCTTCTTCCAACATAATATCATTTTATTAGATTGATATAGAATTTCCTTAAAATTCATCTAAAATTGAATCATCAATATTTGTTGTATTACCATTCAAATACTATACTTAAGGTGTGTCCAAATCATCAACTGTATATAATGCTGTATGAGGTTAATCATAACTTAATCCACCAGGACCTTAATATTAATTACATATCAATTTTAGAAAATACTCATGTATTTTGCACTTTATTGCTTCCCTTATATTTTGATCTTCCAATAACTTTTAAAAAATATTATGAGAACTAAGTTATAACAATTAAGGTTAGACCTTCTTTTTTAATTATTCATTAACTTCAAATGTTTAAAAAATAAACCATAATGCACCTTATAATTCATTATATAATTATTTATGGTATAGTTTTCTTAAAAAATACAATCCTGCTTAGATATTATGATCATCTTTAAAATCTCTTAAAATATAATTTATGCATTTACTTTGTCATAAAGAATATATCAGAATATATGAATCTTAAGAATATTGGCCATTTTTCACCTTACAAATCCGCAATCTCATATATTAATAACAAGGCATCAGCTATTTTGTTTTGGATTATTTCTGTCTCATCAAAATGGTAACCACAAATTATATTTCTTACTATTGCACCTATAAAATTGATATGATATCCATATTTCTCAAATATCATAGTAAAAAATGTTGACATACTCTCTAATGGCATTTATGAAAATATTGCAAATCCTATTCTTTATTCTACTTCATAAGGTAAAGCCAATTAATAATTTGCTTTATAAGCAGCAGTTGTTGTAGTCTAATTAGCAATCAAATGGGATATGGGTAGATTTTATTTAATTACATTTAAATTCATCATAGAAATGTGAAATTCTGAATATTAAAATGGAATTTAAAGATTAATTAATAATTCTCTACCAAATGATAAAATTGTCTATTAATAGAGTTACCATATTTCAATCATTATATCATTTATCTTTTTATGTGGAAATTATTATATTTTGTAATAATCATCTATATTTAAAATTAATAGATATTTATAAAATAATAATGCCGCTAAGTTTGGTTTGACTATTATTTATTTATGTTAATCAAATAAAAAGTTTAGAAATTCCAATAGAAAAGTATAATTTTAATTATGAGGATATATAATACATGTTCTTAAGAAACTTTTAAAACATTCTTCTAATTAATCAAGTGGATTTTCTAAGAATAACTTCATTATTTCAAATATTTATATCTTTATATGATCTTTCAATAAATGATATTATGTATTTATGAAGTGACTAAATTCTGAATAAAATGCTATAATATTATGAAACCCATTTATATTCATTAAATCAAACAGCTAAATTAATTTATTTATTATACACTTCTTTAATATTGAGGAGCAAGAAACATGACATATATTATGGCTTTATGTTGATCACTAAACTAAGATAAATTTTTTTATAAATCCTGCTAATTTTGATTTTATCTACATAATTCATATAATTAATGTTAGGTTAAAATGTATGCCTACTTTGTTTTATACAAATACTTATTATTCATATGAGGGATATGTTAAAACATTGTAATTATATATATTTTCTGATCCTTTAAACCATTACTTAATAATCTCTTATGATTGTTCCATTGTTAAATTCATAATAATTTATGAGATATTTATAATATAAATAACTTCAAATTCAAAAAATAAATTTAAGTTTTATTAGATAATGAATCTACACTTAAGCAACATCATAAACCACATATTCATTATATATTAGACTTGATTCAATATTATGAATCTTTAATTCTTCATTTGGAATAACTTTTCCAGACTCAAAATCTAGATTACTATTTATTAATTATATATATATATATACTTAATCTTTTCTCTTGTTTTAGGATCTGCATGATTTCTACCTACTGCATGTATACTATGATAATTTTGAGGTGGTCTAACATGATCTTTAGCTTTATATATTTAATAAGTGTTGCCTAAAGCAACTTCACATAATAATACATATCCATAAGGATTTTCAATATTGGCAGCACAATAACCAGCTGATTTAGAACAAATATCAGCAAAATAAACACCTTTTCCAAACATATAACCAGTACTTGGAGCTTCTGGAGGTGCTATTTTTAATCCTTCTGATAATATTCCTACAAAATTTGTTATTCTAGATCCATGCCACAATAATTTTCTATTTTCTAATGATTTGAATGGAAAGAATCTAATTTTTTCATTTTTTCTTTCAATTTCATATACTTTAGATATTTATAATTTAAATTTTTCATGTGTTGGACCATGTGATATATTAATTGAATGTTCAATTTTAGAAATAATATCTTAATCTTAACATTCTTTAATATTAGTTTTCAATAATTTATAAAATTAATCTAATGGATTAATATCACTATTTTCAGTCAAAGTACTATTAATATATCTATTAGCTAATTCTAATTCTTATAGCATAGTTAATAATTGATTTTTTTAACCTAATATTTCATAATTATCAATCTTAGGTGGTAATTTCATACCATAATTTTAAGGAATATTTGTATAAAATTCATTTGAAAGATCAACTAATAAACTATATTTACAATCTCTTAAAGCTTATTAAATTTCATTAAGTATTTTAAATCCTTTTTTAATAGCATCTACAGATAAACGACCTAATGGATTTTTATCTGTATCAAAATTTAATTCTTTTAGTGTTTTATTCATTCTTTGAATATCCCAAATTTCACTCATTAAATCAAATATTGCAGGTTCAAGAGAAGATTATAAATTCTTAATTCTTGCTGCAATTCTTCCATTTCTTTAATTTAATTTTTCTATCTCACTATTTACAGAACCTCCTCCATTTCCTATAACATCAACAATACAATATTTTCCAGGTTACTATTTAAATTCATTTCTCTCTCTCCAATCCCAATGAGTTTTATCTCTAAATTTCTTTTCAAATCCTTTTATTGCAGTCAATAAATCACTCTCTTTTATTTCTTATTAAGGATTCTATGCACCAGTCTAAATTATATTATTATTATAATATTTACTCTTCCCCATTTAGTAAATAGAAAATAGTCACCATCTTTTTTTAATACTTAAATTTAATAAAATTTATTATGACCTTTAACTCCATAAGAAATATCAGTCAAATTAAGCATTACTGTATAATCTTTATGAACCTAATATCCTGGTAATACAGATCGATTATCAGATTTTATTTTTGCCATTTATTTGATCTCTTCAACTTCTTCTTCTATATCACTATCACCTTTATAAAGTTTTCTTTCTTAAAATAATTTTCTTCTAATAGGTGGTGATTATTCTTCAATTAACATTTCTTATTATTCTTATACTTTTTTATTTGGTGTTCTATTATGTAATATCTATTAAAGAAAAGATTAATCTTTATTTTCACCTTCAGGTATAATATCAATTTCTGGAAGACTAGATTAGAATGTCATTTTAAATGGCGGGAATAAATATAAAAATAATTAATATGAATTATTTTCCTGTAAACAATTTAAAATAAATTAGATAAGTGTTTTACTTGGAGGAAATAGAAAAGCTATATTGTAGAGATTTAAAGGAAATGGAGTTGTAAGTGTCTTAGATTTTTTGAAGTAAAAAAGATAGAAATTTTATGAAAAATTAATATCTTAGAAAATGTTACCAAATGATGTTGATACATTATTTAATGAAATTGATTAAGAAATAGCAACACTAAGAGAAATGGAATAAGATATTTTAAATTAATTACATTAAAATTAATAGCTTAAAATATACTAATATTTATGTTTAGGAGAATATGAATGTCTTCCTCTTAATAAAATTTCCCTTATTTTAGGAGATATTGGAAGTGGTAAAACTTCAATGATGTTTTCAGCTATTTAAAATTATTTAATTAATTAAAATAGGGATTCAAATATATTATATTATGATTGTTCATGTACTTTATCAGCTTAAAGAATATATAAAATGATTAAAAGTAATAATTCTGAAGCAATAACAATTGATATATTAAATAAAATTTAATATCATGCTGTTTATTATTTAAAAGACTTTGAATAATTAATAAAAAATATACCTGATAATACTATTGTATTTATAGATGGATTAATGACCTTATATTATGAAAGTGAAATAGAAATCTATAATTTTTATCATATTATTAATGAATTGATGAGATATTTACATGAATTAACTGAATCATAACATAATACTTTTGTAATATCAATTAGATCAGTTTAAGATTAATTATAGTATATATAAGCAACTAAATACGATTAATATATTAATACATTTGCAAGTACTATTATTCATTTGATTTCTACAAAATAATCTAAAATTATGAAAATTCATAAATCACTTAATGATAGATTACCATTTGATAAATCAATTCTTTATTAAATAAATGAGAATGGGATTTAATGGTCAATTAATAAATGATATTATAATATATATATATATTAAAACTTAATAGTAGATAGGAAATCTATGATTTTGAATAATAATAATAATAAAATATATAATAATATATATTAGTAATTTTGAAATAAATATTATAAAATATTAATTAATGTTAAGTAGCAGAAGATCATAATAACCTGAATTTAACCAAATATTTAAATCTTAAGAGTGTAATTTTTCAGCTAATAAGATGATAATATAAGAAATGTATTAATGTGGATAATGTTTTGATTATCCTCATGGTATTTGTAAATACTGTTATGAACATTGTCATAAAAAAACTAGAAATGTATATCATCAATAAGCAAAATTAATAAAAATAAGAGGAAATTTTAAATGTGAATGTGGATTGTTTAAGCATAAACAAAAATAACTTAATATTTAATCTTGTCCATTGAATTCTTCAACATTTTGTCCTATTTAAAATTGTGCTATATGTTAAACAAATTTATGTTCATTCTGTATTAAAAATTGTAAACATCATCATTAATATATCCCTGGTGAAGGATGTAAATGTAATTAATTACATTCCAAATATTAACTCAGATTACATTATATTGAATAATTAAAGAAGTATAATATTACAAAGACTCTTTAATATAAACCTGAAGATGAATTAATTATGATAAAAATTACTAATGCATTACTTAATAATTTTGATATTTTTGAAATCTTATTTGGAGAATTAAAAAATACATTTGAAAATATATTTAATGAATTAGAAACAGGAGATTTTAATCAAACATGTATTTGGTCATAAAAATAGTAATTAATTATTTATTATTTTCATTAGAATAGATATATAATAAGATGAATAAAATTTAAATGAAAAAATATTAGAACTATTTACAGAAAAAAGATTCCCATATACTGAAGTAGCTTCTATACTTGTGTTTATAGAATAATTACTTATAAAATTAAAGTATAATCTAATATATCTTGATGATAAGATATGGTAATGCATGACGTCAAGTTAGATTAAATTCTTAGTGAGTAATCAATCTTAAACTATGTTTAGGTTAATATCATATATTATCATAAAATTTATAAGAATCAGCTAAAGAGAAATTATCTCAGTTGGTTTTGAAGATTTTAAAAATTTAATCTTTATAACTTAAATATCAATTTTCTAAATTTAGAAAAATAGACACATTAGATATTGAGAATAGTACTCCTATATAGAGAAATTAAATAAGAAAGTATAATTAATGTTTGGATAATGGAATTTTATAGGTAGAATTAACTGAATTGATTAAGAGATACTATAGAATTTTATTTGATATTGAAATTACAAATCCAATTTTATCAAAATTATTAATAGTGTTATTAAAATGTGTTAAGATGGGATTGTAAACTGGATTATTAATTAAGACTTAAGTGATATTTAAAGTAATTTTGAATTTGGAGAAATTATGCAAAGATATTGATTATTATAATTAATAGAAAAGTTTTGGATAAATTTAAAGATTTTTTACAGAATAGATGTTCAATCTATTAAGTAAGATATTAATATTGACATATTTTTAAATGAAGGATGATATATTTTATGAAATTCTGAATGAATAAATAAGTAGGAATGAAAAAAGATAGATTTCATTAATTGATAAATATACAGCATCATTTTATTTTGAAAAAAAGAAAAAGAATTTATAAATAGATTTATTTTATAATGGAGAATCAGAGAAGCTTTAAATAATTTGGAGAGTATTTATAAATATAGTAATAAATTATAATTTGAATGGATAATATTATAATTAGATGATGAATCCATAAACAAAATTAAATCATATAATATAAATAATGTTAAGAGAAAATTTATTTGTAGATACAACTTTAAGAACTTAAATTAAATAATTATAAATTGAAGATTTATTATTATGGAAATATGAAAAGTTGACCATATTAAATTAAGATGTATTTATTATTATTAATATAAATAGTTTATAATTCAATTAGATAATTTTAAATCTGAATGGAATAAATACTTTATAAATTCTGTTTAAAACTCATTTGAGTTTGATGAAACTGAATTAGAAAGATTATAAAATTTATGTAAAGATCTTTTAAATACAAAATATTTTAAAGAATTAGAAAAATTTGAATCTAATCAAGAGTAAATGTGTGAAAATTAAAAAAAAACGTATAAATATTATTTTTATTTTATTAGTTAATCAGCAAAAAATTTATAAGATGAATTAAAACAACATTTGAAATAGGATATGAAAATAATAAAATAAACTTAATAAATATTATATGAAAAAAGCATAGATTAAATTATTATTAGATATTGTTAATTTCTAATTTAAAATTAATTTGTTAAATTAACTTAATTAGAAATTATTTTAAATATTACAAATTTGATGTTTGAAATTCTAAAAAGAATGATTAATTATAATTAATAATTGATTAATTAGATTTATACAGTTGAAAATTATTCATTATTTTAAAGAATTGCAGAAAAATAACTACCTTATTATGGTTAATGTACATTAAGAAATATCATAATAAAATTTCATTTTGATGTTATATTAAAAAGTGGATTTATTATTGTCTATTAATATTGCTTCTTAAATCCATAATTTCTATTATAACATTTAATTAATTTAAATGAAATGTTAGATAGTTAATATGATGATTGTGCAGAATTAACTTAAAAACATGCATCTAATATATTATATAATAAACACTAAATATTTGAATTACTCATTGCAATTTTAGAATTGATCATAATATCAAATGAAATGAATCATGATTATTTACAATTCCATTAAATTTGTGAAAATCTATACAATAAAATATTACCTCAAGTACTTAATCATTCTACTGATATATTCACAAAAGGAAATTAATATACACCAGATTCTTCATCATATGATATCTTTATGGATTAAAATTATAGTAGATATTCATTTATGTCATTTAATAATTCTTTAGAATATATTTAAAAGGGAATTTCTAATAATTAAAATAGTCCTAAGAATTAATTATCATAAATGTCATTTTATTCTATCAATTCTTTAAATTAGTCATAAATTATACAATAATCTTTTACAATGAAATAATTAAATGAAATATTCTAAAAATAAAAGGATATAAGCAATTAAGAAGAATTAGCAATAGCAACAATATTATTAACACATACATTTATTCGTTTTATGAATCTGATTATTGATTATTTTAACAGAAACTAATTATTAGAAACTTAAGATTTAAAAGAATAAGCATTAATAATAGAAAAAATTGAATTGATCCATTAATATTTTGGTTAATAATTGGAATAATGTTAATTATTCTAAGGACCTTTAGGAGGATTTGAAGAATTGGTATAAGTGATGGAGAAATTCTCAAATCTTGTAAGCTATTCTTTATCCAATAAACTTGAAAAAACAAAACCACCAGAAATATTTTAGATTAAAGAGAATAATTTAAGTGTTGCAATTTCATAAAAAGCAATAGATGATATTGTTAGATTTAAAGATAAAAACATTTTCTAATCTTTAAATAAAGTGTTATTAAAATTTAAATTAAAAAGAATTGAATTAGAAAATGATATTTTAGAATAAAATGCAATAGTATAATTGATTAAAAAAGAATATCATAATAGAAGTAAAGAATAATATAGTCTAATATTTATAAATGTATTAATTGAATTATTATAATAATAAACATGCTTTTAAAGAAATCGTAATTTAGTATATCCAAATACAATTTTTATGTCTCATATTAATTATATAATATAATTATAGAGATTATTATAAGCTGAAACTAAACCAGTATAATAAATAATTAACACAAATATAGAAAAATAAAATCAGAAATATCCTAATTTTTAAAAGAATTTTGATAATTTCTTAGAATATTTATCAACTAAAATTATTCCATTTTTATTTAAAAAAGTAATTGTATATCAAGATTAACATTATTTATCAATAGTTATTAATAGTGGTAAATATTCAATTATTGTACTTGAATTCATAAGATATTTAGCAGAAGGATAGAATTCAGAAATGTAGAAATATGTTGGAGAATCAGGATTATTATTATGTATACTTCAATTATTGGTTGATTTATTTAAATCTAAATAAATTCTAGAAATTGTTAGAGAAACTAGTAATCAAAATAAAATTAAATCGTAAACTAAAGCTAGTTTTTAAAAAGCAGTTCATAATGTAAGATCTATGTAATTAAAAAAAAAAAATAGTAGTACTACAGATTATTTATTAAAATTTCTTTAAAAAAGAAAAAATATTTAGAAATAAACAAGTACATAAAATGAATTTATGTAATTTGGTATTCATAGTACTTAAGGAGATTAATATGGAATTGATGTTTCTTAAGCTTTTCTTAAACTCTTTGCTCATACAATTATTACAATTGCTGAATTTAATTAAGGTTCTTAATAAAATAATTAAAAATTAACATTTAATGAATTAAGTAAAAATAGAGTTTGGTAAGTCATTATTTAAATATTAATTGTAAGAACAAATGAAAATTAATAAAATAGTGTATATACACTAAGACTCTATATATTTTAATTGATTTTATCATTACTTGAAGATCCTGAAAGAAATTCAGATGACTTTTAATATATAATGAATCTTATCAATCATAAATTATTAGAAGAAACTCTTACATAAACTTATAGAGCATTGATAATATTTAATAAATTAGATCTTAAAGATTTATCTACTATTGATAGTTAATTAACTGAAAAATATAGAAGAGAATTAGGAGATAATATAAATGAATCATTGATATTTGATTCAAAAATGCTTATAAAAATACTTTATTAAATCTATAAAATGTTGAATTTATATGCTACTAATAGTCTTGAAATATCTTAATATTTAAAAGATTAAAAATAGCAATGTTAATAAAGTTAACCATAATTATTCAAAAGAGAAGGAGATCATCTAGTAAAATCAGCATTTTAATTTATATTTAATATTGTTGGTTCTATAGAATATGTTAATTAAAAGGAATAAATAGAGATTTTCCATTTTCTTAAACCTCCTATGTGTTTTTTCTTATCAGAAGAAACTAAATTATAATTTTTAATAGAAACAATAGATAGATCAAATTCTGCATCTAAATTAGCCTCTATATTTGATTCCATTCCTTAATTCATGACAGAAATGAAAGAAAATATGTCAAAATATAGAAAATCTTTATTCTTTTAAAGATTAATAAATGTAGCCATTTCACCTAAGTAACTATCTCATTATTTACTATTAGTTTTAATCATACTTAATTGGCTACATCAATTACAGCATTAAATATTATAGTAATATTGTTAATATCTAATACAGCTTTTGTGAAAATAGAAAATGATGAAAATGGCATTACAATGAAGTATTAAGAACCTCATTCTTTAGCATTAACACTTTGTTAAATATTATTAATATTTACATCACTTTTAGCTTTAATTTGTCAATTATTTTTTAGAATGAGTATCTATTATTAAATTAGTTGTAAAGAGGTTAAACATACTTTCTACAATACCTTTGTTATTATGTTCAAAATATTATAAAGGAGAGATATATTTTAGTTTTTCTTACATTTTGTACTTAGCATTTTAGGAACATTTGAACCTTTCTGTTTTTACTTATAAAGCTTTTGTTTTATTTATATCTCTTAAACAATGTCATCAGTATTAGAAGCATTGCGATTGAGATGGTAGTAATTCTTAGGGATTTTCAGTGTTTTATTGATTATTTTGAATGCTTATAGTTATATAGGATTTAGAAGATTTACAACTAGTTTTTAATTAGATGTAATAGTACATCCAGAAAATGATATACATGAAGAGGAATTACTTTGTGATACTCCTGCTCATTGTTTTATAAGTTTAGTGTATTTTGGTTTAAGAGAAGGTTCAGGATTAGCAGCACATGGAGATATTGAAAGTTATCATAAATCATCTGATTATTATCCAAGATTTCTATTTGATTTTAGCTTTTTTATAATTGTAACACTTATTATGATTAATATCATTAATGGTATCATAATAGATACATTTGCAGAACTTAGAGACAAATAATAATAAAATGAGTATGATAGAAATAATGTTTGTGTTATATGTTCTTTAGAAAGGTATCAAATTTTTAATATATATATAATAGATGGGAATTTGAGAAATAAGGATTATAATTTCAAGAACATGTAGATGAAGTACATAGTCTTTCAAATTATATTGCTTTTATTGTACATCTATTATAAGTAGGAAAATAAAATATGAATGGTATTGAAACTCATATTTATACAAAAATAATAACTAGGGATATGAGTTGGACACCATTAAAAAAAACATAATAATTACTAGATAAGTTATGAATATAAGATTATTATTGTTATTAAATCAAAATTATAATCTATTATTTGTTAAAATTATAATCTCTTTTTATTTATATATATATATATTATACTAATGTGAGATTTAATTTAATTAATATATTTGCTAAAGTTTAAATGTCAGAAGTTATAGTTATGATAAGATCAGAAATTGGAATGAATAGAGTTTCTATTCTATCTAATCAAACATTTTCAGATTTTGTAAACAAAGTTGGTTAAATTTTGAATAAACCTCCTGAATCTTTATAATTAAATTTAGAAGGTGTATAGATTTCTTCAAAAGTACCTCCAACTATGGCAATCAAAAACATTCCTAAATTTGAGTAATATATTAATACATATTATTAGAAATGGAGCCTTTATTAATGTTTTAATTGACACTAAAAAAGCTCAATAAAAACCATAATAAATTTAAACTCCTGAGCAACCAAAAGTTTATACGGCATTTGGAAAATTAGCAAATGCTTAATAGATTTAATAAGTTGACCATAAAATACATGAAAATAAAGATCAGTATTTTATTTATATTATAATCATAGTGCTTTAAGTTAATTTTGCTAACATGGTCCATAAGCTAAATGCATTAATTGTTTATCTTAAACATCAAACAAAATTGATAAATAGGAAAAAACAGAAATTAATAAATGTAAGCATGGAGAAGGTGGTCGTTGTTTGAATTGTGCACCTTATGAATAAGAGAAGAAGAATACTAAAGTAGCCAATAAAATCTTATGTCAACATGGTCCTAATGGAAAATGTCCACATTGTATTGATGAAGGTCAAATAGAGGCTAAACATGTTTCATTTGATCAATATTTGCATGATATGAAATTCAAATGTCGTGGATAACATCCAGAAAATGGAAGATGTAATAATTGTTTACCCCCAACTATGGTAATTATTTTTGAATTTATTTATTTAGATATCTTATAAATTAAAGAAAGATTGTAAAAATCATGCTCCATATCCTAAAGCTATGTGTAATAATTGTCTTCCACCATCTATTTTATTAAAAAGATAAGTTTATAGACATGTTGATTATGTTGAATTCTTAAACATTCCAGAAATGTCTAATTTAGTTTAATATTGGACAAGTAAAGGAAAAACAGAATAAAGAATGGGATTTTTATATGGATATTATGCTGCAGATCCTAATTATTAAAATGGTGTTAGAGCAATAGTAGAAGCTATATATGAACCTCCTTAAAAAGGTTCATTTGGTCATGTTGAATTATTGAAAGATCCAGCTTAAAGTCATGCTGATGAAATAGCAAATAGTTTAGAAATGGAAAAAATAGGATGGATATTTACAAATGTTAATCATGATTGTTTTTTATCAAGTGAAGAATTGAGATAAGCAGCAAAATACTAATAACTTCATTCTATTAAACATCCAGAAGGTTGTTTAGTAAGTAAGTTCTTAACTGTTGTTTTGAGAAGTAAAAAATATAAAATATATCATTAAATTAGCTAAAAAAGATAATCCTGATGAAGTAGTTCCAGAAGTTTATATGGTTTCTGATTAGGGATAGTAATTGGAATATGATGGAATATTTTAGAATTCAGGAAGAAGAAAGGTATTATAAGTTAGAGAACCTAAAGATGAATTAGATGTGTTACCATCATTTGTATATAATGGAAAATCAGTAAAAGAATTTGAACCAGACTTTTTTATAGTGAATGTAATATTAAATATTTTAATATTTATAGGTTGCTCATGGTTACAATCCAAATTCAAATTATAATACATTCAAGTTATATGATTTCCCTGTTGAGAATAGATCAGTAGTAGCTAAATAATAAGATCTAAAGGCATTCTTACATAAACATTAAAAGAAACCAAGTTATCATAGATTTGCAGATTTCCATTTGTTGTTATTTTTGAGCAAATTGATAGACATACATGTAAATATCTTATTGAGTTAAAATAGAGTATTGTCAATATAACCACGTTTATAGCCAGTGAATGCGAAGTACCAAATGAATTACTTGATATTGTGAAAATGTATTCAACAGGTCCTTGAGATAATATAAAAAATTAAAATATTTTTAATAAATGGCTAAGTTTACAAATAAACCTAAGGGTCGTACAAGTAAGAGATTGGCATTGAATAAGAAATATAAAATAGAGAAGAAGGTTAAATAGCATCACAAAAAGCTTAAAAAGGAAGCTAGAAAGATGAGTGCCTTAGGATAAATAAAGAAAAGTATTTTTAATATTAATATAATTATAGCTTCATCCAAAGAAATAGGAATACCTAATATGTATCCATTTAAGAAAAATGTTATTGAAACCTTAAAAAGAAAGAAGGATTAAGAAGAGTAAGAGAAAAAAATATTAAAATTATAATAAAAAGAGGAAATAGATCTTAATTTGGCAGAAGTCAAATCAAATTTATATGAGACAAAAGCTTAAGTTGTTGTTTAAGAAGAATAAGTATAATCAGAAAATTTGACTTAATTAACTAAAGAACATAAGAAATATATAACTTAAGTAAAAAAAGTAGTAGAAGTAATTAAATTATTTTAAATTAAGGCTGCTGATATAATATTAATAATCTTAGATGCTAGAGATCCTATGGCATGTAGATGTAAACATATGGAAAGAGAAATCCTTGGTATGCCAGGAGAAAAAAAGATTATTTTAGTTTTGAATAAAATAGATTTAGTTCCTCCAGGTAATGCAGATGCATGGTTGACTTAATTAAGAAGAGAATTTGCTACTGTTCTCTTTAAAGCCAATACTTAATAATAATAATCCAATTTATCTTCAGCTTCTATTTATAAGAAAACATTATCTTAAAGACAAGATTTAGCTGATGATTTGACTTCTTCTTCTAAAGCTATAGGAGCTGATAAGTTATTGGAATTAATAAAAAATTATTCAAAAAATGATGGAGTTAAAAGTAGTGTTACTGTTGGTGTTATTGGTTATCCAAATGTTGGAAAGAGTTCAGTTATTAACAGTCTTAAGAGAAGTAAGGCTTGTGCTGTTTCTTCTACTCCAGGATTCACAAAGGGATTATAAGAAGTTATTATTGACAGTTAAGTGAAGATTATTGATTGTCCAGGAGTAGTTTTTGATTCTGAAAATAAAGAAAGCACTCTATTAAGAAATATCATTAAAGTATAATCTATATATATATATATAGATTGAATAAATAGAAGATCCAAGATAACCTATTGAAGAAATCTTAAAAAAGGTTTCTAAAAATGAGTTACTCTTACTTTACAAAATTCAAACATTTAATAATGTGAATGAGTTTTTATGTTAAGTAGCTTTGGCTAGAGGAAAATTATAGAAAGGTGGAATTCCAGATTTAGAATGTGCAGCTAGAATTGTGTTATAGGATTGGAACTAAGGAAAGATTAAATATTTCACTGTTCCTCCAAATTAAATTGAATAAGAATGACTTATATATTTGTTTGTTTCATAAAAAAAATTAATAAAGCTTCATTCATATGGGATCTGTCTGTATTAATAGATCATCTAATAAGAATAATGAAAATCTATAATACCCAATTATCAATAAGCAAATACATAAGTCACCTCATAGACAATGTGCTTTAGAAAAACCATCCACTCATTCTGAATTACTTGAGGATGCTTAAGAATTAACTTAATTAGAGAGCTATTTAGAGGATTTAGATCTTAATAAAAGGTTTACTGAAGAAAAAATAACTAATGAATAAAATACAATTCAATAAGAACAATAAAGAATAAACGAAATTTAATAGGAAGTGAGTCAAAAATTAAATATGATTGTAACTTAAACTAAATTCTAAGTAGAATTATAAGAATAAACTTCAGTAAATTAAAGAATGAATTAAGGAGGATCAGATACTTAAACGATAAGGAGTATTTTAAAAGTTAATCAATCTAAGTCATAAAAATCAGTTAATAGAATCTTATAAATTAATACTCAAAAAAAAGTCTCTTTTGAAGCTAAACACAAAAACAATAAATTGTTTATGTGATAACAATGAGTAATTTTAATATATATATTAATCCGTAATACTATAAATTTTTGAATCAATCATCAGTTTAACATAACATGGCTACTCCTCTTTTAACCCAATGATATGGATGATGATCTGGTGAAATAGGTAAATATATAGAAATAACAAAGTTAGTGGAGTGACCTGTTGTAGATAGAGTACCAGCTCTTCTAGATGTCTTATACACTGGGCATTCATAAACCTAGATATAAATTCATTTTTTATACAGAAACATCAGCTTCCCAATCCTTCTTCTCTTCACTTGGTAATAGCCATAAGTATGGCACCTTATATTAAAGTATTTTTGGTAAACTTTCATTGAGACATCTATTTTCCTCATCCCATCGAGCACCATCTAAGAATAAACCATAGATGTAACAACCATCATCAGGTGGTTTTGTAAGATCATATTCTTGAGATGAAGGAGGAATCACTATAAATTCAAAGGAGAGTGTATCAATAGGTATTTAGTACTAAAATATATATTAACTAAATAAATACTTTTCGAGCAAAATTCTGGAGTGTGCCAGTCAAAAATGATTAAGTAAAGAAGAAACCAGATACCCAGAAGGTTGGTGGTGCTCCATTTTCAATCCACAATTACATAAAATGCAATCTATCAATAAAGTCATTAATCCATGATCCTAGTGGTTTAAGTGATGGATAAGCCACCTTATGCCATACATCTGGAACTTGATTATCAAACACTTTATTAAAAACTTATTCTAGATCTGCACTCATTACAACCAAACCATCAATAGCCTTACCCAAATCAATCAGAGATTATGTAACAGCTTATAATAATTTATTGAATCTAATTAATTCTTGTTGTAAGACTGTATTCATACTCTAATTATATTAAACAGGATGTTTACGAGCAGCATCCTCAACATTAAATTATTTAGGTAATTTCATTAAAATTTATTTACATTTCTCTTTGATTAGATCTTCAGCTGAAATACCAGCACCTCCTGTTGATCTAGGCAATAATGATAATATAGTTGATGTAATGAAATTTGTTTCAATAATTGCTGATGATATTTCTGCATTATCATGTAGTCCAAATACTTCAGTCAAATCATTTAATGGTAGATTTCTTATATATTCTTTATAATCTTCTAATACTCCATTTGGAGGAACATAATAAATACCACTTGGACTTAATTTATGTTTATCTATCTACAATACATCAGTTGTGTAAAATTATTTAAGTAGAATGGCAATTAATCTTCTATCTTTGGGATCTGTGACTCTACCTCCATAATTAGCTTCAGCAACCATATAATTAAGAGCTTCCCATGGAATATCTTCAAATGTATCAAGGAAATTTTTCAATTAAGATACAGATATGGCTAAATCTGCTGATGTAAATTCATAAGGAATATTCCATCCAAGAGGTCCATATTTACGACGTTCTAAACAAACTGCATGGAAGAAATTCAAACCGAAAAATAGTTTTTTCCATTCAACTGGCTTCTTACATAATTCAAAATTCTTTGCATCAATTGAAGAAAAGTTTCTCAACATATTATTTTTTAAACCTCTTGGTGGTTCATATGTCATCTTTATACCTCTCATTAATAGAGTTACTGGAAATACATTTGATGGCATGGAAGTCAACCAAATTCTAAAATCAGAATTTACTTCTTATGCAGGTTTTGCACATATTTCTTATTCATGTATTCTTTCTAATTCAGGCATAAATGATGGTGCAAGATGACAATTTTATAATAAAACCCATTTTCCATCTTTAACAGCTCCTTTTATAGCATTTGTGGCAATTTCTCCTTAACCTTATCCCAAAGAGAGTGTGATGAAATTCTATCTAAATCCTAAACGATCAGCTAATGCTGATATTTCTAAACGAGGATCAGCACCTGGAGACAATATAAATATTAGAGGAGTATAAGCATCAGCATCTCTGTATGCATATTCTAAATTGAATGGAGGAGGATCCATAAATTATTTGCCCATTTCTGTAATAATAAGATTCTAAGTAGCGTTTGCAAATTTATCCGGTCTTATGATACGTAAAACAATCAATTTTTAAAAAGCAGATAATTATGAATGCCAAGGTTCTGGTAATTATTAAGTTTATGGTTCACTACTATCATAGATTTCTTGCCAAACAGCTAAATTTTTAGAGAATGATTCTGGGAATCCTTTGAAAAATGGTAGAGTATCAGCTGCTTCAGTTACTAAACACCACATCTTTCTAGATATCCATTCTGGTTATGGTTATGGATATGTGGAATCTGTATATGTTCCACCAACCATTGTAAAACGTATTTCTTATGGACTAATCTTTCCTTCACTTTACATCACTTTCATTGTCATCAAAAATGAAAATATCAATTTATCCTTCTCCAAAAGAGATCTACAAATACTTTCATATAAAGATATCTAAAATTTATCTATGATATTTTTGCTTCTATTCTCCTTTCCTTAAATTGATTCTCTAATGGCTCTCTCAAATAATATAATATAGAATTCTAAAGACCATTAATAAGTAGGTTCAATTAATGATAAATCCAAAACAACGAAATACAAATTTGCAACTCTCTTTGCAACTTCTTTGTAGAAATTACGAATTTAATTAAATTGTTCCCTATCCTATTCTTATTTTTTTAATTTATCTTAAATTGTTATTGATTCTGCTTTCGATCTCTACAGAGTATCAATCAATACTTCATCATCCAATAAATTTCCTTTTGAATCTTGCAATAATTACAAAATATTATCTTCTGTCATTTTTTATTTATTTTTATTTTCAAAGAATTCTTTAATATTTCTTTATCTTTATTCATCTTTTGCAGGTTCTTCAATTTTAACAACAATATTCAACATTTAATCTTCCAAACCTTCCTAAGTAACTTAGAAATTAAGCATTGTAACTTTAACACAAATTTCAGGTGGATAATGAGGTCTAGCCAATTTAGTAGTCATGTAAAACTTAAAATCTTTGGAATAATCAATCATTTTATCTCCAAATTTCAACTTGTAAGCTGAACCTTATTTAATTATCTTTTGTTATAGAATAGATTCAAAAATAGCATCAATAGTTTCACCTACATTTTCTAACAATACACTCTAACCAAATTATATAGCACTTTCCAAAGTTTTTGATAATACATTTTAAGATTATGTAGGTCTCGCAATAACTAATTGTTAGGCTTCCATATGTTTAACCCATGTATTAGCTTAAGTTTAAGGATCAATCATTAATGGCCATCTAGTTGAATTTTTCAAAATAATAGCATTATCAATTGAGAAAGAATCATTTGGTAATTTTTAAACATTTGTCCATTATCCCATTGTTATTGGATCACATAAAATCTTTTGTAATGAAAATTCAGGATCAAATTCAATTTTTAATTTTTCTAATAAATTCTACCATATTTTTATTGTATCATCTCTATAGGCAATTGGAAATGCTCCTAAATATGCCACAATTCCTGATGATAATATACAATCACCAACAATTGTTTTAGAATCAACTCTAAAATCAGCAGCTTTCTTTTTCCAACTCTCCTTCTCACCTCCTAATTCAGTAATTAATTTCTCAGCTCTACTCAATTAAATTTTACACTTATTAACTTTTGCTTCTAAATCTTCTTTTTCCTATTTAGCCTTATTATATTCAGCTTCTAATTTTGCCAACATATCAAGCACTTCTTATAATGCTTCTTGTTTTACTCTAAGAGTTTCTTCAGCTTCCTTTAATTTTGATTCAGCTTCCAATAATTATTATCTTTTTGGATCAACAACTAATAATGCATCATAGGTTTCTACAACAGCACGTACCCATAAACTTAGATTACCTGCTGCAACAGATGCATTAAATACTTTATCCTTTTAAAATAATGGATTTTATGAAAATGCTTTTAATTTATTGATCTTAACTTAAGGAATTTATCTAATTGAATCATCTCTGAAATCTTTAATTCTTTTAATCAATTTATCATTCAAAAGATTCTTTTTAGAATATTCCCAAAAATCTTATACTTTTTCCATTGAACCAGGTTCCTTTGGTTTCCATGGAACATTTTAATCTTCTTAAAAGATGTAACATAAACCTTCCATGACAATAGCAGCAGAAGGAGGAGGTTTAGGAAATGATTTCAATTGTACCATATCATTTTTATCAATCTTTTCTAATGCTTCAGCAGCTTAAGCTAAGATAGGTAACACTTTATCTAGATCATTTTAACAATCATTTCTTAAAGCATTTGCTGCATCTCTTTGTACATTACAATCTTTCTCTTCTTATTAACATACTTACTTTCTTGCATCAGCTTCTTTTTATTTCTTTTACAAATTAATCAACATTATACTATTATCCTTTGTAGCTTATTCCAATTTTGGTTGTAAATCTTCCAATTCCTTTTACATTTTGCTTACTTCACTTTCTGTAATGATAATCTTATCTACACCTGCTTCATAACGGGATATCATTTTGGACATATTTTAATCTCTATCTGATTTCAATCTTTTAAATGTGTTTAGTAATTCCAAATAAGATGTTGGTGTAACATAATAATATCTTCTCAATTCATTATAATATCTTTTGGTTAAATCAGATACTCTAATTTACATATCAACTGCTATATCTACTAAACCTAATCTCAATTTAGTATCAACAATGTTCATATCTCTTGTAAATACAGCATCAGCAGTTGATCTAAGAGCTTCTTCTGGCCATGGCAAAAACCAATCGATTGTTGTACAATTAACCAAAGCAGGAAAAGTACGTAATCTTCTTCTAAATGCTTCTCCAACTGGAGACATGCAAATTACAAGATGTAAATTCTTTTTACATTACTTTACAAAATAACCATATTTCTCATTTGGAGTTCCAGATGTATAACTACTCATTTCTTCAATGATTTTACTTTTCTCTTCAGGAGGGAATAAATTTGGTACTTCACCATTATTTAAGATATTACAAATATCCTCTACCATTGATTCTTTTATTATCTAAGTATCTGAATACATAAACACAAATTCTTTTTAATCTATTCCTCCCATCTTCATTACCTTCTATAATTCTTCTATCCAATTTCTTGAATCAACTTATAATGTTTCATTTTGGAATGCAATAAATGAAGCTAATTAAGCCAAACTCTTTCTTCCAGAACCTCCTACACCAACTAATAAAGCATGACCAAATGTTGTATTAACCACACGTACTATCTTAAGTACATGTTAGATTGCATTCATAAATAACACTAATTCCATTCTATTACTTGTATATTAGGAATTATATTCATTTAATTATTCTTGACATACTTTCTTAAGAGTTTCTCTATCTGTTAATTCACAATAGATATCTGTTAATGGTCTCTTTGTTCTATCATCATCAGGATAGAGAGTAGGAACAAATGATGCCCATAAAAGTGGCTCTATTTAAACTAATTATTTCCAATCTCGTTTGAAATGTTTGAATATAGTTTCCTTTAAAATCTTATCAAAAGTTCCTTGATCATCTTCATTAATTAATCTATCCTAAAATACTCGTTGACATTCATGTGCCCATAATTTTATAAAATCATTTTCATCTCTGAAAGATTTTATAATTCCTTTAGAAATTCCTTAAAACACTTTGCTAATATCTCTAAGATTATATATATAATGTGATTTAGCTGGAGTTGGTAAGAGTTCCTTACAAGTTTAGATTAATTAATAAATATCAAGAGTTGCATTAACAGTTGAATCTCTAAGATTTGTAATTGATTTCATAAATGGATTAGTCTATCTTGCATAATACCATTCCAACACATTTTAAAATATACGTTGTAATGAATCTCCTTCAAAAGGTTCAACATACAATAAAACATAGTGTCTTAAATATCTCATACTAACTACATTCCTTCCTCCTGTTGGTGGTAACATACTAGCAATAAAAGTAATTCCTTAAAGGAATTTTTGTTCCTTAGTTTCTAAATCATACCATCCTCCAGTATCCATCCATTATCTTAATAATTCTATTGGAGGTTATGCACCATACTTTTCTTTGGCTGGCATATTCAAATCATCAATAAAAATCACAATATATTTCTTTCCTTCTTCAGGTCCAAAATATCCCTTTCTTCTTCTTGAATTAACCTTTGCTTCTATTGTTTTTTGAACTTAATTAACTAAAGTTTATCCTGAAAAAGCAGTTATCAAATTAGTATATTCTGTATTAAAATAATTTTTATTGATTTCACTAACAATGTTAGATGTCTTACCAGTACCAGTTGGTCCTGATACTAATAAATGTATCTTATTTCTTACACATAAATGCAAGAAGTAATTATTTCTAATAGAATCACTAGTGGGAATAAGTAAATCATGATAATCACATCCTTTTGGAATGACAAATGGAGGTTATGTTTAAGTCCAACTAATGAAATTATTTTTATTTCTATCATACACCATATCAAAAAGATTAGCTTTATCTGGCAATTTAGCATTAATAGTAATGGGTGAAAACTTATATTATAATTGTAAGTTAAATGTTTCATGTACATCTTCAGCAGAAATCAATTTAATCAAAAATTAATTAAATTATTTTCTACATACTTCATCTATAGCTGCTCCGAAACTCCAAACACAAGAAAATAGAATAGCCTTTGAAATAACATCCTTAATTTCATTATGATTAATTTATTTTTATTAAGCTTTTTCATCCATATCTGTCCATTCTTGTAAATAAGTTTGGAGTATGAGTAACATATTTTTCACCAAAGTCATTTCACTCTTATAAATAGGGAATTTACCATTCTTTCTTAACCATTCCTAACTACAATCAATAATAACTCTTAATATTTCATCTAAATAATGATGTTCTATAAATTTTTCAGGAATTGTTTGTATATATGATTTTACTAATGCATACCATCCTATTTATTGTGTTTCTAAAAAGACCATACCACATCTACTAACAGTAGCAGGTGATGCAACAGCTAGATCTTCAACTTCAAACATCATTGTCATCCAATTTGTCATCTTTATGATTTCACCAGATGTCAAACATAACTTTTTATTATCATCCAATACAGTATTCATATTTTCAATCCAAACTGCATCAACAGGACCATCAAATACAACCCATTTTCTTTCTTCAACTTCTGAATCTTATGCACACTATCTCATTATAATAGCTATGACTCCATCAGTCCATGACTTTGTATCTGGATCCAATTTACCATATAATTGATCTGAAGTAATAGATTTTGGATTAAGTTTGATAACAGCAACATTCACAAAAGATTATACTTTATTTAATGATGACATGGCTTTAGCTAAACATTCCAAAACTTTGGATTTACCTGCAAATGCTTATCCTACAATCATTAAACCATGTCTAACATTTATAGTATCAAATAATTGAATACACTTTTCAATGAATCCTTTTTCTGCTTGAATATTAATTTCTTAAGCTGTAGTTTTAAGTGCTGTTTCCAAAGCACCATAATCTTATTCAGGTAATTTGATTCCTGGAAATAGATCAGATGTAATTGAATTAAATAAAGGAACATCATTTATTGTGAATTTTGGAATATTGACATCCATAAGAGCTCTTAAACATATGATATCTTCAATATCATTCATAACTCTTTTTAAATTACCTGCAGCTGTCAAAATAGCTTTTAAAGCTCTCATACCGAAATCATAATGATCTTAAGATGATAGTTATTCAGATGATAATCTTAAAGATGCTACAATTTTACGTGCTAAATTATTTGCATCTTAAAATCCTACAGATGCTAAATAAATTTCTGAAATCAATGCATAATCTGGAACCATCATAGCACATGGTCTAAATAGAGCTTTTAAGTTATCTGGTAAATCAGATCTACCTGCATATCCTGGATTCATTGTAATATTAATGGCACAAGAAAGAATCAATTTTATTAAAGTGCCTTCAAATTCAAATTCTGGTCTTTTCTGTCTAATAGCATCCTAAATAGTAAGCACTTATTAAGCAATAACTGAGAGCACTTCTAAATCTATACGATTGAATTCATCAAAACAACACCAAGCTCCTGAACTTGCCAATCCTTTAAAGAATTTACTCATAGCTAAATAGTTCAAACCATCAGAACAATTAAACACAACACATTGTACTGCCAATGCTTTAGCTAAATCTTTAACAGTTTCTGTTTTTCCTGTTCCTGCTGGACCTTCTGGTGCACCACCATACTATAAATGGAATGCACCCATCAATGTACGATAACATCTATCAGTTAAAGGTGTAATGACCAATCTCATACTATTACCCAAATATTCATATCCATATAATAAGTCAGCATTTATCATTTTAACATTGCATTTCATCAATTATTCAGTCCAATAATATCTTAATTAAGCCATCCATTAGAAATTATTAATATCATTACAACCAATCTTTACTAATTATCTAATAACATCTCTAGCATGTACATCTAAAACAACAAGTGCACCTAGAGTTAATCTCTCTAATGGAGATAAATCTTATCTAACCAAATCTACAATATCTCTTAGTTCATTAAGTAATTGTTATAAAAATCCTGCCAATCCTCCTTATTAATTTTCTTTATCATTTATAGCTAATTCACTACCTCTAGTCCATCTGATCATATTTACTGCCAATACAATTTAAGCAGGCCATTTTCTAACCCAAATAACTCTCTTTGTATCATTATCCAAATGTGAGGCTTTCATAATTTTCTTTAATGTATCTATCATAACAGATTCAATTTCACATAACCATTTTTCTACATTACCTTTCTTTTCGCCTTCATTAACATTAATTCCTTTTGAAAATTGTACTTTTTCTTTTTCTGCTGAAATCATTGCTACTACTTCCTATCCATTAACAAATTCTAATAAATTGATTGCTTCAAAACATTTATTAATATGTTTTTATACTGTTTCTGGATCCTTAGTTTATGCCAATATTTCTAATAATTCTTCATCTGATAGGAAATAAAATCTTGGAAATGAATTACGTTTTGTTTCCAAATATTCACTTAAAGATTTCTAAATCTAATCCAAAGCTTTATTATCTTAATCAAATTCATTTTTCATCTTATCACTATCTACTCCATCCCAAAGATTAGGTTCTTTGCTAAATTATTCCATTACAGTTTTCCAATGAGAATCAACCTTTTAAAACTTTAAAGTTTCTTATGGCATTTTCTTCTTAATATCATCTGATGTAAAAATAGGTTCCAAATACATCCATCCTCTTTAACATTTTATCCAACCATCCAATGTATCTTAAATTAATACTATCTTTTATTCTAAAGCTTATGCTTTATGTAAAACAGCTTTAATTTATGGTTATGCCTTTAACATCAATAAAATATTGAATTAATCATCAAAACATTAAATAACTTCTTCTAATGATTTCAATACAAATGTTCCTGTCTTTTTGTATGGAATCATTTCTACTTTTTAATCTTTAAGCTTTTCTTGAATTGAATTTAGATTTTTTTCAATTTACCATTACTTTTCAGCTCTCCTTGATACTTCTTCTATTTCATTTCTATAATTCATTAAACCATGAGAAACTAAGGCATCTAATGATAAATCATCATTTGTTTCTTAATCTTAAACACCAGCAACTTTCCATATATCTTTCCACATATTTAATTTAGTCTTCATTGCTTCTGTAGTCAATAATTCAATTAACCATAACTTCTCTTTAAACTCATCAACTTAACCTTTTAATTTACGTGCTACTTCTACTGCAATATCATCTTATGCATCTGAAAAAGCTTTTATTAATAAATTTGCATTCCTTTAGTTTGTTCTTACTTTATTTTCAATTTCAGTAAAATTAAGTTTTAAAAATGATCCTGTACACCAATCACTTCTATCATATTCAAATTCTATAGCATTAGTCCACAAATTAAAATAAATAGTGAAATCTTTAATCAATTAATTCAAATCTTCATATACTGATGGTTATTATTTGAATAATATTTCTCTTTCATTAAAAGATTCTACTTTTTTTTATGCATTTTAGAAACGATCATTAAGTGATACAACATCATTAGCAAAATCTTTAACTCTTGAATAGTCATCAAATTTCTATACGGTTAAAAATAATTATGTTAATTCTTTTAATTCTCCTTAAAATTTATCTTTCTCATTATCTAAATTTTCCATAAACTTTTACTCTTATAAATTAGCCTTTCTCTAACCTTCAATTACATGATTTTTAATTTCAGGAGGAAAACTATATAAATACCAAAATTCATAAAGATTTTTATCTTCAAAATTATGACTCATATTTTCAAACATGGTCAAATAATCATATATACAATCAACTTCTTATTTCTTTTTTGCCAAATTAACTTCATGTTCTGCAATATAAGATTTTAATTCAATTAATTCAGCTTCATTTTTTGGTTATTTTGTAATTCTCTCACTCATATCACTATATTCTTAACTTAAACGAGTTATATTATCTGTTACTATATCTGAACATTATTTTAAAATAGATGTGATAAATTCATTAGCTTTTGATATCAAATTTTCTTTAGCTATTCTAGTTCTTATTTAAAAAAATTATTCATTCTTTTCATCCAAACATAATCTTTGTATTTAAAATTTAGCATTAATAAAATCAGATAATTTTTTTTATATTTCATCTTTATCCAATTAAGTTATAATTGGTTTTTTTGATATATCTCCAAATAAACTTTTTAAAACACTTTGAACTGATTTTTCTAATAAGAAACTAAATTCTCTGAATTTTTATAACATTTAATTTGGTTTTTAATAACCAATCTCTAAATATTCTAAAACCTTATCTTTAGCCCATTTAATCCAAATTTAATCCTTATCATTTTCAATTTCATAAGCTCTCAATCTTCCCTTAACCTCTTTTTTCTAATCAATATCAACTAATGGAACCAAATCTTTTTCAAGTCTATTAAATGAATTTACTGATTCTAATAATAGATCAATTGGCTTTAACAAACCTTATTAAATTGCTGAGAAATTAGGAGAAAAATAAATAGCACTATTTGGATCTTCTTCAAATAAAGGTGTACTATCATCTTATTTAGTTTTTTTATCATTCTTTTTACTTTTCTTGAAATTGAGATTAACTTCAAGATTTAATATTAATAATGGATAATCATTAATCTTCCATTATTCTCCTTCTTTTGGAGTTGTGAATTTCTTTAAAAAATCAATCCATGATTAACAAGTTTATCTAACAACATTTTCTCTAATATAATTAGTAAACATATAATCAATTCTAATAAGTAATTTTTACAATTCACTATCCAAATAATCTTCAGTTTCAGTTTAATAAAATCTATATTTTTCTCTTAATTTATCTTATATATCTCCAACAATAGTACTACGCCATTATACTTATAAAGTTTATCTTCCTTAGATATTATGTTATTTTTGTTAACTTTCAAAATTAGATAAAGTCATTGGTAATGATTAATAATTAAGCAATACATTTAAAAGTGGGAAATTCTAATATAATTATGATCTTGCTGTTAAAGCATTTAAAGTATTAACAACAACAGTAAATTTGGAATAATGTAATTGAGATATATTTTATCTGATTGCAACAAATGTCCAATTATCTTGAACTTTCACTTGTTTTTATATCTATTATCCTAAAGATTCAAAACTAAGAATTTTAGTATCATTTGCAAATTATTTAGTTAATCCAAAATATGGTTTTTTAGTTTATTCAAATCTATTCTTAATTCTTAATTAAATCCATTTAATATCATTCTTATTAACTTCCATATCTTTTAGTATTGAACATTTCTTCATAAGCATAATATATTCTTTTTAAACTTATTTTACTAAATCTTTTTTAAGCAAATCAAGATTTTACATTTGTTTTCTTCTAATTTCTGGATCTGTAATCATTTATTTCAAATCATCTTTGAAATTTTAAATCTATGGGAATCCTGGAGCTATCTTACTTGGATCTTCTTTTGTTAGATATTACAAATCTCTAAATACTGTATATTCTTCAATCTTTTTCTACATTTCAAGAGATAAAGTTGATGTCATAGAATCAGGTAAAGAATCCACATATTTTAAGAATCTAAATTCATCATCAGCATTCTTTTATCTTTATTTACATAATTCAACTCTTTATTCAAATTTAACAGGATCTTCTTAATTAAATTATAATGATAATCTGCCTATTCTTTTTATTTTATTTGATCTTAATATTTTTACCTCATATTTACCATTTTCATAACCTAAAACTTCAACATCTGTCCAAATATATTTATCTGATTAATCAAACATAGGACATTTTGCATGTGGAGGATTACTCTTTTTACATATTTCTATCCATTCTTAAGGTGTCTTATCTTCATCCCAACAATCATATTCTTTTAATTTTTTATTTGTCATTCTTCCTCCATAAGAAAAATTTTTATTTTTTGGAATGTCTTCTGGTTATGAATCATTGTCATCTAAATTATTGAATTATTTTATTACACATCTGAAATTCAGTAAACTCTTCTCCAAGTGTTCCTCTTACTTCTACATCAAAATTTATTCCTGAATTTATAAACTTTGGAACAAAATTTGATCGTTTGGAAATGAAATCTGGTTTCAAATCAAAGTCAAACTTTAAACTTTATGCAGGAGATGCAAATTATATTTGGGAATTGTTTTTTGTCTATCCTTAAATGAATGGCACTTAACTCTTTACTTATCTTGAACGTATGTACACCTATTTAATTAAATATCAAAAAAATACTTTCTTTTTTACAGCCACTTATGAATGAGTTAGAGAATTATCCATTATTAATGAATTATCACGATCATTCAATAGATTCATTACAAATTTTCTTATATATATATGTTACTTTATATACCTTGGATCTTGTGTGTCAGTTTCCATTTTTATTTTTTCTTCCACTTCCCGATGTTCCTTCAGAGCTGACTCAAAATCAATTGACGGCTTGTTAATTTTTTAAATTGGACCTTTCATATATTTTTTATAACATGTACCTAAAGTCCTTTTGCCCTTCGAATTCATTTCAATTTTTTTATTTTAAATAAATAATATAATATTTTGCAGATACGCAAATTTAAATGGTAAATTCAATACATCCTCTCTATATTCTGAGTATAAACAAATACTAATATTTAATGTATTTATTGATCTTATAGTCATTAGACATTAATTTAAATATTTGAATTCTATATCTAAATGATTAAAGATCAGGTATTAATTAAATTATGCATAAATACTAAAAACCTTTTTATTTCAATTATAAACAATAATCAAAAAAAGAACATCAAAAAATGTATGAACATTATGTAAAAAATTAAAATTAAGTTAAAAACTGTTTGAGCTAAGGTTATATATTAATAAAATAAATTTTATTTGAAATTATTTTATGGGATAATCTGCATCCTCATAATTAAATCCTAATTCTTCTTCTTTCTTTAAAATTTTCTAAAGCCAATTCAAACCAATTGATTTAAAAAATGAAATTAAAACAGGATAAATATACGTTAATGATGCAAATTAAGAAATGGTTATTGAATTCCCATATAGAATTTTTAATCATGAATCTGATGAACCTTGGCTGAAATCCTAAACGATGATTAAAAAAATTTAAGCTCCATACATAATTGATTATTATGGTAGTATTGAAAAACAATCATCAGAAATGTGTTCAACTTCTACTATTATATTAAGTTATTTTGAATACATACCACAAAATTTAGAGAAGTATTTCATTTTACTTAAGTAGGGAAATAAATCATAGAAAATAACATTTAGAAAGATTTTCTGAAAAAGAAATATGGTACTTTCTATGTTCAATTACTTAAGCATTGTATGAATTAAAGTAGAAAGGATACAATCATTAAGATATTAGACCAGCTACAATTTATTTAAAATCAAATGGATAAATAAAGATATGTCCAATAGGTATAATAATTGATTAAGAAAATTCAATCAATAAATTTATCATTCATAAATCAGAAACATATCTTTCTCCTACTTTAAAAAAATAATTGGTTCAAAATTAATAACCAAAAATACAATGGAATTTAATTGATTCTTATGCTTTAGGAAATACATTATTAGACTTAATGGTATTAAATGATATAAAATAAATTGATGAACAACAAATATTAGAATTGCAAAATTAATGTTATAACCATTATTCAATTTAACTAATTCGAATAATGGAATTATTAATGGCAGAATCAGAAAATTAATTAATAATAGATGATATTTATTATATCCTTAAACCATATCAAAATAAAATAAATAATTTCTAAGATTTTGTGATTAACTATGAATAAGTAAAACAAAATGCTCTTCCATTAAATAATACTTTAAAATGTAAATCTGTGATTGAAAGTTTTCCATACCGTTACAGTCATTTATCCAATTCTTAATAACATTAAAGAACATAATCAGAAATCATTTATGAAACATAATAATAATAGTAATAAAATCCAATATAAATAGAAACTTAATAAATAAAATAATAAATTTAATATTAACAAACCAACAATATTGAATCTTAAAAATCATAATCAATAATTTATCCATAATAAAACATTATCGAATAAAATAAATAAGTAAATTAAACTATGTTCTCATAACAATAATCTTAATTTTAAATTTAAGATTCAAATCTTGCCTAATAATAATTATCAGTTACCAATTAGTAGCCAAAACTTATTTAAAAATTATTATTATAATCATAATTAATTCCATCCTAATAATAACAAATAGAAACCTTTCCTACTACCTAAATATCTCCCATTAATCAAATAACATAAACTTATAATCAAACATCCCCTTCAATTCGAAACAATCCTAATGTTATTATAGGCCCATCCCCTACCATTCTAAACTAACCAATAGACTCCTCAACTATATCAACATTTAAAAAATAATAACAATCCACCCAAATTCCATTAGGTCCTAATCCTATATAGTCTACCATACCTAATATATAAATTCCAATATAAAGATATCCTGCTTAAGTAGTAAATTTATTATTAATTCTTAGAATTAAGTTTATGAATAAATAAGTCCAAAAACAGAGATATAATCTAGAAATATACCTTAAAGTGTTCCTAATTAAATTATTAATGGAGCAATATAAACAGTAAATCTTCCAAATAGACCTATTTAATAGTATAATTTACCATATCCTCTTATTAATACATCTTATTAACCAAATAATTAACTTTAAAATCTAAATACATTGAATCAACCCATAAATAAAATTAATTACTCATAAATTCCTAATTCAAATTTTGTTACACCAATTTAAGATCATAAAATATCAAATTAACCTTTGAAAGCTTCAAGTTAGATATATTATTAACCTCAGTAACCTATACAAATCAAATAAGGCACATATGATAATTTTAGACCATAATATTATAATTTTGATAGAATTCAAAATGTCCTTTAAGATTCAGAAGATTTATTGTAATAAATAAATAAATGAAGAATAATATTTATTAATGAAAATCTAAGATTTTATCCATATAATTAATATACATATAAATTTAATATAGAATCATTATTAGGATTTTGGACATTTCCCATATCTTTTAATGTAATCATTATATTTTTTTTAACATTAAATTGCTGTCCATTAAAATGTATTTAATTTATGATCTCTTTTCATAGCTTCCCAATTTTATTAATATTTTTTAACAAGTGCTTCTATTGCCCATTCATCATCTATATTCATTCTTACTTTATTTTTCTTCTTTTCTACTTCTTCTGTTGATAATTTTGATGTTGCTTATCTTTACAATTCTTTTATTTAATCAATAGAAATTTCTTCTGCTTCAATGTATTATTATGGATCTTATTCTTTTTTTTTTAATTCATTTGATATTTTTTGATTAATCTAATAACCTGTATTCATTCCTAAGTTATTTAAGTTTTAAGTGAATGAAATATTTTTGTTCCATCCTGGAATTTTATTTTGTTCCTTTTATGTTTTTACTATCTTTTTATTTCTTGAAAATAAATGTTTATGAGATTTTTATGCACGTTTGACAGTTTTTCTCCTGGCCATACAATAAATTAATTATAAAATATTTAATTTCACTTTCTAATATAAAATATGTAGGCCTCTGAAAATAATGGATATACATAGGTATCAATCAATTTTATTCTCAGAACTCCTATCTTGGATATATTTTTTGAGAAATTTATCTTCAAATTAAATTAACTATTGCACTAATTCTAAATCTAAATTTGCTCTGCTCAAAATTGTTAAGAACTCATCTAAATATTAGGCATTTCTTCCAAATTTTCTTCTAAATTACTTAAAAACTTCATTAATCTTCTACATCTCTTCATCTGACTTTGAATTCCATATTTTTAAATGTAATAAATTGCTTTTTTTCAACTCAATTTATTTTTTATTTAATATAGTAGAAGGAAGCTTAACTTAATGCATATTGCCTATAGGAACATCAGATTTTTAAGCCTTCAAAATATTAACTTCATCTTCTAGAATAATAGCTTTCTAAACCAGTGAATTCTAATCACTTATTTATGTTATATCACTGGAATGTGACATTAAAAGAAAAGTGATTATTATATTTTAATTTTATTATTGAAAAATTGTTTAAAGAAATTAAATTAAAGTGTATCTGAATCGACTTCTTAAAAATAAACCTTATCTCTCTATATTATAATTACTCTTTAATTACACTAATCCATCTGCTCATTTTATTTATCCTCTTCTAGAAAATATTAAATAACCTTACAAATATTGATAAGCTTTTATCATTATTATTTAATCCGCTATTTTGATTTTCAAAATAAAAATTTATTTTTTTAAGTAGTATTATAATCATATCATCTATTAGATACACATTATAAAGATTTTTGATTATGAATCTATTAATTCAATTAGAAATGTATTAGTAAAACTAAAACTATTAATGAAAAATCTCAAGCTTTTCTTTTAAAATCTTATCTAATTCTTAACTTACTTTTATATCAATTATTCATTATTATTTTAGTGTAATTTCTAACCAGAATATTTATTTATTAGTTTAATTGGAAAAAATGAAATAAAATAATTTCATAATCTTGAAAAATACATAACCAGATTATGTCTTTTAAAAATATTTTATAAGAACAAGCACTCTTAATATATTCCATATAATATTATATATGTACTTTTTATGGATATTTTTATCTAATCATATAAATACATTGATAGAATTTGTATATAGTTCTGATTAATATTATCGAAAGGAACCAAATAACCATTTTAGTTGACAGTTTTTAGCTTACACCTTTATATTCAAATTCACTAAATATAGAATACTATTTGTCAATATTTTGATTCAAGAAATTATTGCAAAAATTTATTCTGATAATTATGTATATTTTACGATAACACATAGAATCATCATAAATAAGGATTATTTTATTTTTATTTTATCTCAAGAAAATTACATAAGTATATAAAATAACTTAGTTCTAAGTTAAAAGCATTTCAAACAAAAAATATATCAAGAAAGAAAAATACCTGTTTTTTATTTAGTTAATTGAATAAATGTAAAACAATATGTTTGAATTAGATTATGATAAAAACAAAACTCATCAATAAAAAAATAGATTGTCTTTGAAATTTAGAATACATATGAATAAACTATTTTAGATATTATTGTCATATCACTATTAATTAAAATTTCTTCTTTTATTAAATTATTAAATGGGATTTTCTTGTAATAAGTCTAGTTCTTTCTTGTTAGAAATACCATTTAATTAAGGTTATCTTAGATAACCTAAATTCAAAAAAGGAGTAGTAGATATTTATGATGCAAATGTCTATGTCTGCGGAGGGGGTATCATCTATTCTTCATGTTATTACATATATTATTCGTTATTCCAAAAAGGAGATTATAACATGGAAGGCAATAAAAAAGGTGATGTGGAATTCATTTTATACATATTATTAAATTTTGGTAATTGTAAAGAAGAATTCTAATTGCATTCTCCTTCTTCAATTATCCCTGGAGATAATTGTTTTAAGAATTGATTGTCTAGAAATTGATACCCAGGAGATGTTAAACATTAGATCATCATCATAGATGTTGTATTTTTTATATCTTCTTAAAGAAAATTAGTTTGTAAATTTAACGCTATCTTCATCTCTTCATTATTAAAATTCATTTACTATTGTAATTTTTACAATTATATTTATTAATTTTACTATTATTAATATTATTAATATTATTATTAATATTATTAATATTAATATGATTATTATTATGTTTATTAAATAATTGGTTAAGCTGGTTAATTTAATGATTAATGTGATATTTATTCTTCTTGTTTTATAATCTTTGGAAGATTTCTTTATTTTCTCTATTCAACATTTTAGTCTTTATTTCTCATTCCTTTTTTATGTCTACCTCTTTTTCCTATTATTCCTTATTTATTGGAATCCACATGAACTTAACTATAATTAAATCATTATATTTATTACTTTTTTCTTATATATTGTTTAACCATATCAATTTCATCACATTCATCATCTTTACAGATTTTATGAATTAAAGATTTATAACTTGATATAAGAATATGAAATACCGATTTTTTACTTAATTTTCTGTTCTTCCATTTAATTATTATGAAATTTAGGACCATTTCTTTCCATTTTTTACAACATTATTAAGGATAATTAAATCCTCTTTAATCATCCATTGATCTCTTAGAGAATAAAATGAAAATATTACTTATTCAATTCAGGATTAAGATAGTTCATCCATCTTTCTCTTATTTATTTAGGTGTACGAATATTACCTTAAAGATTTCTTTCATATAATGAGACTGCTATCTAAGTCCAAATATGTTTATGCTTTTAGCTACATTTATATTTATTATTCTACTTCATTTGAGTTTTAATGAAATCATCCTCCTCTTAAAGCCAATTAATAGATTTCATCTATGGATTAATGAGAGTTATCCATCGCTACTTTAATGAATGTCTGTCAATTTTAAGGATATTTTCAAAATTAACCCAATCATTCTCAACCTATTATATATATTTTTGTTATTATACCGGAAGAATAATAATAAGATTTTATTTCTCGAAGTATTTGACTAGAAACCAAATCATAAATAATTTAAAAGAGTTGTCCCATTTTCTTTTACATCTTAATTTTTCATCTTCTAAAAAACTATAAATGAATTTATATAGATACAAAACCTCTTACAAATTTAATCAAACTTTTTATTAGATGGATAGATGAAGTCTCCCCTTATCTTAAATTATTTTCTATATTCATCTGATATAGGAGTATTTTATATATCTCCCAAACCAACGAAAAAGGTTTAAAACTCGTTCATACAAATATTTATATAAATTTATATTATTATTGGAATAGATATATTTTAATGTATGAATTACCTCCTGGTGATAAGGAAATGGAGAATATTGATCTCTAAAAAAATCCATATGAATTAAATTTAATAGAAGATGATGATGAAGATAAAAGCTAAATCTCTCAATTTTTGTAGAATGTTATTTAATAGCCATAACAGAATTTGTTTGATTTAGATATCTCAGATAGTTAAGAATAGTAAAATGAACCTAAGACATCACTTTCTTCTTTAATTGATTAAATGTTATCATCAATTTCTAACAACTAAGAAATTCTTAACAATACAGTTCGTTTAATAGATGAAGATGATACAATTGCAGATACTATTGAAGAGTTTGAGTTTCGAGACTATTAAATAGAATTATATGAAAAAGGAATTGGTAAGAATTCTATCATTTATTTGGAAACTGGATTAGGTAAAACTTTAGTCATAATTATGTTGATGTGGGATCGCTTATTCAAGTTTCCTAATAAAAAAATTGTTTTTTTAGCAAATACAATATAATTGGTAGAATAGTAGGCCTAACAAATTAAATAAAAATTACCTAGAGTTGCAGAATTATTAAGTGATGATGAGATAATGATAGAAAAAGCTAAGGAAATAGGATCTAAGTTAAATGTATTTCATGGAAGCAAATGTACAGATATATGGAATTAAGTTATGTGGCAAATTATGTTAGAAGAAACTTAAATTTTAGTAATGACTACTTAAATCTTTCTTAATATTTTAAGAAAAGGATTGGCCAAAATCTCTAATTTTAGTTTTATTGCAATGGATGAATGTCATAATGCTATTTAGGATCATCCATACAACTACATTTTGAAGGAATTCTACCTCAAAACTAAAATGTAATCTGAAAACCAATCTCTACCTTAAATTGTTGGATCAACTGCTTCACCTGTTATGAATAGTAGATCAGTCACCAATAATTAATTATTATAAGAATTGCTATAACTATCAGCAAATATGGATTCTTAATATTTGCATGTAGATGCTTAGAACCTTAAAAAACATATAAAAGAGGCTAAGATAGTACCTGTCTATTATAAGATGCTTTTTAATGATGCTGATATCTAAAAAGTGATTGATTTAAAAGCATCACTAACAAATTGTGAAAAAAATGAGAATAAGGCCCTAGATGTGATGAGAAAAAACTCTTATTTGATTGAATTTTTTTAAGTAAAACAAATTTTAGAGAATTTTAAGAAAAAGTATTCTTATGATATATAAACAAAAATATTAATAGCATAAATTGAGAAATAAATATTAATCAATGGATTTCAAATGTATTTAGAATTAGGTCAATATATGTTTGGTAATTATTTTTAATATCTTGATAGTATTATTATTGGAATATGTAATTATTAAGTTAAATGATTTTTTAACTATTAAAAGACCTTCAAATTAAGCTGCTTGTTTAGAAATCTTAAAAACAATGTAGAGCATCTTAAAGGATGTGAAAATTAAATATTAGAATGTCTTTGAATCTTCAACTCCAAAAGTTCAGTCTTTGTTCACTATCATAAGAAGGGCTTAATAATAAAGTGATGATAATAATAGGATTCTAATATTTGTTAAACAAAGACTTACAGCTTTCTTTTTAAATAGACTATTAGAAGAATACTTTGCTTCAGAGAGAATAAGTAATTGATTTCTTATTATAAATTTAATAGATATTGCATCAAATTTTATAATTGGACATTGCAGTTCTATTGTGAGAAAACAAAATAATAGTATAATGATTAATGTAATTGAATCCAATAAAGATGATTAAGAAGAATTGATAAAAAAATTATATGCTGAATTATAACATGATTAAAGCAAATTCTCAATTGAATAGTTAAAAGATCAAGTCAATAGATTAAATATATTTGCTTATAAAATAAGTGCTTCAGTCTAAAATGATATTCTAAATTAGTTTAGATAAGGAAAAATTAAAATTCTATTTTCAACAGCAGTGGCAGAAGAAGGTATTGATATTCCAATGTGTAATTATGTTATTGGATTCAATCCAATTGCAAGTTCAAAGGCATATGTTTAAATGAAAGGAAGAGCTAGAAAAGAAAATTCATAGTTTATGATATTTATGGTAGATAAATTGTAGCAAGCTTAAGTTTAAAGTCATTAATAAGTTTAAACTAATATTAAATAAATTATTGAAGAATTGACAGCTCCTTAAAGATAATAAATGCTTAATAAAGCAATTCTAAGTTTATGTATTATTTTTATTATATTAATCAGAGACAAAGACTTTTGAAAACACTTATTTTGATTCATTTGAAATTGGAGGTTCAGGTGCTCTAATAAATACAAATTGGTCATGTTAATTAATATAGTAATTGTGTTAAAAGTTCAATTAAAAAGATGCTGATAAAATTTTACCTAAATATGCAATTTATTAATTGGGTAGCGCCTAGACAAATTAATAATATATTGCATTTTTACTTCTCCCAATATCATTAAAGAGTTTCATATTTTATGGAAAACTTGCCCCTACATCAAAAGATGCAAAAGCTTCAGCTGCATTTGAAGCATCAGTTTAATTATATTAGAGAGGATACATTGATGATAATTTGTAGATTTGTTTTGATTGTGATTTGGGTTAACATATAGGAGCAGATTAAGATGATTCTCAAATTATGATGGTAAATATGATTATCATAAATCTTATAGACAAGAGAATAATGGCAAATAGCTTGTAAATATTCTTAAAGGCTAGTATTAACTTAATCTACAATGGGAGGGAAAGTGAATTCTTAAAAAAGATATTATACTAATTTCTTCAAGTCTATATTTTCATCAAAAGAGTAAGATTAATTTGAAGATTGTTTACTTTATGAATGCCTATTTTAGAATGAGAAAATATTATTAACATTTCCAAAATAAATGCTTCATCAAATCAATAAGACTGAAAATACTTTGTTCGCTCTTGGAATTTAATTTTAATCTATGACTAAAATATCTAGAAGTTAATATTAAAATTTTTATAAAAAATATGTAGAAACAATAATGAAAGAAGAGAATTTAAAATTATTGAGAGATGAGATATATGTAATTATTAATCAATGTAAGATTATTATTTATAATTCATAGAATGTTAATTTAGAATAAAAAAAGAGATAGAATAGAATTTACTTCTAATATTAAAGGGTTAAGATAATAGTAAATTTAAACTTAATTATATTGTAAATCAATTTGCTTTAAGATTTAAAGTAGATCTATTTAAAGAAAAAATTAAAGATCATTTAATTTAAAAATTCTCTATTGGACCTTTAAATATCAAACCACATATGAATTAAGTGTTGAATTCCACTAATAAATATATTTAGTATTTTACGTCTCTAAAATATTAATATTAAGATGATATAGATGCATAAAGATTTAATTTTATTCAATATAGTGTTTCTGATGATGTTATCAATTTAGATGTTAAAGATAGATTGGATGAAATAATATTTAAATCTTTGGATTTATAGTCTCATAATTATAATGAATTATTATTAGGACTTTAATATTATAAATTACTTATAGCAGTTGTATTATATGCTAATTATTTTGAAAATGATATCAAAATTACCAAAGCTAAATTTAAAACATTTACAAGGAGTACATATATTAGAAATTGTCTACTTGAATCTTATCTCTTCCTTTATTTACATAAAAGTGATTTAAATGATATAACTAAAACATATATTGGTATAGATAGATTTCAAGATAATTTTGATTTAATGATGGAATAATTAATTTTAGATGATTTTTCAGTAGCTAAAAGAAAAACATAGAAAAATACAGTTTAAAATAAGATTCATTTTTCAAATTAAGAATTTTTTTAGTTTATTCAATAATCATTATTTCTAATTTAAGAGTATGATTAAGATCTTATAAATGGTCTTAATTGGCTTAGAACATTAAGAATAATGACTTCTATGAAAATTCATATAAACTCATCAAAATGTTTATAAGAATTTTTACCTGAAGTAGTACCTCTTAGTGAATAGACTAGATAAATTTAAAAAGTATTCTCTTAACTTGAATATCAAATTAAATATTAATTTAAACATTTTGAATTATTATTTTAAGCAATGACTGATATTTCATTTAAATTTGTAATAAATAATAAATTAAAAAACAAATATTTTGAACAATTTTAAAAAAAAGAGGAATTTTAAGGAGTATTATAGGAATAATAATGGATTGAATTTAAAAGTCAATTTGAATGTATGAATCAAACAGATTAGAATAATTATGAAAATTCATTATTAGCTATGTTAGGTAAAGCATTATGGAATTATCTAATAATTAAAATATTAAATGAAAATAAATTAGGTATATATTCAAATACAATATCATAGACTGTTATGCAATAAGAATTCTAGGAAAAATTCTATAGAAAACCTAATTTATTGTATATTTAGCTATATATCTAAATTTGCAAAGATATTTGAATAGCAGTTACCAAAATCCAATATTTACTTTAGCAACTGAGGTTGAAAAATGTAAAGATTAATCATTAGCATATAAAATTGGTTTAATTTAAAAATCTTAAGTTTCTTAAATTTTAGAAACTGCTTTCTTTGCTCTTGTGGGTGCTATCTATATGGATTCTAATAGTAATTCTAATATAGTAATGTAATGGGCTAAATTGTTATTATAAGATGTTAAAGTTTAATAATTGTATTCAAATGAATTCATTTAAAGATAACCAAAATTTTTATTTTTTTAATGGTAAAAATGGATTATATATTTAGGTATCAAAATAATATAGGTAACCCATTCAATTTTAATTTGATCAAGATTCCTCATTAAGATTACAAAAAAGTAACATAAGGAGAAAATTTGTTCATCCCTTATGATATGTTAGAAGCATAGATAGTCAATATAAAGAAAGATAAATATTATGAAATATAATAATTACATATTTATGCTAAAAGCAAAGCAAAAGCTTGGGAAAAATTATATGAAATGATTGATTATTGAATTTTTAAATAATTAAATGTGTATATATTTAGAAAACAAAGAAAGCTAATTCTTTATTCTTTTCTCTTATTATAACTTATTTATTCTTATTTATTCAATATCATTTATATAACAACAGGCTTATATAATTTAAGTTATATCTTGATATTTTAATAATCTAATATGTGATTATATATTAATTTAAATAAAATAAAGTTTAAACATTTATTAAGTATCAAAATAACAATGAAAAATTATATGGAAATTTTAAGAGAGAAATTATGAAGATAAATTCAAAAGTAGAAATAAGAAATATACTAAAATAATATATTTTGAATCTTCTTGAAATTAAAATAAAATTTATTGATCTTTATTGATTATGTGAAAGAAGTTAAAAATTAAGTTAAAATGACATTTGGAGATCATAAGGATCATACTTATTCATTTTCCACTTTAATAAATATTATATGAATGAGTAATAACATTATATGGAGATTGAAATCGATAGATCTACAATATATTTCTTTTCAATCTACTTTCATAATAATTGAAAAATGTGTATTTACTATTTAAAACAGTGGATCACATTAGTTTTAAGAATATAAAGAATTTCTAATGCTTAAAATATGGAATATGGTTAGTAATATTTTCTATTAATAATGTTTTAATATTATATAAAAATAAATATAGTGAGTTTTTTCAAGAATATTCATATTAAACTGATGAATGATGTCTTGATTTATTTCAATAAAATAAATAATAATGATTAATAGACCTCCAGTACCTAAATTTAGTGATGAATGCTCTACTCCAAAGAGATCTTCTGACTTATTAGAAGAAGTTTAACACTTGGTGTTCAAAATGAATTTGGATGATGCAATTGAAAAAAAAGCAATTGCAATACTTAATAACTTAAATATACCTAATACTTCATTACATGCTTAGGCATTAATACATTGTGCCATGAATGAGCTAAATTAACCATTACCAAAAGCAAATATTAAAGTAGAATACCTTTCTAAATGTATTTAAAACTAATATTCTTCTTTGATTTCTACTTTATGCTAAAAACTCAAATTAAATTCTAAAGCATCAAAAGTTTGCTGCATTCTCTTATAGTAAATGTAACCCTTAATTAATAAATTACCTAAATAACTTTAAAATGCTATATCAGTAAAAATTGCCACTGATATTATATATTTGAAATAAGGCGGCATAAATGCTAAAATTATAGCTTAAATGGCTAATATTAAGGTGGAATAATTTTAAATCAATTTAAATAGAATCAAACCATTTGCTTTCAAAATTATATAAGACTTATTCAACTACATTAGTAACAATTCTTAATGACTTTTATTTATATATGTTTATATTTATTACTCTAATAATTTCACAAAATAAATTAAATTATTTATACATGAGCATATTTAGATTAATGAATATACTCTATATTTCATTAAATTAAGTGCTTCATGAATATCGTTTTATTATAAATCGTTTATATTATTAAAATTTAATTAAATTTTTTTTAATAATTTATAATTTTCACCAATTAATAAATTAATTAATAATAAAAATAAAAATTATTTGAGACATTTATTCACTAAATATTTAAATTATTCCTTTCATATTTAGACACTTAAAAATATTATATATATCTTTATTTTTATTCAAATGAAATCTCTCTTATGTATTACATATAATTTTAAGAGAACAATATTTATTTTTGTTTTAATTTTAAGGATAATATATTAAAAATTTGTTAATTTACAAAAAAGATTGTGAATTTAAGTGGATAATTTTGGATGAAAAAAAAATTAAAGTTATTTGAAATTGAGGTGGAATTTTTTTAAATAAAGTAAATTACTGACAGCAAGTTGCAAGTTCATTATTAAAAATTATCATAATAATAAGATATAAATGTATATGTATCAATATTATTTTCAAATTATAATTCATTAATAATACCCATAATGATATTACTAATATGACGGTTACAATTATACTTAATTATAATTAGGGTAGTTTAAGTATTGTTAATTTTATTAATGGTAATTTGGATAATAAGTATTATTATTATTGTAATAATACTGATTATATTGTAATGGTGTAGATGAATAGTGTTATTATTAAGGAGTAGGAAAATATTAGTTTTATTAAATAGATGTTTACATCATCTACTATTACACCTCTTTACATTAATTCAATTTTTCTTATAATAAAATATCTTTTATAAATATTAATAGTACTTGTTGCAGTAATTCCAGTTTCTAAAGAAGATGTATCAATATAGGGTTTCTTTTGGATTTATGATTCAGTGATTTAATTAATTTATGGAGGTTCTACAATTTTTGATGATTCTTTTTTGGCTAAGAAGTCTGACATGAATTATGTAACTGTCAAACTTAATTTCTAATCTGGATTTTCTATTATAGCTTTGATCAATAATCTTTCTTCACTTTCTTAAACCTACTGATTAGATATAAATAATTACATTAAATCTTTTTAAATTTCTTATAATTCCATTGTATTAATTTTTAATTTAATTTTCACTTCTTCCATTTAATTCACCTTAGATTTTGGACCATTTTTTACCATAATTCAAAATCAATTGAAGTAATTTAATTTTTTCTTCTTTAGTCCAGGTAGATCTAGAAATATTTGGATTCAGCACATTATTCCAACGTTCTCTTATTTATTTTGGATATCTCTGTGTAGAAGATATAGAATTGAATTAAATAGTCAATTCAGTCCAATTGTTTTTATAATAATGATCACTTAATTATAAATATAAAAGGATACTTTGCAATGTTAATCAGTATTTAATCTTCTTCTTTAGACCAGGGACTAATTTTTAAATTAGAATGAAGAAGAGATATCCATTTTAATTCAACTAAATTTTTATCAACACCCAGAATTTTTGATACATAATCCCAATCATTATCATTCTTAAATAATATATAAAACTATTACAGGAATGAGTTCTGAGCGATTCTATGACATTAAATGCTTCGTCATACACCATATAAGTAAATTTTTGTCTTGTTAATGCCATTTTTTTCTGTTTACATCGCTAGTGGATCTAATAAATTAATATCAATATATTACTTTGAAAATACTTCTTCATAGTATTCTGTCATTTATTAATCGGTTGGAAAGTGGTTGACACGCACTTTTACATATTATGTTACTGTTTCTATATCAATTGGGTCTAAGTTTTTGATTTTTTCTAAGAAATCGATCCATTCTTTGGGAAGATGGGCTTAAGTTTAAATCATAAATTAAATATAATCAAGATTTGTTTAGATTAATTGGTTTATAAATTATTGGTTAAAGTCCAATAAGATAATTTAAATCATATTAATTGATTGTATGTATGTAATAACAATGTTCTATTTTTATCCTAATTATATATTTAGTATATGTTTTTTTGAGGTTAAGATTTTTTCTAATTTGTCAAATATCCTAATTATATACATTGTATGTATAATTGAAACACTTTGTAATTGAAAACAAGGTGTAAATTATTGTTTAGTTTGGAAAACAATTTTTAAAAGTTGATGTTTTTTTATAGATATTATTCTCGAGAGTGAATTTGACTAATATCTTAAGTGTATAGCATAATACCTATCTTCTAACGAATAAAGTATTAAGCATTCATACAAAATGATATTTCTATTCTCTTAATTGTTTTATGATCATTTCATACATTACTTTACTCATAGTACATTAGTTGCTATCTCTGCTCTCTAGAAACTATCAATGAGTCTTTTCCGATGGCTTGTAATTAAACTTTTCAATTTGTAGAAAGTTTATTAATTTTAAGACTTTTTTCTCTATTAGTTGACAACTTAAGACTAGAGAATAAGAAATTGCATTTATTTTACAATAGTAAACTCAACTTTTTGTAATTCTAGATGATTTTGCAATGGTCTTAAATATGCAATCTATTTATAGTACAGTTGATTCTTGTAAGTTTACAGTCTTTGAATTAAGTCCTGTCTAATTGTAGTCATGAAACACTACCCTTCCAATTAATGAAAGAATTAAAATACAAATAAGAAGAATGAGTAAGGTTGTAAAATTTTCAATGCAAAATGAAAATAAAAGAAAAGTTTATATAATTAGATTAAAATATGATTTAATTAATGTCACTTGTAAGATTGTTATTTAATTCGAATTTAAATTATATTAGAAATTATACATTGGGAGTTCATTTTACAATATTACATTAAATAATTAGGTTATTTTTATAATAATTTTGATAAATATTAAAACATTAAAATCATAGTTGATATTTGTACTTTGAACTTCTTTGTTAATTATTATTAGAAGATTGTTATTTGGAGAAGAATAATTATTTTTCTGCTTTTTACTATTAATTATTTTAAACTTAAGTTGAAGTATGATGTTAATTTTATTTACTCTTTTTTGGGATTGTAGTAATATTTCTTTCTGGACTTTAAACTATTTACTCTAAAGATTGTTCATTAAAACAGATTTCAATTTCACTATTTTTTAATGTTTATTAAGGATGATTACTCAAATCTTAAGAAAATAATTTGTTTTTAATTTCATCATTATATGCTTATAGATCATCACCCAAAGCTTCTTAGATACTCACTTTAATCTTATTTAAATCTTATTATTCAAGTTTTGATTAATTATCAAAATTATTCTACTCATTTTATTGTACATTTTGTATTATAATTTTTTTACTGTCAAACTGTAATTATTATTCTTAATTATTGATTTCATCTTTTTATTCAATATGTGCTATTTATCTTTTAATATTTTATTAGGAATCCATCATTAAAATATCACCTACATAAATTTATATATATTACTTTAAGAGCTCTTATTATTATCTTTCTTTTCAATATTATTAGATTCTATTTCAAGTTGAGCATCATCAAAAGGTTTAATTGTGATATCATTATCATTCATCATATTCTATTTTTAATATAAATTTAACAAACTTTTTTCCATTCCTCTTCATCTGCTATATCATCAATATCGATAGGTTTAGTAGTTTTTCTTTTTTTCTTTGGTTCTGCTTTAGCTTATATTTGTAATTATTTATTAACTCGTAAAATTTCTTTTTCAATCAAATAAAACTTCCGCTCTAGTTCTCCCTTATAATTAGTTAATTCTTCAACCTCTCAAAATCTTTAATATTCCTAATACCTCTTAATCTTTAATAATATAGATAGGTTTTCTCTTGTTTCTGGCATCTCTCAAATCTGCTATCTATTTTGCTAATTAATCATTTATTTATCCTAATTCTTCCAATTTTTATTTCTAAAAATCACTTATACTATATACATAACTCTTCAATCTTTCCTATTACTATCTAGAAACTCCACATCCCATTACTTAAATTAAATAAATATCCTATTAAATGAGAAATTATAAATATAATTATTCATTAAACTTAAACAATCCCATCACTATACTTTTTATGAATACTACTAACAGCAGTAGACATTCTTCGTATAATCTTCTCATTCCCCTTATTTATTTTATTAAATGCCTCTTATGTTTTGTTAACAGCTTATGTAAATGATTCAAATTAAGTTTATAATCTTATTTTGATAGGACTGTTCTATTCAGAATCAAATATACTTTTAGAATTCCTATAAATTCTTTAAGTTGATGATCCCAATTTATTATTTTGATTTAAATTATTTACTTTTTATCTAGGAGATGAAAAAGAATTTGTCTATGATTTATTTAATTTCATAGTATTCATATTAATTGTATTCTAACCTTTATTAATAATAACATCTTTTATAATCTCTTTCTTTGAAGAACATCCTTCACTTTCATTCATTTAACTTAAAATCCTTCTCCTTCTTGATTCCATAGCCACATCTTTTACTAATGACTTACATTATTTCTAAAAATTCTAATAATATTATTAAATAGGTATTTTTCTTAATGGAGTTCTTCTTTGATTCTTTGATCCCTGTTTCTATATTAATCCTTATGATTAAAGAAATTATTTGGCTTTTTATGTTTCCTCCTCAAATTGTTAAATTTACTATTTTCTTTGAGGAGAAGGACTAGTTCTAAATACAGAACGATAAAATAGATTTGTATCATTTTTAGGAGAAGCATCAAAATTGAGTAATTCTTCTCCTTTTATTGGTGCCACAACATCTTTAGGTGATTCTGGTTATAATCTCTTTGGAATTTAAAGTTATTTTCTTTGGATTGGTTCATAATTCTAAGTAGCTAAAAATTATAATTTGAATTCTTCGTCCAAAATAAGTGGTTGAGAATTTAGAGTCTAAAATTCTTTATTTAGATTTTATGTTTTATTTTCACTATTTTTATTACTATCTTAGTATTATTATATCTTCTCTATTACTTAGAGTTTTAATAATAATTTTCTATCATTAAGTAAATTTAATCTATTAATAGAAGGTCTTGCATCTACAAATGTGTTCAGTTATTTCATTTCTTCTAATTTCTTATTAAATTATTCTTCTCTCTTTGATTCCTTATTTGTTAACCTTAAATATTGCAATAATTCAATACTTCAATTTTAATTTTGTCTTATTCATTAATGATTAAGCTAGTTTTTTTATTCTATCTTTCCTTTCTTATTCTTACTCTATTTCATATAGGTATGATTTAATTTTATCATCTTAGATAGAATCTGTATAAAACATTTATTTTTTAATAATTCATTTATTTTATCAATCAAGTACAGCAATGAATATTATTATTATATGGTTTCACAAAATTTATTAAATAATTTAATTTACAAAATATGTTGTTTACAATTTATAGAGATCATCCTAAAAAGACATTGTTTTTCATAATTATATTTCTAAGTGGAATTGCATATAAATTTAGAGCATATTTATTCAATGCTTTCTTAAAAAAAATGTAAAGCAAATTAACAAAGGAAATGTAATTATAAATGGAAAAAGGATAAAAAATCAATGCTAAATAAGATTAAATACAATAAATTGTAGATTAATACTATGAAAATAAAGGTTTCTTGGATACTATCTCAGAAATATTAAAATTAGATTAAATCACTACAATTGGAAACTAATTAAAATAAAATAATCAATTAACTTAGTAATAAAAAGTTGAAATATATTAAGATATAACATAATAATTCTTAATTTTTGAAGTATCTACTATACTCTTTTTTAAAAAATTTGAATGTCTCCTCTTATTATCTTAGATTATCATATTGACAATTACAATTGTTGATGAATAAAAATTTATTGAAAATTTGCTTATCCAAATCTAATAAATCATATTAAATTAATAATACCTTTAAGTATCTACTATTATTTAAGCACAATTCAATTAGTAAGCTTAAATGTACAGTTATGATAAATAAACTAATTTAAAAGAATTAATAACTAATTTAATATAATTATGTTAAAGATAATATATGGACCATAAATTTCAACAACAACTTGAAAATAGATGTAGGGATGAATTAAAGATCAAAATTAATTAATTATAATAATAATATTAAGGATAACATATGAAAATTATTTAAGAATAGTCAAAGTAATTAGTAGAACATCTTATAAAATTAAATAAATCTTTGGGATTGATGACATTTTCTGATTTTACCATATCTTATACTTTTTAGAAACTTAACAATAGAATTTAATTAATTCCTCAAATTAATGAGATTAACAATTAAATTCTTATTAAATAATTAATAAAACATCATTAAGTAATCAAAGAAGAATTCTATGCTAAAGAGAGCATTCAAACCACTATTAATTATTATTAGAAAATATTAAAATAAAGTCTCAAAATAAAAGATTAATAATCATCTAATATCTAACCAAATAATGATATGATATTAATACAGAAAGTATTACATGAATTTAAAATATCTGAAATTTTGAAATAATCATAAAATTAAATAATTAAAAAATTAGTATTTGGAAATGAATTAGATGAGTCTGCAAGTTCATAATAACAATCTTTAGGTAAACTAGTATAAACAATTTGATTTATCATATTTTATATTTTATATATTGTATATAAATATAATTATAGATATAAATATTAATATTAATATAAATTTAGAATAATAATCAATATTAATATGTTTAATCTATAATTTCTATTTATTAATAACCATAAGAGTGAATTATAATATATTTTTTCTAATAAAACATTTATTTAGTAAAGATCACTTTCACCACATAATAAATTAATTTTGAGCGAAAAATAACTGAAATTTTTATATCTCTGAAATTAATAATCTGTTAAATAAAATGCAAATATAAACAGCAGCAATAGTCAAACAAATAGTGTCTTCTTTATTTGCAGCTGTAGCGTCAATGTTATTGAAAATAGTTTCAGACTTAGATTTTAACTAAACCTTATATCTAAGAGCATTCATAGGATTAATCTTACTTGCAAGTGCTACCATCTATTATAAGCTTTAAGTTTACAACTTTGATAAGCAAACTATGGATAGCTTAATTAATAGAGGTATCATTGGTGGATTTGGAGCATTCATTTATTTTAAAGGATTAAATTTAGTACTTGTGTCTGAATCTATTCTTTTGAATAGAATGTCACCTTTATGGACATCAATTATCTATATAATAGTGTTAAAAAAAGAACAATTCAATAGAAGATTATTGATAAATATGACACTATCTGGTTTAGGAATATTTTTAATTGCAAAAAACAACAATTAGACATAAATAACAGTAGATTCATATTATCATTGGATAGGCATAATATTGATATTGGTAGCTTCCATAACATAAGCCATAGTTAATATTTTAGTTAAATCTGTCAACAAATAAGTATTTTTCATATGCTCCAATTTAGGTTGATAGTATTGTTATAACTTTATATTAAGCATTTTTTGCTATAAATTTACCTGTAATCAATTCTCTATTTGATGGAACTAAGTATTTATAATTATTATTATATAGTTTTAAGATACCATCATTTAATGGAACCTTTATGATAGCAATTGCTTCTGTAATATCATTATTGGCTGGAATATTGTAAGTTTAATCTATGAGAGAGGGCAAATTAAGTGTAGTTTCTAATGTTAGTTAAATTCAACTTTTTTTTGGATATCTAATTGATTTTTTTGTTTTTTCTGCAAAATTCAATTAAGAATAGATAATAGGAAACATCTTATTATTATGTTCTTTAATTCCTCTAATTTGGAAATGATGAATACTTAATTAAATAAAATTTAGTTATTTTATAATTTTAAATTCAATTTCTGTAAACTTATAAGGTTTATGAGTAAGGGATGAAATGCTATCAAAAATTAAAAACATATATATGTTGTTTCTGTATTAATATATTAAATATGATTAAAATAATCAGTAAATATACTATTTTCAAAATTTGATATAATGTTTAGTAATTTATTTAATTCCAGATATTAAATTTAATTAAATCAAATAGGAGAATTTATTTTTCATAAAAATAAATAACAAAAACAAAATATAGTTTTTATTAAAAGATATTAAATGGTATTTTTTTTATTTTACATAATAGGAGTATTTTAATTTCTCTATAATTCTATAATTTCTTAAATATAATATTTCAGATAAAATAGAATATTTTTTTAATTAAATTTTTATGGATTAATTTATTGCATAATTTAGTGATAAAAAAAGTGGAACAGATATAAGGAATGATGTGGCAAATAAGTAATATAAGAATATATATATATTAAAGCAAAGACATGACTATATTAATTTAAGCAATGCGTAAAATAATGGGGGAAAAGAATCCACCTAAAGAATGTTTATATGGCTTGAAAGTGGTCAAGGATTGTATTGAAAAGTTTAACAATAAATTTAAAAATTAAGTCAAAAATGAATTGATTGAACTCATATATGAAGTAGCTATTTACAGGATTCAAGTTAACGATGATTTAAGAGGGAATACATATTTCGAAAATCCAGATGATGAAAAAGCGATTAAATAATTTGGAGCTAGTTATATACGATTAGCATTAGATTGCATCAGAGTATGGTCCCTTTGGTTTCCTGACTTCAAAATTTATGGAGAGAGATTAGAAAAAGAATAAGGATATTTACCAGATATAGTCTATTTCAAATAAGATTTAATTAATAAGCACATTCCTAAAATTTAAGTAGCTGCAACACTTCTTGATGATAATGGATCAATTTAAAATAAAATGAGATAAGTGAATGATCAATTAATTAATTATCTGTAAACTTATACAGAAATAAATTCTTTCCTTTAAGATGAATTAGAAAAAATAAATATTTAGATTATACATTAGATATTTTAAATAGTGAAAATATAATTTTTAGAGAAATACATCTTAACATATCCTAAATTAAAATATGGTAGAATTTCTTATGAAGAATTTCGTATGCAACTTTAATCAATTTTATAATAGAATTAGGGTTGTCAAAAAGAGGAATCCTAAAAATAGTAAACAATTAATCAATCTCCATAATAAAAATAATTCCAATAAATTTAGTAAAGTTAAATAATTAAAAATGATGAACAAAAAGAAATTGAAAATTTAAAAAGTCATCTAAAGTTAGCATAATTAGAATGTGAAAAATTTCGTACTAACATTTAATAAAATAATAAAGAAATATAAGAGATATAATTTGAACTTAATAAATATAAAATTGAGACAGAAGATCTTAAAATTAAAAATTCAAATGATTCATTAAATTATGAACGCTTATTGAAGGGATTTTAACAATAGATTGATAATTATAAGCATTTATTTGAATTATCTTTAAAAAAGTCAACTTAAGAGTAATAGGAATTAATTACTTAATATTAATAGGAATAAAAATAAAATTAATAAAAGGAAATAGAGAATTTTAATGTTGAAAGAAATTCTCTATTAGAGCAATAAAAAATATAATAATAAAAAAGAGATACTAATATTAGTGAATATGAATATATGATTCTGAAGTAGAAGTATGATGATTTATATAATAAGTATATTATTTTGAAAGAAGAGAACGTTAAATTCAATTAAATACATTAAAAGTATGGAGATTAAATAGAAAATTAAAGTAAAATAAATTAAAGTCTTTCTAAATAACAAATTTATTAAGATATAAATTCTAATGTTGTTTTTTATAATTGTAAAGGATCTGATATTTAAAAATTGGAATCCAATAAAAATTAAATTTAATCGATAATAGATTCTAATATGAATGATGTTTCAAAATTAATACATCCTCATAAAAATGTTTCTGATTAATATAGGTTAAATAGAAAAAAGTAGTTTAAAGGAAATTTCATTAATAGATATGAATTAGAATTATAATTGAATTAAATTAATCTCCACAATTTTAAGAAAGCTAGCTTAAATAAATTAGATACACTATATTAAACAAATTAAATTGAAATTAAATCTAGATAATAACTAATCTATGATTAAAATAAATAAGAATTTGTGTCCACAACTATCAGCATAACAAATAAGGGATTATAAGTTATTTAATTTGAAATTAAAGAAAATAATTAAAATATATAGGTTAATAAAGAAACTAAAAGCACTTTGATTTAATCACAACAGACTATCATTCATGAATTCATAAGAGAACCAAATGTTATGCTTCATAAATTAACATAAATAAACATTTCTGTTAAGTAATACTTCAATATTATATTAGTTTTGATAATTCTATACTTTATCTTCCAAGTATTTTAATAAATTGTATCAAATTTAATCCTATTGAAGCTATTTCTTTCAAATCAATAAAAAAATATTTTTCAGGTAAAATTTTAGCAACTTAATTGCTACCAATAGGTTGTAAAGCAGAATTAATATAATTAAGTGAATAAGGACAACTTTTGAATTAAATGAAATTAAAAAATAAAGATTCAATAATTGAAAGTAAATATGGATTTAAAGCTGTCTTATAAAATTAATTAGAATTTTATTTAGAATTAATTATTACACCTTGTGATGAATTTCTATTTAGAGGATTCACACCCTTTGATGAAGAAAAATTGTAATTCATTTTAAATGGCTTATCAAATTTATACAGTTGAGTTTTTATTTTTATGTAATATTAATTGATTAAAAAACATCTAAGTTTTTATGATTTCTTTATAAAGTATAAATTATTATTATAGAATATATTTATATCATTTCAATGATATTGAAATTCTTAGTGCATTTATTAAAATAACATTATACTCTACCATGTAGAAAGAAAACTTCCATAAACTGCCTTCTCTTACAATGAATATTCTATCATGGCAATCTTTGTTTTTTGAAAATAAATGTTTGATTCATAAATGAGTATATTGTCTTTTATAATTATGAAGTGTATATTTATAGGAATACAATATAAAATATTGAGATTTTAACTCATCTTCATTAGAGTTGAATGATTATAAGCCTCTTCAAGATTAGAATATTCTAAGGAATATCTATTTAATTTATGTATACTATAAATACATTGATAACATATGTTTAGTAATTTTATTACATTAATAAGAGAAAAACATAAAAGATAGCAAAAATTGCAAAATATACTTAAGATTAAAATTATATCCAAATATAAATATATATTTAATTTTATTATTTAAATTTATTATTTTTTAAGATATTTAGACATATACGTTTCTATTATATCATCTTTTAATCCTATTAATATAAATAATAGTAATTACTTTTAATGATATAAACTTATAATGAAATGGTTTAATTTAAAGGATTTTACAATGTAAAATTTATAAATAAATTAGATACTCGTTTACAAAATTAATTTATTAAATTTTAGTTTTTATTGATGAAAAGCAACAATCATTTTTCACACTTATTTATTTAATTATACATATTCATAATATAAACATCTGACATTAAAGGATTTAATGACAATTTTTAAATTGATCATAAAAATTTTAATTAAATTTGGAATTAATTGGTTTTTACAGAATGTCTGACATTTAACAAGGACAAATAGTGGCCAATTTATATAAAGTTCTAAAACTACTATCTTAAGGTTCATTTGGAAAGGTATATCTTGGAAAAAACTTAAAAACTGGAGAAAGTGTAGCTATAAAAGTGGAAAAATAACAAATGCAAAGGTTTTTTAGCTTAAACAGAGAAGTTTATATTAGAAAATAATATAGATAGACATTTTAAACAAATTACAAGGAATTTAAGGTGTGCCTGAATTAATTTGGTTTGGAGAACAAAATGGTTTATAAATTATGATTACAAATATGCTGGGATTTGATTTGATGTACTTTTTGAAAAAACATAAAAAATTTTCAATAGATTGTGTATTCAATATAGCATATCAAATGTTAGAGATTTTAGAAAAAATACATAAGCTGTAAAAATATGTTTTAAAATAATTTATAGAAATATCATTCATAGAGATTTAAAACCAGAGAATATATTAGGAAAAGTTAATAGTAATCAAATACATTTAATCGATTTTGGAATAGCTAAAGATTTAACAAAAAAGTCTAAATTTACTTATTAGAAAATTCCTTTTATAGGTACTAGTAGATATGCAAGTATATCTGCTCATTTTGGAGAAGAGTAAAACAGAAAAGATGATTTAGAGGCTTTAGGATATGTCCTAATATATTTGATAAAGCAAGAATTACCATGGATGAGATGTGAAAAATAATAAGATAACCGCTTAATTAAAATAGGATAAATGAAGAAAAACTTATCATTAGAAAAAGTTTGTGAAGGATGTCCTTAATAAATTTTGAAGTAATTAATGAATTATTAAATGAAAGTTATATGAAATAAATCTAGACTTTGACAACAAAATAACTTCCAAATTATAGAAAACTAAAAGGAATATTTGAAAATAGTCCTCTTTATATAAAATGGGTTATTTTTGATTGGTACGAATGTCGTTATAGAAATTATAAATCTAAATAGGAATTAAAAGTAAATCAGTAAAAAAAAAAGAAATATGACAGTGCTTAATAAATCTAATTGTATTGATAAAAGACTTGATTTTTAGGTCAATTGAAAAGACTCCATCTAAAGCATCTCGAATAAATAGATCAACTACAATGTATGGAAACTCTAATCCATCATCTTAATTAAATAGTATGGAATCTGATAATAAAAAACGATCAATAAAAAGTACAGAAAGTATTTATGTTGATTTTGTGAATTCTGATTCTTACATTCTTTCTAAGAATAATTTAAATAAAGCTGAAACTCTTAATCAAATTTTTGAAGCTGATGAATTTATGCCACTCAGAGATTAACTTTAACTTATGCAATAGGAGAATTAGGATCTTGAGATGAAACATCATCTATTACATTATCGTTCTGTCAACTTTAATTTCAAGAACCCTATTCAAAGATATCTATAATTCTAAATAAATTGATTAATACTTAAATATTGATAAAATGTTACCAAACTATAATCATACTAAATATAAACTTAATAATTATACTATTTGAATTAATAAAGTTATTGCAAAACTATATTTACTTTTTTTACTAGATAGAATGCTTGTATTCTAATCTTATAATAATGGTTTTCTAATTAAAGTTGATACATAGTCTTTATAAGTAGTTTTTAATAAATACAACATATTTTTCTCTATTTTATTTATTATAATATAGTATATGTATTGATATTTTCAATCTCTTTTAAATTACTGGAATGATTTAATTTAGGATCTAAATAGGTGATTAAAGGTTTGTTTGGAAAGATAAATAATAAATGAAACAATTAATTATGATTATTGAATAAATTGTATTATAGATTAGAATATTGTCTGAGATGTTTTAAGTTATTGTTAAAGTGTGATATTTAATTAAAAATATTTAGTACAACACTTAAAAATATAAAATATTAACTTTTCAAAACTAATAATAGATGGGATGTGTAACTCAAAAACAAAAGAAAGATTTTAAATTTTCTACAATTCCTATTTAAGAATAACGATAGGACGACCTAGACGAATGGACAAAAATCATTCAACAACAACAGGGCAAGCATTTGAATCATTCAGGAAAGGCAATTATGACTAAAAGCAAAACTCTATCAGCTAGATATCATCAACCTTTAGAATAAATTGATGAAGAAGAAGTGTGAGTAGTTCTGATTTTTTATATTTTCTCTATTTCCTTAATTTCTAACAATAACTTAAATAAAATGTAGTCTTCAAGAGAAGAGATATATAAAAAAATGTGCCATCATAATCTGATGACATAATTGGAATTGTTTTAAAGATTTTTCGTTATTTAATTAAATCATAAAGTTAATATACATATATAAATATTAGAGAGCATAGAGACTCCTATTATCTAAAATTGTATACCATATTTAAATAACTGATAAAAATCATCTAAGTTATGATGTTACTTTATTAACAGACTCTCTTATTAAATTCTAATTGTATTTCAACATAAATGATAAAATATTTAAATTATTTACTTCATCAAGTTGTCCTCTTATCAAATCATATAATGAAATACAAAAAGATATGATTGAGTTTTGAGATATTAGATTCATTTAATAAAAAAAGCTTATAGAATTTATATGATTGAATTCTAGACAACTGTTTTTGGGATGAGAATTTTACTGTAAATTAAATTATATATGCAGAAATTCATAAAATTCGATATTCTAATTCATCAGTTTTTCTTAATTTTGTTTGTATGAATAAGTATGAAATCTATTATAGCAACTAAAGGATGACTTCAACAAAACAGATATTAAATTAGATTGTTAATATATTTTTAATGAATTACTAAAAATTGTGTTGTTTGATTGATCTATATTTTAATATCATATCATAATTTTATATATAATATATATAATTATTACATATATATCTTTTAGGAAAAATGGATGTAGAATTTGTTGGAGGAAAGTAGGAATTCCTAGAAGATAGTATCATATACTCAATTGCCAGAGTTTTAGATGAAATCGTTAGAGAGACTGACATAATTGAGAGTCCATAACAAACTGTATTTCATACAAATAAAAAACCTTCAATAAGTCTTGCAAAGTACTTGGAGCGTATTTAAATGTACTCTTATTGCAGCAATGAATGCTTCATCTTGGCATTAATCTATATAGACAGGATCTAAGAAAAGAACCAAGATGTTGTTATCAATAGTTTTTGTGTTCATAGGTATAAAAAGATCTCTATATTAGATTTATGTTCGCTTCCATCCTTCTTAGCATTAAATATAATGATGATGATTACTATAAGAATGACTATTATGCCAAAGTCGGAGGAATCACAATCAACGAGTTAAACAAATTAGAATAAGAACTGCTAATAATGCTCGATTACGAGCTTTATGTTAGTTAAAAACAATACTACTTTTACAAGGATAAATTGATGAAATACGCAGAACTATGATTATATAAATTATATAATGGAAATGACAAAGAGATTGGAACATAAATTCAATTATGCATTTGAACAATTTTGTTTCCTTTGTGTTTTCACTATGCACATATTCATGTTGTAACCATGAACTTCTAGTGCAAATATCCACAAAGAGTGGGTTACTTTCTTATTTTCTAAAGCAACTTGATTACTCAATAAGTAAAATTGTGAAATAGATATCAATTCATTTTAAAACAAAAAAATATTCATTCTATACATTCTTTACAAGTTTTTCTTATTAAAGTACAATCTTATATTCATTAAATATAAACATTTCAATTCCATTTCAAATTTTTTAACTCTATAATCAGATTATTTGAATCTTTAAAATTTCATCTCTACATTAAAAAATTCTCAAACTCATTTTCATATCACCAAGAAAACACATTATAGACATTTAATTCAAAATTATATTCATAATTGTGGATTAAAATTCTTTACTAATCAATTATTTTTTACTAATTAATGAACACAAATTATTTTAATCGTTTTTATTTTATCATTCTATCAAAGTCATACTCTAAACATATGAATTTTATATATAAACTTTCATTTTAATATTTAATGATAAAACAAGATGTAAATTTTTAATTTTATTAAAGCTTCAAATCCAAAATCAATTATATATTTTTTATGATTATTAAATTAATGTAAACATTCTCTACTTAAAAAATATAATCAATATAAATTTATTAACTCAAATATACTTTAAAATAGATTATATACTATATTCATCAGTTTTTACTTCATCTATTGAATAAGTAAATACTTTCCAATAAAAATTTATTATTATTTTTTATTAATAATTCATATTATAACAAAAAAACAATTACCAATTAGAGATTGTATCATCACATCTTTTATATTGTTGTTAATCTATTATTTCTTTTTTAGTTTATATAATGGATTAGATTATTATTTAATATGCTATTAAGTCAGAGTCAGGGGATTTTTTAAGCCTTTAAAATAATAAGAGATATTTCTCTCACATTTAATGGAGTGTTTATTTTAGAAAAAGGCTTTTGAGCAAGATTATACTAGAGTAATACTGTCTATAGAGTATAATTTTATCTATAAAACCTAAATTATTTGATAAATTCAAATAAAATGATTAATATTTGTGTTTGGTTAATATTAATAATAATATATTTTAAAATTATTAGTTATAAAAATCAGAATTTAGAATAGGAAGATATTTAAGAACTTCAAAATCAAAAGAAATTTAGATAAATTAAATCAAACTATCAACAGATCTTAAATAATTTCTGCTAAAATATATCTAAAATAAAATAAATTTGATTGAATTCTTGGTGTGAAAGGAAGTGATATACCTTAGAAAGGAAGAGACTTATATCTAAATTAGAATTTTATCTGAAATTGCCTCAAAAGACGGGTAATCAAAGGTTTCAACTAAATTTTTTGTCAAATCCAAGGTATATTCACTTATTGAATTTTGATTTCCTAGGTGTATTTTCAATTATTCTTGAATTCAAATTAAATATATCAAATAGATATAGAGAATAACCCCATTTTAAAGATAAGTGATTTCATAGATAACTTAGATATTATTATCAAGTATAATAACTTAAAAAAAATAAATATGATTATTCTTTATAATAAATTAAAAAATATGTTAATAAGGTAAAACAATCTAAAATCTATAAATAAATTGATAACTTAATCATTTGTCTCTTAATTTGATTTTTTTGAATCAAAAATTATTTATAGTAATTAGTATTAATTTTGGATTTAAGTATTAATAAAAAGATTTATATATTCAGTTTTTAGCAGTAGAAGGACGCTTACGTGATTTTTCTAGCTAAACAAACTGAGTAAAATTGGCATAATTACCTGGTCCTGGCACTTATTAATTGTTATATATTAATACCTCCACTTTTCTCTGCAGCTCTAACAGCTTCATCAATAAAACATTTTCTATGTGCATTTCCAAACTTACCTTTAGAATAACAAGATTTTGATTAAGCATAGTATTCTCCTGGTCCAGGATTAAAAGTTGAATCAGTTGAAAATCTTTCAGGCTTTTTGTTGATAGATACACTTCGCTGCTTATAAAAATTTGGATCATAAGTGCCAGGACCAGGTATTTCAGAAGCTTGATAAGTTTTACTTAACTTTTCACCAATTTTATAACCAATTGTCTTGTTAGGACTTTAATTATAAGCCCCAGGACCTGGTACTCGATTTCCTTAATAGTATGTTCGATATTTAACAAGATCTCTACCTAATCCAAAACTTGTCCCCTTTTGATTTGAGAAAGAACTGGTAGGATCATAATAGTTTTCTGTGTAGAAATGAATTTTGGTAAAGTCAAACTTTTTGCCATAACCAAATCCAGATGCTCTAGTGCTGCGAAAATAATTTGGTTCATAATAGTCTGTTTAACAAGGAGTACGTATTCTTTGAAATCTAGGTGCTTTAGGAAAACTGAATTAAACTGATGCTTAAATATGTTAAGACATTATAAAAATAAAATTAATTAAATCAACAAAATTAATTCATATTAATTATTATTTTTTACATATATTAATAATATCTTTAAGATCTTATTATGATAGAATTCTAAATACATTTTGACTTTGGGATAGATTTCGTAAAAATTTAATCCAATTTTACTATTTATTTAGTTAAAAGAAATACAAAATTTAATATTAATGTATGAATTACATGAAAAACAGATGATTTAAAATTTGTGATATCGATTTTCATTTGATCAATTTATTTTATTTTATCTTTAGGCTATTAAATCTCTTTCTAATAGAAGATTTGATAAGTATAATTTCAATATATCTTTATGAAATATAAATACAGATTTTATATTTTTCATAAAAAAGGTAGATTTAAATAAGTATTAGGTTTAATTCTTAAATCCAAATGTAAGTATTATATTTTAATATCTTATTGAATTAATTTATTTTCATTATTTTATTTGTTTATTCATAATAATATATACCTCTAGAATATTTGGTTTTGAGTCTCTTATTTATTCTCTTAAAAATAAACTAAATAATCATTCCATTTATTTTTAAATTAATATTAGTATTCTCTATTTATTAAATTATAAATGATTTATTTTAAGATAAAATTTGTAGATTATCATATTATTACAATTACTTGTTTTAGATAATTCTTTTGTTTATGTATATAATTCTGAATTTATATAACAACTATAATTAATTTCTCTAATATATATATCTAGCTATATATTAATTATGTTGATATTCATCTGTTTATCTTATTAGCTTTTTTAAATAAAGCATTTTGTATTTCATTTAAATTTAGCTGAATTATCATATTTTTTATGTTTTTTATCTAATAATTTCTATTGATGATATTTAGTTCACATTAATTAGATCTAAGTAGTGTATTATATAAATCAAATATTAGAGTAGAGGAGTGAGTTTGGACACAAATCAAATAAATTATTGGATTATAAAAATAATATTAGTTTTGATAATAATTATAAATATAATGGAAAGTGCTTTTATTTTTGGATGTCTGTTTGGAATGGGAATCAGAATGACAGTGAGTCGAGTAATACGTCAACCACTTTTATATAGTAATTAGTCTATTAAATAATATAGAGTGTCATTAGTATCCAAAGTATATGTTGTATACAGGAATTGCATTCTCAGGATTTGATTGGATTCGTCGTCTTTCATTAGAAACTTTATGTGAGAAAGAGGAATTATCTGAGTATTTGGTTCGTACAGCTCGAATCAATTAGCTTGCAACTGGAGCTGAATCAGTAGGGGATTACAAGAAGGAATTTGTCTAAATAGCCGTAGACGAGCACATATATTGATTATCATGTCATAAATCAAAATCATCGTTGAATTCGCTGTTGGGATTGCTCAGACTTTCCATCAGCCCTTTAATCTTTGCCTAATCTTTCATATCAAGTGACATAGCCATATTGAAACAACTAAAAAAGCATAAAAATATTTAATATCACTTTTATGCTTCTTGAATTCTATTCAATTTTTTTAATATACGTCCCATAAGTATATAAATGGCAGCTTCTTTGGGAATAATTTAACTTAAACATTACAATTCACTTAAAGCTTATTAATATAAATCTAATTTAATTAATGAATTTGCCTATTAATAAAATCCATAATACTTTCTAGTATTTATTAAGTCCATTCATAGGATCTAATTTTTCACTTTATTCAAAATATTTCAAAGCTTCATTATGTTCACCTTTGGCTGCATAACTCATAGCTAAAAATGTTGGTAAAACAGGATTATTAGGATTTATTCTGATGGCTTAAATAAAACACTTAATAGCATCATCATATTTATCCGTCTTATAATACATATTACCTTAACCCCACCAAGCATTATATTATCTTTAATCTAGTGAGGTTGCAGCTTCATATGATTTTTTTGCTTATTGAAAATTCTCATTCTATGAAAATTCATGTCCAGACAAAGTGTAAGCATATGAATAATCTTTTCTCAATTGAATGGCTCTTCCAAAGAATTTGATTGAATTATCAATTTCTTTAATTAAACTAAAACAATTTCCAATTGCAATCCATGTTTCAGGTGCTTACATAGAAATTTATAAACAAGAATGTGCTAAATATGTTAATTCTGATTATTTCTTTAAATGCCATAAACAAGATGAATAATAATCCATTCCTTCTAATCGAGTTGGCTCAATTTATCTCATTTCTTTCCAAACTCTTTCAGCATCTGTATATTTGACTTAATCCATAAAGCTTCTGGCAACTTTCTCTAACACCCATCCTGATCTATAATGTTAAGGAGGTAATTTTTAAAAATTTGCTATTGAATCAACTGAATAGTTAGTCCATAATTGATATGGATGAGCAAATAATTTTAATAATTGAGGTAAGCTTCCAGTAGAATAATTTCAATACTTTATTAAACTAGGTGATGATTAAAGAGCTGCACTACTAACTTTCTATATATCACTCTTTTTTGTATTGTAATTCTTATTTTGATTTTATAATAACTGAAATGGTTAACTTAATAGAGACTGATAATTTTATAATCCAATTCCAGGAGTTGGAATTATCTTAGCTCCAATCTTCTTTTATTAAGGTTCTTAAAATATTATCATATTTACAGGAAAATTTCATTTAACTATTTGATGAATCATCTAAATGAATTATTTAAGTCTATACTCCAGTTGTTGAAAATGGTTTCACTCCTTGTGTTAATCTTTTATTTGCCAATTGCTTATAGATTAATTTTAAATTACATTATCAATTATTAAAGATTCCTCTTTAACATCTTCAATTTCTTTTGAACCTGATTTACCAATATTTGATTTGCTTTTAAGTAAGTTACCAATTATTTTGTAAATGTTACAACTCTATTATCTACTTGTTTCATATTGTTTTTGTTTTTGTTCAATAAACACTTTATTTATTGTGACTGGTTCACCAATCTTGGATAATCTTTCAAAAGCCATCCAAAGAGTTGGATTCTAATCCAAAGCCTTATAATATGAAATTTTAGCATCATCTAATCTATGCATTTATTCATAAATTTATCCTAACAAGAAATGACCAAAACCTCCATTTGGTATATTTGTTGTCTATAATGCGAATTGATTACTAAATTAAGGTCCAATTAATGCAGTCTCAGCTTCCTTATATTTTTTGCTTCTGAACCATGCAACAGCCAATTAATAACTATGTTCCTATTAAATATTTTCATATACCGATTATACTCTGATTTGCATTCCTTCAATATATGGCATACCTTATAAGGTTGATTCTCATGTAAATAACATTCTGCCAATAATGATCTATGCTCTTCTGTATCTCTTTCATATACCAATCTCTCAGCTATTGAAATTTGAACTCAACACTCTTTACCCAAAAAGATAGCATTCTATTCCATGTGATTCTATAACGAGTCTAGAATTGCTTCTATCAATTAATATTCCAATTAACTCTTTATTTGTTGTCCCTCTTCTTCTATCATCAATATTTCAAAATTTCAAATAATTATATATATATACGTTCAATTCAATAAAAAAACATGAACATTTTTGATCATTTTGATTAATTAGATTCAATTTACTATCAAATACATTATAATATGATCACATATAAATCATTCATAAACATTTGACTACCTCCTTTTATTATTTTTCCCATAATATTAAATCATATATAAAATCTCATTTAGATAATTAAAGAAGAGTTCTAATATAGAGTGACATTCGAAGCATCAGATTTTGACTAATAAATCTGTTTGTCAAGTTCACTCAAAAAGCAAATCAAGAAAACGGGTGGCAGCTTAGCTTACAATAGTTTATGCTTGTCAATTAGATTTTCATACATTCATATTTTATTTTATCTAAAAATAACTCAATTTCTTAACTATATTTTTTTATTTTAAATATATATATTCATCTACAGAATTACTGCAATCTATTAATAACTCAATAACAAAATTATCACAATTATTAATTTATACACATTTCATTATTATTCACAACATCCAATAATAAAATATAAAATATATAATAATAATTTTACATTCTGATTTGCAAATTAGCAATATTATTCATTAATTTCAAATATATCTGAAGGATTTGCATATTTTTTATAATATTAAAATTAAATTCAATAATGAGCTTAATAGTACGCCAAAGAGTAGGGATGCATGATGAGTCCCTTACTTAAACAATACAAACTAAGAATATATAAAAAAAAAGTAAGCTTTTTTATAAAGTTAGAACTTCAAACTAGAAAACGTCACCCAACTAAATAACTCATCTGTCTAGTTTCAGTACCTAAACCATTTAAAGAACATGTCTATATCAAGTCAAATGTAGAACTGAAATTAGCTCTTTCTTTTATACCAGATCATTGTCTAGGTGCTTTAAAAGAAACACCCTGCACCTATAATTATAGAGTCTCACGCACTGACTAAATTGATGACGTCTATTTTTACACTCTTGAATTGCTCGACTAAGCCAACCATTCCATTGATCAAATCACTTAACTACTTTCTCATTAATCTGACCCTCATGCTATTAAGGCAGCTTAATTAGTATAGGAACGACACAAAATTCTTCAAGAATATACTCTACAACCATATATATCTAATGAAGATCTACTTGAAGTTGAAAAAATAGCACAAGAATATCCTTATTAATGTACAATCCAAAAGGTTAATAAGGATTCCAGTTCTTTGTCCTAGAGAATTGTTAATGAATAATTCTATACTCTCATGGGAGTGAGTAGGGAAATGATGTTAAATCACTTACATGACACTAAAACACTTCCATCAATTTTCGATCTTGGGCCTTCTCTTAAATTATGGTGTGATTTATCTGCCAATTCGATTTAATCATTTCGATCATTTGAGACTTATATTAACACATATGAAGGTGCTCAATATAAATGTACAGTTGAATAGAGGCAAATGTTTAAAAGAACATAAGTCAATCCAAATCAAATAGTCTTCATCGAATTTTGGCTCTTTAAAGTCGATGAACCCCTCAAATCCTTTCTCATGAATCCTTAACGTATATATTAGAATCAAATTGATTACTTTAATAAGAAAAATACTTAACAAGAATATGAAACTTTCTAATAATCCATGAACTTTAAACAAACCCCTTTATATAAAAACAAGAACCCTTGTGGATATAAAGAATTAGCATGGATTTGAACTATTATTCAATATATAATTTATATTTTAATTTCATAAACAAAAGATTTTTTGAAATTTCTTATATTCTTAAGTTTATTTCACTTTCATTAAAGATCGATTATGCAAAAATACGTGATAATTAAGGTTACAAGTATAGAAAGATTAATATTCATTATAATTACAATATATTTAATTCATCATTAATTATAAATTCCTACAACAAATTATGTTTAAAAATTCTCCATTAAAAGTATTTCTTATTATTTCAAATTAATTATGTAAAAAGTTTATATTATATTATAAAATAATATATAAAAATGATTATATAATTTATATTTATTTACAATAACTTTTGAATATAACTAAATACTTTGTATATTTGTATTTTAAGATAAAATATAATAATAAAATTACTTAATATATTTTGATTAGTAAATAGAAATCTGTTTTATTGGATTTTTATTTTTAAAGACATAAAGGAGGAGTATAGTATTATATATAAATAAATATATTTAGATTCAATTGAATTATTAATGATTTATGTATGTTTTGAGAATGTGTGATATAATTATAGAAATTATAAAATTTTAAATGGTAAATTTAATTAGAGAATAATATGCTACGCTTTATTTTGCTAATAAATGTTCAGGGGCTTTTCTATTTTGTGTATTTCTCTATGGTGTGATGATTTTGCTTCCTTTTTTTATTGGATTTACAACTTCAGGTTTAAGTTGAAATTATTACTAGATTTTTGGATTTTGAAAAGGACAACATTTCAAACTCCAAAAGTGAGTAGTTTTGATGAATATTATTTGAAAATCCTAATGAGTGACGGAACTCAGAAAACCTTTACAAACGTTCCTGAAATATAATTAGTATTAGGAGCAACTTAACCTGGTGCATTTTATTTTAGTGTAATAGTTTTTGAATGATTTACAGCAAAAATCATTAAGTTAGAATGAACAAGATGAATTTTAAGCCAAAACAAGTAATTTCACTTCTAATTTCTTCATTGATTTACTGACAGAATAACAGATAAAATAAATAAGGGAAATTCAAATCTTAATATTTTATGAATATGATTTAGATGAGACTGTCAGTATGAATATGTAAGGATATGCCTTTGCATCTTTGAAATCTCCACATGGGATATCATCTGCATCTACAATTGGACAGTTGAGATTGAGTTAGAGACATCCAATTTATTCAGGGTATTGTGAATGATATAACAATTTTAGGAAAACACCAAGAACAAAATATAATTATTCATCATATTATAATGGATTAGGTTAAGTACTCTTAGATCCAATAGAAATAATAGAGAATTCAATCTATAATCGAAATGGTATTTATGTCTTATTTAATTTTAGAGTCTATTTTTTATGATTATGTATCATATATAATTCCTCCTACAACTGCATTAGAGGTTTAAAATACACCTGCAAGATAAACAGAATTTGATAAGGACTAATTTCCATTAGCATATTAAACAACCACTAATGACACTACTACTAATAATACAAATACAACAGTGTAAATCTAAAAGGGTGTTTATTTACCTGTATATTTGAGTCATTCTTCTTAATTAACTATAAATATGACTTTGTAAATACCAAATAAAGAAATGGTAATGTATTAAACAGAGATTATTGAAGCTTTGAAATTTTCATGGATGTAATATTTGTCAATTTTCTTAATATTTTGGTTTTTTGGTTAAATGATTTTAGAATTTGTTGTACAAAACAAAGTTTTTGCAACTTAAGCAGTTGTAAATATTCCAATTCCTTAGAAATCATACTCAAAACTCAAATTAGATTGATTGTTTTTATATTTTATATTAATAAATAAAAATACATAATGTAGAAATTAATACTTTCAACTTTATTGTTGTGTATTTTAATATTCCTTGATTATGCATATGGATAGATGACATTTGATTTAAGTGATTCAATAACAGAATATATGTAATAGTAATTTGATTATGGAGATGAAAATGGATTAGTAGGTAAAATAGAATAGATAAATTATAATTAGAAAGTTTCTTACTTATATTTTATGTTTTAGGAGGTCGATAATTTATGGGATTATTATTTATAATTCTTTGGTTGAAATCAGGATGGAAAGAGTAAATCTTAAAATTAATTACTATATATTCCATTACTGCTTTTCTTGGACATTTTATTAAATTGATCTTAGTTTAACCTAGACCTTTTTATGAAGAATCTGATGTTCGATTAGATTTTTGTTAAAAGGGTTATGGAGATCCTAGTGATAATGCTTTAAAATCTATTGTTTTTTATGTAATTGTATCAGAAACTTTATTATTTAAAAAATATAAAGTTTAGCCAAATGATTTAGGTGTTCTTAGTTCAATTAATTAAGATAGAAAACTACAATATCAATATAAGCAATTGTCAAAGTATTATAATTTTTATATTTAAAAAGTCATGATCTTTATACATAACTCTATCCAAATTCAATGTTTAGTTATAATTAGTATAAATTTATGTTGGCTTCCTTTTTATTTATTACAGGTATATCCAATTCATATTTTGGCTTGAATTATCTAAGTTAGGTAATAATGGGATGGATTATAGGTGGATATATACTATATATATATTATTATTGTGAATTCGAAAAATTAATAGAAAGACTATTTTAATATGCAATCTATAATCAATAAGATTAAATTAATAATAAACTTCGTCATTTAGGAAAATTGGCTCTTTGTTTAACATTTCCATTATTAATTTCAATTTTACTATATATTATAAGAACTAATGATACAGAATTGATTGAGTAATAATAAGAATGGGGTTAAGTTTTTAAAGGACATTCAAAATGTGAAAAATAATTTTATCGTTTCAAGATGTCATTTGAAAAACAGGAAATGGTTGGAACATGTATTATCTTTTTACCCTTCTATCTTTACTTATGCTGTTATTTTACTCCAGGCTAATATAAACCTGAATAATACAATCATTAAACATTTACATTAAAAGGTTTTGTTAGAGTTTTGATACTTTTTGGTCTACTCATATCATAAATAGCTATTCACATTTTGATAAGATAAGTAGTAATGAATAACGATATGAACATCAATATTACATATTTAATAATTGGTTAATTATTTTTAGAATTATATTTCTCCTTATTTTTGATAACACTATTGCCTTTGCTATATAAATTATGTAAAGCAGATATTGATGGAGACTTTTTAAGAAAAATTAACTAAATCGAAATGCAAGAAATGGAGTTGTGATTGTAATTATCAAATATTTATATCAATTCAATAAAACTTAACATTTATTCTTATCAATTTGTCTACATAAAATTAATCAATCATTTTTTATTTTATTTTTTTTAGAGGATTAAATGAAATATATCATTTATTCCATGTAAAACAAGTTGTAGATGAACATTCTTTTTATCTAAATTTAAAATACTTTCAATTATAGCCCCTTATTTGTGATCTATTTAAAATTAAACCAAAAAACAATATTTTATTCAGAAATTGTATTTCATATAATTTAAAGTAACAAGAAAAAATAAAATAAATTTATAATACTATTTAAATCCTTTTATGTTTTAATAATAAATTCAGATTTCAAAATGAGAGTATATCAATAATAGATGAATATAATTTGAAATTAAAATTATTTTATTAATTATAAAATTGTAAATAAAAAATAATCGGTTCTTCTTGGAATTGAACCAGACTCACATGAACTCTATGTATAAAAAAGCCTTAGTTAATTCTTATGTCATTTTTGTTTATTTTAATTACAACTTTAATCTAATATATAGTAATTGGGGGAAATCTTTTAGTTTAATCAAGCAAAAATCATAATAAGTTTTTATTAGTGTATTTGACTATAATTTTTATTACAATTAATTTTAATAATTAAATGATCAAAAATATATATATTTTTTTAAGTTTTACATAAAATATGTATATATATAAACGTTAAAAATTATTGTTATTTAATTTTAAAATTAAAGAAAGTTTTTTATTTGATTAAGTATTTATTGAGAAATTTAAGGAAATAAAGATTTGAATAATAAAAGTATATTAAGATTTTGGTAGTTATAGAAATTTGATAGTAGTTGATTTAAATTCTTAATTTAGGTTGAAATATTTTGTGTAATTGATAATTTCAATTAAAGTCTTAAGAATGAATTAATAATTACTGAGTTGATTAATAAAAATGAGATATTAAACAATGTTTTGAATTATATTCTATATCTGATTTCAAAATAATTTGTAGGCAAAAAATAAAATTAATAAATTTTATGGCCTTTCTCTTTGTGTCCATAAAAGTTGTATCATTAAATTGCGCAAAATTTATGTGCATAATAATTAATAATATTTATAATGAGTACTTAGAGCATCAAAGAGTAAAGCAACACTTAAACAATTTCGATATTTGATCCATAAGAAGATAAGAAGTTAGAATTAAAAAAGTTTTAAAAAAATTAAGTATGTGCTGAATGCAAATCTTGGATAATAAGATAAAAATCAATAGGTTGTGGAATATGTGAAGATGTATATCATTTATTTTGTATGGTAATAATTTCATGTAATATTTTAGAGACCTAAATTGACAAGGAAACCTAAAAAATGGACATGTACACGTTGTCTTGAGTTAAAGAATACATTTCCAGATACAAATGAATTGGAAATAGATACTTTATGTGGAAGATGTTAAAAGCAAGTATCAATTGATGATGAGGAATTTTGTTCTAAATGTTCAAAAGTATTTCATAGAAAGTGTTATGGTCCAAAAAAAGTAGCACCTATATGTATATTCTGTGAGCAATCAAAGCCACCAAAAATAAAATCAAATAAAAATTTAGTTTAATTCCTACCACTCAAAATTTCATTAAAAAAGCAAAAGTCTTTCATTTTACCATGTTGCATATATGATGATACTCTACGTGAAAAGTGTTTCAATTCTATTTAATATGCACTCTATTGTCAAAATATTTGTTTTAATGATGATTTAGTGTATGAATCAGTATAGAAATTAGAGAATAATGTTTCTCATGAAAAATTGGAACCATTAATAGGAAAAGATCTTGAGGCATTTAAAAAGTATAAATAAGTAACTAAACATGGTTATTATGCTCCTGTGATAGTGGAATATAATATAGATTAGGGATTTTATGTAAAAGCAGTTTAACCAATTGTCAATAATACATTGATATGTGAATATGCAGGAGAAGTGTTTCGATTTGCTGATTAAGTGTATAGTACATCTGATTCAATGATGAGTTTACTTGAAACTAATTTTGCTGCTACTTCTTTAGTGATTATACCTTAAAAATATGGAAATCTTGCTAAATATTTATCAGGGATTAATAACACCAAAAAAAATAGTAAAAAATAATAATAAAATGTAAAATCCTAAAGATTTAATGTTGAAGGAGAATCAAGAGTAATCTTATATGCTTGTAGAGAGATTAGGACAGGAGAAGTGTTATATTATGATTATAATGAGGGTGGATTCAATTATAATACAAGATTTTTTGTTTGATTGATTATACTATAAAGCAGAAATAATTCATGGCTTTAATATTTCTCATTATTTTAACTTAACTTTTATCAATATCTCTTATAATTCAATAATTTATTGGTTATTATAAAATTAATTTGTGAACAAATAAAAACATGTTTACTATTAATACTCAGATAATTTACAAGTTACCAGATTTCATACCAAATCTCAATATTGATTTGTCTTCTCCTGAAAAATTAATACCAAAACATAGACCTCCTATTATTAAGAAAGACCCTATTTTAGATGCACCTGATGAAATCAAAAAATGGTTAGAATAGAGAAGAAAGAGATATCCTAATAAAGATAGACCTATATTGGATGAAAATGCATAAGAACTTTCTATTTTAGAATAAAAATTAAGAAAGAAAATTTCTATTTTAAGTGGAAGTTGTAGAAGAACATAAATTAAAGCGAAATAAATGAAAGAACTTTGTAAAGTATTGACTGAATCAAAAAGAATTAAGAAGAAATTAAATAATGAACCATAAGAAAGTTCTGATTCAGAAATGAGTAATCAATAAGAAGAAGATAAAAAATTAGATGATAAAGAAACTATTTAAAAAGAAATAAATAAATTATAAAAAAAACTTTAGGATAATAGACCAAAAGAATTTTATAAGAAAATTAAGGAAGGAGGAGAATAATAATAATTAACAAAGATGGAAAAGTAAATAATCAAAAAGAAAATTAAGGATCTTAAATTATAATTGAAGTAATTAAATCCAGAAGTTGAATAAATTCAAGAATAGTAATAATAGTAATAAGTCAAAAGATAAGAACATACATAGACTTTAGAAGATCATACTAAAGAGATGATTGGCAATTTAGAAGAATAACAAGAGAAGATGTAACCTTTGTATTTATTACAATAGGGAAAATTTATTAGAAGAATCATTAAATTACAGAGTAAATCCTGCAAATTTTAGATATAAAAGTAACACTCTGTATACAAATATGTTGATCGGAGAAATCTATAGAGAAAGATAATATATTTTGTAGGCTATAAGATATTTAGTGAAGGAGAATTTCTTTGAAGAGAAAGGACAAGAGGGATTTGAATGTATAACATCGGAATCAGATGAGGAACAATAAGAAAGTAGTGAGGAAGAGTAAGAATTATTGGAAGAAATAGAAGAATATTTTTGAGATTTCATTTTGAAATAGGAAAGCTTGATAAATGAATTCAATTCTTTCTGTTAATTAATTGTTTTAGTATTTTGGAATTATTATCTGGTTTAGGTGCATCATGTATTCTGTTCTATATTTATAATTGTAATTTTCTAGTATATATATTAAAAGTTATACTGTAAATTGGTTTATTAAAATTTAGTTGGTTTCAATTGATTTTCCAAATTGATATTTTCTTATTGAGACTTCTACTTTGTTTACATTTAGACAGGAGTAGAAGGAGCAGAAGTCTTATGTTTAAAATCTAATTATCTATAGTAATTAGTTGATTATGGGATTAATTTTTATTCATGAACTGATTTATGTGATTCATGTTTTTGTTGTAATAGTTTTTATAAGGATTATATTTGATCACCATATTTTTGTTTAATCTTTTTAATTTCATTGTTCATTTCATCAGTTAATTATTAAATTTTATCTTCTATTTACTTTTATTTTCTAAAAGGAGATTCTGTAACAGGTGTTCTCATTTAATTTAGACTTTATAAACCATATTCAGACTATAAAATAAATTTGTAATTATACCACTCTATTCATTGCTTTTTCATAAACTTCAGCATCTTAATATTGATGTTCTAACATAGTTCCAGTTTCATTCATAGGTATTGCATCAATATCATTAACTATCATAGTTCCTAAATCCTCTTCTTCTTCACATTCAACAAGAGTATCTAATTAAACTATTCCTTTTTCCTAAGATTATTCAAATTGTTATTCATGTTGTTTATTCTATTTTTATTTTTTATAATTTTCAATCACTCTTGAATTCTTTATCATAAACTATTGAACATACTCTCTACTTTTGCAGAATTTTTAAAAGAATGGATCTTGTAGCAATTCCTTAGTTGATGGTCTCTCTTTTGGATCTAAGATTAAACACTTTTTAACAAAAGTATTAAATTCTTTAGACCATTTATTTTAATCAGTCAAAGAATTTGGTGGATTGTTTTTTATTGCAAACATAGCCCTAATTGGATGAATATGAGCATAAGGTGGTTCTCCTTCAGCCATTTCTATTGCAGTAATACCTAATGACCATATATCAGTTTTCTTATTATAACGAGACTTTAGAAGAATTTCAGGAGACATCCAAAAAGGACTACCAATAACTGTATCTGTATCAGCCATAGTGTGTACTAATTAAGTTGATACTCCAAAATCAGCCAATTTAATATTGCCAATATGATCAATCAGAATATTTCCACATTTGATATCTCTATGGATTTTCTTATGATTATGCATGTAATCAATTCCTTTTATTTACATTATATAATAATGTACCTTTGAGTGTTTGATATAGAATAGTGGCTATTAACTCTTCAGGTAAAGAAGAACCATTAAAACTCATTGCTTTAACTAAATCTATTACACTTCCTCCAGCACAATATTCCATCACTAACCACAATTATCCATTTGAATGATATGATCCAAAGTATTTAACTATATTATCACTTCTACAATCTCTCAGTATTTGAATTTCTCTTTTCAATGATTCTATTTCACCTGTTGTTGGAACTATTTTTATAGCAACAACCTTTCCATTCTCTAATTGAGTAGCCTTATACACTTGACCATATGATCCTTCACCAATTACACATTCTAAACGATAACAATCCTCTGGGTTCATTAAACTTTCGTTCATTTTGAATTTATTTAAATTAAATCGTTGATGAATAATATAACACATCCATAGTACTACTTTACACTACTTCAATTATATATATTATACAAAAAAATTATAATACTCCAAAAGAACCATAAATATCAATTAACCAATTATATTAATACAGAGTATTTAAAACAAGATAAAAATAAATAATATAATTTTCATTCATTTAGAATTTATTAATCCCTAATTATAAATATGAGCAATGATATAAAAACATTAAGATTATCCTAATTTAATACTAAAATTGATATTTAGGAAAAACTATAAATTAAATAGATTATAATATTTAGATTATTGATAGATAACCATATATCAATAATTTTATAATTAGATTTATCTAAATTATATAATGATCAATCATTATTTATTCAAATCAATTCTTCCTAACTGCTTCTTAAAAATTAGGATATTTTTCTATTAATTTCATTTAAATTCTCTATACAATTTTTAAATTTCTAATTATAATAAGGAGGAATTTAATATCAATAATATCCAAAGAGAGCGAATGAGGATTCAAAGAAGCAAGAATAAATCATTTAGTATAAAATATGATTTAATTTATATATATATATTTAAGAATTTGTTGTTGAGATGAAAGCTAAATTAAATAGGGAGGATTATTAATTTCGAAAGAAAACAGGGTAAGAATTGATTAAATATCCTGGATAATTAAATGGATTAGACTTTGTAATCTCCAATTGTGAAGAGTGTACTATATACATTTGTGATCATGCTGCATAAATTTTTGTGGATTTGAGTAAGAATTGTAAAATCTACATTGGACCAGTTGAAGGATCTATATTTGTTAGAAAATGTGAAAATATTGAAATAAGTGCAGCATCTAGTTAATTTAGAGTCTCAAATTCAAATAAGTACTTAATCATTAATATATATTATTTAGCATCTAATGTTTTGTCTACACTTCAAGTGATCCAGCACTTGAAAAATCAACAGGCATTACATTTGCTCCATATAATTTTGCTTATCCAGGCATTAAAGATGATTTTGAAAAAGCCAAGTTAGATCCTGCAAATAATAAATGGAGTGAAGTTTTTGATTTCACTCCTAATGCTGAAATTAGTAATTGGACTCTCCTACATCCTTCTTAATTTAATTTAGTAAGTAAATCAATTGAAGGTCTTGAAGACCCTGGATAATGTCCAGTTCCTATTTCTACTACTTATGGTGGATCATGCACTAAGAAAATCATTTTAGGAAGTGCAGATTAGAAAGTCAGTGGATTAGAATTAGACTTTTTAATGGGTAAGGAGAATGTTAAGAATTTATAATAATTATCTGATGAAAATAGAGTTTATTTGGAGACTTAACTCAAGTCAACTAATTAGAATTAATCTTAAGGATAATAAAATTTAATTTAAGGTAATTATGAAGAGTTCATATTTGATTAAGAAAGTGTTAAAAGTACAGAACCTTAAATCAATATGTAAAGTTAGACTACATTTAATGCATTTGATGATATAATTACTGAAAATTAAGTCAATAAACAAAATGCATATATAAATTAGTAAATGCAAAAAGATGTATATGAATTTTATAAATTTAATTTAGGAAATTGAAAGAAAACAAAAAGAATAGAAAAGAAAATAAGCTTAAGAATATTTAAAAAAGTTTATGAGGTAACATAAGTAAATTAATGTGATTATAGTGATTTTGCAGAAGTAGCAAACTAAAGAAAAATATAGAATAGAGCTATTGTCAAAGAAAAGGTTTAATAGGAATAAGGATGGAAGACAGTAGTTACAAACATAGATTTAAAAGATAATGGAGGAGAGAAAGATGTCAGTAAAATGGCTTAGGCAATTAAAAATAAATTAATGGATGGATTAAAAAAATGATATGAGAGATATAATTAAATATATTATATATAATATATAAAATGGGAAATAAGTCTATTTGTTGTTCCACTTAAGCAGAATTCTAATCTTAGATTTGTAGATTAGATGGAAGGCCTCAAGCATAAATTATTTAATAAACAGATGTAAATGGCTGTAGAGTAGTTTTAAGCTTAGGAAAATTATTTAATGAATTAGTAGACATAATTGTATTACCTACAACTTAAAAATTGAAACTTAATTATTAGGCATCAGAACACATTAAGTAGTTTATGTGATTAATTTAACAGAAAATTTGCTAGTGATTAAATATTGAATGAATTGCATCAAATTCTATTGAGCTAAGGAGGAAAAGTATAATTAGGATCAGTTGTACATACACATGCTGGAGAAGTATTATATTGTATAATGATTTTAGATGCCATATGATTATTTATTCTTTACTGTATTGCCTAGTTCTACTGATGCATCAATTATTGTGTTGAATGAATCATATGAATAAGAGATGGTATGTTCACTTGAGGAGAACTTCAGGGTAAATTCTATTACAGCATATGCTGAGAAGAGGAAACTGGATTCTACATAGTCTAGAGAAATTTAAATTGTTTATGAAGCTGTAGTTAATTGTTTAGAGAAAGCTACAGAATTGGGAGCTAAATCAATTGCTTTTTCTTTGATGGATTAACAAATTAATCAAATTGCCAGAAGTAAATTAGCTTCAGTTATGCTTTTTGCAATTAAAAGTTTCTTGAGAGAATATGGTAGTAAGACTACTTTAATTGAAATAAGAATTTCATCATGTGAAGCTCCATAATTCAAAATATATAAAACCTATATGAATTAAATTTTAAATGATTAGGGTGAAACTACTATTGAGAAGTTGTTTTAATAAGAAGAGTAAATTTATTAATAAGAATTCAAAATTGACAGTTAGACTGAAATCAAGAGAGATGATATTCGAAAGTTTTGTAATGGATATAAGGAAGGAAATTAAAAGACAAAGGAATTTAAAAGTTCTTTTTGATTAAACTTTTTTGATATATCTGTATATATATATGTGAAGATACTTAATTTTATCATATATAATTATACTTATTGATTGGACTTTAGAGTATTACAAACATTCATTAAATTAATTATTTTGAATTCAAAATAAAATAGCATGTAACCGCAAAGTGTTGATGATTTTCTTATTTAACAGGTAAAGATGCATCCTATAGCATAGCTGAGACGTATTTTCAGTTTTCCTGTCTTAAGTAGAAACCATTTTCTATTGAAAAGATTTGATTCCTCTACAGGGTATATTCGTCTATCTTGCTTGGCAAAAGAGAATAGTTTTCGGTAATTATTAGAATATCCAAATGGAATGCAGAATTTAGTGAATGTAATTAAGTGAAACATCATTCATATAGATATTAATTCAATTCAACTATACCAATTGGGTTTATGATCAAACTTTCAATGCAGTAATGCCAATCTTTTCAAAAGAGAGGAAATAAATTTAAATTTTGATTAAGAAAAATAAAGTAGAAGAATTTCAGAGATTTTTATAAGAATTAGAAGTTAGATAGGAATGGGAACCAAAAGATGCAGAATATGTTCCAAATAAAGATATGATTAAATTATTCATTGTCTTTGAAACTTAAGAAGATGCTTAATAAGCATTTAGTAAAATTTAACAATCTAAATCAATTGTAAGAATTCTATTTATATGAATATAGTATGGTATATAAAATGCTAAAATGGAAGAAGTTGATTATTTTACTAAATTTCTAAGTATTGTTGCACATAAGTAACAATAATTTTAAGAATAAAGAATGAATAATATGAGAAATTATGATGAGAATCAGAATTAATATTAAATTAATTCTTAATAATAATATTAATAATAGTATTAATAATAGTACTAATAATAATAATAATAATAATAATAATAATAATAATAATAATAATAATAATAATAATAACAATAATAATAACAATAATAATAACAATAATAATAATAGTAATAATAACAACAATAATAATAAACATAATCATAATAACCTTAATAAACTTAATAAATTTAATAAATATAATAGCAACCTCTAGAATATTAATAAGAATAATAATTCTATGATTTTACATCTTCAGATATTGTTAGCTAAAGACTAAATTAAATTAGAACAAAAGATAAAGTTGAATTAAACTTTGCTCCATTACAAGATCAATAATTCTAATTTTCATTTGTTCCTATACTCTATCCCCAATAAGATGTATAATTATCAGAGATAATTATTGATTCATAAAAATTGACAGAACAAGAACCAATCTAAGTTGAAATACCACAAGAGTAATAAATTGTTGAATAGCCTATACTATAACCAGGGTAGATATAAACAAGAGAGACAGAATCAAACAAAGAAAATTCTGTTGAAAAAAATCATGTTAGGAAGTATGATGAAGGAAGAATTGAATATCATCAAAAGCCTTATTATCAAAATAGATATCAAGTATTTATTAGAATATAAAATTTTAGTAAAAGAGAAGACCAAATAATGATTCATATTACCATTCAAACAAATATTATGATAATTCAAATAATAGAAAACCATAATAGCATTACAGTAATTTAACATTCTAAATATCCTAGATAGATTAGAAGATGATTTGAGAGAGTTTACTGGATATAAGAAATATCAATAAAGACCATAGAAGGAATATTATGAGCCAAAGAAGGAATCCTGAATTCTCTAGCATTTTTGTTAATTATTAAAATTTTATCTCTACATATTTCATTTATATAATTATGAATCAAACATAGAAATTGGCATATTATCCAAATTTGCTTGTAATTCATATTATTTTATAGATAGGGACAATCAGAGAGAATAATCTAATAAAATATAGAGAGTAAAAGAGGTTTGGAAGAATATTTGGCTATTTTATAAGAAAGAGCAAACATTGAAGATCAATATGCCAAATCATTACACAAACTTTCCTAATAAATTGACAGATCAAGGTATATAAATTTATTATGAATATGCTACTAGTATAACATATTTAAGGGAATAATTGGTGAATTAATTAAGAGAAAAGATAGAAAGGTTGGAGAATTTTGTAGATTTAATTCGAACAGAAATAGTTGAATAAGTGAAGGAAATCCTATAGGATTAAAATTAAATATCGAAAAAGATTATTGATGAGATGAAAGGTCTAGAATGGGATTTATAAGATAAATAAGATGATTTAATGGGTGGAAAATTGGATTATAAATTGTAAGCTAGAGAATTAGAGCAATCTGGAATTTCAGATATGATTTATTAATATAGTCTTGATATTTCAGAAGATAAAGCAATAAAGTAAGCATCCAAGTAATAATTCATTTATATATTTATTAAATAGGACCTAGTAAATTTAATCTGAATGCATTAAGTTGGAAAGAGAATTTGAAATTATTGTTCTTTCCTATAATGAATTTATTGATGTTTATAAAACTAAAATGGAAAGCTATTTATCTTAGATGGAATAATAAGAGTAATAAAAATTGCTTGTACAAAAGGATACTTTAATGAAACTCTTTTTATTTGAGTCTTCAATTTCAAAATAATCCTTACAAGATACTGAAAAATTGAATGATTAGATCAGAAAAACTAATCTTTAAGATGTCATAGAGAATTTTATTAAAAAATATTAAAGACCTTAAGAAGCACCTAGATAACTTGAATTCAGACCTTATTCTTCCTTTTTAGGTAAGACAATAGACAGCATGAAGAGTTAAGAATATCAAAAACTGAAGGATATTATCAAAGCACATAATGATACATTTTACAATATTTATGAAGACTGTGTTAAGAAGAATGTAAATTATTTTATAATAATTGATAGAATTTATAAACTATTGAAGAGTAAGAATTAACACATTTGATAAATCGTAACAGTGTGTAGGCTATATACAAGATAATGTAAATTCATATTAATTGTGTATGGAATGCAAATGAAATATAAAATAATGAGACTATTATAGGATTACTTAGATAGAGTACTTTGAATAGATTACTTTGGTGTTAAGCTTTAGAAATATAGGGAAATAAAAGTAATTATAAGGTTCCATCTAATGATGCATATGAATAAATTGTTAAATGGAGTTAAAAGATGATTAATTTAGTAGATTATATATTCTATTTAGAGTGTTTAGAATTTTAGGATGCATCACCTTTGAGAAAATTAATAACTGTTAGTTCAATAATTAATGTTGCAGTTTAGAATAAGAAACACTTTTTGATGTATAACATTAAAGAAAACAAAGTCTTGTAAACAGCAGATTTTATAGAAGCTTCAGTTGTTTAGGCTATTTATGATGCATTGGTTGAAGAAATAAAGGAAGTGACTACTTTAGAAGAGAGAATAAGACGGTAAATTATTTGAATCTAATCAAGATAAAAAATAAATATCTTGACACAATTATCAAAGATATGTTTCACATTATTATAGTTTAATCCTATAAGTGTAATTAAAATGTATGCAGAAAACTATTTGAAGTAGTTATCTGTGGCTAATGATGCTACTGAAAATTTATTATTTTAGATTGAGAGTTTTGAGTAATTTTGAAATAAAATATATATATATAATTTAATATGATATTTAATAATTAAAATATAAAAAAATGATTGGATCAATTGATTATAACACCCTTCTTTATATATCTAAAATAGAAATTATCTCCTTGATTTAATTAATTATTATCTAAAGATTGAAGTTCAATGAAATATACTTCAAATCAATCCCCAACCTATTTTCTTAGTTTTTGTCCATATAATTAAATAATACTATTAAAAGTTGATAATAATCTTTCTAATATAACATTGATTTATCAACTCAATAGATATTTTTAATTACCAATCATTATATTCTGTTTCAGACATTTTGAAGTATTTTAACTAAATTTACATTCCAAATTAATGTGTTGATATACTTTAAAAAAATAGAACTGCTTGCCTGTTCTTTAAAAGTTATACTTAAAAATTTAAGCAATTCTATATGATTAAATTAATGAAGAATTAAAAAATGGATTAAATAATTTAAAAATTAAAAGGATTATCGAAATATAGCAATGATATTCTTAAATTGAATAAAAATATTTAATTATATTAGGATGAGACTATAAAAATGATTATAAATTAATTAGATTATAAAATTTATTATGATCCTTATTTTTGTGTTGATATTAATTATAGCATCAACAGAATAAATATCATTTGAGGTTTTAAATAATACAAATGTTATTGGTGGTAAATATTATCAATAGAAAAGATATATATTATAATGGCTAAAGAAAGGAATTTAAATGTAATGGTGTTTCAAACATATATGGTTAAATTGGAAATGATTCCTATGCTATCCAATAGTTTTAAATGCCTTAACATACAATGTTAAGATTGGAAGTGATTTTATATGGGTAAAATAAAGTTTTGAATAGAAATTAGAGTAGATTTAAATAATCAGATTGATTTATATGTAGATCACGATTTGGCTTGGTCTAGCAAAACATCACCCATGGTTTCGACTTAATGTGGGTTGAGTGATATGAAAATGATTTAGTTAAAATTAGATTTATCGCATAGTGGAAGTTCAGGTATAGTGATTTTTATAGCAAATACATAAGAAATTGTAATATAGTAGAATATTCATATAAGTGGGGATTTAGTGATCTCAAATTATCAGTGTAGTAATGTCCAAAAGGTTGTGTAACATGTGAAAATGAAGATACATAAGAATAATGTTCATTATGGGAATTTGGATTGAATAATTGGATATAATTTTAAAGTGTTTCTTTTGAAGGTTGGTCTATCTTTTATGGAAAGGATAAAACATCAATTTGTGGAAGTAATTGAGATTATATGATTTTAGATATTGCTTTGGTTGGAGGTTACAATAATTTTGGAATGAATACAATATTGTATAATATGATAGCAATGAAACCACATTACAAAGTAAGAATATAAGTTTTATGGGCTAAAATTGATTCATGGGATAATGAATAAGGATAGATGATGGTAGATGGAATCATAGTATGGAGGAAAAATTATACAAATTCAAATGGATATGGAAGTAAAATTTGTGGAAATTCAAATTAAAATTATAAAACAGTTTTTTAAAGAATTGATACAATAATTGATCATACTGGCAATAATATGCTTATAAATTTTACATCAACACTTGATTAAGCTTCAGATGATGAATCTTTTGGATTAAGAGATCTATTTATATATTATTTGCCATGTGCTGATAGATGTAAAGAGTGTCATGGTCCAACTATTTCAGATTGTACAAGTAATAATTAAAACTCATATATATTTTATAGAATGTTCTGATAATTTATTTTATGATTCTGGTTAATGTTTAAATATTTCAAATTTTGAGATTCTATAGTAAAATTTTAATACTATTAAATTTGATGATTTAAGTGGTTGGGAAGTGTATTAAAATCAAAATTCACCTGTGATAACTACTTGTATGGGAACAAATCTTATTGGAGGTTTTGGAGTGATTGGCAGTGGTGGATATATAACAAAAACTTTTATAGTTCCACCTCATACAAGATTAAGATTATAGGTTTTGATTTATAAAATTGATTCTTGGGATAATGAAAAACTTATAGTTGAAGTAGATGATGCATAAGTTTGGACACATGTTTGGTCTGTAGACACAGATTCTAATTATTGTGGTTAATTGTGGACTGATTCAAAAGTTTATATTGATTTGATCTTTGAACATACTAATGAAGAAGCTAGAATTAAATTTAGTTCTACTTTGAATCAAGACTCTATTGATGGTAAAAATTATTAGATATTTTAGAATCTTGGGGGTTTAGAGAGTTTACTTTGATGTATGAATCATCTGTTTAAATAATAGAATTAATGACAACAACAATAATACCTGTTGTCTATGTTTTATTAATAATTTTAATCTATTTGTGATATTACATATTAAGAATAATTTCACCATTCTAATATATTTAAATCTATCTCTAATTCACCATCATTTTTCTAATATAGTTTAATATCATAATGCCTTATGTTAGGTATAATTATAGTATGAAATTTAATATAATTTATTAAAATTCAGTATTATTTCATTAATATAAAACTATATTAATCAATAAGTGATAAACAAAATGAAAATATAGTAGAATAAATGGGAAATTAATTATTTAGATATCAATGAATTAGAGTAAAAGGAAAACTTTATTTTTGTATCAATTAATGTATTTATTTGAAGCTAAGAGATATTATATTATATAAAATCAAAATAAAAATTAATTCAGATTATATAAAAATTATTCTTTTTAATTCAACTTATAATTATCAAAATTACCATGATGATATTATATTTAAAGAATTTGATCATATTTATAATATAGAAATATATTAATTAATTTAATTAATCTAAACCAATCTCATATTACGCTATATATAAAACTATATTAATGATTTTCATTTCAAATTATAAGATTAAACTTTTAAAGAATTTTCTATTGATAATCATTTAACTTTAATTGTTATTTTGTAATGAGGAAATATATCTTTGTGAAATGGCAGGAATTTTTGATGCATAATAACTAAAATTATATCAACTTCTAAATTCCATATTCATTATATATTATATATTCCAAAAAGTCTTTTACGTATTTATTTATGTCAAGGGTTTAGCTCATTTAAAGAATAATTTTCATTATTTATGGATTATTTATGGTTTTTTAATATATAAAGGAGGCTTTGGAGATTAGGAACGAATTTAATTAATTTAGCTGAATTTTATAAAAAATAAAGAAAAGACTGTAAAAGTAAAGGTTATTATAACTATTACTTTTAGTATAAATAATAAAAACTTGCTCAAGAAAAATACTTTCATTTTGCTTATTTATTAGATTCATTTTTATTATTTCATAGTTTATATTTTATATCATCTTTAGATATTTCTGCTTCAACTCAAACAAATTTATATACAAAAGAATAGGTTTTTTTAGGTATTTATTAAATAGATTCCTCATTAAATATACAATCTCATTTATTTATTATAAATAAGCATATGTGGCTTATTTTTGATTTTTGATTACTTCATAATTTCAGATTACGCCAATATGAAAATACTTAAAATAAGAATAAGGATAGGTATAATTACTAATTAGGTATTTAGATAGGTATAATTACTAATTAGGTATTTAGAATGGTTAAAATCAACAAAATATTATAGACTTAATATCTAAAATATGTTTATATTGAATACTAATATATATGTAGTCATTCAGATAGAAAGATTAGAGATCCCTAAGATTCCTTTGATTGTAATTTTGCTTTTTTTAATTGAAGATAGTCCAATTCTTTTTTCTTCTGGTTTCGAAATTCCAATAACGAATTTATGTTTCTGAATCTAATTGATAAATCCTTCTTATTTAGGTGATGAGCAATGAGTTTCTAAGTCTGTCTCTAAAAAGTCCCAATCAGAAATGGATATCTTAGTTGATTGTTCTTCAAATGTATTTTTACAATTCATTTTATGATTTTCCGATAATTTAAGATTGATAAAAATTAATCTCATGTTTAATAGTGCATAGTAATATATATTGTATACAAATTTATGTTGTTATTTATAGAGATTTGACAGTCATTTTTAACTATTTCATCTCTAATTTTCAATTAAATCCATTAATATTTTAATGAAAGTGAATACAATATATAAATTATTTAATTTAAAACTAATTTAATTATAACAATAATCGGCTTAATTATTTTAATATCTAAAAATTAATATAAAATTAGATGTTAAAATGGTTTAAATTACCTAGATTATTATCTAATATTAAGAATTCAAATAAAATCTGAGAAATCATTTTCAATTGACAAAATAAAGAGTAAAATTGAATTTCTATAAATTGTTATGTGATTGAAAAAAAACCAATAATATAAGATTTTGAAAATACAATTAATTAGTCAATAAATATAAAATGGCTGATAAGAATAAATGTTGATCATTATGTATTTATAATTTATTTTAAGAAAATATGAGATATAAAAGATATTAAAAAAACCATTAAAGCATAATAAATTTTTTAATGATAATTAATTTATAGAATTAACAAATCTTTTAATATAATTTTATACAAATAAAATTATATGAAAATAGAAATTGAATATTATGATATATTTATGAAAATTAATAATTCATAGTTTTAAATAATGTTTAATAAATTTTGTGTATTGTTCATGATTCTTCATTCTCATTTACATGATTGTAAGAAGGCAATCTTATTTAAATTTTTTAAGTGGTTCTTTATCCACTTATTATTTTTTTGTTATTTATAAACATTTAGCTTAAGTATTTTGTTGTATTTCTGCAAGATTGTATTGTTCTTAAAAGAATTAAATAAATGCATCATCAATTACATCCAACAATTAATGATGAGCTTGCATAGGTTATCTATTAATTATATCTAAAATATTTATACTTTAATGTTTGTATAAAAAATACATCATAAAATAACATATGTGAAATATCAACTATTTTATGGATGGAGAACTCAAATTTAAGTTTTTATTACATGTTTGTCAATTCCTTTGATAGATATTTTAAGGTTAGATTTTCTCTTCTATCTGAAAGATCTTTACGAGCTTGAGAGGATAAAATACTAAAAATTGAAGGATACCAAATAGATAATGCAATTATGAAGTCAGACTTAATATTTAGTTTATAAAATTCTATCAATTTATCATAGAGATTGAATAGTTAAACATTTGTAAACTTCTTTAGTTCTATATCTTATTTAGAATTGTTTATTTTTTAGTATGATTACTAAAAATGATAATTGTAAATGTTATAATTTATTAGAAGATCTTCCCAATAATCCAATGATAATTATTCTAAATAATTAGCATAATAATTGATTGCTTCATGAAATGGAGGATCATATTCTTCATTAGTAGCCATACGTAATCTATAAAAGTTCCTTACAAACTTTAAAAAATCTAAGTCCTTTAGTTCCATATAATCCATTAATATAATTCAAATTTTAATTAAAATGATGCCTAACAACTAGTACTAGAGTCCTTAAAGTTCTTAATTACCTGTACAAAGTTACAAGTACTTAGAAGTTGTGCGTGAAGAGGATGCTGAAGATGAGAAACCAACACATATTTTTAGCGAGAATCTAACGGAAAGTTAAACAAGTAAATTGAATTCACATATTATTTTAAGGAATGCTTACTGCCTATACAACTCCAATGAAGAACATTAAACGAAATGGAGGCAATTCATCATCTTCAGGAAGGAGTCCCTTTTAAGAGCTCTAAAAATCAAGTTCCAATTAGGTAATTCAAATTACAGAATGTTTAGAAAATATTAACAACTGTAACACCAAACAAGAATTCAGTTTTGAAGTTCAGATGAAATTTTTTTTAATTTGCATTTCCCCTTATTAAAATGCATTACTGTAATAAATTACTCTTTCTCTTTATATCTATTAATAATATTCATTTAATAATATTTGATATCATAATTTAATATGTAATTTTAATATAATTAGTTTCAAAGAAAAGATATCTTTTAAATCTCATTACACTATCTTAATAATAAAAATTTATAACACTATAGTTTATAATATATATTTCTTTTGAACATTTATTAATATTTAAAGTAATGTAATAAATTGATTAATTCATAAATTTTGTTGGATTAGAGGCATGTGACTATGAAAAAACCCTTATAGGGATTTCGCATTATCTAGGATTTAGAAGGCCAAGTTATCTAGCTTTGCTATATTTGTCATTCTCCCTATTGTTGATTTATTTAAATATTCAACCGCAATTTATTAGTGACTTTATTGGATTTTGTTTTCCAACCTTTAAAACATTGTAAGCTTTAAATTCCATATGTAAAATATTTAAATATTAATTTTAGATGACTCTCAATTGAAATGGATAACTTATTGGATAATGTACTCACTAGTGGTATTGAGTCACAAAATAATTCTTTATTACATTCAAGCATACACTCTCTATTATATTTTGAGAATTGCAGTGTTTATATACTTGTTTTCAAGTGGAGCAGAAAAATTGTAATAATCCATAGAAATCCTATACAAAAAGTATTCATAGAGCATAGAAAGAAAATTGGAGGAATTAAATTAAAAATTCACTTTTTGAAAATGATATTGTTAATATTCAGATTTTTTATGGGGATCAAAATATTTGCTATCCTCCTATATTCTCTGTAATTTTTATTGTAGTTAAAAACATGTCTTTGAAATTAAAGCCAAAAAATATTTCTTATTTTATTTCTTTAAAAAATACTTTATTTATTTATAGAATATCTATTTATATTCATATATAATTGATTTTTTATCAAATTTATTTAGTATCAAATCATTCTCATTTTTTTAATCTGATTTTTTAAAGTTTTTTTGTATATAACCAACATCTTATAATAAGTCTTACTTATCTTCAATTAAATTTAAAATTTATATAAATTTATAAATGTTTATCACTTATCCTTAAGAAAATTATCTGATCTTTAAGTTTATTTTTAAAGATCAATTGATTACATTTTAATTTTACTATTATTTGACTTGACTTAATTTTTACATAAGTGTTTCATCATTCAAACATATATATAGTTTCTATTTTGGGTAAAATAAATAAAAGATTAAGCTTTTTGATTTAGATTTGTCTTTGGAGCTCAAAATTCTATTTTATTAATGAATCAACCAAAAATTCTAACTCTACAATTTATTCAATTCTGACAGCCTAACTAACAAATTTACTTTTATAAAATCTGATGGTTGGTTTTGATCCTAATTCAATTTTATTAGTTTTAAATAAACTATATATTCATTAATTGATAATGTTTTTTACTTCAAATTTTATTTATACTCTTAAAGTAATTTTTATTAAATTTTTTAGTGATTTAGTTCAATATTTATAATGTAAATGAATAACTACTTTTAAATTTTATATATATAGAAATGATAGAGGATCATGTGGATATTTGATTTATATAATTGATATATTTTATTTGTTATGGATGTTTATTTATAAATAAAAATAAATGGATAATTATTTCACAATAATCAGTTTGCTTGGTTTGAGAAATCAGAATTTACCACCATTTAGGTAAATGATGATAGGTAATGATTTAGAGAAGCTCGTTTAAAACGTTATAAATCAATAAAGAAAATGGTTGAATTGATTGAAACAGCAGGATGGACCCAACCAAAGATACCATTTAATGCATTTTGTCTAAGTTCATAAGACCGTATATAATTGAATATGATTTTGATTAGCTGAATGGGAAGATGATATGACTTATCCAGTAATCGAATATAATAAATTTGGATATTAAGCAGTGGCATTTGGAATTAATTTGGTATGTATATTTAATAATGAAAAGTTCCTTTATGCTTACAATTATAATGTTATAACTCAAAACATTAGATTCAGAACATTTAGATATCTCTTTCCAGTTGTATAATGTGTTATATTTGGCAAAATTTATTTCGAATATAAATCAGAACTAACAAAAGTAAATTTATTTGATGAATATGTTCAATTGAGAGCATAAGAATTGGTTAAAGAAAATGAATTTTTATTGGAACATGAAGGTTGAATCTATTTATATTAATGTAGATATCAAAAGATTTGTATGGTGGTATGAAGATTATAAAGAGACTTTGTGTAGAGTTCACAGACAAGCAAATGATCATGCAGCCACAGATTTTAAAGATTCAGAATTAATCTTACAAGATTTTATTAGAAGATATACAAATCCAAACTCACCTAGACCACTCAACTATTAAGAGAAAGGAGTCTTATTTTGAAATAATCATTTATCCAATTATCATTACAATAGAAAAATTTTAATTACTCCATCAAAATTCATGCAAACAACATAATTCTAAAATTCTGCTACATTTGCAACTCCATCCTATGATACACTTTGTATATTCTTAACTTATAACACTTTCTCTTTTTCTTATGCTTTCACAAATAAACCATTTTCAGGATTTAATTAATTTAAATCAACATCTGTTATTGATATTGTACCATCATAACAACCACATATTATTCTAAACTCTGTTGCACTTATTGAACTGAATACTCCTCTAGAAATAAATGAGTTATGTCCCACCAAACGTATCCATGAAATTTTAGAATTAAAATTTATCACATAAGCAGAATCATCCTGGGCCCCTAAACAAACCTATTTAACTAGCTCTACTTACACTGCTGAAATTTGGATTAAATGAAAATGAACAAATCCCACAACATTCAGTTTTAAATGAAAACAATGGTTTATTACTCATCACATCTAATAATCTAAAATATCCATCTAATCCACTCATAGCTATACATAATCCCTTCTCCATTCTTTACTCTGGCTTATTAAGATGTTCCAATGGACTAAAGGGTAATATTTCAATATCATTAATTGACATTGATTCAAACCTAAATATAAATTATGGATTCATCTTAGGCTAACAAAACTAAAAGTTAGAAAATTCACCATAATTTAAATAGTGATAATGAAAATTGGGGTCACTTTCGAATTTTTTCAAGGTCTTTTAACTTACTTACATAATATTAAAATGCTACCTAACTTTTTATGATATTAGAATGATAATCGAATGAATTTTTCATATTCATTATAGAATTTGAACATTAAATAATCTTAGTGATAAATACAAACAACCCCCTCTAGAAATAAGGTAACAAAATATTTTTGAAAAATATGGATTTTTATGGGTCTTTTCTTAATTATAGGTTCTTAATTCTATCGATTGAATTCTTTAATTATTCGTTGCGTCGAAATCTACTTTTACATTATTCTACCATCCATATATCCAGCTATAATGTTATCAACATCCAATAATCTGAAACAACATAATAGTTGATTTGGCAATTCTTCATGTTATTTATTCTAGACAGCTTTAGTGCCTGTAAGACCAATATAAGCAAACATTCTTGGAATTTTTAATGCCATTAATGTCTCACTTTTTTAAGCTTTAGATTATTAAAAGATGCATAATTACTAATAAAATCAGTCTAAATAGTTTCAGGATCTGTAAATGGCTCTTTACTATTAATTGAACACACCAGATATAATTTGTTTAATTTTGGTTATTAGACATCTAAAGTTATTGATTCATCTATAATTTTTTATTAATCCATGATTTAAAATGAATAATAATATTGTTATTAACCTTATTAATAAATCATACAAATGTTATATTTATAATTAGATCAAATATATATAGACAACATATCTCTTTATATAGATTTTGAATAAATTCACAAAAATAGATTCTTTAATCTATTGATACAATTTATCCCTGATTCAAAATATACTTTCTCACATTCTAAACCCTTTTTATGAATTAATTTTTCTAAAGCATATCCTTTTCTAACAAAAATAATATCCTCTTTTCTCAATATCGTTCCTGGACAATAATCATTTTTGCCATCTCCAAAATAACATACTTTTTCATAATTATTTAATTAATAATTATTTAAAATGATAGTTCTTTTACACATATTTCTAGGACATGTTGATTAACATTCATTCTTATGATATGGAAAGATTGATATTTCAATATCATCAATAATTTAAACTGGATTAGTATAAATTTTATCAAATATATCTTTAAGATTTTATTTTTCTAATATAGAATCAATGAAAAATGTATTTGAATCACTAGCTATTATACATTCAATTTAGTCTTTATTTTCTCTATTGTAAATATATTATATAATTATGTACCTAATAAAATTAAACAATTCTCCAAAACCTTATGTTAATTGGATTTCTTGTAAACAATTTTAAATCTATTAAACACTTATATCATTATGATAATAAAATTATAAGACCTTTCTCATAAATTTATTCCAATGCTTTTCTTATTCAAAATAAGAAGGCAAACTTTTACGACCATCTGGTAGTAATTTCAATATATATGTATCTGTATTATGCTCAATTATGGTATGGTCAAAATCAAAAATGAAGAGATATCTTTTCTTTAACATTATATAATAATAATTCAATTTTCAACATTTGAATTGTATTAAGACAGATTCACCTAATTTGATCCAATTCTACAATCCTTTCTAAAACTCAGATAAATTTAATGATATATTATTCGTATTAAAAGTGGTATCAATAGAATTAACAATGTATACATTTTTATAAGTGGGTGTTTATCTCAAAATATCCAAGCCTTTTATTATTATAGAATGAAGAGATACTTTCCAAAATATATGTTGCTTTCTCTAATAATTATTAATCATTAGATGATTTGGCTAGTTTAATAACATCATAAGCTCTAGATTATTTATCCATCCAAATTTATTCTTATGTATCAATATTGTTGACTTGTAATTCATAATGCTGATTTATCAAATTAACAACTTCATCTTTTCTTTATTTTATTAATTAAAATATTTTAGTAAAAGTTTATTCAATTTCTTTGAGTACTTTTTATTTAGATTCTTCAAATGTAAGTTTTGTATGTCTAATATCTACAAGAACAGTTTCTGTTTTTTCTAATTTTAATAGTCCTTCTTTTGCAGCTGTATCCATTTATGTTCTTAAATCTTTTGTTGCCTTATCCATTTAATCAACTAAATGTCCTTTATGATCTCCAAACATAAGACATGTTGGACATATTAAACTATTATATATTGAAATTATTACACATGACAAACTGTACAGAAGGCTTCAAGTTATCGTTTATGATTAATACATTCACCAACTCTTTATGTCTCATCACTATTGTATTATTTATTTGAAAATCCAGATTTAGCTTGTTCTGAGTTCATATATAAATAATATATTATAAATTTATTTATTTAATACAAAATGTCAGAGCATTCACACTTAATGGATGAGAATGTTGTGTAATCATAAATAAATTTCAAATACAAAACAAAATTAAATGGAATGTATAAAATTATGAAAATTTATTTATAAGATCAGAACCATGTGAATTCTATTGTTTTACTTGTAATCAACCTAGAATATCAAGAATAGAATATTCATATAGCAAAGCAACATTTATATGGTGTTGTATATTATGTTTTTGCACAATCATATTGGGTCTAGTGCCATTTTGCATGTAGAAATGTTCTTCGAAAACGCATTATTGTCCTATTTGTGATAAGATAGTTGGATATACAGATGGAGAACTTTGTTGATGAATAAATATATTCTAAGAATCATTTCTTCTCAAAAATTGTAATATCAAAGTTTTCAATATCCTATTTTAACAATTCCTTTCTGTTAATATTCTTTTCCTTTGCTCTCTTCTTTAATCCTCTTAAATATTATCCTTTAATAAATCTAACATGATTTGGATTAACATCACCCATAAATTTAGCTATCTTCTTATTATTAACTACAATTTCAAAATATTTGTACAATCCCTCCAAAAATTATTTATATTATTCTTCTTTCCATTCTTCTCTATTATCACTATGATATATATATGATCTATATTGAAAATAATATGATTTACCTCTTTTATTAAGTTTTAGGAGCATTAATATAATTTAGATATTCCTCTATAGCTTAATTAACTTATTCTAAAGAAGTTTTTAATCCCAAAAGACCATCTTGATTGGATTTGAGTACTCCAAAATATTCCTTGAAATGTTCCTTTTTAGATGTGTATACAATTTCAATATAACTCTTGTAGACTCTCAATAAATCATCATATTAATCAAAAGGTATATCATAATACAATTCTAATTGTGCAAGGACATTAAAATAGTAATAATCATTCTACATATCAGTTTTATTCCATTTTTAATAAGAATTAAGGGATTTATCATTTTTTTCCTCTTCTTCATAATCCAATTAATTAATTTTCTGATCTTCAAATTTATAATCAATTTCTAAAATTTATTAAGCAAATCTTAATGATAAGATTAGAATATTTCTAATTAATAATAATTCTTTTCTATAACTAGCAGGAGTACTAGAGAAATAATTCATTAAACTAATGTTTTGATTTCTACAATACTATTCAAAATCAGTCATCAATTTATCTTTTGATTATTCTAAATACTTCTAAAATAATTTCATGGATGTTTTAGATTCAACATTATCATCTAAGATAATATTCTTTTTTTGTTTATTTTATTTATAATTTTCCTGATCACTTAAACACAAATACAAAACTAAATTTTGTATTCTCAAATGTTATCTTGTGAATATACAATTCTCTCCAAATATAAATCTGTATATATATGGTAAAATCACCATATCAATCTTATAATAACAATATACTTGATTTGGAACAAATATTGTTCTTCTTTCATCAACATCCTATCTTTACTATTCTTTTATCAAAGCTCTCTTATCTCTATATGAAACTTAATCAGTTTTATTAGATCTAGTCTCTTTATTTTGAATATAAGTGACTTTATTCATTAGATCAACAGATTAATTCTTTATTTGATCAATTTATTATTGTAATTTCAATTGATATTTTCTATTTTTACATTCCACAAGAGATTAAATAACTTCATTATATGATTCTATTGCTTATAATTGTTTATTTTAAGAGCTAAATTTTATAATGATATTTTTTTACTTAGCTTGATCATATTCAGAAATCAAGGATATCACTTCAGGAATCTTCAAGAATTCACTCTTGTAATCAATCTTTGAAAAGTCTAAAGTTGCCAAATATTTTTTTAATGCATATGCATCTAAAAGTATTTCAGATAATGATTTTTTCCCTCCATTCTTTTTTACTTATTCCTAAGTACAATTTGGTTCCAGAGTATGTAATAATTTTAAACGTAATTACACTTCATTCCAAGCTTCACTACCATGAATCCAAAACTTTTAATTGAGTCTCATTTCCATAATTATATAACTTGTTAATTCCTTTATTGTCTTGCTTCTCTATGGTTAGATTGCTAATTCTAATAAATATGTTTGTAATTCAAACTCAATTAATGAACAAAATTCTTTATGAGAGATTTTATGCATAATATGAGAAGCAAGATGAGGAAGGTAATTGATGTTTAAATATGTATATGGACCCAATTTTGGTTCTTCAGGAGTGAATATATGAAGATCAAGAGTATTCTCATCCATGTTGAATTTATCCATTTAATAATTTTAATGTATATATATGTACTAGATAACTTCACAATGCCTTTATTTTATCTTCGACAAATTATTTTTCATTTTCGCTAACCTCTATTGCAAAGTCCTTTACTGCTACAGATGAACATTTTCTTGATTTGATCTTCTTAGTCTTTGTAAGGAACTTTGAAATACCAATCCATTCACCAAGTAAAGCACCTTTTTCAACCTTCCAAACAGGAATTTAGAATTATTTTGCCAAAGCAACAACCAATTTCTTATATGTGTCTTCTGTGCAATCATCAGCTAACACTACGAATTTGGCCTAAACTCTTTTTTATTACAATACTTATTTGCTTTCAATTGCCTTACAAACTTCATGGACTCCCTTAGCCAATTGTCCTCTGTGTAATGATGTTTATACTACTCTTTTTAAGGTTGTAAGTTCCTCTGATAATTGTTCGACTTCAGCCATAATAAAATAATTTAAATCTTATTTAAATTAAATAACAACAAAAACTCAATAAACCATTATTTTCTTAGCATCATCAATTATTAGAACATGTTTTCATTTTGATTACTCTCATTTATTAAATACATATTTTATAATTAATCATCATTTAATAATAGTTCATACAATAGAATTTATTAATTGTATAATATATATATATATATAATATATTTAATCATTATCTTCATTATAAAAGAGTATTAAAACATATTTATACCTTAATTAAATATTTACATATTTTTTGCATTAATAAATACATTCTAAATATATTTCTAATCTCATATTAATTATTGTTTCTAAATAGTTTATTCTATTTTACTCAATATAACATTGAATACTAAATATAGTATTGAAAATCAGAAATTTAAAACTAGTTCTTCAATTATGCTTCTTTAAGTTAATTATAAATCTATTTAGATAATGTAGATATTTCTATTTATTAATTAAAATTATTATATAAATGGGCGTTGCTTGTTCAGGGAATAAGAGGAATGAACAGTTATTGTAAGAATAATTAAGAAAGTTAGATTGCATGTTGATGTTTACATATGGAAAGAGAAGGAAAAGAAATACCATCTTTATGATTACTCTAGTCATGATTCACATTATTAATAATTGTAGTTGATTTAAGATACAAAATTATGCAAGTATGGAGAAAACATTTTAGCTGTTTAGCCAAATGTATATAAAACTCATTTATTAATAGTAAACAATAGAAGGAGCACAAGAATTATTTGTGATTAAGGAAAAGGTTTTGAGGCCTATTACAGAAATATGGTCAATAATTAGAAATGATTAAGTAAATGGAGTTCCAGTAACGAATGTATATATAAGTTTGTATGAAAGAGAGTATAACTATTTCCTGGATAAACTATAAGACTAGGACGAGTAAAAATTATATTGTGGGAAGCTTGTTTTAATTAGGCTATGGCAACTGAGGAAAGCGAAAAAGAGAAAGATGAAGATGTAAATGGATTGGATGATAGTGATAACAGCAATGCTGAAAACTCTTGTAGGATTTGCATGAGTAAAGTAGGAACGATTTAAAATCCACTGATAAATCCATGCCAATGTAACTAGTATCATTTAAACATATTGCAGGTTCTGGATCTGTCAAATACATACACATTAAATGTCTTTAATAGTGGATACACAATAAATTTAAGATTAGAGAACTCAATAATATTGTCCTTTATTTTTGGTCAAATTTAATTTGTGAGATTTGCAAAGAATAATATAAATGTAAAACCATATATTCATACATATATTAGTGGAATATAAGTTTAAGAATAGAAAATATCATTTAATTGACATTCCAAGACCTAAAGAAGCATATTTCATATTTTGGATTAGTCATATTGATAAAAATAAAGAGAAAGGATTATATGTGATCAATTTAAATGGAAGAAGCAATATTAAGATTGGAAGAGTATAAGAAAATGATATTAAATTGTAAGATATCAGTGTGTCTAGAAATCATGCACTGATAACTTTTAATAGAGAGGATGAATCAATCTTTTTAGAAGATTTAGGAAGCAAATTTGGAACTCTCTTATAAATAGATGAATTGAAACTTGATACTAAATCAATTATTTAAGTTGCAAATTCAGTGTTTATTTTTGACTATTTAAAAAAAAATCAGAAACATTATGAATTGCCAAGTTTCTACAAAGTGGTTGAAAAAGAAACACAATAGCTACCTTAAGTAATGAGATACAAAAATAATATATTTAGGATTGTGTCGAAGATGACGTCCTGGTTAATGTGGATAATAACAAGTATTTAAGTGGAGATAATGAAGCCCCATGATTTTACTGAACAAAAAAAAAAAACTATATTAATATATGATTCATATGTAATTGAATGACATACTATTTTTATTTTTATGTTTACAACAAGATTGGCCTATAGATTTGCCAAATCAGTTCCGGTGGTTGATGTTACTTCATTTCTTGCCAAAAAGGGTGACTCATCAGCTTAATGTGCTTAAGTAGCTGAAGCTCTTCATAACTATGGTGCTGTTTGTATCAAGGATCCAAGAGTCAATGATCGTCATAATGTCGATTTTCTTGATATGATGGAGAAGTATTTTGAAAGCAGAGCTGCCAAATTCTATAATAATGAAAAAGTAAATTCTTTATCTAATTTCTAGGTTGAAGATATCTTTCCTAATTATTCATATCAAGTTGGGGCTACTCCAGAGTTTGTTGAGAAAGCCCGTACACATACAAATGTAATTAGATAATACACTAAAGAAAATGAAGCATACACACCTTAACCAGCTCCTTATGTATTTGAATTAACTATTTTATTTTAGGATGCTAAATGGAGATTCTTTTGGCCTATTGATGATTCTGGAAAGCGAAATAAAGATGAAGAGTTAATTTTATTAATTAAAATATTAGTTTCAAACCACCAAGATTCAGACCTAAAGATGTTCCTTAATTTGGAGAGAGAATGGAATAATGGGGTAAAATGATGATTAATGGATGTTTAACTGTTGCTGAAATGGCTGCTATTGGTATGAGTATACCAGCTGATACATTTACAACTAGAATGTAAGGAGGACCTCATCTTTTGGCTCCAACTGGATCAGATTTAGATAGACACAAACTTGGAACTGTTTTTGCAGGTTTTCATTATGATCTTAATTTCTTAACTATTCATGGAAAGAGTCGTTATCCTGGACTTTATGTATGGTTAAGGAATGGAGAAAGAATATCTGTTGCTGTTCCTGAAGGTCATCTTCTTTTATAAGCAGGGGCTTAATTTGATTTACTGACTGGAGGCTATGTTACTTGTGGTTATCATGAAGTATTCAATCTATTTTGATTTATATAGGTTATATATACAGAAGATGCTAAAAAGAGATATGAGGAAAATAAGAAGGCAGGAAAGAGTACTTGGAGAGTGTCATCTACATTGTTTTCTCATATTAATTCAGAAGTCACTCTCTAACCTTTAGGTAAGTTTGCTAAGTAGGGATTACCAGAAAAGTATAAGCCAATAAAAGCATTTGATCAAGTTCAATAAGAATTGGAGGCTATCAAATTAAAATGAAATTGTTATAACATATTATATAGGATAATTCATATAATATATTTATTCATTATAATTTAAAAAATGAGCGAAGAGATTGAACCTTACATATCTAAGAAATTCGAGATCATTTAGAAATTAGGAAAAGGAGCTTATGGAATTGTATGGAAGGCAATTGATAAGAAATTGAAGCAAGTATTTTTGTATATGAAATTTCAAATAGGTAGTTGCCTTAAAGAAAGTTTTTGATGCTTTTCATAATGCCACAGATGCTTAAAGAACATTTAGAGAAGTAATGTTTCTTTAGGAATTGAATGGACATGAGAATGTTGTGCGTTTACTCAATATAATGAAAGCTGAGAATAATAAGGATTTATATTTGGTTTTTGATTATATGGAGACTGATCTACATGCAGTAATAGTAAGAAGTTCATTTTAAAGATTAGCGTGCCAATATTTTAGAAGAAATACATAAGAAATATATTGTATATTAAATTTTGAAGGCTCTTAAATTTATACATTCAGGGGAATTAATTCATAGAGATTTGAAACCATCTAATGTTCTTTTGAATTCTGAATGTTTAGTAAAGGTGGCAGATTTTGGATTAGCTAGAAGTTTGGTTTAGACTGAAGATGATGGTTATAATAATATCATATATTTTTATAGGGATGGTTCTTCTCACTGAATATGTTGCTACTCGTTGGTATCGTGCACCAGAAATTTTACTTGGTTCAACAAAGTATAGTAAGGCAGTAGATATGTGGTCTGTGGGTTGTATAGTAGGAGAATTGATACTAGGTAGAGCTATATTTCCAGGAACATCATCTTTGAATTAAATTGAACGTATAATAGAATTACTTGGAAAACCAAAAGCAGATGAATTAGAATCATTAGATAGTCAATTGGCCGCTAATATTCTAGCTTCAATTAATGCCTCGAAAAAGAAATCATTTGTTTAATTCTTTACTGGAGCTACAGAAGAAGCTCTTGATTTAATTCGAAGATTACTTTGTTATAATCCAAAAACAAGATTAACAGCAGAATAAGCTTTAAAACATAGATATGTTATAGAATTCTCGTAGCCAGATGAAGAAATTGTAAGTTTGTAGCCATTCAAAATTTCGATGAATGATAATAAGAAATTTACAATAAAGGAATATCGTGAATCTTTGTATGCAGATATATCTCAGAGAAAAAAGGATCAACGTAAGAAATGGTAGCTAAAGTATTTGGCCTAGTTAGGTGTCAATTTGGAGGATGAGAATGATAAAAAGTACTCTAATCCTTCTATTTCAGACTAAAAAATAAAGTACCTAGTCCAAAACGCCAAGACGATATGATAGATTTAAATAAGGTTGATGATTCACAATTGATTTATCAATAACAAATGTAACAACAAATTCTGCAACAAAAAAAGAATTAGAGACCCCAATCTTAATCTGGAAATTAAGTCAGGTAACATAGTCAAGATGTAGCCAGAACTATTTCTTAAGAAAATTCAATGTAATAAATTTAAAATACATAATAAACTCATCATAAATCAAATTCAATAGTTATGAATTCAAATTAATATAAATAAGGTTATTATTATCCATTTTAGTAACCAAATAATAATTAGTAATAGACTTAAAAGTATAATGGAATTAATAAATCAGTAAATAATGTAGTTCAATAATAGATGGGAAGATCTTCAACAGGATACTATTAAAAAGTCAATAAAAAATGATTTATGCTTAAAAAAATATAATTTATATATATATATAAATGAAAACTTCATACTTTTGGCGTAATTAGAGATTATAAGTAATGCCTTTGACTACTCCTCAAAATAAATCTAAATTAGAAAATAGATTAATTAAAACAAAAAAGTAACTAAGCTTTCATGAATAAGAGAATTGGAATGATGAACATATATTAAAATATCGAAATCACTTGAAAGATGTAAGAGAATTAAAATAAAAATGGCAATTTATTGATAGACCAATGAATGCTTCAGTATCAGAAAAGGCTAAATCTGATATTCTCGATATGGAATAATCAGTAATCATATCATATATATATATATAATTAGATACAACATGTATCTCTTGAAAAACCTAAAAAAAAGTTGATTATTCGTCCATTTAGTTCCAAATAGTAGAAATTATTATCTTAAATCTCACAAATCTACAATTTTTAATCATGTGCTAATCGTTAAAATAAAATAAAACTCTATTTATAATCTGATGATAATTATGCTAATCGTTCATTTAGATATTACAAGAATTTTACAAATTATCTTAACTCAATCAAATGACTCTTATATATATATATATATATTATTATTATTATATTTTATAATGATGCGAGCAGAATTTCAGATTTTGGAAGAAGAAATAGACGAAGACTATGAACCTAGTAGAGAGGGTAAATAAACACAACCATTATTTAGAAATTCTTGAATATGCTGAATGTTTAGGTTTAATAACATCATAATTATGAAGGTATGTCTCCAAGAAGTGACACCAAGTATTTTCATATAGCCAAAGAAGGATTAAAAACACCACTCCCTCCCCCTTGGAGACCGGCCTAACTTAGAAATGGAGATATTGTCTATTATAATCCTGTTACTAAAGTTCTTTAATAAGAACATCCTTTGGATGAATATTTCAAGTAAAACTTATTCATAATTACAGACGCAAATATATAGAAGAGAAAAAGAAAGATGTATAAAATGCTCAACCATCAAAAACATCTAAAAAATTGAAAGGACTTTGTGAATAACTTAGAGAACCTACAACATAAGAAACAACTTAGAAAACAGAAAAGAAATTATCATAAGCAGCAGATATTAGTCATAATAATTTATCTGATGTACCTTTATTGAATGAAAGTGTATAATTACAAGAGTAATTCGAATTAATCGATAATTAATTTAAATTTGAACTTACATAATATGAAAAAGAATAAGAGTCTTTTGTAATGCTATATAAAATAAATAGAGCAAAATAATTTGAATAAGATAAATCTGAAATATCAGATTCCTCTTTTGAAGATTTTAATATAAATGTACCTGAGAAGGCATTATAAATTAGATAGAAATTTTTAAATTAAAAGGAAGAATTGAAAATAAAAATTTAAGAAGAAATTGATTAGAAACTTATAATTGAATAGTCTAAAATATAAGAATAATCTACATCTAAATTACTTGATTATAGAGCAGCAAAATAAATAAAAAATGAATAAAGAATTTAATAACTTTAAAGTGAATGGGAATCAAAATTATAAAATGTGAAATAAAGAATTAAATCATCTTAAAAAGAATTAGAAGATAAAAAATTGTAATAATAATCTATGGTTTCTTAATAATAATAAAATTTATAGACAAAATGGTTAAAGATTTAAGGTTAATATGATAAATAAATTTAAAAGGAGTATTAATAAATCTTGTTTAATATGGATGAAATATTAAAATAAAAAAAAAATGATATAGTTCTTTAATTAAAACAATTCAAACTATAAAAATCTTAAGAATTACATAACTTATATAAAGAAAATTCTGAATTTAATATTAAGAAAAGATTGAGAGAAATATATAGAGAAAAATTAGAATTGGCTAAAGTTTCTAATCTTCATGATATGGAGAATGATTTAAAATAAGAAGAAATTTCTTAATATGAATAAATGACAGAAAATATTATTAATTATAAGAATATGTTAAGAACTAATTTTGTAAAATTAAAATAATAATAAATTGATAATGAAAGAGTTTATCTTAATAATTATTATAAGGAATAATTGTAAGCCTTTAAAGTTGAAAATTTTAAATGTACAGAACTTTAAATTTAGAAATTAGAATTAAGTTAAATTGTTATGGCTAATTAAAGTTTTTCTTAATTGGATAATTCATAATTAAAAGTTTAAATTAATCCAGATATAAGAATATAAAAAAAAGAATTAGAACTTCAAATTTAGGAATACAGAACAAAAATTGAAAATTTAAAAGCTAAATTTTTTAATATAGATTAATCCAAAAGAGATGAAGAATTTCTAATAAAGTAAATATTGAGCAAATAATAAGGGTCTTAAGTTAAAATGATAAAATTGACTTTCTGTAATAATCTCTATAAGAATAAGACAATATCTTAAATGAATTAACAAAAAAATATGTGTCTTAGCCTGTTATGACTAATAAAGGAATTTAATAAACTCCTAAATTATAAGAGCAAGATCAATGGGTTAATAATGTAGAATAAGAAATATAATGGTTGGTTTTATAAAAAGAAAGACTAAAATATGATAAAAAGAAATTATAAAAAAGTTATGAAAAATTGAGTTTATTAGCTTCAACTAATGATTAAGTTGAAACTTATAATAAATGTGTTAATGTAGTTAGGAATAATTAATAAATTTTAAAAAATTGTGAATATATCATAACGTATAATTGTTATTATAATAATTTAGATAACTTTAGTTTAATTGTTAATAATATAAATAAACAAAATTGATTTAATATCTTAAAGAGAATGATAAATTATAAGAGGAATTGTAAACATAGAAATCATTAATTGGAAATATTAGTCAAATATAATTAGATACATCATTTCCTACATATAAATAAGTGAGTTAAAGTTTTCATTAAAGTGATTTTGATTAAAGTTATTTAAAATAACAAACAAACAACCAAAAATAATTACTTCGTGATGTCAGAGATAGTGTATTATATTTTCAAATTATAAATAGCTAAATAAATCAATGCTTTCAAGAATGTATTGAATCCCTAAGTGTACTATTTGATTAATATATATTCATATCAATATATAATTCATTTATAAATATTGTAATAAACATCTAAATATTGATATATCTAAATTTTTATTAAACACCATTTATAATATATATTAATGTGAAATTCATTATAAAATATTTCAATTTAATGGACTTCTAAATAAAAAAGTTAACTACTGTAGTAAATTAGATATCTACTAAATTGGAGTAATTTTAAAATAACTAAAATTTTGATTACAAACTATTTTCAGATGTAATGAAAGGATTTTTAAATTTTATAGCTATCATTAGAGCTCAATTAAGTAAATGCAGAAACATCATTGTTGATTCAATAAGCCATAAATATAGATGTAAGTTAATTAATAGAAAAAACATTTATTTGTATACACAACCTTTTAATGTAAGCTTTAAAAAGTAGAGAGTAATCAAATTAACAAAAAAAGAATAATTAGAATACAAAAATCTAATTAATAGATCATTGTATATAATGTACAAATTCTTAAGTGAATTTTTTTGGTGGAGTATCAATTACTTAATAAGGTAATCCAAATATCAAAATAAAAAATGTTACTTAAGTTCCATGGTATGAAGCCTAATAATTAAATTAATCATAATAAAAAAGGTTTATTGATAAATAAACATGTACAACTGAAGATTATTATTAAAATTGTTCAAATGTTTTATCTGGATCATATGATAGATAGATTGAATTTGAAAACATAATTTAATATGCAAATGAATCTATAGCAATGATGGGTGAAGCTTTATCAAGTAGAGTGTTATAATAATATAAGGAAAAAGGGAAACCAGAAGAATTAAATAAACTTATGCATGCTATTAAGTTTAAAAAAGAAGATATAGATTAAATTTTTAAGAGTGTTGATTTAAATTTATTGAAAGATAGTATTGATAATTATTAATAAATGGAAGAATAATTAAAATAACATATAGTTGAAGTTTAGAAATAAACAGCTGAAAAAGTATTTCTATATTGTAAATAAATATTTAAAGAGAAATTTAAAAAGGGGAGATTTTAGACAGCAGATCATTTTAATAGATAAACTACATTAGGTAATAGAGAAGATTGTCGTTGTTAGATTTATATTGGAGAAATTGTTTCATTATAGAATAAGACAGAATAATAAATTTAATTAATAAATAAATAAACATCAGATTTAAAAGAGAAGGATAGAAATATATAGAGTCTTGAATTGTAAATCAAACTTTTTGAAAATTAAATCAAATAACATATATAAGATAAATAAGATTTAAAATAAAAAATAGATTAATAATATAATTAATCAAGAAGAAGTACTGTATTTTAAAGATAATCAAGTTTTATGGTTAATTTTTCATAAAATGATGAACAATAAGATATGTTAATGTCAAGTCCTAATGCAAAAATGTTAAAGGAAGAAAGATAATCTTATTCTAAAATACTCAAAGCTCCTTCATTATAACCTTTTGTTTTATAAAATTAAGTATAATAAGAAACTATTAATAATGAATAATTCAATGATTTAGTCAAAAAAGATAAAATGGTAGAAAGATTAATAGTTTTAACAAATGCTTTAGATAAATCTAACAAAGATAGAAGATTATCATAATTATAATATGTAGTAGAATAAAAAGGAGAAAGATAATTATCAGATATGTTAGATTTAATTAAAGATATTGAAGAAAATGATTTATTAATTAAAGAATAAAAATCATTTGGAAATATATAATTTGATAATGATGATTTAAGATCACCAATCAATGCTTCTAAACGTTCCTATTCTCAATAAATTATAGATTAATCTGATTAAATTTAAAAATAAAAATTCTTATCCACTAAAGATTTAAATACTCCTAAAGTTTTATACTTAGAATAAATTAAAGAAATTGATGAAAATAAACATATTTTACTTGTTCCAATTGAATAAACTGCTACATAAGGAAAATATTCCAAAAATACAAGTTAGTCTAGTTTTAATGATAGTAATTAAGTAATAGAAGATGTTTCACCTTAAAATAAAAAGCAATAAAGATTAAGAAGAACATCATCAAATGTTTAATAAATTGTAGAAACTAAAAATAATAATAAATCAAAAAGAACCAATTCAATAAAATTGAAATCTAAAAAAAAAGTTTCAAATTAAAATAATTCAAATGAGGCTGTCTCGAATATTCTATAAACAACTAGTAATCCTTAATTAAATTCTGGTATATTAACTGATAGATAACCTGTGAGATCAATATCTCAATAATAATAAGAATAATATAAGTATGAAAGAGTAATTGAAAATGAATTGATTTCCAATAAAATAGCAATTCATAATACTAGTCTACATGATAAACCTCTTATTAATATTTTCTAATCAAATCATAATGTTCAATATCATACACCAAATAATTCATCTCGATTAATTAAAGTTAAAAACCAAAATTAAGATAAATAAGATATTAATACAATAACTAAATAAATAAGCAATCATAAATAAAATTTAGAAATTAATAATCCAATTTAATAAAAACAATAAGAATCATAAATAATTAATCCACCTTAAACATAAACAAAATTCTAATAATAATTAAATTAATAATAATTTTTAATATAAGAAGATCGTGATAAAATAACTAAGAAATAATAATAAGCAACTATTGATAAAAATTAATTATAATAATATTAGTATGTCTAAGAAAATTAAATAAAACCTGATAAAGAAGTTACTTCAATTAATATCATATCAGAAGTTAAAAAATAATAACAATAATAAAATTAAAGATCTAAATTACCAAATTTAGAAATAGAAACAGTTGATAAATATAATAAATCACCAAGAAAATTAAACACATAAAATAATAATAATAAACCAAATGATAATAAATTGAAATGGACTGGAATTGAATCTGCAAAATTTATTACTAACATTGATCCAAACATATAAATTGAAAATCTAAATTATAGACCATAAACAACAATAGATAATGATGAAACTAAAAAATAAGAAGGTTAAATAAGAGAATATATTAATAAATAAAAGGATGAATATGAAAAAAAGTAAAAAGAGGAGAGATTATTGTTTGACTAAGCATTATTTGATTTACCAGAATAATAAGAAGATCTAATAATTAGAAATGCTATGAATAATAATTAAGGTAGTATAATTTCTGAGGATTTAAATGATAATATTCTTAAACATATGTATAAAAATCTAAAGGAAAATTAAACATAGATAACATAAACAATAAACAAATTTTTTTAAAGATCTGATGAATAAAATATAGATTATCCAGAATTTTAGAATTTTATAAATAAATTTTCAAATCTACACAAACGTTGTGGTAAAGATTGTATCCATGTAACAAGGTAAATTATTTTACTTTTTTTAGATTTTACATGAGACTTGGATTTATACCTTTAAGATATCTAAATAAACGTAAAGCTATGAAATTAGCCAAACCAGTTGTACTACCTTGTTTTTCCAAATAAGGTTGATTATTATTTTATTTTATTTTGTATTCTAAAGCCTTATCTCTTATTTTCATAAACTATATTAAATATATATAAATAATTGTATTGAAAAACTCATTTAAAATGAAAACTGAATAAATTATTTATTCTTAAATTTGATCAGAATATTATACCTATAAAATAAATTAGAAATTTTATTATATAAAATAGATTAAGAATTACAGCATTTTCTTATTAAATATTCTAAGATGGATTAAGACTTCAATTTATTATAGACTTAAAGATTTTAATAATAATCAGAATTTAAATAACATTGCTATCAATGTTATTTATGTAATGGAATTACAGATGAACTATTTGCAATTTAATGTGTAGAAATAGTAATCTAAGTATGTTTGAATTGTCATAATGTTATAAACAATAATGATAATGACAAGCAACTACTAGGAGTTTGTTGGCATCTCCCAATAACTGATATTCCTTATTGCTCCAAAGTATTATTCAAATTAGATTCATAAGCTAAATTTTATAATCTAAAAATTAAAGAATGCATGATCTGTTGCATTTAGAAAATTTGCTGCAAAGTTTGTATGAATGAACATTATTTCTGTATTGATTGCACTGATACATATATTTAGCAATATTATTCATAGTCATATCGGATTCCTTGTCCTGAATAACTTTGTAATCAAGAATTAAATCATTATCTCATAGCTTAATTTATATCACTTGCATAGGTTAAATATTGGAAAATAATAAATAGTGATTTATTTTGCATAAAAAAGAGTTGTTGTTCATAACTTTAAATTAATCCTTATCTCAAACTTTAACCTTTAAACCTTATAAAAATGAATGAGAATGTGATGTAATGTTTATCATGTAAAACAAAGATTTGTAATACATGTCATACCTAAGTTAAAGGATCTTTACATAAACATAAATTATACTGTAATTAATTAGCTATAAACTAATTTTAAATATATTGTCAAAATAATTTAGTTTTAAAATGTCCAAAATGTAGAGTATTATGTCAACCTAGATCATGTTTAAATTAATAAAATCATATTCAAGAAACTAAAATTTAGTAATGTCAAATATGTAATACTGAATTCTGTATTCTTTGTAAATCTGCACATATTGTTTTGTTTCCATAAATGAATCAATATTATTTCAATAAACAATATCTAAGTTATTGTTAAACATGCAAATCTATAGTTTATTCTAAAAAGAATAAATGCAAGATATTTACTAAGAAATTAATTAAGAAATGTTTCTACATACCTAAATTCTTTAGAATATTATGCAAAATCTTAATAATTATAATATGGTTACCTGGATTTTAATTTATGTAAGTAAGTAAAATGGTTGGAGATTATGTTGATAATAAAATTAACGAAATTGATAAAGATAAAGCACCTTATTTCTTTTGTTGTTGTGGACCAATCATAGCCTTTTCCATCATTTGTTCAATCTTCATTCTTTATGCAATTTTATTTATACCTCTTTTTATTCGAAATTGCTATAGAAAAATTAATGATTAACGACTATGATATTATATCATTTGAGGATTCATAATATTATTTATTATTTTAATCTAAATTTCTGAACTTACTTTATAAATTAAATTAATATAGAATCTTAAATTTAAATTCCAATAGACATTTAAATATCTATTTATTTCCTATTATTGTTCAATTTCTAACTATTATAAATATTTAAAAAAAAATAATAATGTCTTAATCAAATAAAAAAATAGTAATGATTACATATACTATATTAACTTTAATACACTATAATTTAACAAAAGTTAAGTGCTATTCAACATATATAAATGACTTAAAATTATATTTATTTTCAATTTAACACAAAAAATAATAAATTAATAGAATAAAGACTTTTTAGAGGATTAATTGAAAATCTATAGCATACTGAAGTAATAAAATAAATTAACCTTATTCATAACGTTACTATTAATTTTAATAATATTTATTATAATATATTTTATTTTAGAATAAATAAAATAGAGTTTGATATTCAAATGACATTCATCATATATAGAAATATTAATTAGTGTTAATAATATATTTAAATATATTTATATATTGTCAAGAATAAAAGTATAATAAATATTCTTATTCATAATTAAGCATATAAATAGATTAATTTCCGTTAATAATTTATTATACATATCCCTCAACAAAATATATTAATTTAATTAGAATTAGTATAATATACAATTATTCAATATTTTGAAAAAGTTTGAATGAACAATATGAATAATTTAATTTTGAATAAGAAATAATTAATAATGCAAACTTGCAATTAATTATATAATTGAGCAAACCAATTGTTAATTTTAATTGATGATGCATTACAAAATATTAATATAAAATAAAATATAAATCATTTTTAATTATTATAAGATACATATAATTCTATATATTCAAGTAAAGTATATAAAGATATTAATATATTCTATAGATGCAAAAAATTAATTGCTTTAGGGGATTTACATTTTCTGCAATAAAAATCCATTCATAAATTGCTATAATAGGTGGTGGAACTGCAGGATTAAATATTGCAGCACAATTAATAGGTGATGGGCATGCTATTCCATAGTAAATTAGAATTTTTGAACCATCTAAGATGCATGCTTATTAACCAGGATGGACTATGGTTGGTAATTGAATTTTCAAATTAAGGTGGTGGATTATGTAATGTAAAAAAGACATTGAAACCAATGGAATAAGTTTTACCCAAGAATATTTCAGTTTCTGATAGTGCTGTGACTAAAATAAATCCTTAAAAAAATGAAATAGAAACATAGGATGGAGGGATATATACCTATGATCAATTAGTTATTGCAACTGGAATATAAACTAATTTTGATTAAATAAAAGGTATATATATATATATTTCTAATAATCAATAGGTGCTCAAAAATATTTAGATGATTTGAATTCTCCTGTTGCTTCAATCTATAATTATAAATATGCTGTAAAAATGAATAGACTTGTAGAGGAATTTGAAGGAGGAAATATCTTATATACTGAACCTCCTCTACCAATTAAATGTGCAGGTGCTCCTTAAAAAATTATATATCTCTCACATGATCGTTTAAATAAAAGAGGAATAAAAACTCATCATCATTTTTATAAGACAGCTGGAGTTATTTTTGGTGTTCCTAAATATGCTGAAATCCTAACAGAATTATGCAAAAATAAATAAATAAATTGCCATTTTAAATAGAAATTAGTAGAAGTTTAAGATCATATAGCCATATTTGAAAATTAAGATACAAAAGAACTTAAATCTGTCACATTTGATTTATTACATTTAGTTCCACCTTAAGTATAAAAAATTAATAAATAAGTTTCCTGCTTAATTCATAGCATAAAGTGGTTTAGGAGATTCAGCTGGATTTGCACATGTCCATCCAAATACATTATAACATGTAACTTATAAAAATATATGGTCACTTGGAGATTGTTCTTCTCTTCCAACTTCTAAGACAGCTGCAGCTGTTATGGCTTAAACGCCAGTTTTAGTCAAAAATTTAATAAGAACTTGGAAATATAAATTAGATCCTATTCCAGGATATTTAGGTTATTATTGAAATGTTATTTTTAGGATATACTTCATGTCCAATATTTACAAGTTAGACTAAATTATTACTGGCAGAGTTTAAATATAATTCAGAACTTGATGAGACTTTTCCAATATTTTAATCAAATGAAAGTCGATTAATGTTTCATTTAAAAAAAGATTTCTTTCCAATAGCTTATTGGTAGATCATGGTAAGAGGTTTGTGGGGAGGTAGAGATGGTCTAAGATTCTTTAAAGGAGCATGAAATTTAATTTATCCTATATTTTTGTATGTTAAATTAATTAACACAAAATAGTAATTATATCAGTTTATTAATTATTAATCTATCATGTAAATATATTTATTTTAAGTCAAAATGGTAAATATTTAATAATTGAAAAGTATTTTTGTTTATTTAATAATTCTCCTTTTATGGGTTTAATTTCATTTTTTAATAATAAGAATATATGGAATTAATAATTTTATAAGATTGATCCATTTCAAATTAATTTAGTTAACAGTCATAAGCTATATTATATTGATTCATTATTTATTATGATTTTTTAAAATATCAAAGCTATGAGCTTATTTGATCCATAATATTTACAACTATAAGTTATTTTAATTAAGTTATAAGTAAAAATATACATTCCACAAAAATTTAATCATTAAAATAGTATTATATTTAAGATTAACACATAAATTTTAATATTTTACATATTATTACATATTTTATGATGTAATACTTGATATATTCCTATATAAAACAAAAATTGGAAATAATTTAATATATTTGTAAATGTCATCAGATAGACTTATCCAATCAGATAATAGCCAGACCAATTCTTTAATGGAATGGAATAAGGCTAGTTAAGTCAATGAAAAAGAAATTGGCTATAAGAAATACAAGTTTGATAGTTTAACAACATCATAATTTTGGGCATATTGTATGGGTCATATGCTTAATGATTTATCAGCTGCATGTTGGTTCAAGTATTTAATTTCTTAAATTATCATAGCTATCTGCTATTTTATTTGAAGAGAATAATACAAGTTGATTTTGGTTCATATGCAATGTTGTCAGGATAAGTAGCTGATGCATTGGCAACTCCACTTGTTGGATATTATAGTGATAGAACAAAAACATCAATAGGAAAGAGAATTCCATGGTACATCGGGTATATTTAATGTAAATATTATGAGGGGATATTTTGTAATAATCTTTTCATTTTTGCCAGTTTGGAATGGAAATTTAATATTGGATTGGATGAATGTGAAAGATAACACAGTAGTATAAGTAATCAATTCAAATTAATTAAAGGCTATTTATTATACTGTATTTCCTGCAATTTTTAATTTTGGTTGGGCCTCATTACAAATTAGTCATATGTCTTTGGTACCAAGTTTAACATGTAGTCGATCCAGACGAGATAAATTAAATTCCATAAGAAATACATTTTAATTCATAGCCGTATTAATAGTGTATGTGACGGCAGTAATCAATTAATTAATTTAAGTTAATATTTTTTTAATTGGCAAACAGTACCGATGGTACAGATTCAGCATAAGCTTTTCAATATTTATCATTAATATGTGTTACCATAGGGACAGCAACATCAGTTTATTTTATAATTCAAATAAATGAACCTAAATTAACCTCTGATTGTACTAAATATGCAAGAACTTTATTAAGAATTTTGAAAGATGTATAATATTATATTGATAATTAAAATAGAGATAAAATGGACTTAGCAATCCTACAAAAGTTGCTTAAGACTAAAAGATTGCAAAAAATTAAGTTCAAGACGAATAAAAAAACACATTGTCTAGTGATGATTTATAGAAATCAACATCTGAATCACAAATAGATGGATCAGGAAATGTCAAATTAACTGATGTTGAATTTACAGATGATGAAGGAGAAGGTTTACATAAATAAAAAGCTAATCGAGGATCTATGTCTGAAGATGTACATGATTGGAAGTAATTTATTTGTTTATATTTTATAGAGAATGGTTTGGATAAATGGCATTTTACAGATTTGGAATGGTTTATATGTTCTTTAGATTATATTGTAATGTATCATCAACTATGATCTCATTTTATATTGCAAGTGTTTTAAAATTTACAGATCCAGATTCAGAAGAAGTTAAAGTCCCTATTTAAGTAGCATTGATTCCTCTCTCTCTATATATTATGAGTGTTTTAACTAGTGCTTCCTTATCAAAGTTCTATTAAGTTTTAGGCAAAAAAGTTACATTGACGTAATCATTATTCATATTAAATAGAGTTGGAACAATATTATGTTTACTATCATCTTCTATTTTGATATTCCTAAATGAAAAGAATTCCTACTTTATGTATGCAGTATCTCCATTCATTGGAATAGCACAAGCTATCACTTTGAATACAGGAATTACACTCATCAGTGATGTCATTGGTTTAAAAGGATCAAGTGGTGCTTTTGTTTTTGGAGCATATAGTTTTCTAGATAAGATTTCTTCTGGAATAGCCTTATTTTTTTGTTCATATGGAAGTGTACTTGATGATGAAAATTTGGTTCGTTGGTTGACTGTACTTGTACCATCAATATCCTGTTTTGCTGGTTGCTTATTGGTTGTAACAGCTCCAACAAAGAAGTCAGAGGAGAATGTTGAAACTTAAAAGAATGATGAGAGACGAACAAAATCTTTGGTAGATGAATTGGCTACTTGATTTTATTATATATAATTTATATATATATATTATTTTAATTAATGTAAAAATCTTAATTTATATTTGAGAATAAACCATCAAAGCAATTTCCACTAGACAATAAAGTTTGGAAATTAAATGAAAATCCAACCATCAATGAAGAACCTTTATTTACAGAAGAATCAGAATTAGGTTACTAAATTGAAATCAAAAGAATATTTAAGTAGATTTTTATTTTTATTTTAGTGATTCTAGATGCCAATAATATACTAATAGCATGATTATAAATAACTATACTGTTCATTCTATCTCATAGGCTACATTCAATCACATAGATTCAGAATTTGTATTATCTAAATATAATTTTAGTATTAAGATTATCTAACTAACCAATGGGATTAATATCGATACCAATCAGTTCTTTAATGATCATTTTATTTTTATTTAAATCTATTACTTTTCTCATTCTTTTTTCACTTTAAAATTTTCTCCAAATTTATGATCTATGTAAATAATAAACTCCAATTTTTTGACAGGTTCAGAAAAACATAAAAAATTATAAGTCAATTGTTGATTTGTATTTTAATATGAAGGATAAAACTTGAAAGTATTTGTTGATATAATAAATATAAAATTTATGACGAAATGAAGATTTAAATTTTAATTAATTTCTTATTTATTACGAAGAATAAATAATGATTCATTAATTATTTAGTGTAATTTTCGATAAAATATATCACATATAATAGATCATTTAGACCAAAGCCAAGGATGCTATAATGCTTATCTAGCTGTAATTCTTTTCTTTGGTTCAAATGCTAACATGGGCACTAAAAAATCTTCAATTTAATTTGCATCAGAATATGAAAAACCATAATCAGTCATTAAGATTTTACTAATAGATGTTGGATGTAGATCCTAAATAAATTTAACTTATATACTTTAATATTAATTAATTAACCAGTCTTATTAAAGAATTCTCTACTATTAGAACCACTTAATGCCCATTTTTTATTCATTTTCCCTAATACTTCCATCATTTAAGCTAAATGATCTTCTGATTTCTTAAATCCTTTTCCTTTTCTAGGTTTGAATAAATAATCATTAGTAAGTAATTCAAAAACAATACAAGCTGTACTCCAAATATCTGTACTTGTATCATATTCTATTCCTAAGATGGCTTCAGGTGCTCTATATTCTCTAGTTTATATATTATCAGTAAAGTGCTTATGGGTCCAACAAGCATTACCAAAATCAACAATTTTAATTGACAAATCTCTATCTAATTTTATTTTTATATGCTCTTTCCATCTAATAATAAATTAATTTATAATACTTTAAAGTATATAAGGTCTCTTCATCTATCTCATTTGATTCTGATTCTGATTCTTCACTTTAATCTTCTGATTTCCAATCTTAATCGTCCTCATCAGATGAATTTTCTTCTTCCCCACTATGACTTTTCTTTTTATCCTTCATAGCTTTTTCTTTCTCTTTTTATAAATTTCTATGTTTATGAATATGATGTGTTTCTTCTTTTTATTATTATTCTTAATCATTTTTATCACAAATAGCTGATTATTCGATTAAGCTTTGACTTTTCTCGATATTTTATATTTATTGAGTATCTTCATCTGTAACAGTAACAGTTTGATCTACTTAATTATTTATTTGACTTTATTCTACATTTACTTAAACTATTTCTTATTATTTTTTTTAATCATCTAAAACACTTTCTTATATTGTAATATTACTTGTACTTATTTCTTAATTTATATTTTCCAATTATTATTTAGGTAATTCAATTTATTATTATTAATATTATTATTATTATTATTATTATTAATCTTTTTCTTATTATTATTATATCTACTAATCTTTTTCTTATTATTATTATAGTTTCTTTTATTTTTACTTTTTTCTTTTTTCTTATTTTTTGTTAGTTGTTTTCATTGATTTTTTTAATTTTTCTAAAAATTTCATACTAATTGGTTTCTTTTTAACCATTTTCATTTATTCTACAAATTCTCCAAAATTTGATGGTTTCAATTAAAGCATAATATTTTCTGGTTTTAAATCAGTGTGAATGATATTACATACTTCATGCATATACACTAATCCAATTAATAGTTCTCTTGTTATTTATTTGACTAACCACATACCCATTCTTTTATCATAATCATCAAAATGTATAATTAAATCTAATAATGATGGTCCTAAGACTTCAAAAACTGTACAATAATGTTTTCCATGCATTCCATAATGAATAAAATTATCAACCATTTCTACACAATATGTTTCATTCAATTTAACTTTAATTTCTATATCTTATTCTGTATTTTTTATATTTGGATCATACCATTTTAATGTTGTATAATCTAATTTTGGAATCTATGACAATTATTCTTAATACTAAATCCATTTTTCATCTTTTAAATGGTTCTATAAATCCCTATATTAATTTATATGTAATATACTTTAAGAGTTCTAATTCATCAATTGCACTTTCTTGATAACTTTATTTACTTTTCTATATTTTTAATGCAACATGTGTTTCAGATTATTTATCATGTGCTAACCAAACAGTTGAAAAATGTCCCCATCCTAATTTTTGAATTACTTAAAATCTTCCATTATGAAATTTATCACCAATACTAACAGGATGATAACCATCTTTTTTATAATCCTCATAATCCTCAGCATCACTACTAGATTCATATGGATTATCAGATGTTTTAGATGAACATGATGAAGATGATCGAGATGGAGGTGAAGGGGGTTATTAAGGAAGTTATGATTATTGTTCTGCTATTCTTTTTTGCTTCAAAAGATCAGATATTGGTTTCTTATTTTTCTATTTCATAATATACCACTCTTTATACTTAAAATTAATTTTAAATTAAAAATTCATGAATTTATATCAATTTATCAAAAATAATTTACTTTTATTGAAAATAATGCTATCATAATTATAATAACTCCAAATCCATCATATATTGTAATTTTATGAATTTATTCATTATTATCTACTTCAAGATACTTCAATTATCCTTTATCTGTTAATAGTAAAATTCCTTAATTCCAACATTTATATGCTAAAATTTTATTATTTTTGATTTTGTTCTATTATTCAATCAACTCAATTAATTGTACTTTAGGATTTTACAATTTTAAATAATAAATAACACTTTTTCTCATCTATTGATAATAAGAGTTAATTTTACAGCATAAATTTATGTACCATCTTCTGAAAATTAGATTTCATCAACTTAATCTATTTTATAAAAATAAATTTAATCAGATGTAAAGTACATCAATTTAGAATTTATAATAAAAATAAATTTATTGGATGAATGTGCTTAATATCGAATATATATATTTGCCAATTCTTTTATAGATATTTGATATTCATAAAGTTAAATCATATCTACTTGATTATTTTTTAAATAAAGAATTTTTAATTTTACTTCTGTCAATATTCTACAGCTTATAATAATAAGTTATCCTTTTTAAAAATAATTGAATTAATCAATCACTTTCATATCTTTACATTAAGTAAATGACAATTTTATATCATTATTTCTAATTCTATTTTATTCATTAATATATGAGATTGAACAATTAGTAAAGTTGATTACTGAAAAATTTAATAGTAATTCTTTCATGTATGTATGATTTCTCTTTAATTGGCAAACACTTTAATCCTCATTATTTATTTATTATACTCTAAAATCTCATACTCTATGAATGCATACATTCTTTATCATATTCAATAATGGTTGAATTATCTACAATCAAATAATTTTATGATTGTGTCACTTTAAATTATGGTTATGATTTTGTTTCTATATTATCAAAAAATGAATAGTATAGTGAATATTTATATTTGGCATTAGTGATTGCAAATTCATCATAAACTTCAGCATCAATAGTCTCTTTAATTTCTAATTGTGGTATTTTTAATATCAACCAGATTATCCATATGTATATTGTCTCAATTATCATATAATATTAATTTAAAATGTCTATTGCTTGTATAGCTATAATAGATTAATAGGATAAACTCAGTTTCATTGATTATTATATCAATAATGAGGATCAAGTGCATTTCAAATTTCAAACCTATACAGCTTTATAATTAATAAGTCCTGCATTATAAAAGAAATTAAATGGAGGAACATCAACAGAACCATATTTAGGTGTATTGTATACAATCTATTTACCAAATAATGATTATGATGTGCATGCATATATAACGATAACATAATTGAAAATGATCATATTTATAAAGTAAGGGACAGAAAAATTAAACTTATTAGCAATTTTCGAAAAGATTTATGGATTATATAGAGCTTCTAATTTCAACCCTTTTCATTAGACAAATCTTAATAAACTTATTAAACCAATGGTTGTAGAATTCAATGGAATATGATTACATAATAAATAAAAAAAGTTCAAAAAAAATTCAACAAAAGTATTTCACTAAAAGTGTTTATAAAGAATCCAACGAAATAGGTTTCGAAATAATTTCATCCATTCCACTCTAATGAGCTAATTCTGCATTTTCTTAACCATTATAAGCTGAACACATAACAATTATGGATTTTTATCTTTCATTTTTCATTAATTTAGAGATCTCTAATTAATTTATGATTTAATACTTCACTACTAGTAGTAAATCCATTCTTTCCTGGCATTTCTATATCCATAAATATTATTTTGTACACTTTACAACAACTATTTTATTATTTCTATTTCACTTTCCTAATTGCAGAATCTCCATCATATGCACTATCTGCTTTATATCCATAAGTTTACAATAATGCCAATAAAGTAATATGATTAAATGGTACATCATCCACTATCAATATTTAAATGCATTCACAATGATTCAAAAATTTTCTTGATGAAATATATACTCTTTATGCTGAATTCTTAGAATCTGAACCTAAATCTTCTACATCTCTAATTGATGATTCTTCCTCTTTCACTATTGTACTTACAGACTCCTCTATTGAAAAACTAACAACTGTATAAAATCCTTTTTCACTTTTTATTTATAATTCACCATCTCCACCTAAAAATTTTACAATACCTTTTGAAACTCTTAAACCTAATCCCATTTTAATTGATCCTTTAGATTATTAAACAAATTAATTTTATAGAGCTAACATTTATTCACTAGATATTCCTTCACCATTATCCCAAACTGAGAATATGCATTAAGATTCTCTTTTTTTTAATGACAATATAATCCTACCTCCTTATTTTGTAAATTTAATTGAATTATTCATTAAATTTACTAAAATTTAAGTTATTCTTAATTTATCACTATGTATTATTATTTGATCATTAAAATTTAATATTAATTCAATTTATTTTTAAGAGCATTCTTATTAAAATAATCCTTTTAAATCATCAAAAATTTCACTTGCATAAAAATTGTTTAAATTTAATTTAAAATCTTCACATTCTATTTAAGCATAATCTAAAATGTCATTTATTTAAAAAAGTAATCTACGACAAGAGATTATTGCTAACTATAAATAGTTGTCATTAAGAGTTTCATCAATTTTTTTACTTAAAATTTATAACAAAGGTAAGGAACTATTTAATGGTGTTCTCAATTCATGACTAAAAGAATTTAATAAAGCTTATTGAAATTTATATCGATGAGTTAACTCTTTCAATTCTTCCTTATCTGTAATATTTTCAATTATGAATAAAAAAACAGGGTCTTTTGTTTTTGTTTATAATTTTACCTCATATACTTTTATTTAAAAATGTTTCTTTTTTACTATGAAATCTTTAACTACATGAAACTTAAACATATGAGTCTAATCAGAGGCAATAGATTAATTATCTTAAGGATTAAGTTATCTATGACTTTTAGTTAAAAATTCATTCATTACAAATTAAACATAAGTATAATTTGCTGCATCATGTATGCTAGATTAAAATGAACCTTTATTCTAAATATTCATTTTTAATCTATCAGATAACCAATTAGTTTTATTAGATTTAATGCCAGTATTACCTTAATTATGACTAGCTGAATTTTATTTCAATTTTCTTAATGGAACAATATGAGGTTTATGTTTTGCATGGGGAGTGGTTTTGACTTAATTCAATTCAGCGCTAAGATAATTTTAAATAATTTTACTTGGATAGTAATTAATCTAAATGATTCATGATTTAATCAGATTCACTAATCATCAAATAACTCATTATTTTTTCATTATGCTTTATTACTTAAAGATTTGAATCTATCAAAACTAATCCATATGGAAGACAATTGAGTAGATCTTCATCAAGTGCAACATTAATGTTTTTTTCTACTTATGGTGATTTCTCATCTATTAGATTTTATTGAATTTATTCTGCATAGCTAAAATGAGGATTATGATTTGGTTGTCTTTATGATAAGGAAGTAGGACTTGGTTTTCTAATTTCATTTGCTTAATTGTCTTTATAAAATATTAGATGATTAAGTGGTTGCCAAAGAACGAATAGAACAAAATCTTATGTTGCAAATTTCTCATAGAATTAAGCACCAAGTCTAATAGATACATAGATGCAAATTGTATGAGTAAAAAATTAATAACATTTATGCTGTTTTTTCAATACATTTTCTATAATCAATAAGTAGATTAGAGAGAAGTAATTTATTATGTTTTCTGGGTTGTAAAAGACAGTCTCTAATTCAACAATAATATTGATTTGAATCAAAATGTTAATGAAGTCTTGTTTTTGTTTAGCATATTCTAAACAAAAAATGATCAAATTTAATAACAATCCAATTGAATTTTGAGTAATAGATATGACATCTTTAGATTCTTAATTCCCTTCTTAAATCAGAGTAATTAAATTTTATAACACCAATTAAGTCAACAATAGCTTTGTTTTTAATTGCATTATTATATAAAATTGGTAAAGAAATTAATAATTTAGAACTTCACTGTAATCACTGTAAAATATAATTCTCATATTCCAAATATGAATAATGTAATAATCCTAATCGAAGAATAAACATAAATAATTAATTTTTAATTCAAAAAATGTAAAATAATAATTAAGTAAATCTGTTAGAAGAAAATGCTAAATTACGAAAGAATTTAATTGAATTAGAAACAAATCTTTAAGAATTAGTAAGACAAGATTCATTGATAGAAAAGTGGACAGTGATGAAAAATTTTGTACTTGTTTCAACTGAGATAGAACGTCTATCTTTAGCTTATGTGGCATTGGAGAAATAACATAAATAATTAATAAATGCATAAAATAAAGATGTAGATTAGAGTGATTAAAAAATAAAGAAATTGATTACTTAATTAGAAGAATTAAATGAAATAATGATTTAATAATAAAAGAGAATAGATGAATTAAATAAAAATAATACTTTATTAAAATAATTGATGAATGAAACTAATTAAAAGATGTAAGTCTTAACAGATATAAATAAACAATTAAATAAAGATGATTAAATTCTAAAGTAAGAGAAATAAAATTTATAGAAATAATTATTTGAATCAAATAATGAATTGAATAATGTAATGTAAACTTTAAAAGAATGTGAGGATATGTTTAAAGGTACTTTATTAAAATAGGAGACAATTATAAAGAATTTATCTTAATAAAATGAAAGTTTTAATTTTGAAAATGCTAAAAAAGATAAATTAATTTATTCATTAATGAAGAAAAACAATGATCTTATTAATGATATTGAGAAAATAGATAAAAAATTTAATGAGTAATCTTTTTAAATGAAAAAAATATCAAAAATGTATGAATCATTAGAATAAGAATATAATAATTATAAATAGTAATAATAAGGAAATTAAACTGAAGTATGCTTATTTTATTATTTTGTATATAGTTTCATTCATTGACTAAGAGAATAGAATATAAGAATTAAGTTTTATTAGATTTAGAAAATAAATATGATAAATTAAATGTCATTGTCAAAACTTATGAAGCATAATTAGAAGAGAAAGATTAGTAACTTAAGTAATTAAAGTAATAATTGATTGAGTCATAAAATTTATTGAAAGATATGAAAAATAATAATAAATAAGTTAAAAGTGAAAATGAAAGTGAATTTAAATAATTGAATAATCAAATAAAGAGACTTTAAGATAAAATAATTGAGATAAGATAAGAACTTGAAAGTGAAATTTTATTGAAAGAATAGTTGTAACTTTAATATCAAAATAAGGATGAAGAATATTAAAAAATAATTAGTTAGAATGAAATTTTGAAATTAGAATAAAATGAATTAAAGAAATAGATTTTTGAATTACAATAAATTTTGAATGTTGAAAAGAATATGTTTCAAAAGGTTTAATTGGAATGTATAGGTTTAAGAGATTAGATTAAATAGACATAAGAGAATCATTAAATTTAGGATCAAATTAATTTAGAAGAAGAGTGTGTTCAATTAAGAAATGAATGTGAACAATTAAGAAATGAAACATAATATTTTAAATACTAAAATTATTAGTATTTATAATAGATTGATGAACTAAGACAAACAAAAACATATTTAAGTAATATCTTAATGGATAGAAGACAATATTGAATTGATTTAATTATTACTATTAATTATAAATTGATGAATACTTAGAGAGATAATTTATAAAGTAGAGGACAAGTCAGCTCAAGTCATAGAACTTTTTAAGGCAAAAGAACTAAAACAGAACCATCTCTGCTTCCTAATTTTGATATCTTATAAGAGAATGTTAAAAATTAATTTGCTTTAGGCCATATACGAGGAAAATGGCTTCATAAACCTTAATATATAATTCCAAAAACTGAAATATAATAAAAAAGAGATGAAACATATGGAAAGGTTAATAACAAATCGAAAACAAAAAAATTAACTTTCTTAAAATTCGGATTTAGAATGCATGAAAAAAAGAACAACTATTATTTATAACCATTAATCAAATAAGTACATGATGCTTTTGGTGAATTGGCTAATGATGGCTCAATGGGGGTTGTAGATTTATGGAGTGATAGAAATGTTAATAGATTGATGGATGCAATAGAAATGACAAGAGACAATTTATTGGTGAGAAGGATGGGTAAGGAAAAACAAAAGAGTGATGAGCCTGGATTGAATAGAGCAAATGAAAAAAAAGTTAACAACATTTTTAAATCAAGTGATGATGATACCTTTAAAATAAAATTTCAATTAACAGATGTAGAAAAGAGAAGATTAACAAGAATTGCAATGCCTACTTTATGTTAGTATTTATAATTTCATTTACTTCTTTAGTCAAATAAGACATGGAGATCCCAATGAGGGTATTGCTGCCATTGTCCATTCAATTGATGAATTACATCAAGAAAACTTAGAAATATATACAAATCTGTATTAATAAATCAAAAGGATATAAAAAAATATCAAATGATTATAAATTTTGCAATCTTATTTTATTTTGTTTGTAATAATAATAAAATTTATGATAGATCAAATTGATTTATATGATTTTTATTGCTTGATTTACTATTTATTGAAATATAAACAAATTGTAAATGTATCAAAAGTCTTTTTACAATATTTTATATTCTTTAAATCTCAATTTTAATGATTTTCATATAATAAATTAAATTAAATAATGTCAGAATAAAAAGATAGTTCATTATAGGGACAACTTTTTGATAATTTAAGATCTTTGATTACACTCATTGATCAATTAAGAGACTTAGGAGTTTAAGAATACATCAAATTACCCAGAATAGCTGTGTTAGGAAGTTAGAGTGCAGGAAAGAGTAGTCTTTTGGAAAATATTGTTGGATTGGATTTCTTACCAAGAGGAGAAGGAATAGTAACAAGAAGACCTTTAGAAATGAGATTGATACATAAACCTGACGCATTAAAACCATGGGCAGTGTTTGATGTATGCAAAGATCAAAAATTCTTTGATTTTGAGAAGGTTAGAGAATACATTGTAGAATTGACAGATAAAGCAACAGGAAATTCAAAAGGTATTTAAAAATGATAATAATAAACTAGATGTTGTCCCTGATCCAATAGTAATGACTGTTTATTCTAGAGATTGTCCAGATTTGACAGTAATTGATTTACCAGGAATTACAAGAATAGCAATTAAAGGATAAAGAGAAGACATTGAAAAAGTTACATTAGAGATGGCCACTCATTATTGTTAAGATGAAAGAACAATAATCTTGGCTGTTTGTCCAGCTAATCAAGATTTATCAACAAGTGATGGACTTCAATTAGCAATCAAATTAGATCCAACAGGATCAAGAACTCTTGGTGTTATTACAAAAGTAGTAATTCATAGTGAATCTAGATTGATATCATGGATTAAGGAACAGATTGCAGAAAGGAATTATTAGGACAAGTTATTCCATTGAAATTAGGTTATGTTGGTGTGAAAAATAGAAATTAAAAAGATATCAATGAAAAGGTAAGAGTTGCTGTTGCATTGTAAAAAGAAACAGATTTCTTTGCAAAACATCCATTATACTCTTAGATGCCTCCAGATATTATGGGAACAAAGGCATTGATTTAGAAATTAACTAATATTTTGTTCAAACAGTATATATCTACAATATAATCAAAGTATTCGAGCATCATTGCCTCAAATCATAAGAGAAATTGATTAAAAAGTATAAGACTGTGAAGTTAAACTTGCCTAACTTGGTCCTGGATTGCCAAGAGATAACAAAGAAAAGATGCAAGTTATATGGAATATGTTAACAGAATATACAGAAAATCTAAATAATAAATTAAGAGGAAAATTCGATGTTAAATAAGCATTACAAAAAGATACTTAAATATCTGGAGGTGCTTAAGTGAAACTATATTTGAATGATCTTTATAATGAGTATTCTATTTAGTATTAAGATTTAGTTAAGCTGGTAAAAATTATAGAGTCAGCAGAGAGTACACAGATAGAGAAATTAGAGAAGCCATTAGATTACATTAAGGTGATTCTATTCCAGGATTCCCCTCTTTTGATAGCTTTCTATATTTAATTATGCCATAATTAGAGAGATTAAGAGAGCCTGCAATAGATACTTTAAATGAAGTGTTTACCTATGTTGACTCATTATCTAATAGCATATTGAAAAAAGTTTTTTACAGATTCCCAACAATTTTAGATGCCATTTCAGACATCAGTTCTTAAGTTTTGACTGAATAAAAGAACAAAACTAAAGTTGTAGTTGAAAATTTGATTGATGCTGAATTAGGATACATCTTTACAAATGATCAAGATTACTTAACAATGAATGCTAGCATTATTCCAGTATGTTCTATATATCTTATATCATTTTAGTAAGAAGATAAAGAAGATTAAAAGGGTGCTGCTGCTGCTCCCTCAGGTGACAATGCAGCAGGTACTGCAAATACAACCACTACAGCTAATAAACCTGCATAATCAGGCAATAAAGATACAGATCCTGAAAAGGTTTTAGCTTAAGAATTGAGCAGAAGATTAGATGCTTATTATAGAATAGTCATAAGAAACTTAAGAGATTCTATTCCTAAAGCAATTGGTTATTTCTTAGTAAGAGCAGCTTAAGAATAAATGTAATTCTAATTATATAATGAAATCATGAAAAGTTAATCAGTGATGGGATTAATGTCTGAAGTAAATAATTGAATTAAATCTAGCCTGAATATATTACAATAGAAAGAGATACAATCAAAAAGACATTGTTAGTATTGAGAAATGCATAGAAACTGTTGAAATAAGATCCATAGTATTTTACATATTTAAACAAAATAGATAAACATTCCAACGATAAACTAGTGAAGCTGTTATGGATAAAGTAAAGAAGACAGCAGCAGAAACAATTAATAAAACAAAAAGATTTCTTGGGATGTGATTTTATTTAGTAAATAACCAAGCATATTATATTATAAAATTTTTTTATCTAGTTTGATTATATGATGAAATTATCAAGAATACTAAGCTGATGGTAATTATTCTAATTATCTACTAAAATCTTATTTAATAATTTATTATTTTTTTTTTGAATTTTTTAATGATACTTCTGAGATTTTCTATTTATATTCATCTCTAGTTATCATATTTTTAGTATGTTCTTCCTTCCATTCTCTTTGAATATTATGCATTTAAGTTCTATTTTCAGCCTCTTCTAAATGCAATTAATCATTCATTTAATAAGCTGTCTTTAAATCATGATCATATGCTTAATTGAAATCAACCTTTGCCTTCACTAATCTTTTAGCTTATTCAGCCAAAATCTTTCTTTCTCTTAAATTAACTGATTCTACTCCTTCCTATACAATTAATTTCTCATTCTATCTATTCTTGATTTCTCTTTCCAATCCTAACTAATTATTCTTCTATAATACCATCTTATTGAGACTTCCAAGCTTTCATTTCTACCATAGCCTTATTAGCATTCATATATTGTTATCTAAGTTTAGTTTCTCTTACTTCTGCTGCTATTCTTTATTCTTCAGCACTCTTGACTTACTTTTTGTTACTAATCTTATTTTAAACTTAAAGTAATTATTCTTCTCTAATTTTTTTTCTCAAATCTTCTTCTTTTTATTTTTTCATCCTCTTAGCTTCTCTCTCCATATCTTTCTATTATGATTCAGCTTATCGATGTGCTTTAATTTCTTAAACCTTCCTTTACATAGAGGATAAGTATTCATCTTTTTAAGTAACAATCTCTTTTCTTTTATCTTCTTCTTCAGCCTTTCTTTCAGCCTTTACAATTTCTAATCTATCTCTTAATTCAGCTAATGACATTTCTTCTAATAGACCATAACCCATAGTTTCAGTAGGATCATATCCTTTAGTTCTTTTAATTGGTTACCTTTCTAATTCCCTTATCTATTTAATCAATTCTTCTCTCTTAATTCTAATTTATTCATCTTCTTATCTTTTCAATTCAAGCATCCTAGCCATTTCTAATTTCTAATCTTCAGCAATTTATTTATTTTTCTCTTATACTTTTTCTACTTACAAATATACTTTCTTATCAGCTTCCATAATTTGTTCTATTAATTACTTTTTATACGCTACTTATTCTTATTATAATTCTTATCGTTCTTTTAATCTTTCTTCAGCTTCAACTTTCATCTTTTCAGCCAATATTCTATTTTCTTTAAATTTCTCCTCTTATGCTCTCATAGCTGCTTCTCTTGCTAATTCCATTTCTATTTTTTTTTATTATTAATGTTCCATTCTAGCAATTTACTCTTATTCTTCTTATTATCTCTTCCATTCTTCAAATTCTCCTGAATCTCTAAGATTAACCTCTAAATTTTTGACTCTCTCTCTTTCAATCTCTTATTTTTTCTTTAATAACATTTCTTCTCTTAAAATAGCTGCAGCATTCAATTTAATTTCAGCAGTCTCTAAATCAACAGGTGCAGGTTTAGCAATTTTCATGTTAAACTGTAATTATTGATTTAAAGTGTCTTCAACCTCCTTTTTGACAGTTTCATAATTATTTGGTCGAAGATCTGTTTTGAATTCAAATTATTTAGCATCTTTATAGGTTTCTTAAACTTTTTTTTTAGATTACTCAAATCTAAGTTTATTATCTTCTTCAATCTATTGCAATGTTTTTTTATTGAGATTACTTGGAACAGGTTTGCTTTTATATTACTCTGGTTTAGGAGGAGGTGGTGGATCAGCCTTTTTCTTGGTTTCACTCAATTTGAAAGGCATAGTTTTCGTCGGTTATTTTTTTGTTGCTGATTCTGGTCTTTCATCTTCTTGAACTAATTCACTTTGTTTGCCAGTAGCTCTTGAACTCAGAGAACTTAATAAATCTTTCATCATGGGAAAGTGTTATTCCAATCCTCCAATCACAGTTTCCTGTATATATTAAGGATCATATATTTCAATCCATTGTGGTTTAACATGTGTAATAATTTTATCGATGTCAAATAAAAATTACAATAAGACATTCATCTTTACTGGATCTTATTCGTTAACCATTTTTTTAAATTCATTGTAAGGTAATTCATCCAATCTAAATAAAATAAGATAGGAAAATATTTGATATAAAGTGGCATCATTTCTATTGGTTGTACTGGACAAGAGAGTGAACATAATTTTAGTTAGGATTTTGAGGAACTCTTCATAACGTTGGACTCCTGAGAAGACCTATTTAAGAATGAGATCAAATTATACTTGCTTCAAAAACATGATTTCTGTATCAAAGAGTTTCTTACAATTTTCTTAAATATATTGTTCACAATGAGAGTCTGGAGTCAAGATTATGGGATTATAAGATTTAATGAGTTCTGTGACATGAGTTATTAATTGCTAATATCGCATTATTAATATATATATATATTTATATTATCAAGTGAATTAAAACAAATTTAGGCATCCGAATTAGTAGAATTTTTAATATATATATATATAAAATTCGAAGTCAAAAGAAATCGAACACAACAATATTTAAATTAATGAGCAAGGAAATACACTCAACAGAGATCAAAGGAAGAGCAAGTAGAAAACATTTCCCTTAATTAGATTTAAGTGACCTTAAGCCAAAAATCAGTTTCCTTGATAGTCTATGTAATAATGTAAAATTCATGTTGTAGTACATAAGAAGTATCAATTAAATAAGAATGTTCATTAATATACATTGGGAAAAGTGTATTTGGAATCTCAAAAAGAGAGAGTTGTTTTTAGAGTGTTTTAAGATTCTGATTTAAATATATCTTCAATCTTCCAATAAAAACTTAATAAAACAACAGTAGATGATGATGTGATGACTACATATTCATAGATTTCACATGCAAAGAAATAAAATAAAAAGGATTTAATAAGAAGGATATATGAAAAAGAAAAATGGCCTAAAAGTAAAAAAGAATCTATTGAAGAAATGGAATAATCTCTATTTGGATCAGATGAAGAACCTTAAACTTTTTGTACACAATAACCAAATCAAGAAAGGATATCTGGTTAGTTTATTTAATCTTAATGATCGATGTTGATATATATTTATTATAATAACTAAAATTTATAAATAATTAATTAAGTGACGCAAATGAAGTTGAGTAAAATGAATGAGGATGAAGCAGCTCTTATATTCGAGGAAAGGTAACCACTAAATATTCTATCAAGAGAAAGAAAAAACTTATAGGAAATTTAATTGATCAATATACAAAAGTCCAAAAATAACAGTAACAATCAAAATATAATATCCTATCAAAAAATGAACAACCCAAATTACACTAAAAGCTCAGTCCATCAAATTAATGTATGGGAGAGACTTCTAAAGAAATACAATTAAAAAAAATAGTTAAGAGTTCATTGTTAAAGGACATTGGTAATATTGATATGGAAATATAAAAAATGACCAATGATCATAACACTAATAGAACTAAACCACTATATTTAGATAAATAATATTCCAATTCTAAAATATTGACCAAAACAATAAATTAAACGGAATTATCCAAATCTGAATAGAAGACTTCAATTTAGAATAGGAATTAAAGCTATTATACAAATAGATAAAAATCTAATAAAATCAATAAGGTAGCTGAAAATTCTTATTCTAAACTTGCTGAATCTATTCGTAATTATTCTAATCAAAAAAAGAATGAAGAACCAAAAACTAACGATTAATCTAAACCCTATGATTTTCTATAAATTAACACTTAATCAGAAAAAAAAATTGTTAAAAATAAAACAAAATCAGTTAATATTGAAGCTAATGTTATAAAGTCAATCAAGGTGATTTCTAGTGAACGTAAAATACCCAAACCTCCTTTAAAATAACTATCTTAAAAGAGAAATTCAGAGAGTGAAAAGACTTCCCCTGTCAAAACTATTTTAAAATAAACCTCTAATCATACATATGATCTGAGTTCTACCAAAGCTAATACGACACAATAAGTAAAATTTAATATTTGATTTTTAGTTTTATTCAAATAATCAATTTAATAGAAGTCAAAATAATAGTAGTATTGGGGATTATAAGATTTTAGAAGCTGTCAATATCTATAAAACACTTAAATAATTAGTGGATTCTAAAGAATTAATCCCTAAAAAACATTCTACAACTTTACTTTAATAAAAAACATCAACTCTATTGGTAATTATTTATTTCTTATATTATTTATAGTCTCATAAGAATGTAAAATAATAATGATGAATTACTTATATCAATTTTTATTATCTATCAAATAATTATTTTAATTTATTTAATTCCTGATAATGAAAATTTAATTGATCATTTTTATATAATAATTTATTTATAATTTATCGTCTATAAGAATGAGCTTTGAACGTTATCATCCATCCAAACTAAACATTGAATCAAGTGACAATAATTACCATCACAATGGCAATAATCATGTCCATTTAAAATATGCTCCCATCAAAATTATTCACAACGATATTGCTAATTGTGAGGAAAGACGTAAATATCCCTAGTTAAATCTACGCTTTCAACCAGCTGATGAAACCATCGTAATTATGTATCATAAAGTAGACTCGTCAAGATCCAACTGTCACTATTCCTCTGAGTTTTCTACAATAACTAATTTAATAGGCTTATTCAAATAAATAATTAAGAACATTAAATAATCCCTCTTTTAGGGTGGAAGAGAATAGAAATGATGCAGTAGAAGAACTAATCAAGTAGATCGAAATCTAATAAAAAGGATTTTACCCTATTGATGGTAAATATATTATTGTTATATTTTTATAATAGAAGAAAAAAAAATATAAAATGCTCTAATCTAAAATTAAATGAATTTTATTTTAAAAAATGAAGAAGCTATTTAAATGATTGAGACTTATTTTTCAGAAAATACTAATCTTAAACCACATTTCAAGACATGGCTTTAATAACTAGAAGTAAAAGCCATATAAGATATGTTGATCTTATGTCATTCTGATCCAAAAGGATAATAATACTAAGATTTATTTAAAGCCTTATTCCAAAAGTTATCTATTGAATTTTATCAAAAACATGCTTATGCCTAGATCTTAAGAAGTGATCAATAAGAAAAGCTAAAATATCTATCTTAAATAGGAGAAATCTTAAATAAAATAACGAAACCATAAGAATATTATTATTTTAAGCAACGATGAGATTGCAAATGTGTGTTTATTGAGTTTAGTTTTGTTTTTTTTCTGTATATTAGTTACATAAGTTTATTCATTCAAACATATATCCTACACCTTAGACTGATATTATAAAATTGTCTTTTATATTTGTCTTCTCAAATTCTATCAAGCATTCTGGTAGGAATTTCTAAATTACATATATTAAAGACTCAGTATGAGAAGAAGGTTTACCAACTAAAATTTCCGATTTACCTTTAGCCAAAGACATCAATAAAATTAATTAATCCTAATGATGCTCATCTAAGCAAGTTTATTATTCCAGTTATTATTTAGCATAATTAATTACATTAACTAGAGTTTCTTCAATACTTTTATCGCTATCATTAATAATTGTATAATCATAAGAATTCAAATTAGAATGACTCATAAGAGAAATCCCATAACATTTCTTGAACTTCTTTGAATTCACAATTTTTATTTCGCTATTTATTATTAATTAGCCATTTTCAGTATATTATTTGAGATCATTCACAATCTAATGATCAAATATTTGAATATCACATGGGGATCCTAATAAATATGTGCAATTCAATTTATTAATTTTAGTAAATTCTTTCTTAATTAATTAATTAAGTGTATTTTTAATAGGATTTAGTACAGCTTAAATCAAACCTCCCCCTTAAGGATAGTAACCCTCCTTCAAAACATTAACAATACATTTTAGACCCATTTGATTGATTATTGGGACAAAAATTGTACTCCAAGCTTCTATAGTAGGACAATGATTTAAATAAGTTCCCCCATGTATAGTAATGGATATTTGTTTTTAAGTATTAATTGAGATAGGTAATAAAGATTACAAGATTAAGGTTATACTTTATGCTGTTTAAGCTGGACACACAATATCTTAAGGTATAAATTTTTCAAGAGGTCTGAATGAAAATTCTTATGAACCTAATTTAAGGCCTTCAACTTCAGATTTGATAATTTTGGTGATTAGAGTGATCTAATTGAGAAGTTAGTTATTTATTCCAGGGTTTGGTCTATTGGATCTAATATTTATGATTTTAAATTGTTTTTGAAAGAGAACAGAAAGGGCCAAAGCACTTCTGAACATTTATCCTCCTCCTTCATTGTATGAACCGTCAATAATAATAATATTTTAATTCATTAGTATGTATTTTAATTATTGATTAATTTTACTATAAAAAAAAGTATAGGATACTTTAATGAAAATTCTCTTATGAATAATGATTTAATGTAATATGTAAGTATTTATCTTTAAATAAATTCATCAATTATAAATATTAAAATTATGGAGTCATTAAATGATGGTAGTTAAGCAAGGAAAAAATACGCTGTGATCACACCAGCAGTGAGAATGGCTTTTATTAAAAGAGTCTAATCGAAATAATCAACAATAAAGTAGGCAGCCCAAGAATTTGGAATTAAGTTTAGCACGTCTAAAGCTATTTTGTAAACTTATAGAAGGGAAGGAAGGGTAGGCAAGAAGAAGACTCGTTAAAGAAGAAGTATTTCTAAGTTGGAATCTCTACCAGAAAAACCTTAAGAAATCAATAAAACAACAGAATCGTTGGTACCAGCCCAACCTGTTCAAACTTCGCCTATCGACTAATAATTTCAATCCTTATAATTATAGTTAAACTAATAAATTTAACTGATGTAACTCAGCTTATCCATGAATCCATACATGCTTCTTCAACAGTAAGAGTATTAATTTGATTCTCTAGAAACCAATATTTAAACTAATGTCTAATGTAATTATAGACCCAGCAAATGATCAATTCGTAAGGATGGTAGAAGCCCATTTAGCAAACACAGCCTCTTCTTTAAGAATTTGGACGCATTTAGGAACAAAGAAAATATATAACTCCATTATAATCAAGCAAATGTCTTGACCAGAAATTTGATGAAGGTCGTACTACATTAAAGGATTTCATTTGAGAATGATTATATTGTATTAAATAACAACAGTTTTCAGAACTTAAAAAATCTTATAATCTTTTATATATATTTAAATTGATTAATAATATATATTTAAAATACATGATATTTCAATATATACATATAGTCTTATTATTCAAATAAATTATTAGATTAATATATTTCTATCTTTTTATTACTCCCTTTAGTTTTATTGACCGAACTCCAAAAAGTAGGCATATGAATCACATATCTATTGGGTTATCTAATTAAATTTATTTTATTTAAAATAAAAGAAAAAGTTGATTTATAATAATATCTTGGTGATTATATAAGTATAAATTAAATAATTAATTATAATTATTTATAATAAAAATTGTTACCATATCTATGGAACATTAAGAAATTAAATCAGATAAACCTGTGGTAATATATGGAGGTGATTATTGTCCATATTGTCATAAATTAAAGCATTTTTTGGATACTAAAAATATACCTTATGAATACAGAGATATCACAAAAGATAAGGAACATGAAAGATAAGTGAATGAATTTGTAGTTAAATTGAAATGGAGTACAATACCTATGGTATTCATTAAATAAAAGTTTGTTGGTGGATATACAGATGTAGTAAATTTAGATTAGAAGGGAGAATTGGAGAAATTATTAAAATGATGATTTGGAGATGATTATTAAAAAATCATATATTATAATGAAGGATTGTTATTATCTAGTAATTCTTACATAAGTTTAGCAATTAAAACTATATTAAAGTTGCTGAAAATAATAAATATATTATTAATGAATTTGTTCAATTTTTTTTGACTGGCAAATTTACTTCTTTCCATATTTTACATGTATTATCTTTAGACCCTGTAATAATAATGTCTCCTTCATAATTAAATGAGCAACTAAATATTTCATCTGTATGTCCCTCAAGTACTTATAAACACTCTCCAGTTTCTGAACTATTAAGGTTATTAATGAAAACATACTATATTCTAGCAGTATTGTCTGCACTGGCAGTAATGATCTTGTTACCAGAAGGATTAAATTAAACTTTGGATATTTCTCCTTTATGTCCAAGTAATTATGCTATACATTCTCCAGTATGCACATTGTATACTCTTCCAGTAGCATCTGCTGAAACTGTCACTAATCTAGTGCCTAGAATAAATAGATTAATGAACCTGTAGAATTGAAACAAATATCTTAAACTTCATCTTTATGTCCTCTCAAAGTTTCTATGCATTTACCTGTTTTAATATCCCATATTTTACAAGTCCTAAATGAAAATATATTGATTACTTATCAATAGATCCAGTTGCACAATAATCACCTGTAAATTCAAATTAAGTACTTGAAATTTCACCTGTATGTTCATCTAACATATGAATACACTCTCCAGATCTCACATCCCAAATCATTGCAGTTTTATCAAATGAACCTGTTAATAATTTATCTCCATCTGAATTGAAATGCAAACTCACAATTTCACCTTCATGTCCATCTAATCTAGCTATTTACTTTCCTGTTTCTACATCCCATAATCTAGCAGTTTTATCCATTGATCCTGTAGCCACAATCAAAGAATGAGGATCAAAAGATGTACAAACTATTTCATAATTATGTCCTACTAGTGTCTATAGACATTTCCCTGAATTANTAGTTAAATTGAAATGGAGTACAATTCCAATGATATTCATAAAATAAAAGTTTGTTGGTGGATATACAGATGTAGTCAATTTAGATGAGAATGGAGAATTGGAGAAATTAGTAAAATGAATATGATTATTAAAAATCATATATTATAATGAAAGGAATATTATTATCTAGTAATTGTCACATAAATATAGTAATTGAAACTATATAAAAGTTGCTGAAAATAATAAATATATTATTAATGAATTTGTCATTTTTTTTTGACTGGTAAATTAACTTCTTTCCATATTTTACATGTATTATCTTTAGACCCAGTAATAATGATATCTCCTTCATAATTAAATGAACAACTAAATATTTCATCTGTATGTCCCTCAAGTACTTATAAACATTCTCCAGTTTCTGAACTATTAAATTATTATTAATGAAAACATACAATATTCTAGCAGTATTATCAGCACTTGCAGTAATGATTTTGTTTCCAGATGGATTAAATTAAACTTTGGATATTTCTCCCTTATGTCCAAGTAATTATGCAATACATTCTCCAGTATGCACATTGTATACTCTTCCAGTGGCATCTGCTGAAACTGTTACTAATCTAGTGCCTAGAATAAATAAAATAATGAACCTGTAGAATTGAAACAAATATCTTAAACTTCATCTTTATGTCCTCTCAAAGTTTCTATGCATTTACCTGTTTTAATATCCCATATTTTACAAGTCCTAAATGAAAATATATTGATTACTTATCAATAGATCCAGTTGCACAATAATCACCTGTAAATTCAAATTAAGTACTTGAAATTTCACCTGTATGTTCATCTAACATATGAATACACTCTCCAGATCTCACATCCCAAATCATTGCAGTTTTATCAAATGAACCTGTTAATAATTTATCTCCATCTGAATTGAAATGCAAACTCACAATTTCACCTTCATGTCCATCTAATCTAGCTATTTACTTTCCTGTTTCTACATCCCATAATCTAGCAGTTTTATCCATTGATCCTGTAGCCACAATCAAAGAATGAGGATCAAAAGATGTACAAACTATTTCATAATTATGTCCTACTAGTGTCTATAGACATTTCCCTGAATTAGCATCCCATATTTTAGCAGTCTTATCAAATGATCCTGTTACCACCCGATCACTATTAATATGTTTATACAAGATTACCCAAATGGATTATTAAATGCAATACAATATACAACATTTTTATGACCCTCCAGAGATACTATTTCCTCTCCTGTAAAAGTATCCCATACTTTACATGTTCTATCATAGCTACCTGTTATAAACCTAATTTTTATATCAATTCAAATTAAGTACTTGTCTCCATTTTTATTGAATGCACAATTTGTCAAAGGTAACATATGAGCTTTTAGAGTTTTGAATAATTCAAATTATTGCTCTTTTTTTGATTCAATTTTATCTATTAATTCTAATAAGCCTTAGATTTTGTCTTACTTCTTATTAAGGCTGCTAATTAAGGTTTTCGATTCTCTGAAATTATTGGCTCTTCCATGACTATTTCTTCAACTAATTGATCTACATCTGTACTATTATTTTAGACTTCAAACTATACTCATTGCTTAAATTTAGCAAGTCAATAGATTTCGTTTCTTATTCTCCATTACTACGTATGTACTCCAAAATTATTCCAGGAGGATAATATCTCAGAAGAAACCTTTTAAGCTTCATTTTTAAAAATTTAATATTTATGTATTGAATCATATGTAATACATTATAAGATAATGAATAATGGGAATCTCATTGGAGGAAAGCTAATTTAATTGATATAATAATTATATCAATACATATAACATTTGTTCATAAATCAATTTAGTCTTGTACTTAATTTCCATTCAATTTAATAGCTTATTGTTTTTTTGGAGCAAATAGAATCTTCTCAAGATTCATACAAGGTACCTTAATTATATAAAATGTATATTACTTCAATGGCTAAACTTAAAATACCTCCTATTACTATTGTATATACAATATCAGTAAGTGTGAAAAAAAGAATGTGTGAGTATTGATAATAAACTAATTGAGTTGAACTGAAGGTCATAAATAAAATAACAATGAAATGTGTTAAATACATACAAAATGATATTCTGGCTATAGGTTACCAGAAGGGATGTCCAAGTCTAAGATTTAATTATTATTTATACATAAATCTTGATGGATCATTCTTGCATCCTAATAAAGCAGGAGTTATACAAAATCCAACACCTATAACAAAAAATACTCTATTGAAAGCTTAGTAAAAATATTAGGCTTATGGTGGCCAAGCATTCATATCCTTTTAGAGTGGTATAATAATCCATATTATTGTTTGAGTTAATCCAATTCCAATTACATAAAGTAAAGTTCTAATTAATACACTATCTTTGATTTTCTTAGCCAAATCTACTAATTTTTAATTTTAACCACTAATATAATTTCGATAGAATAATCCAAAGAGGATACCAATTAAGTAAGGAGAAATCCTGACCCAAGGTTTATAATAAAATACATCTTGATAATCTGGTTGTGGTTTTGCATTAGGAGTACCTATTTATAAATGATAATCATGAGAAAAAGCTATATAATAGGCTGAGAATACACTTCCAATTAGTAATGAAATAATTATTGTTAATCCGATTTTTTTATTCCTGGCATAAATAATCAATAGTATTGGAGTAATAAGAAATATTTAAAAATCATTTGATAAATACCAACCCCATCCAAAACAATAACTTAATCCATTATTAGCATGTGAAAACATGTTATCAATAAATAATAGATTCTTCCACCATTAAGTATTACAAGTAGATGTAGATGTTATATATTCATTCCAGATAGGTCCATCTGACATATAAACAGTCAATTGCCAATATACTAAAATACAAAATGCATATGTTGGCCATATTCTTAAAAATCTATGTAACCACATTGCTGGTACCAATGTAAATTTGATTGTTCTTAATTTAGTTAACTTTTCCAATAATAAAACAGCAGCCAAGAAACCTCCTACAAAAAAGAATGTATCAACTGCAAAATATGCTGCAGGTGTTAATGTCACCCATCCAGGTTCTGTGATTTTATAAGGGATATCTATTAGATTAAATGAATTTGATCCTCTAATTAATTAATCATGACCAAAAATAACCCAAAATATTGATAATGATCTTATTCCATTAAAAACCACAAAACCTGCATTATCACCTTTTGGTTCATTAATTTTAAATAGTTTTTGATAATTGTGAATAAAAGAAAAGCTTAATGCAAATCTTTCCCATGTTGCTTCTTTATATTTCTCATATTTAATTTCCTAAAATTATCCTTAGCCACTCATAAAAGCAGATTCCTAATTTTCCATGATTTCATTTTCTAATTTAAAAATGAATAATTTATTTACAAATTAATTCTGATCTCCTATAAAGTTGATTTATAGATTCTGATTAAAAAGATGTTTCTTCAATTTTAGAATCATTTATTTTCTATACGGCTTTATTCTTAATCTCTATTTATAAGTCATCCTAATATGCTTTCTTTTTGTTTTCTGCAATAATGGAGAAAATGCTTCCAATAACATTGAGGCCAACTACAACAATCAATAAAAAAAGAGTCAAATAGGTTCCAACACTCCATTCTGGATACATTAGTTCTGGATCCTAGTAAGAAACACTTTCAATCATTGACCTATTGAATTGGAGATTCTAAGGAAACTATGGATATGTACAGTTAAATTATTAATGAATTTTTTGGTTGTTTCATTGAATGTTTAGAGATAATCCATATCACAAAATTAAGGTAAACAAAATCCCATATGTAGAGGTCTTCCTCCACTTATCATTCTTAAGTGAATGTAATGTAGGTCAACAGAGTCTCTACAAACTAAATAGGAACCTAAATCTTAAAGGCCTTTTCCAGAGCTGAGTAAAGTTTATGGTGATACATTCTTTGGCATTTCCCCAATTGAAATAGCATCGACAATATTTTTAAAATATTCTTCACACTTAATGTTATTCTCATCATTTGATTAGATTTACATAATAAGTAATAGAAAACATAAGGAATAGTGAAGGAATTTCATTATTTATATATTAAATATATTTATAAAAGAAAATTGATATATAAAAATAGGAGTATAATAATTTCAATTAATAAATAAATGACATATCTATATGTATGTATGGTGATTACTTTTTTTAAATTTGTAATCCAATAGTTATATTAATTAATTTAATATAATCAAAAAATAGTATTTAAATTATTCATTTTTTATCATAACAAATCCATCAGAATCTAACAATTAAGTTTAGATTATGCCACTATCAATTAGTTTGATATCTGATGGATTAAATCAAATATAAATTAATATATGATTTAGATATTCATATTCAGACATTAAAAAAAGGAATAGAAAGATAGAATGTTAATATAAATAAAGCATTAGTAAAATTTATGATTTTTTTTGTGTTTTAGTAATTCTATTAATTATGTTATGTTTGTAAAATTTGATATCATGATGATTAAGTACTATCAAACCATTCTCTTAGTGTTTCTGGACAATGTTAAGCTGACATTCCACCATTCTACTTATTTAATTCTTCATCATAAATAAAACAAGTCAAAACAGCATCACATGCCATTTAATAGATACTCATAAATAGTATAGCCACCATATAAGCAATAATAAAGCATACAATAGATGGTACAATTGGAGATGCTAGATCTGTTTTATATGGTTCTGCATGAATAAAGATTTCATATGCAAATAAAACTGTAGCAAAACCCACAAATAATTTACCAATCTATATATATAATATATATTTTACAAATGTAAAAATAGAACCAATACCAGAAACTAGACTATATCTCATAGTATTAGCCCATATTGATTCAAAAGCATCTTTAGCAGCTGGACAAAAACTCTTGCTAGTCAATGCTATTTGAATGTAAGCATTTTTATTGAGAAATTCTATAAATCTTTCAAAACAAGCCACCAAACAAGATAGACAATCTAATATACATTTAGTACATTTATTATCTCCTGACATCTATTTTGCTTGATATTTAGCATATTCCAACATCAATCTAATAAATTAAACAACTGCTAATATGAAAGAACCAAATGCTAAAGATCCAAGATGATAACGAAATGCCCAATAAATACTTTAGAATAAATTTCCAGTATAAGATTAACCTGGTCCTTAATTAAAATACCATATGCAAACTGAACAACCAATTATAAATTGATTCAGAGCCAATAAAAATGCTTGTTTCCATAATCCACCAAACATAAAGTAATAAACCATATTTCTAGTAGTATTGTCAAAAGTAACAGTGGCAAAAGGAGTACTACCATCTCCTTTGATGTTTCCAAGACCAACAATATAACTTATGAATTAATTATATATATTACACAACTGATACTATCCACCAAACCCATAATACTCCTAAACAAATTCCAATTACTGGAGGTACTATCATAACTGAAAAGTTATCTCTCACATATAAAGTAGCTGTCTTTACAACTCCTATTGCCAATCTAATTTTATTGAAAATGCAAATAAAAACAAGAATAGAAAAAGCAATCCATGCTATTTCAATATAAAACAAATATTCTAAAGCTTTGGCATTGTCAGAGGCATTTGTAGATCCTGCTGAGGCTGATTATTAAGAATCACTAAAATATATATAATAATAATCTATATACTTTAAATAATATAAATGTTAATCCCAAGTATAACCTGCCAAAACTGAAATTCCGACAAAGTAAAGTAAAATTGTTAACCATACAAATAAACCTCCTAAAAATCTTAAAATAATCATATAAATTAATCTATTATATTTTATTTATTTTTACCCTAAACCAAAAGCTATAAAAAAAGATGCTAGAATTATATATTTTGCAATAGAAAGATCATATAACCAAGATGTTAATCTATTTAAATCTATGGAGGAACTAAAATTAGAAGTTTGATTTAAAATTTCTAAAGCAGTACTTGGAAAACATGCTCTTGAAAAAATAGGTTCACTTCCATATAGACAAATCCAATTTTCAGGTTTACTGACTGAACTTGTTATTGTGTCTACATAGTTCTTCATAGAATCTATGGAAGTGAAATCAAAAGTAGTAGATGTATCAACTGAAACCTTTGTACAATCTCTAGGACATGATGTGATATTTTTATTTGTTTAACATTTAACAGTATCTGATGTATTTGCTGGACATCTTTCTACACAAACAGTTTTATTATAGTAATCAGGATGAATGATAGGAAAGTATAATAATGGATAATCTGGTAAATCCAAGTCACATGCATTACCTAAATATAATAGATTAAAAGTACCATCAGAATCATAAGCTGCCAATATTCTTTCTGGTTTCCCTAAAGAATATCCTGTTATAGCAATATACCTTAGGTTATAAAATAATAACTTACCACATGAATATGAATGATGCTATAAATAATAAACAACATATGATATCAGTACAATGACGATCTTATAATGGTCCATTCATCAATCGTGAATCAATTGGTTTGGCTTATTTCTCAGAAGCATCTTAAACTTTCATTAGTATAAGTAATAATAATATATAAATCAAAAGAAAATACTATTTAATTACAATAAATTTACACAATCCTTTCAGTATTTCTTCCCTTCATCTCCTTTTTAAATATATTGTAAAATCAATCTCCTTTATAATTGACTGAGTAAATCTAAGAACATAGATATCAAACAGATTCCTCCTGCAAACTTTTAGGCTTTCATTAATTATCCACTTTCACTTTTTTTTAATTGCATACTACTATAAATAATTAGACAATTAATTGTTCCTGCTGCTGTATTAGATACCCAATATTAATCAATTCCAAAGTTTCTTATTAATATTCCAGAGCCAATTTCATTCAATTATTGATGAGTGTATCCAGTCAATAATCCATAAAAACAATATTTATTTGATTATATGAATTTTGAATAATTTTTTTATAAAGCCTTGCCAATCCCATAAAAAAATCCACAAAATCCTATAGCAAAAGTATTTGAGATAATTCTATATTGTGATGAAGGTCTTGGAAATAAGTATTGTTAATAAATTTCTTATGTATCTAAAGAAGGCATTTATTTTCTAATATCAATAAATGGCATTTGAGTTTAATAAATTTATATAATTAATTAATATATTCTAAATACCAGAAATAATTATATTGTTATGAATAACTCAATTATAATATTTATTAGTAAATTGTATTGCAATATGATTATTCTAATATTCTTGTAATATGTAATAATTCTTGTAACAAATTAATGTTGTATATTTATATATATTAAGAAATTTAATATAAAAAAATATTCAAAAAATGATATATATTCTGATCGGATTATTTAGTTTAGTCCTTTGTTAAGGAGATGTGTAAACAACAGTATAGACTGGTAAAATTGGTTTGTATTTAATCATTTAGATTTTTATAAACAATTGTTGAGTGCAGATCCAAAATAATACATCGAAACAGGATATGTTACATTAAAAGACTTAGAGGATGGATAGACAGCTGTAGGAGAAATGTTCTACCACATGTTTTTAAAACAAGGAACTATGAGCTTAGATTAAATAAAATAAGATGATATTTTAGTTATCTGGTTAAATGGTGGTCCAGGTTGTTCATCATAATTTGGTAACTTTTAAGAGATTGGTCCTTATAAAGTTGTAGAGGTGAGCAAAGATAAATATAAGGTTGAAGAGAGAGTAATTATTTATTTTATATGGTATAGCCATAATCTTGGAATAAGTTGACACATCAATTATTTGTTGATTAGCCATTAAGAGTGGGAATGAGTAGTGCTAAAGATGGATTTATAGTCTCAAATACTGAAACTGCTGCAAAATACTTTGTTAATTTCCTTCGAGTTCTATATAATAAACACACAATTCTATAGAGAACACAATTGTATATAATGGGAGAGAGTTTTGCAGGACATTATATACCTGCTATTGCTGTCTAAATATTAACTTAAAAGTTAACTATTGTGAATTTTAAAGGAGTTGCAATAGGAGATGGATGGACATAGCCATTTTAATAATTATCTTAGTATGCTTCCTATTTGTATACAATTGGTACAATAACAGAAAGATAATTCAAAATAATTCAGAATAACATAGCTATAGGATAAAATGCTATTTTAAATGGGGATATGTAATTAGCATACAAATAATTCGATATATTGTCTGATGATGAAACTATAAAAATGGCTGGTGGAATCAACGTTTACAATTTCAGACAATACCAAGGATAAGATATAGAAGATACTACACATGAGAGATTCTTAAATTTTTATTTAAAGACTTAATTCAAGGCTCCAAATACTAAAACAACATTTGAAGGATGTGATGGACCTACTTATGATGCCTTTGCTTTGGATATTCCAACAAGTAGAAAGGCTGATATTGAGATTTTGTTATAGAGTAAAATTAGAGTTTTACTATTCAATGGTTAATTAGATTATATAGTTAATACTCCTGGAGCTGTTATGTGGATGAGTTAATTGAATTGGGAAAACATTGGATTATGGAAAAATGCAAAGAAGGAAATGATTGTTGTGAATAAAGAAACATAAGGGACATGGAAATAATATGAAAATTTGATCTATGCTACAATTTATACAGCTGGTCACATGGTTCCTACTGATAATCCATAGGGTGCTTATGCAATGTTAGAAAAATATTTAACAATATAATGAATTCATTAATCATTATAATTTTAAGATATCTAATTTATATCATCAATTATTATATCTTATTTATATAATTGAAATTATGGATTTATCATTTTCTAATTAATAGATCTTCAATTTAAGTTAAAATTAGTTATACAATTGCTTAATTTTTATTATAGGTAGATGAATAATCAATTTTATTTTGTTTTAGATATAATACAAAAAGAAAATAATCTAATATATATATATATAATCAAAACAAATTAAATCAATATATTACTGTTAAAATTTGAATAATATGGATAAACAAATGATTTTCAGTTTTTAAACTCAAAAACCTAAAATTAGAGAGTAAGTTAAGAGACTTGAATATTTTCAATAAGAATTATCGTAAATCTAAGATCTTTCAAGATAAAATAGATCAAAAAGTTCTACAGATATGCATAGTATGACTACAGCTGATAGTAGACAATATTAAGGTTATTATGAGGAAGTTTCTGCATTTGCTTTACCAAAAAAAGATATTTTCAGCTAATCTTTGAATAAAATCTAAATAAATTAACATAACAAAGAAATATAAACTGATATTTTATCTAAACCAAAATTAGAAATATTATAAGAAAATGTAATGCAATTACAATTATAAAAAGAGGAAATCTTCAATTAAATAAAAACAATAAAAAAAGAGAATGGATTATTGATTTCTTAAAATAAATCATATGAAATTGAAATAAATGCATAAAAGAATAAAATAAATGAACTAATTAATGAACAAAATGATAAAGAATAATTTTATCAATAAACTATGTAACAATAAAATTGGTAAATCATTTAATTAACTAATGAATTATAATAATTATATAATAAGCAATAGTAATTCAATAATTATGAAATGAATAATAATACATTATAGATGCTTGTAGTTTAATTTTCATAGGTAGAATAGGAAAACATTGTTTTAGCAATTAAAGAAGTGATTAAAATTAATAAAAATGATAGATTATAAGTTATATAAGATTGGATACATGTTGAAGATATAAAAGAAGAAATCATACAATTAAAAAAACATCATAATATTAAATTGAAAGAAGTAAACATTTGAATGAATATGATTTAGTTAATGGAATAAATAAAAATCCTTTAAAGTGATTAAATAATTGAACCTGAATTATTGTCAACTTAGGATTCATTACAATTAGTATCAAATATCCTTTATAGAGCTATAAAAAGTAATGAGATGTTAAAATTAATTAAATAAAATACAAGAATGTATAATTTGATTGAAGATTTATGGAATAAATTAAAATCTCGATTGGAACATTCAAATTTTTCATAATAACATATTAGAACATCATCTTTAAATAAAGTTGATTTAAATTCAACAAATAAAAAGTTTTCATGTAGAAAACTGTGAATTAATTTATATTTATTATATATAAATATACAAAAATTTAATGTTTAAAATCTACAAAAAATAAATATAATTAAATATGACTTTATATCTATTTATTAATAAAGCTCAACCTTAATTTAATTTTTTAAAATTGATTAAATTTTCTAGAACATAATGAATTACTGATTATGCCTTTTGTCTATTCTTTAATTTATCTGTTATTCCTATAATGTCTCCAGCCTCTTTAACATAATATTCTAAATCTTCATTAGTGCATTTATTTGTCAACTAAGCCAAACGAGTTCTATTAATTATATTATAGATATAATTACTTTTCAGATGCAAATTCTTCATCTAAATCAAATAATTCAAGAGGAGGAGGTGGTAATTCTCTAGGAATAGGAGGAAAGACAGCTGGTTATAATCCTAATAAAGGAGTTTCAAATTGTGGAACAATAAGAGTCAATGGTTCATGTTTAACCTCTAAAATATAAATGAAAATTACAAAGAGTTTCATAAAGTTTAACTGCATCTGGAATGAGATCAAGATCAAATTTGAATAATGTTGAATCAAATAAGGTTGTTACATCTTTTGGTAATTCTTCACTTTCTTATAAACAACTCTTTAGTTTATCAGATAACTCTGCAATATCAGGAGCATTTTTGCAATCATTTTCTACAAATGGAGTTTTCTTATCAAATTCAACTTCTTTTGTAAAGAAGAACTTTAAAAGAAAATCAAAAATCTTTTAATTATCATCTTTTTCAAAATATTCATCATTAAATATATCAGTTGAACCTATGACTACAAGTTTACCCTTTTCTTGATTAATTGCCATAATTGGTTTTTCACATGGATAAGACATGGGTCCAGTAGAAAGGATAGGAAAAGCTTTGTCTTTAACAATTAAAGTGGCTCCATTAGGATAAACAAAGTCAAGACCACTTTGATTATTAATTTCAGTATCTTCCATTTCTATTACTCCTTAGAGGTATGGTGTGGATGCCTTATTTTTTCTAGTCTCTCTTTATTCACCATTAATCACACGAACTATCTTAAATAGAATAAAGATTTTCAAACTTCTTGATTAATAACTCCTTATTATATAAATGCTTCTTTTGGATGAAAATATTTAAAATAGCATGTCCTTACAACACAATCGTTGTTAACATAAATTCCAAATTTCTCAATGAATGCATTTAAGTTGCTAGTAGACTTACTCTCACCTCCATCAGAGAATAAGATTAATAGATTGCCTCCATTAATGAAATATTCTTCAAGACATTTGATTTCTATGAATCAAAATAAAAAATACCTTTCTCAGTAAAGGGAGCTCTGGAGCCACCAAAAATGAGTAAATTTGCATTTCTGATTTTCTCTATAACTAAGTCATCTTTATTTAAGCCAAACTAAATAATTCAAAAATCCATAACTTACCTTATATTAACCTTTATACTTTTTAAGAATCTTCTTGTAATTCTGACTAGGATTACCTTATTCATTTTTGCATACATTAAATATAACCTAATTAATTTATTATATACTTATGGTTCGGACATCTTTTATTTTTTTAAATTAAAATAAATGAATAAATTAATATTGGATGCCAATGCATTTATTAAAGAAATCAATTTTCAACACCTTTCAGAACATTATACATTCATAACTCATGAGGCTATTCTAACTGAAGTTAGAGATGAAAGAGCCAGATAAAAATTATAAAATTTCACTTACCCTCTCACCTTCTTAACACCATCAGAGAAAATGATTAAAATTGTTAAACAATTTGCAACATAAACATCAGACATAGCATCATTGTCACCTATTGATATTGAACTTATTGCTTTGGCTTGTACATTGATAGAAGAAAATGGTTAGAAAGACAAATTAAAATTGGAACCATTAAAACCATTAGAGTTTAATAAAATTAAGAATGTATATGGATCTAAAAATAAATAATAATAAATAGAAGAAGAAGAAGTAGAAGAAGAAGAAGAAGAAGTATAATAATAAGAAAACTAATAAGTTTAAAATAAATAATAAGATGAATAAACTTAATAAAAATCAGAAGAACCAGAAAAATAAGAAATATCATAAAAGAATGATGATAATAATGATGATGATGATTCTGATGGATGGGAAGAAGTTGTTCCAAAGAAAAAACATTACAATAATTATACTAAATAATAAAATATATAATTGTAAACTAAATAAGTTGAAGATTAACAAGAGGAATCATCAGAAGATGATAATGATGAAGAATGGATTAATAATACAAATATTAATGAAAAATTAAATGAAATTCAAATTAATCCATAATAAGCTAATTAAGTTGGTGTTGCTCTTTTGACTACTGACTTTGCTATGCAAGTATCATTCATTTTTAATTTATAAGAATGTACTATTGTAAATGGGTGTTCCTGTTTTATCAACTGAAGGATATATGATTAAGAGTGCAAGAAGATTCATTTTAGAATGTCATATATGTAAAACATTAGTCAGAGATTCAACTAGACTTTTTTGTACTAATTGTGGAAATAATTCATTACTAAAGGTTTCATGTTCTTTAGAATCTGATGGAACAATTATTTTATATAGAAAGAAGAATTTCAAAGTTAATCTTAGGGGAACTTAAGTAAATTAATATTTTAATATTTAATAGTATTCAATACCTTAGAATTTAACTAAAAAGGATGCCCCATTTATTTTCTGTTAAGATCAATTAATGAAAAGTGGAATTTAGTAATAATTAGCTAGATAAGTATTTTATATTGTTTATATTAATTAGAGAAAATAAGAAGAATACAGATACAAAAAGGTTATGAAAACATATGAAAATGGAATTGGTTTTGAAGATGTTGATTATAAACATCCAAAATAAAAAATCACTGTTGGTTATGGTAGATTGAATCCAAATGATGTAAATGATATGAGAAAAATAAAAAGAAATAAAAAACATTGATGTATATACAAATATAATTAAAATAAATAAATTCTGTCTCTTTATAATTAAAAATTTAATATATTTTAAATACTATAATGATTTGATATAAATATATCATTTTTTCTTAGCTTATGTTTTTGTTGTTGTTTTTTCCTTTTTTAATTTCTCTTCTCTTTAAATAATATCTTTATTTTACTATTTATAAATATATTTATTACTTTAAGATGTTTATTTGATATTTTTTAGTTTGTTGGAATCTATTATGCTTCAAATTAATGAGTATCCATAGCTGATTTTAAAGCATCCATTTTCTTTTAAGATGCATCAACATCTTCTTTAATTTAAGATTAAGTTGGATCAAAATCTCTCATATTTTTAACTGAATCAGTCTATTACCATGTTTAATTATTAGGAATTAATCTTTCTTTTGGCTTTTAGACTTTTTATTACTGTTATTATGTAGCTATATTAAATAAAATAATACCTTATTATGTTTAAGATTCTTCCTATTATTCTGGAATTGCAACTGGTTAAACCTTAACTTGTTATTCACCAAATACACTTGATTATAATTCAGCTTCCTTTCTATTTTTAGCATATGTTTCAGGATCAAATTCTTTGACTTAATTATTACTCTATCCTCCTACAGTACTCCATTTTTATGTGGAAGCAGTCAATTTTTCTACTTTTTAATTTTAAACAGCTTTACTAAAAATAAAATTATATGTTATACGTAGGAGAATCTCCAAAAACACTTGATTGATTTTCCATCAATTTTCTGTTGGTTGGATTCTATTCTTATTGCTATTATGATTATTTCTTTGGTTTTTATGGACTAGATGTCTCTAAATTGACTTCTTTTGTTGGAAGATGATCACGAGCTATTTCATTACCATAAAGTTCTTTATTTCTTCTATTTTATGGATCATAGTTTAGTTTTGGTTTGAATTCACTCAAAGTGGCTGCTCTTTTTAATGATTTATATTCATCAAAATCTAAAACTTATTCAATTATCTTTACCACTCTTCCCAAATAGGAAATCTTTTCCATGATCAACTTATCTATTGTCATTATTTTTTTTTTAATATCTCTTCACTTCTTATTATGAATTCTCAAAAGTTTGATTTGAACGAGCAGGTGGTGGTGCATTTTGAACAACTTCTTATTAAAAGATTTAAGATTAAAAAGTCTTATTTTATCTTACCTAATACATATACAATAAGTCTAATACTTCTTATTATTTTGGTGCTTAACATTCATTACTGAAAATATCAGTTTTAGGTCTTACACTTTATCTAGATGCTTATGGAGCAGGTGCAGGAGTATTAAGTCCAAATATATCAGATTTGTTTTGGATTCTAAATAAGTAAAGGATAATTACACTTGTCTAGTAGGAGGGGCTTAATCAAATGTTTATTTGTTGGGTCTGCCTCCAGCTGCTTGTCTTTAATAAATATTAATCTTTACATATTTGGTGTATCCATTAATAAAACAAAATAAATAAAATTTTCAGATTATAAAATCACATCAACATCTGCATTTGAATTTAAGAATTAATTGCAGCAATCAAGTACAATAGTTTGTAACAATCATTTTTAATGTTTTCATACTAATTATTAGGTTTATTAGTTATCTTTGTTTATATTACGTCATTAATAACTATTGCATATTCACAAGGATATTAAAGTATGTAAAAATAATAAAAATTATTAAAATTTGAAATCATTAGTAAAGGAGTAGTTTTTTTATGGTAAATCATGTTTTACATGTTTCCAATTGTTTAAGAAGAGTATTTGAAAAAAATTCAATTTATGATATATACAATATTAATGATCACATTAGTGCATGAATTAATTTATCAGGAACAACAATTTGTTGGAAAGTTCTGATATGTAATATACTTTTACTCCATTATAACTTCGAGAAATGAGCACTGTTATTTTGTAAAAGCCTTGGTCAGAGCGAACCATACATGATATATAGGTATTTGTTTTTAAACATTATGAATTTAAATCAAACAGATTCTATAATTAGCTACTAAAAATATCAAATATTTTTAGGAAATCTAAGAGGAATGTGGTGTTCAAGCCTTATAAAAATGTTTACAGAGAATTCATTTAGAAATTTATCCTGAAGTATTTAATTGAAAAATAGTATAATTAGGATTCAATTGTTTTTGAGAAAGGGGATAGAGGGAGAGATTTTTACATCATTTTGTCTGGATAAGTTGGAATTTATATATTTTCAAATAATATAGAATAGCTATAACACAATAAAATTATTATTCGTTAAGGAATAAGAGAATATGTAAATTAACTAATAGGACAAGGGGTTGGACCAAATAAAGATTAAACTCCAGAGATAAGAAGGATTCTTCTAAATGAAAAAATAAAAAAGTAAATAATCTTTTTTAAAATTAGTTTATTGAAAGTGAATGAGTTACATGAAGGAGATTCTTTTGGTGAAAGAGCATTGATAAATGAGACTGGTCGATTAGCAACAGTAGTTTGTGAAAAACAATGTTATTTTGCAGTATTAAATAAGTAAGCCTACAAAGAAATTTTGTAACAGGCTCAAAGTGAAAAAATTCAATAGTAAATTAAAGAATTATAATCAATATCAACTTTTTAAGGGATGTCTAGAAGACTTTTAACTATTCTATTATATGCATTCTAAAGTTAAGAGTACAAATTTAGAGATCTTATTTATAAGGAAGGTTAACCAAATAGAGAAGAAATATATTTAATATTAAGTGGTGAATTTATTGTTACAGAAAAACAGAAATAATTTACATATTAATAACAATTAAATTAAACTAGAGAAATAGCTATATTATAAAAAGGATGTATTTTTGGAGATAAGGAAACATTTCAATGTTTATAAACAAGAACACAAACAATTAGATGTTATTCAGATTATGGTAAAGTATTATGTATCTAATTGGAGAGCCTAGTACAAAGACTATTAGTAATATTATACTTTAATTAGGCAAATAATGAATTACACTTAATAAATGAGTTAAAGAATTTAAGTTAATTAAAAGAAACTCATAGATAAAGTAGAATTTAAAAAAAGATTGAATCACCTTAAAGATCAAGAAGTATTATAAAATCAAACTCTCCTTTTTAGAGGATTGATTAAATTGTTTAATAAAAAAGAGAATTATTTAAACAATTAAATTAGAATGGTAAAAATAAAATTTAATTTATTTATGATATTAATATTCCTACTTCAAAAAAATAAAATAGTTATTCAATAGAATTTTCAACATAGAAAAAAAGATCAATTATTGATCGTGTTATGTTAAATAGTAGTAATAATAGTAGATTTGGAAAGAGATAATCATTAGACTAGAGTATAACAACTTAATTTAAATAAATGGAATAAAAAAGATATTCAATAATTTGATTATATATTTGTTATTTTCATTATTATGATAATATTTAATCGCTTAATTTTTGTAATTTTTAATCTGCTTCACATTAATAAAAACTTTATGGTTCATAATCTTTTTTATTTGTACTAACATAATGATTATTGATTCCTTAATTACTAAGTCCAAAAGGTAAATAACTTTATTAGATAGGTAATTATTAAACTTTTTTTGCAATTTATCCTTTGTATTATTCTTAATAGCTAGAGTTTAAGTAAATATTTTTTTCTTTAGAATTGGTATGTAATCTTTGATTAGTAATTTTGGAAAAATTAATGATTTTATCTTGATCTAATTTGTGATATTTATGTTCTCTTTGATAACTTGATTTGATGTCTAATTTACCAGGTAGTAATTAAATTTAATTTAGTGGTTTTAATAATTGAGGAGGCATTGATGTTTTACCTGGAAATTAAAGTGCATAAGTGTTACAACCACAAAAAGGAATGCTGAAAGAATTATTCTATGGATATTGTGTATTATCTAGAAATGATTTGTTCAACTGTTTTTTATCGAAATCATCATTATAAACAGAATGAAGTGATAAAGCTTTTTATCTGCCTTAATAATTCTGATTAGGCAATCTAGAATGTTTATTAGGTGTTCTTCTTGAATCATAATCAATATTATAAATTGATTTTGGTTCATTAATGTAATGTGTTTGTTAAGGCTTTTATTTACAATAACATTTGCTGCACAAACATACAGAACAAAAACAAGTTCCATCTGAATGCTAATAAGATTGAATTTACTAATTAAGGAGTTATTATTTAATATTCATAAAATATGAATGAATTAGAAAATGAATTTTTGACTTAATGTAATATTGAGAGTTCAGCATTTTCTCATTCTTATGTATTTATCATCATTATTATAATAAAAGATTGAATAAATATATAATGAAGTGCATTTTAACAATATTGCTAAGAGAGATTAAATTGCAAGATTAAAGAAAGAGGAAATATAATATTAGATTAAGTAAGAGAAATAACAATTACATGTTGAAGAGATTGAGAAGGCATTAGAATAAAAATAGTATTTGGAAATAGATTTCGATAGAATACTCTATTCAATAGTATGATGGTAATTTAATATATTTAGTTGTTGAGACAGAAATATATCAATGATTTGGAAGATCAATTAAGATTGATAAATAGTTTCTATTAAGATTTACCTATTGAACATAGAGAGAGTCAATAGACTAAGAAATTAAGTTACTTAAGTTATTCTAAATATAAATTAAGTTATGATGAATATATTAAACAATTGGAAAATAAGAAGGTTGAAGTATTAGATAATTTGGAGAAGATAAAAAATGAAACTTAATAGACTCAATAGAACTATTATAGTTTATTGTAAAAAATAAAAGTATTTGACACAATTTTATAAGTAAGCTTAATAAACATTAGTTGAATAAGAAAAAACTATACAATAATTGAATGATTAGAATGAAACAAATATATTTAAATTGCATGAATAAAGAAAAGTAGTAATAGATTTGCAAGTGTTATAAAAATTAGAAAGGTATAAAATAGCGATAATTTTTATAAGAATGTATTTGACATTTGAAGAAGGAATCAATGAAGAATTTATTACTGAAGATATCAATAAAGTAGATTGTAATAAAGAAATATCTGATTTTATGCATACTCATCCCTTTGGAGTTTCATTTTTGGTTGAGAATCTCATATAATAATATAGAAAATATTAAGTTTAAATTGATAGTGAATCTTCTATTGGTTTGGGTTTGATGGAAGAAAAATAAGAATTATAATAAGAATTAAAAGAATTAAAGGAATTATGTGAAAGATTTTATATTTATGATGAAAATTAAGATGAAGATTAATAATTTTAAGATATACAGAAATTAATGGGATTTTTAACTATGAAACAATCTTAAAATAATTTTAAGTAGAATCTATTACATAAAGCAGAAACATTCATAATCAAAGTTTTTGGGAATCTTTACAATGCTATAAAAAGGTATTAATAAATTAATAATTTATTAGATTTAATGATATATTCTAAGCAATCCATTAAAAAAGAATGGCTATTGATTTAAAATCTTCTTAAATTGATAGTAAAATCAAAAACTTTTGTGCCAATACTTATATTGGACATTATTCATTATCGTTATATTAATATATGAATAATCCACTTACTTCAACTTAACCAGATTTATATCATCAAATATAAAATGTATTTATATATTATTATATAGAGTATTATTTTAAAATTATATGTAAATGAAGATGCCTTGAATTAATATTTATAAGCTGGATCTACTTTTATTAAATTATACTTAAAAGCTTCAGATTATTATTCTAATTAAATTCACTTAATGATAGAATTAATTCATTCAATAACATAAATACCCAAAAGACCTAAATTTACTTATAATGATTCACCTTTATTATAATAAAATTACAAAAGCAAATTGAGTATTGAATTATCTCAAAAAAAAATATCTTTAAGAACAGATACTGAATCAAGGGCTCAAGTTCAAGTGAATTTTAAAACTAAAACAACAAAACGAAACTCATTTACAAGTACAATAGGAAGTTCAAGAAGAATTCAATAGGATATTAATGAAGAAAATTATTTAGAATCTGAAAGATAAAAAATAATAAATCCAAAAAATAATATTTCCAATACTACCAAAATTCCATCAGAATAATAAAAATATTGTGATCTTTTAAGTGAAAGAGGACATGGATTTGAAAAAAAAGTGATTATCCAAAACTTTAAATCATTAATCAAATTAAGATAAATTAAAGTATCTTTATCATTTAAATTAATAATAGAGAAAATTTAAGACTAACCCAATAACTCCAAAAAGCATTATTGGATCATCATTAATTTTTAAATCAACTTATAAATGATATATATATTGTTCCTTTATATGAATCAATTATATTTATTCACGATTGTTGGATATTCTTACTTAAATCTTTCAACATCTCCTAATGTGAGAGCAGAATTTGTCATATTAAATTTCTCTTTCAATGTATTAAAGGATTTATTAGGTTCCTATTTGTCTACATGGAATTCAAATGCAATTCTAGCCAAGCATAATTCTAATTATAATATCAAATTATTTACTCTTGAATGCCAAAGTTTAAAGATAAATGGCTGCTTATAATAACTCTTTTAACTCATTTCCTTCAAATACACTATACTCCATAATCAATTATCTATTAAATTCATTTAAAAAGCATGTGTTGGGATCATTTGCTAATATAAAATAATATTATAATCTTACAAATAGCATCTATGATTGCTGGCTCAAAATTGTTGAATTCATAATATTTTTACAAAGTCTAAAATGCCTTCAATGTTACTTAACTGTCTAACAAAGGCACTTCCTAATTTATATTTAAAATAATCTACTTCATCTGAACCTGGCTCCCATGCTTCTTTCAAAAAGTTGCTAACATTAGCAAATCTTTCATCAACAGTAATTGATTGACCTTGTACTCTTAATTTGATAGGCATATTTTGTTAGATATTTTTATTAATCTAAATTTTATTTCATATTCATTATGATTTATACATAAATTGTAATAAATATATACCATCATTAATATTATTTTCTATTAATATTTTATTTAAATCAAAATTATTTATTATTATGATTTATAAATCAATCTTGCTCTTCATTCTATTCTCCTTCTATATTTTATTCTTCATATTCCTTTCCAAGTAGTATTTTGTAACTTTCCTTAAAACTAGCAATTTATCTTCAAATTATAATATAAAATACCTATTATTATTTGTGCTTTCTGCTTTTTATATTAGTAATTACAATTTTTTTGCTGTTTTTTAAGGTGTTTCCAAAAATATGTAAACATAATCAAACATCAATTTATCAAATGCATGAGCTAAATGATTTGGTCCAAAAAACATTTTTTTTGGAGATGATGCCCCATAAGAAATTAATCTTACATTAAAAAGTCTTTTCCCAATAAGAAAAGGTTTTTTTGCATATACTTCACATCTTTTTTAGCAACCAATTTACTTTTTATTATATTAGAAAAGCTACTTTTAATTCTTTTATGGCTTCAATGAATTCTGCTTTTTCAAAAGCACATACACATCTAGCCTCCCAAGCCCAAGAATAACAAAATGCTGGTAATTCTTTGTGCAAATATTTTAATTCTTGTAAGATTTTAGCAGGAGGAATAAAAATTGGTTCACCATCTTTCGTTTGCTTTATCATAATTAAATATTAAATACTTATTTACCTTAAATTAAGAGTATAAATGTAAACTTTCATTAGATAAAAAAACCAATGAAGAATTCATTATTAAATAATCTAGTAGAGATTATAAATCAATTAAATAAGGTTAATTTGTTACTTATGATGTAAATTTATTTTAAGAGTATTTTATTTAAATAAATAATTCTAATATTTAAATAGAATGATTATAAATAGAATCATTTATTAAATATGAGTTTATGATTAAATATTGTATGATAGTTAGGTATTTAAGTGTTATAGAATTTCATATATTAAGAATTATTTAAAAATAGTATTTATATTATTAAGTTTATGTAAATTGATTTAATGGAGTAATAATAAATAGTTAAGAAAAAGAGGTCAAGGTCGTAAAAAACCAATGGAGATTCTATACCTGCATTTTTATTAAAAACTTATGAGATAATAGATGTATAAATAATAAGCAATTCTTAGAATCCTAATAATTAAGATGTCATTAGTTGGAATGAAGAAGGAAATGCATTTATAGTTAAAAAAGTTAATGAATTTTCAGATGTTATTCTACCAAAGTCATTCAAGCATAGCAACTTTGCATCATTTGTTCGATAATTAAATATGTATGACTTTCACAAAACCAGACATGATAATAATGAAAATGAATTTAAACATAAATCATTTTAAAGAGGAAAAAAGTAAAAATTTTAAATATATGTAGACATTTATTAAGTTAAATTAAAAGAAAGACAAATGATTAAAAAGAATAAAATTCTTTGACTCTTATAAAAACTGATATAGTAAGAAATGGGAATTAGGAAATTCCAGAAGTATTATTATAATATTAATAAAAAAGATATCTATGCAAATGTCAAAATTGTAAAACAAATAGAATGAGCTAGAAAAATTAATGAAAATTCTAATAAAATAAAATGAGAAAATTTTAAAAGAAAATAAGTATTTGTGGACAGAACTAATGAAAAATAAGTATTTATTAAATGATAAAGAGGCATAAGAATGAAAATTCTGAAGAATAAATAATGAAATGGGTTTTATAATCATTATAAGGCAATAAATCAAATGGAAAACATAAAAATATTTAAAATAATAATCTTTTAATGATTAAATAAACAAGTGAAAATGATGATGAAGTTTAAAATGAAATTTAACATTAAAAATTATTTGATAATGAAAAATCAACATTTGATTAACTTCCATAGTAAATATTAAAATAAAATTTTGAATAATAAATAGAATAATTATCAAAAACTTAAATAATATAAATTTTGATGAAAGCAGTTGCTAATAATTAAAAATAAGAAAAAAAAAATATTTTTAAATATGAAGAAGATGATGTTAGTTTTGAAGAAGAATATCCAATAACTAAAAAATTAGATTTAAAATCAGAAAATGAAGAGAAAAAATAAGATAATCAATTAATTGTTTATAATGATCCATTTTCTTTTCATAAATTAGATGATAATTATATTATAGCAGAATCACCTAATTTAAGTAGAAAGAATTCTTTTTATGATCATGATCCTATTCCTTAATTTTATGAATTTTGAATTCATTATAATTATGTTTCTTATATATATATATATTTATATACATTCATATAAATTTATTAACTTTGTAAAATGTCCACAATCAAGAAAACCTTACCACGTCCAAAATAACAAAGATGTGAAATTTGTTAAAGAAATTTCTCATTGTATTCATCATTTCTACTAATTAAGATTATTAAAATAACATTAATGTAAAAGATGTAATAGAGCAGTTTGCTGTGATTGTGGAAGGTTTAAAGTTATTGTATTATTATTCATATAAAAATTAAGGTTGTTGATTATGATCTCAAAACTTAACATAGATGTTGTATTATTTGTAAAGATGAATAACTCAATATTCAAGATATTATTGCTAAAGAATAGTTATCTTTTAATAAAAATTCACTTATAACTAATCAATGGCTTAGATACTCTCTTGATAAGTATTAATTATAATTTATTTAGTGCTCGAGAATAAGATCTCATTAATGAATACTATATGATATTGGGTTAAAGTAAAAATAATTTATCAACTTCAGCTACTGAAGAACTGAAATCTATCCCAATTATTTTAAACTAAGTAATCTTTGAATTGATTAAATTTAGATTAAAAATTAGTATAACTATTCTATGAAAGAATTCGACTATTATTTAACTAAAGATTTAATGGATAATATGTCAGCAATATTTATATAATCAATATTATAATGTCTAATTTATAAAAATCCAAATATTCAATTAAATCAAGTAAGATTATTGTTTTCATTATTAGAATTTAGTTTAGATGACATATTTTCTATTGTATTTTCATTCTTAACCACTTGTTTTTCATTTTATAAATTGTTTTAGAGAAGAAATTTCATTAGGTAGATTCTTAGATTAAAACGATAAGGTCAAAGATTATGAGATAGATTTTCTATTAGAAATTGCAAAAAAAAATTATTTAATAGAACCAACTGATTTACTTTATTTTAGAAAATATTTAGAAAGACATGTGGAAAGGATGTTATCAAATATTTTCTTTAATATTGTTAATGTATTATTTCTATTAGAATTAGATTTAATGTTTAATATTTATTTATGATCATGTTTTAAAATTTAGAGATTATTTTGAATTAGAAAAAATTGTTACATTAATTGGATCATTATATTTAAATGATTTCAAACAAAAAGGTTTAGATGATGAATATTTTATTAATTAGATAATCAAGAATACAAAACCATCTATTTTAAAAGAGTATTTAAGTAAAGAGGATAGAATCAGATTAAATGAAAAGAGATAAACTTATGCAAAAAGTGAAGACATATTTCTATTATAATTACAATAAAGAATGGATCATTAAAATGAAACAAAACAAGTTCTTTATTTATTAGATGATTGCTTATTAAAAAGATAACCATTAAATAATCATCATAAATAACTTATATCTTAATTAAATCAAAAATAATAATAAATTATAACTGATCTATTGAAATTAAATTAAAATAAACAAAAAGAACAAGATGATAATTAATTATATCAAAAAATTGAAACTCATTCTAATTCATCTACTCAAATTAAATTTGATAAAAGTGAATTAGTAGATCAAAATAAGGTTTTAATGGAGTATCTCATTTGATATAATTTAATATAGATTTAATGCTTTTGGAAATATTAATATTTGTATATTTATTATCTTTATATTTTTATATATATATATATATATATCCAACCCTCCCTCCCTAACTTTATGAATTTTTTCAAACTCATTCTTATGCAAGAGTTTATTTTTCTTACAAAGTTTATTCTTCAGCTTTGGCTTATGGCTTAATTTAATTGAACCATTTGATTACAGCATCAGTATCTCCATTCAAAATAGCTAAAAGTTTCACTGCTTTATGACGATGAATTCCATTTTATTCTAATTATTCAAGTTTCTTTTTGAATTCTTTCTTTTTCTATTTAAATTCCAAGAATTCTTAAGATGTTTTGTCTTTTTGACATTTTCCTTCTATTTTCTTACAATGCTTATTTTTGCCCATTTTACCATTCAATAACTTATCAACTATAGATTCTAAATTTCCATTGAATTTAAATAACAATCTAACAATTCTCTTTTAATTTTCATATCCCATTTCTTTCAATTTATCATATTAAACTTTGAAACCATGTTACTCTATAATTTATTCTATTGGTTAATCAGTCTAAAAGGGTTTCTTTTTACTTAATTATTCTATGCTTTTAGTTAAATCTCCTTCAGTTCCAAGTAATGCTTTTAAATTTTTTTTAGGTTAAACAAATCCTTTTTCAACAAGTTCTTAATGTTTATTTAACCAACCCATAGTTTCCAAGATCTTTAGAGCTTTAGCATTTTGTTTATCTTTTCTTTTTTTATTTTCATTTTAAGCAACAATAACTAAATCCAGATTTCCATTATACTCTTTTAAAAGTTTAAAATTAAACCAAGGATTAGTGTAACCTTAAGTAATTAGCTGGTTATGCTTCTCGAGTAAGCCAGCTTTTTCAATCTTCTCTATTACTTTTGATTATCTAGAATCCATTAATATTAATATTAATTTTATATAACATATATTTAATTAATATTGATTAATATTCTGAAAATTACTGATATAGAATATAAATAAATAATAGAAAAATAAATAAGTCATTTTAATATATTATATTTATGTTCAAGAGTTTCTAAACTATTCTTTTACTTAATAATATCTTCTCTTAATCTTTAAGAGATTCTATCCATTTAAAATTCAGTTTGATAAGGATTACCTAAATAATCAGCATCTTAAGGTAAATCATAATATCCCTCATATTATTAATCTTTAAAAATTTATCTTTCCATCTATTTTCTTTATTAGTCAGTATTTGTATAACCTTATTTATTATAAGTACTCTTTCCTTCAATTACATTCTTATTATTATTTGTAGTATGATTTTCATTATTTTATTCATAATCTTTAAGCTTTGTTAATAAGACTACAATTTTTTAATTTGCTTCAATTAATTTTTTCTTTGCTTACTTGTATTTTGTTTTAACTTTCTTATTATCATACATTAATTCTTCAGGTGGTTTTTTAAGATCAAATTCTTTTTATAATTCATTTAATTTCATGTCTCTTTCAATTACCTTTCTTTCTCTTACTTCAACTTCTTTAGCTCTTTCTTCAATCCTTGCCTAATTGTCTCTCAAAATATTTAGTTCATGTTTCATTTCTTCAATATCAGCATATAAATCTTTAATTTTCATTGATTACTTTGATTTCATTCCTTTTTCTTCTTTAATCTACTCTTATAGATCTTTAATTCTATTTTCATATATTTTATCACTATCCTACTTTTCTTATTTTGTTTAAATTATTATATCATTTAATTTTTAAGATAATTTCTTTTTTTAATCCTTTTCATCTTCAAATAATCTAATATATTCATTTAATCTATTTTAAAGATCAATAAATTCTTAATCTTTTATAGTTGTACCATCTATTTTAACATTTGTTGAGTAATTTACTTTCATTGTTAATCTTATATTACTCAAAGCTGATTCTAAATCATCATTCTCTTATTATAATTTTCTTCTGTTTATTCTCTCTATTTCTAATTCTTGAGTTAAAGTTTCAATAATTTATTATTTACTTTTATGTAATTATTCATTCTAAAATCTTAATTCTTTTATAATATTGTCTTTTTATGTTATTTGATTTTATTATTATTCTTTATCTTTCAATAATTCTTAAATTTATTATTAATCTCTTTCATTTAATTAATTAAGTTCTTTTACTTATCTTAATGATAATTTATCAACTCCTAAATTAGATTCATATTTCTCTTTTAATTATGCTAATTCATTTTAATTTGCAATTTAAATTGCATTATTTCTTTCTACTTGTAATTACAATTAATTTTTCAATTATAAAATATGTCGTTTTAATTCATCAATTATTTGCTCTTTTTATAGAATTTCAATTCTATGAGGTTCTTCAGCTTCATTTTTCAATTTCATTAATAAAAAACCAGGATCATTTTAATTTAATCTCATAGTCATTTATTCGAATTAAATAGATTTCTATTCTAAATCCTATTTAAGTTTTCTTATAATATTCTCAAAATTTAAATCATCCTAAAACTTTTATTGTACTTGTTATTGTATATTTTTAACTAATTTTTATTTTTCATGTTAATACTAATTAATTTATTCTTTTTGAGATTCAATAATAGTTTATAAAGTCGATATTGTTTCTATTTATAAATATATATAAATTACATTCTTTTTTCTCAAGTTAAGCTTTCAATTTGTCTATTTGTGATTACTCAATAATGTTAAGGTAATTCATAATTAATTAACAGTAAAAATTAACTATAAATATTAAAAATTCATTTATTTATAAATCGAATTCATTTTAAGACACTAAAAATATATAATATATATAATTAAATACACAATTTAACAATTATATTTTCAAATTTTATTACCTTCTATTTAAACAATAATTAAAAATAGTATTTAATTAAATATATATTACTTCATTTAATCATTAAAACACAATCTAATTCAATTTTAATATATAATATAATAATTTATAAATCTTAAATATATATAAAATATTTTATAAAAAGTTTACAAATTATTTTTATTCACTAAATAATTAATATTGTCTTAATAATCAAATTGTTATTAATTGTCTCTCATTATTTAATAAACCAAAAACATTATTAAATTAACAAATATAAATATATAGGATCTTCTTTAACTAAGATTATAAATTTTAAATTAAGAAATAATTGTAAAAAAAATGTAAAATATAATTAATAATATCCAATTTGAATGTATATAATATTTATATAATGATTTAAATATTTGAAAGCACTAAATTTCATATAATATTTATTGGAATCAAAAAAAGATTCTAATCATAATTTGAGTAATTAGTATCCAAACTATAAATATTATGCACAAAAGATCATCTACCAATCCTAAAACTCCAAATATGGCTTCTGGAAATAAATCAATTGGTGATAACACATAAATACACAATATAAAACATAAAACAAGTTACAATTAGATAGACAATTTTAGTAAAATTTTACATAGATTAAAAAGTTAACCTAAATGCTTGTAAATGTTTGCTATTATCTAAAATGGCTAAAATATTTTTAATAAAGTTTACATAAATAATATTATATTTTAAGACTGTGCAACGAACTCTGTATTCCAATATAAATTAATTACATTCTTACTAAAATTCATCTTATAATTTTTTAGATTTAGCGAAAGTACTAATTTTGGCTCTGCAACATGGACATTTTAACTATTTCTTTTAATTATGTTTCCAATAGCCATTTATACAAGCAATACAAAATGAATGTTTACATTATTCTGATTAAACTCCTTTAAAAATAAGGTCTTCATTTAAACAAATTGGACAACTTTGATTTGTTTCTATTTAAATTTATGCTATTAACATTGTTAATATTATTTGTTTTGCAATTTAAGTGATTTCCTCTTTAGCCTTTATACATAGCTTTTTCAAAGAGTGTTTCTATGTAACTATGTTCTGCCACTTCTTATAATAATTGATTATTTATTCTTGAACATTGTTTATAATATACATATTTTATTTTATTTTTTAATGTAATCTAAACTAAATAATCCAGATGATACTTACAATACAGAACCAACTGCAGCAAATAAAGTATAAATTAGATTAGACAAATTTTATATTCCAATATTGAAGAAAAGGAAAGTACATAGAGTAGTTTTTAGAGATGAATGTCAAAAAGGAAAGTCAATTGCAGATATACATATTGTTGAAAATTGGAAAAGATATAATTAGTTAACAGAGGAATCAGCAAAAACCTGCTGTTCCACATTCTGAACATCATTACTCTTAATTGTCTGATCAAATGTCTATATTTTGATTCAATACTTTAATCAAATTATTTTAATTCATCTATATCGTTTTTGTTTCAGCTTGCTTTTTATATTAACGGAAATCTAAATTATCCTTTTATACTTGCCTTCTAAATTCCACCTTATTCCTAAACAAAAGATTTGTAAAAATTAATAATAAATATCAAATCATTCAAACATATAATATAGCAACTATCTTATTTATCTATTTTTTTGAATCAATTAACATTAATATAAGTATCTCCATCATTTGATCTCAAAGATGTCTGCCAATTTAAAAAATAAAAACTATTACAAAAAGAGTTCAGATACTGAATTCCGATCAATGCCAATTGGCTCAATCAAGAGGTGTCAGTTATCATCATATAAATATATATATATATAAATAAGGCTATTTAATATCAGACAGCCAAGGGTTGTAGTTCATATTGAAGTCATAGACTCTAGTACTTAATTGTCATCATTATATATATATATAATTGTAATTTATGTATATCAGATAGGAGCGAAAGATTGAAATCATGATTAAATCATGGACTACAAAATCATCACATATCTATATATAAATATATTTAATATTATTCTGAATCAGAGATCTTGGTGGTTGTATCATCATGCTATCTCAAGAGTAGCAAATATTTCTACATCACTTTAATATAATTATAATAATAAATCTGTTATGAGCCGTATCATCAGAGTCGTTAAGACTGGGGCGGCATATATATCTTCATTAATTCATAATTCTATATTTTTCAGACAAATGCCTCAAATAATCATTGATGCAGGAATAATAGATGGATGTCTATCGATTCCTTCATACTCGTCATCGTTTCATCATTATATATAATTTAAATCCTATATTAATTTAACTATGATAAATTCTTCATTATAAAGAGGAAGTCATTTTATGTTATATAATTTACTATAATAGTATTTTATTAAAATATGGGTTTGATTATTTAATATATTGTCAGACAGCTCCAATAATATGTAATCATTTATTGCATCAGCAATAAAATAATCAAATCATCATTTAATTTAATTTAATATACCATATCAGATCAGCTCCAATATCTATAATCATAAAATGATCATATTAGTTTAATATTGTTGAGTTCATCATAATTAAAAATTATTTTATTATTATAAATAATAAATTATATAAATTCATAACTCTTATAAATGAGCCTTATATTCTGGAACAAATTTTTATTCTTAAATATATAATATCCTTAAAATGCTTTCAAAAATTGATTATTAAGTCTTTAAATTCATCAGGTAAATTCACATAAATCACCTTATTCTTCCTTATACTTTATAGTCCATTTTATTAATATTTATATCTGTTTATCTCATAAACATAATTTCAATTTTACTTATTATAATCCTTTTTTTTATAAAAATTGATACGAAAATTTATTTAAACCTATGAATTAAGGGGAATTATAGTAGAAATATAAATACAATTATATAAAGTCAATCTTCATTAATACAATAACATTTTTTTAAAAGTTATAAATATTTAAAAATATTAAGTTTTCTAATCGTTTTAATTTTTACTTCATACTTATACTTTAAAAGAATAAATTATTCAATAAATTTTAAAGAAATAATTCATCAGTCAAATTTCTTTATGATAGTATTCATCTTAAAAATAATTTAGTATATTTGCTTGATTGGCTAGAATTAGAATTGTTATTGATATAATTGTTAAATTATAGCAATTTTATTAATTTTAATAGCATTAATAGATGATAATCTTACAATAATAATGTTAAAAAGTAATTTTATCATATCAAATTTATATACTAAGATATTATTATTTTTTTTTAAATAAAACTTTTAATTTAGATTAGATTGATACTAAAAAAATGTACTAATTCTTATAATCTCATAATTCTTTTATTTTGTCTATTGCAAATTATTAATCAAGATTTTAATCTATTAATTTATATGTAAAAATTAATAAAAAACTTAGTTTTGATATAAGAAATTAAATAAAAATTCATAAAGAAATCTTGAATTCTAAACTCTATATTTATATTTACATTTAATATTATTTTATGAATATTTTAAATATTTCTATTAATAACAGTTTAAAATTGGTTGATTATAAAAATGGGAATAATTAGATTAGCCAGTTCCATTTATAAATTAGATTTTATAATATTAAATTGAATTAACTATTGTCTAAAATAAGAGAGAGAGAAATTATGAAGTAATTTGAATTGAATAATTTTATGTTAAAAAGATGAAATAGTAAATCTCTATTAATTTGAATAAGATACAATTAATATAATTAATAAAGAATTACTTTGACTAATACAAAAATAAAACTTTCCAAGTTATCATTATATATAATTTCAAAAAAATTTTAACATTCTTAAAATAACCTTAGTGAGTTATTATACTGATTTTTTGAAAGATAATAATAATTTAATTTGAATTATAATAATCCATTATTAATGTTTTAAAAATTAATCTTTAATTTTTGGATATAATTCAGATAAGACAATAATTAATATTTTGCTATGAGAACTAATAATTCATAATATATACTAAATGATTATATTCATAAATGTAAATTAGACACAATATTATTAATTGGATATAAATAATTTAAGTTTAAGCAATAATATTTTTAATATCTTAGAAATTGGATGTCAGACATAATGAATTCTTATTCTAATAGATTCTAATATGTGTATCAAATTTGAGTTTGAATTTAGTCCTGTAATAAGATAGTCTGCTAATAATCGATCTGATTTTACTTTGCCAAAATGTGAAAACAATAGTGAAGAAGCTTCCTTTGAACCTAATATTAGTTCTGATTAAAAATTAGAGTAAAGTGTCATTGAGATAACTAATCAAAAAAGAGAAACAAAAATTCCTATAGATTTAGAGAGCAGCCAAGACTAATTAATAAAGAAAAGCAATAAGAAGTGGGTAATATAGGGACTCAGTATAATGTTCTACTTGACTAAATTTGTGAAATAAATGAAAAATCATTCAACTTAAGTAAAATTTAAATCATTAAATGCTAACATTCTATAATTGATTTCAGATGGTGCAAGTGATTCAGATGTTTTATTGCAAAAAAATCTGAATAAAATTTCAATTCTAATTTAAAGTTTGAAAGGAATAATAAGTCATATTCCTATAATTGATCCTGACTCAAATTTTAAAGTGATGTGGGATATATTTCTATTAATCTAAATAATCCTGAATATTTTTTATATCCCTATGAAATTAGGATTTGGATTTACAAATGAAGGAATAATGTATTAATTATTTTTTGAATCCTTACCTTCTTGGACATTCATTATAGATATAATCATAAAATTCTTTACTGCTTATTATAGTAAAGGATAGATTCACAAAAGCCATAAGGATATATTTAGAAATTATGCAAGATATGAATTATGGTGGGATTTATTAATTGCAATTCCATTTATATTATCATCCTTTAAAATACCTTATACAGAATATATTTTAATGTTGAGAATAACAAAAGTAAAGAAATTGATTGATTAAATAGAAGAAGCAATTAACCCTTCAATAACAATGTAAACAGTTATGGAATTATTTAAATCAGTTTTTTTATTATTATTTGTATCTCATTGTTGTGCATGTTTATGGAATTTGTTAGGATAGATACAATTAGATGCAGGAAAATATTCTTGGTTGGATTCAAAGAGTATAGTTGATGCATAATGGGATTCAAGATACATCCATTCACTATACTTTAGTACAATAACAACATTGACAGTGGGATATGGAGACATAGTTCCATAAACTGATATTGAGAGAATATTTGTAATACTTATGGCAATGGTCATTTGTGGATTATTTGGATATACAATATCTAGTATTGGTAATATATTGAGATAGTTAACAGAGAAGGAGTAAATTTATAAATAAAAGATGATGTAATTAAACAATTATGTAAAGAAAAGGTAATTAAGTAAGTAATTGATTTTGTCAGTAAGAAAGTATTTTGAATATTATTTGATAATGCAAGATGAGAATACTGAATTTGGAGAGAATATGATGAATGCATTAAATAAAAGATTAAAAGAATAAGTTGCTATTGATTTATATCTTAATATTTTAATGAGTTCAAGACTTATTAAAAAAACATTATCAGACAAAAGTGTTAAAAAATTATGTTCTTATGTTAGAGAGATAAGATTTGCTCCTGAAGAGATTGTTGAAGCACAGAATGAATTGGCTAATAAACTCTTTTTTTTATAAAAAGGTTAAATTAATTTGATTTGTGGTTAAGCTAATAGAGAAACTTAATTAGCAATTATTGATTCTGGTAAATTTATTGGAGAAAAAGAATTTATTATGTAAACTAAATATGATTATTCTATAAGAACAACTAAGTTCTGTTAAATTGCTTATATTGAATATGAAGATTTTTTTAAGATAATAAAAGAAGATCCAATTGAAGAAGAAAATTATTAAATGCTAAAGGATGAGATGTAATTTAATGAAGAGAAATAAAATTATGGAGAAGTCTGTTATATATGTAGATGGACTCATTAATTTATGAAATGTCCATTTGTATTTTATAATCCTAATGTTGGAAAATTGAGAAAATAATTTATGATTAGTGAAGATAATCAAAGAAGTAAATATAAGAGGATAATTACAGAGAAAATTAGATTTAACTTATAGCATATACAAGAAACTGTTCTTTAATAAATTGTTGATAAGAATTTCATATGTTTAGAAGACTTAACTGATCATTATCTAGATTCATTAGGTTATATAAAATATAATGATCATGTAATCTAAACATTGTTAAGTATGAAAAGCAATACACTAAAATCCATTAATTATGAAACAGATAATGATGAACACATAGGCGTTAAGAATATAACTAAGTGCTCTAATATTGATTAGAAATTCTAGTTTCTTTAGGTATCACCAGATTCAGATTAGAAGGAAACTGTTAAATAAGCTTCCAAATTTCAACGTATTAGATCCAATAGAAGAACTATGATTTAATTACAATAGATATAAACTAATCGTGCAAATAGTGTTTCATAAATGTCTTAAGATTTATCTAATTATTGTTAAGCTTCATAACAAAATTCCTAATCTTCAAGCTCATTTACATGCTAACCATAATAAATATTTTAACCCACTTAAGATGTATAAATCCATCATGCCAGCATTCCAAAAAAAATAAGTAAAGGTAATTCTTCTACATTTTAAAATCTTGATTAAAAAATGCCATAAATGCTATAATCTTAATAAAAATAATCACGGTCAGATTTAAAATAATATTCCATTTCTGTAATTTAAGAATCTAGTAATAGTAAATTAGAAGAAATAAATTATGATCCTAGATAAAGAATAGATTTTAATATGGATTCATACTTTAATACTTAAAATTATTTTCCTTAATTCAATTTAGATGTTGTCTTAATGAAAGTGAAGAAACCTAAAAAGAGTTCAAGACATACTGCTCATCTTTTGAGTGTCATTGAAAAATCAAAATATAGACAATAATAATCCAGATATTGATATTTAAATGAAATATTGTTATTATACATTACTGATATATTCATACAAATGATGAATTTTAAATTATTTATAATAGAATTATGTTAAATGAAAATACAGAAATGGACTTGCTAAGAAGAACTTTTCTTTAATAATATTACCATTTTCAAATAGAATATTGTGTAAAAAACTAGTTATGGACAAAATGATCAAATCAAAAAAAAAGAATATATTTTTTTAAATCATAATTATTGGATTTTGAATAATTAATTTTAATAGAAGAATAAGAATATGAAATTTAATAAATGATTAATAAATCAAACTACTTTCATTTATGTTTGAGATCATTAAAAACATAGAAATATTATTATCTTAATTAAGAATGTAATTATTTCTATGATGATTAATCAAATACTATTTAAAAATTAGAAAAATAATAAAAAAAAAAAATAATCTATGTTTATATTCTCATATTCCATTAATGAAAATGGATAATTTACTAAAATGTTAATAATAATAATAATAATTTTCTAAATATTTTAAACAATAAGTTTCTCAACAAAGAGATAGAATATATTTTAAATTAATTTAGATTAATAATAAAGTATTTTAACCTATTATATTTAATGTTTCCAAAAATCTATTTTAATATTCTTCAATTTACAATTAATATAGTATATTTAAGAGTAAATTAATAGATTTCTTTAGAGTAATTAATAATTAACTAATGGATTAAAATAATATATACTAAATAAATAAATCAATATCAATTTTTCTCTTTTCCTGTATTAATTGAATTGTTGAACTACTAATATTAATTAATAATTTGATTATTATAGTATAAAATAAGTAGAAATATTGACAAATCTGTTTTGTTTAGACAATGGGTTAACTAAGAATTGATTAAATAAGTATTATACATAAAAATAATATAAATATTTTATATACAAATATTAAAACGGATTACATTATTATATTAAATAGCCTATGCAAAAACTCTTAGCTTTGATTTTGTCTTTATCGATAGTCTATTCAATTGACCCAAGTATGGTGTAATTAAGTACAGAAAAAATGGATGAGTTATCACAAAGCAATTTGGGGAAATTTATATTAGAAATGGCTTAAACACATGCCGAAATGAGAGGACCACTTGGTATGAATGAGTAAGTAATAAAATTTTAGATGATTTGGTGACAGCAATTGGTGACTTAGAAAATGAATTGACTGCTGAATTACAACAATTAGAAGATGATTTCACAAGATCAACTAATTAACATTAAGTGACTTAAGAAAATTTAGATATTAATATTGGTTAAACAGAAATCAATATTTTCAATTAAAAAGATTTTATTGATGCTATCCTATTGCCAAGCATTGATTAAACTAATTCCAAAATTGAGAGATTGAATGGTTTCATGAATGATAACAGAGATTCTTTATCCAGGGAAACACTTGCTAGATAAAATCAACATCAAGCATATTTAGATAGAGGTATTACAAAAAACAACAACTTTTAGTGAGTGAACATTAAGGAGCAATCAGTGCAGTTGATGAAGCTATATAATTGATCAATTCTTTAATTAATGGCAACATTTCCTTTTCAGAGAAGGCCACCATTCATTAGGCGGTCAAAAGAGTCAATAACAAGATTCAAAAGACCAGCACAATACATCCTCTTGTTGAAGCATTGCTTTAATTGACATAGAATTTTTCAGATTAAGGATAAGCTAAGAAAATTAAAGATTTATTATAAGATACAAGAAATCAATTAGTTTCTAGTCTTAATTAAGTATATAATATATATATATAATAGGAAAATACTGATGAATAATAAATCTAAGAAACTTGGGAAGCAAGATAAAAAACTTTGAATACAGAATATTAAGAATTTAAACGTTCTGTATTAGAAGCTACTTATGTTTTAGCAGCATATTAAAGTAATAGTGATATTTTAATATTTAGATAAATTGAAATCAACTAAAGAAGCTTTGGAATAAAATGAATAAGATTTATAAAATTATTAGGAATCTTTATGTAATAATTATATAATATATATATATAGAATAGGATAAGGATGCTTAAGCTTAAGAAATCCAAATATATAATGAATTGAAGGCTCAATATCAAATTTAACTCTAAACTACAAGAAATGCCAAAGAGTTTGTTAATTCTGCTGAATTTAGTACTGTCATTAGAAACAAGTTAAATTCAGGAGGATTAGTTTGATAAATGACATATTTATCTATAAATTACATAAAATGTAAACATTATCGAGCATATTATTAATGATTAACAAAATTAGCATCCACAATAAATTTAACTTTTTAATATTAAATTTTTATTATAAAATGATAAAAAACCTACATAGGACTGTTATTATTAGAACATCAAATAGTCGTAAACAATCAACTTCATCAATTGATTCTGATAGCACTTCAACAAAATCAGATATTAAATTTAAATAACCTATATATATTTAACAGCCTCTTTAACCTTTAAAAGAGGTGAGTGAACCTAATACTCCTGATACCTTGAAGATTCCACAAACCTCAAAGGTCTCTTCAAGGAAGTCTAGATTTTAAAAACCAGTCCCTTAGATTAAATTAGACAGTAGTAGTTCATCTTCAGACTCAAGTTCAGATGCATCAGAACATAATATTTGGAATGATGATGAAATATTATTGAAAGGAGTTCATTTAGGAGAGTTTTCTTATTTATCACCAACAGATGAATTGTAAATGCTCTATAAAATACGATTTGAGACTTACCCAAATAAAAAGGAGTAGATCTCAGAAGAATAGTTGGCATTAGAAACATAGAAACTAATCAATAAGTTGAAATTACATTATTTGAAATATAAAAAGATCTTGCCTCTATAGAATCTTAAGGATTATACTTAAAAATATAATATCAATGATGATTTGAATTATATGAGATTTTGGGATTATTTTAGAGTTAGAACAAATCATAGAAAACACAAATAGGTTATAATGCCAACAAAAATTACTAAAGAAAATAGAAGCTAATAACCATAAAATCCAACAATTCGAAGTTAATAGCGAATTAAAACTGAATACAGAATTAAAAGTTTGAATACAAGAAGATTATGATAAATTGAAAATATATATATATATACTTATAAAATTGAGTTATTTTATTAATTAATTATAATCTTTCATAACTCTTTTAAAGAAGTATAAATAAAAAATGTATTACTATTTTTAATAAGAAAAAAAAGAGAATAAAATTTGAATTAAATTATTATTAATGTTGATTTATTTTACTAAATAGATATACATATATTTATAAATATCAATTCAATAAATTTGTTTTTTAATTATCAATATTTTAATATTATAAATTTTAGATAATGGATTAAGGATGGGAAGTAAGTGAAGAGCACTACTTGGAACATTTAATATAAAATCCTCTAAATTTAAAACGGCAAGGATCATAATAAATATAGAAACCTGCTAGTGTTATAGTTTAAGAATCACCTAAAACTAGAATGAGATTCAGAACCACTTCCATGCCCAAATTAGAAGAGAGTAGTAAACCAAATTCTCCAACCAAAAAAACTGTTTTAGAACCCTAACATAAAGTTGAATAACAAATAAAATAGCAAGCATCTCCAATTATTATTAAAACTCCTATTAGATAATAGAAATTTTAATTATATCCATAGCGAATATCTCTACGATCAACTCTTTATCAAACTCCATTAGAAGAGAGTAGTCCAATCAAATAGGGGAGAACTCTTTAACCAAAGCAATTTAATCCAATTTTATAAAATGTCAATGATACACATTATAATGGTATGAAAGGATAGACAAGATCAGTGAAGAGTGCATCTATGAGTAATTTCTTGAACAATGAAGAACGTTTGTTATACAAAAAGAAAATTGAAGATCTTGTCTTCAAAATGAGACCATAAAGAAATGCTAGTATTATATATGTCAATTCATTAAGTTCCATATAAACTACTGCAGATGATACTGTACTAAGAAAAATCTAAAAATGAATGAATCTATTTATATTAGATAACTTTTTTTTTAATTATTTAGTACTAGATCTTTTGATGTATTATAAAAATGAACAATTAGATTAATAAATTTATTTACTATTAGTCATTAGTTTAGTGAGAAATTGATATTAAGATAAATAGAATGGAAAAGTATGATAAATAGAACAATTTAAAAGTTAAGAATATTAATATCAAATAGAAAACTAGTAAATTGATTTATTAATTATATACTTATGAATCAAATCGTTTCTGGGATTCAATTTAATGTAGGACCTAGATATGATGTTAAAAAATTACTAGGAGCTGGTGCTTATGGACATGTTGCATTGGCTATTGATAAGAAATAGACAGACCCTGATTACTAGAAAGTCGCTATTAAGAAACTTCATCTAGTAAGAGATGAAATAGATGCTAAAAGAGTTTTAAGAGAAATTAGAATATTAAGAACAATGAAACATGAGAATATTCTTCGTTTAGAACATCTAATTTATGATGATTCAAATAAAGAATTAGATTTTGGAGAAATTTATTTGGTTACTAATTATATGGAAGTGGATTTATATAAAATAATTAAGAGTGGTTAGAATCTGACTGATTAACACTTTCAATATATTATGTAATTTTTATATTCATAATATTTAGGTATCAATTAATTAAAGCATTAAAATATTTACATTCAGCCAATATAGTACATAGAGATATCAAGCCAAGTAATATATTGGCAACAGAGAATTGTGAAATCTGTTTTTGTGACTTTGGATTGGCCAGATAAATAGAAGAATTGGAAGCTGAAGATAATCGATGCTAGAATATGCTTACAGAATATGTTGTTACAAGTATAGATATTTAATATATTAATCAAGGATATTATAGAGCTCCTGAAGTTATGTTATCTTCACATGAATATTCTACTGCCATTGATATGTGGTCTTTGGGTTGTACCTTTGCTGAAATTATCACCAGATAAATATTATTTAAAGGAACAAATTATATTCAAATGATTAAATTGATCTTTGATACTTTGGGTAAACCAGGTGAAGAAGATTTGGCATTTATTACTAATGCAAATGCTAAAAAATATGTAAGTAGTTTATAAACAAAATAAAAAATATCTATTGGCTCTGTTATTAAATATTCTAATCCTTTAGCCATAGATTTATTAGATAAATTGCTTGAAATTAATCCTAAAAAGAGAATTACAAGTGCTGAAGTATATCAATACAAATAAATCATAGGCTCTTAATCATCCTTACTTAGAGCCTATTAGAGACCCTGATGATGAACCATCATTTGAAGGCAATTTAGATTGTTAATTTGAAAATGATAGCACTATATAATTAAAAGATTTGAAGGCTTTGATTTTGAATGAAGTGAATATTATGAGATAAAAAAACTCAGAACCTATAATAAATGTTTAGTTGGAGATTGAAAAGAGAGAGCAAATAACTAAAATAAATTAATAAAAAAAATAGCAATTGAAATAATAATAAAAACAATAGCAATAATGAATATTAAATTTTATTATGTAATATATCATAATGATCTTATTTTTTATCTAGCATCCAAGAAATCTTATTCTTGTAATTGCTATCTCATATGTTCTGTCTCTTACAAACATTATTAAATAGAACCATCTTATTATGTCAATTTAGATTGGAGTTCAGCTAATTCTAAAATCTTATGTTTCCAATTAAAGGCTTCCTAAAATAAAAAAAATCAATTTATTTACATTTGATGAAATCTCATTCTACATACTAACTTTAGTTAATTCATCAAAAAGCAACTTCATTCTCTTATTCCATTTAGATTTATCATCTAATAATACCTTATATTTATAATTTAATCTTTCAACTTCACTTGATAACATAGCAATTTTATTTTCCATTTAATACTAAAAATTAATAAGTTTATAAAATTACCTTCATCTCTTCAAATTTCTCCATAGCTTTTTATTATTCATCTACTTTATTTTTCCATAATTGAGTTTCATGTTCCTTTTATTAAATTATTCCTGATAATTTATTTTTTTCATTTTCAAGAGTTTAAATTACAATTTATAATTCATTAATATTAACTAATTAAGATTATAATTCTGCTAATTCACCTAATTTCACTTTATATTAATTAGTTTATCTTTCAATTTCTTAACTAAGAAATGCTAATTTAGTTTCATATTCAAACATCTTTTATTCTTAATTTTTAAGTTATGAAATATTTTATTCTTTTTCTTAAATTACATTTTCTAATTATTTAATTTATTTATTTTTAATTTCTTAATTTTATTAAGATGATTATAATTCTGATTATATTAATTATAATTCTTATTCTAATTAACTTTTAATTTATTGTAAATCATTTCTCTCATTTTTAGTTTGTTATAATAATTCAACTTAATCATTATATTTTTAATCTAATTTTTCACATTCTTAATTTAATTTAATATTGTCATTCTCAACTTAACTTAAATGACTTATTTATTATTATAAATCTAAAATTTATTTCTTTAATTAATCTGTCTCATTTTATTTATTATTTAATTTATATTTATATCTTTCAATTTCAGTAGATAACATAGCAATCTTATTTTCTAATTAATCTCTCATTTATTATGCTTCATTTAATTCTTTTGTTTATTATTTAAATTTATCTAATTATTCTTCTAATTATTAAGTTAATTCTTCTAATGAATGTTATGTATTTTATAAATCTCCATTCATTTATTAGAAATCATTCTTCAAACTATCAAAATCTTTACTTTATGCTTATAATTTCTTTAATTCCTCATCTTTTGAATTTGTTCTATATTTCAATCTTTCAACTTCACTTGAAAGCATAGCTACCTTATTTTCTAAATCATAAACTTTTGATTCTAATTTTATTGCTTCTTCTAATTCTGCTTGACATTTAATATACAATTATCTTAATTATTCTAATTAATCAATTAAATCTTAATTTTATGTTTCCAAAGATTAATATCTTCCTTATAATTCTCTTAATTCATTCAAAATATCATCTCTATCACTTTTCTTAATAGTTTCTTAACTTTAAATTAATTATTCTCTTATTGATGTAAACTACTCAGTTTGTAATTAATATTTAGATTCCCAAGCTTTAATCTATTCTTAAAGTGAATTAAGTTTATTAAGATCTTATTCCATTAAATGAATTGTAGATTCTGCTTCATTTAATTAATTAGATCGTTATTCTAAATCTTTCTTAACTTAATCCAACTCTTACAATAATGCTTATAATTAATTTTTCAATTAATAATTTTCTTATTCAATAATTGTGTATTTATTTTAAATTTATTCTAAATTTTAATACTTCTCTTACCATAATTTAATTAAATTCTCAGCTTCAGCTAAAGGTATAGAAAGATCAGGTCTTTCCTTTAATTCATCAATGAATAATTATTATTCATTAATTTATTTATTTAATTCATTTATTTTAACATCTCTTTATTCAATCTAAAATTTCTTTCTTTCAATTTCTGTTGCTAACATAGCACATTTATTTTCAAGTACTTATTTTTCTGCTTCAATAGTCTTATAATCATCTATTGCCTTATTTAATTAATCAATTTATTATTTTAATCTATCAATCTATTCATTCTTAGAAGCAATCATTTATTTCAATCTTTCAATTTCAGATGATAACATAGCAACTTTATTTTCTAATTCCATCAATTTACCAAGATCATGTTCTAATTATTAAATAACCAATTTATATTGATTAGCTTCATTACGTAATGTATCTATCTCATTAACAAGATTTTGATTCTTAGTTTCCAAATCTTAAATAATTTGATCTAATCTTCTTATTTCTAATAAATCATCTTCTAATTATTTAATTTTAGCTTCAGCATCATTTAATTTAAAGTCTCTCTCCTTAACCAATCCAATCTCAATATCTAATTGTTCATTTTATTCAACAATACGAGCATTTAATAAATCCACCTGAGATTTTAATTTATTATTTTCAGACTACTCTAATTACAATAGATTTTAGAATTCTTTTGCCTCTTACTTTAATTATTCAATTTAGGCTTAAAGTAATTTAACCTTATTTAAGAGATCATTATTTCCTTTATGAATTTCAGCTTCTAAAAATTCTTTGTTTTTTTAATTAATATCTTCACTTTCATATTATAATTATTTAATATAATTATCTTTATCTTATTGAATAGCTGAGTACTTTTATTTCCATTAATCAATCTCTTAAACTAGTTATTCGTTTTTTCTATGTTCACTTCTCAACAAATCTTCCAATTTAGGGATTTGCAATAATCTCTCATTTGCATCTTAGAGTTGCCTTTGTAAGTCAGTTATGATATTCTATTTACTCTGAATAGCCTCTTCGAATCTTTTTGTTTCAATATGAGTTAAAGAATAAGAGATTAGAGCTGAATCAAGTTTACTATACTCAATCCTCAATTTCTCAAACTCATTACACTTTTCTCTATATTTAACTTCAACACTCTTATATTCCTACTACAAAGCACCCAATCTAGCTTCAAGACTGGCCATCTATTAATTTGTAAATGATATATAAATTACTTCTTACAATTGAGTTGTAAATTTATTAAGTTACTATTCACCTAAAAAACATTGTCTTTTCCATTACTCAACCTCTTGAGTAAGTTTTTCAATTCTTAATTCGTATTATTCAGTCTATTCATCTTTACGTGTTTCCAAGATTACTTATTTTACTACTTATCCTTAAAGAACAGGATTATTGGCCTATTGATTAGTTGTAACATTCTATATTTAGTGGAATCAAGAATTACCTAGATTGCTCTGTACTAAGAACTTCTTATAATATCACTCATTGTTTTTGGATATTTATTAAATAATAATAAATGGATATTTTGAGAAAATTAAATTATAATATCACAATTAGAATCCTCTGATTGCTATTGATTACATCTTTCCACTCACAGGTCGATAACGTTAATTTACTTTTCCTTATTTGTTGACTGCACTTTAAGGTCTTAATCCTTAAGGTTTAGTCTTATAAACTACAGGACTTTTAGTATAGGTTTGTCCACTTATCAATTTCATTATGTCAACAAGATTATCGCATATTTATAAATTGGAATGTTTGAATGTCTTTTTTTAAGGTTATGTCCCTTTAATTAATGCTACATGTTAATAAAATCCCTCTGTTAAATATTAAATATCTCTATCATTTATTTAATGCTTAGGTTAACCCTACATAGGAGAGAATAATCTATTCTTTATAATCTGTTTCTCCATCATATTTTAATTCTTTGTTTCTTCTTCTTCAATATTGTAAATTTCACTATCACCCCCTAAAGAAACCTTCTGTAAAGCTGAATGATTACGAATCACATTTTAGTTTGCTAATTAATAACTTATAAAAAAAATAAGTTACTTTTATCAAATTTCTTTGTATTCCTCCAATATTTAGTTTCTGAATGATATGGCGCTGATATCATCTCTTCATTCTCATTTATCTTCATCATATGTTTCACTTACAAATTCAATCCTGGTGCTGTTATTGGTCTTTATCGTGATGAAAATCCTTGACTAAGTGATGTATAAGCACTCATAGGTCTCATAGACTTTTTAGGAGTTATCTCTATATTTTCTTACTCTTGTTCTCTTTATGATTGCTTCTAAAATCCTTCTTTACTTTTCAAAATACCATAATTATCCAAGTTCTCTTAGAAACTGTATCTCAAGTATTCATGTTACTTTTTATAATGGATTGCTATATCAAAAGGCTCCTCTATTTTTTTTCCTTTCTTCATCTATGTATTTAGTTATATATTAATTAATCATTATAAATAGTTAAAGTAGCTAAAACTGCGAATAATTAATTAATTAAATGCTTCAATTACAATTATAATCAATAATCTTATCTATTGAAGTAGATTATTAATAATAAAAGAATTATAAATATTACCATCTATAAATAATCATCATAAAAATATATAAAATATATGTTAATAATGAAAAAGTTAATTTAGAGAAAGATCATACATATAATATTATAATTAAAGTATATAAATTGATTAATTTTATAAAAACAGCAATTGATATATAATTTGATTTGATTTAATTTAAGATAGTTATTATCAACATTACTATCCTTAAATTAAATTTATTATTCTTTCAATCTTTTAATTTATAATTAATTTCTGCGTAAATTTATTTATTATAAGAGATAATAAATATAACTTATTAGCTTAACTTAAATTTTATTACCACTTTTATCAACATTTACTTTTACTAGAATTTTCTAGTAAACTTTATGAATTTAACATAATTTAATGTAATAATTTTATGGGAAAAAATTAATAAGTTATTTAATTTATAAATAAATATGCTACTTAATTAGAGTATGTACAAATCAAAAATTTTTAATATTATTTTTTAATTTACATTCATAAATAAAGTCATATAATTATAAGAGATAAAGTTTGATTTCATAATATATAGATATAATTATTCAAACTTTAAAATTCTTATTTGTTATCCATTTATCTTTTTAAATCACTCTAAAATGTTGTTATGAAGTAGTCCTTGGTATCCTCGGAGTAGTAATCTATTTTTATTCTGTCAAAAAAGGTGTAGATAAACCCTCTTCACCTGTGGTATTCTATTTCTATTACAATTAACTTTTTTGTAATCTACTTTGAGACAAATAACCAGGAACCCAAAGTGGTTTTGATTCATGAAATAAAGATTTATCAATAGATGGATGGAGAAATTAAATAATCTCTGCACCTGTCTTATTAAAAACCAAAGGTTATTCCTCAACATTATATTGTGGTTAAGAACTATATATACTATGCTAACGATCTTAATCATTTTAAAGAGGTTAATATGGCAGAGAAGAATTCTAAAAAAAAATAATAATTTTTAATTTATACTTAATCTAATAATCTGTCCAAATCTTTTGGATTTAATTTTTAAATTGTTTATTTAAATTTTCTTTTTCCAATTGCATTATTGACTACAACATCTAATTGATTAGATTTCTTAGCTGCAAATCCTGCATGATGAAATTCTGTAATAACATTAAATTTAATGGTTTTTTAGTTATGATATTTACTACGACCTAAATGTTCTAAATAAATATCCATTGCATTATCATTCTATTTAATTGATGCTATTTCAATAGGGATTGTTTGTGCTCTACCAGAACATAATTTGGCTACAATAAAATATTATAATACTTAATTAATATCCCATAAAATTACGCATTATTTGAACTGTTTCCTTATACTTAGAACGTATAGAGAATTAAGTCGCTACAATATTGTCTGTAACTTAAATCACAAGGGGTCCTATCAGTAAAGAAAGATGGAGTACCTTTTTCACAATCAGCCATTGTTTAAAATGTCTTCTTTGGGTTGACAAAATTAAATGGATGAACATCCCATGAATTCTTAAATGGAACCACAAATTCAAAAGGCAAACCATTAAATAGATAGTTATGCATAGAATTCTTTCTCAAATTACACACTATCTCATTTTCTTTTGAAACATAAAGTTAATCAATTTCTTTCATTCTAGATACTTTATATTATGGAGCCTTAACAATATATTTGCCTATAGTTTTAAATTCTTCAGCTGCTCTTCTACTATGTAATCCAGCATTTCCTTTGCTTACCCATTCTCCAGTATCATAATTAAAACTGTATAAATCACCTGTTACATTATCAAGAAAGAAATCATTCATTCTTATTTCATTAAGAGATTTCTTGATTTTAGAGAGATCTCCCAATTATCCACCATTTAGTCCATTTATAACTGAGAATTACTAAAGTAGAGTAAGTTTGTACACATTCGACATTAGATGCAATCAAAAAGACTAAGCCTTACATTGCAAATGATGAAGCAAATAGAATCTTATTACTTCTCATACACATCCTTAATAAAATCAAGTACTTGTAAGCATTAGGAGACCAAGGTCTAAGATTTGCATCTCCTTCAAAGAATATTAGATCTATTGAATCAAACATCTTTCCACATTCAACTCTCACAAAAGAACTGTCTATTTCATAAAGAAAGTCATCAATTGAATCACGATCAGCAAAGAAGAATTCTAATTCTGTATCGATCATTTCTTTTTTGCCTGTTAATACCTATAGTTAAATTGGTTCATAGCATTACTTCTTTTATTATTTATTTATAATGTTCTGAACTTCTGAATCCTTTTACACATTTTCCATATCCATTAACTATTAAAATTTTCATTAATTATATAAGTTATTTCATAATACATTCATTAACAAATTTAATTTATTAATAACATTTCAATTTTATGATATAAATTCTCCATTTCCTTACATTATATCATTTTTCCAATATCCTATTTATTTATCCCCATTCCTCCAACAATAAACACCTTTTCCTGATCTTTTTCCATCCTAGAAGAAACCTTCAAAATAATCACCATTTGCATATTCATATTTTCCTTTCCCATTCCATTTTCCATTTGCCCACTCTCCAAAATAAAAATCATTATTGACCATCTGCAACCTTCCTATACCACTTCTCAAATCATTTTTATAATCCCCTTCATATTTATCTCCATTATAATAAATATAAACTCCTTTACCAGAGCGTTCTCCATCTATAAAAGATCCTTCATATCGATCCCCATTATTATAATAAAAGATTCCATTTCCAAATTGATTATCATTTCTCCATTCTCCTTGATACTTAGCTCCGTCAGAATACCAATAGATTCCTTAACCTTATTTTAATCCTTCCAACCATTATCCTTCATACTTATCACCATTTTAATATTACATTATTCCAAAACCATTTGCTTTATCATCAAAGAATTCCCCTTCAAATCTTGACCCATTTAAATATTCAAATATACCCTTTCCTGATTTTACTCCATCTCTCCAATCTCCAAAATATGAATCACCACTAGTGTATATGTACAATCCTTTGCCATGTTTTTCTCCATTCAACCATTATCCTTCATACTTCTCATTGTTTAGAAAGTATGTGTAAATTCCCTTACCATTTTTTTTATCATTTGCCCACTCTCCTTCATATATATTACCATTTTCATAGAAATATATTCCTCTACCAAATTTAATGCTGTCTCTCAGATCTCCCTCATATCTCTCTCCATTTACGAATAAATATACTCCTTTTCCATGAAACCTACATTGTGCTTTCTGTTTTACCTATCTTCCTTCCATTCTCCCACATAAGTATCACCATTACTATAATGATATATGCCTTTGCCACATCTTTTATCATTAATTAATTCACCTTCATATTTGCCTTAATCAATATAATTCTTAATTTTAATTCCTTTCTTATATTTAAGAGGTTCTTCTGATTCCTTAATCCATAATAATTCAAATCTTTAAATTATATCTTTTTTCTCTTTAATCAATTTAGACTTATCAAAATCTTAGGGATAAATTTTGAATTTTGTATCTGTCATATCAAAAATTATAATAATTAATTATATACTAATTCATTTCTTCAGTTAACTTTATTTCATTAACAAAAACATTAATTCCTCCTCAGTATAAACACATTCTTATTAACAATACCATTCTCCATATGAATTAATTGCTTCATATTTGTTTTTAACTTTTCCACATCTCTTGCAATTTATCTTAAGTTAATTAAGACTTGTTTACTTAGATCTCTTTCAAATATACTTATTTACATTTTTCAGAACACATTTTTTTTCCATAACAATCTATACTTTCGAATATCAATTAAAAGCAAATCCAACAACATTCTTTTTGATCATTTTACAATTTCTATTCTATTTTCGATATTTTATTTCCTGTTTCTTTAGACATCTTCTCAATCGCTTTCTCAATTTTAATCAAGTCTTTATACCTATAATTTAATCTGATATCCAAATGGTAAATCCTTTATATCTTTCGTTGATCTTATTATTAAAATCTATAATATACTTCATATCAATCAATGATTATAAATTCCCATCACAATGTTAAGCAATCTTTCCATAATATTGCTGTAAATTTATTTATGATAAGAAATCGAAAAGTTCTTTATTCATTTTTTATTCTGACCATCTGTGTTATTTCTATTATTATAATTGAGTCTTCAAATTATTAATTGATTAGGTCTAACATTTTAAAACTTTTTACAATATTCTATTACATTTTCTATTAACTACTTGGTCGTCTTTATTAAGACATATTCTCGAAATTTGATTTAATATATATAATATTGAATTCAAATAATTTTAATTTATAAATGACATTCTTATATTAAATCCTATACCAATATGAAACACACATATTTTATTCCATTAAAAAATAGATTATATGATTAAATTGATTCTAAATTTATTAGTTTGAATTTTATTTAAAAAGTAAAAAGTTTCTAATAAATAAAAAGCATAAAAAATAACCATAAGTTTGCAAAAAATGAATTATATATAAAAGTCAAATTATTTGACAGACACAAGGAGATTCTTTATTAGTCATGTCTGTATTGTATTATTTCCAATTGTCAACTATTCTATAAATTAAATTTAAATACCTACAAATACTTCATTTTATTCTCTGAACTATATTTTGTGCTACTTATTTCCACGCATAATTACATTCCCATAACTATCCTTACGAATTATTATATCATCTGAAGCTGAACGAGAATCTTTTAAAATGGGAGTAAGCTATTTTAATGGTTCACTATTAAAAATAGATTGGTTAATTCCAAATTTCTAATAATAATGGCAATCTGACATTTTTTTATTATAATTATATGATTTATAGTAATTTAATAAATCTAATTAGTTTGTCAATATTAGGCTCTATAATTCTGATATAAAATTAAGTATGAATCAATAATTTTATATAAATTACTTATAATAAAGATATTTAAAAAAATTCAAAGCATTTCATACTTTCATTAACAATCTTTTAAATTTTTAGCTATATCCTTATATTTAATAGGATTATCATTATATTTATAAACTCAAAGTTTTTTTTGATAATTTAAAAAAAATAATTATCAGAATTATTAGGTTATAGAATGATATGATATGATAATGAAGACTTATTAATATGATTGTTGAATTATATTAATACTAAAAATACTTCAAGAAAAACAATATAATAAATAAATTTTTATAAATTCAGCAAAATATTCTGAATAATATTGTAGTACTTCATAATATTGTAGTACTTCCTATTGTTATCATGATTGTAGAAATAATAATAGACAAATGTACAAAGTTTATGAATATAATTGAATTTAATGTTTCTTTATCTTATATTTTATAAAAATAATTCTCTTATTTAAAACATATGTTTGACTATTACTTAAAAACAATGGCTTATTATATTTAAAATGAATAATGATTATCATATAGTTAGATAAATGAGTAATTTAGTAAATTTACTTATTCTTTATTGATTTCTTGAATGCCCTTTTGATAATTAACTTGATTATCTATTATTGATAAATAAAAATGAGATAAGTAATTAATTAATTGTATATAAATAAATATTTGAAGAAATCTTGAAAAGGATCAAAGTATATTAAATATTTTTTAGAAATAATGAAAGTTTATTTGAGGTAGTGGACCTAATATAATTAGATAAGACCTCAAAAACTTTAGAAATAGAAGGATTTAATGTATTTAAAGTATTGATTTATTATTTGATTTGGTAAATGTATAGTTTATACTAATGGAGAGTAGAGTTTGTCCATAAATACTGAACTTTAAAATTGTTGAATGGGAAAGGAGAATTCAATTAGTAATATGATTTATTGATTATTTATAGAGATTTTAATATAGAGTGATATCAAAATAATTAACAACTTTTGGATTGACAGCAACCTACTTTCTCTTTTTCTTCATCTATAATATTATATTTTTTCCAATTATCCACTAGAATAATATCGTACAATTTAGATTTAGCTGTTACTTCATCTCGAAATGTTATTTGATATTTTTTTTTCTAATTTTTATGAATCAAATTTCCCAGTTTGTCAAATCGTTATACTCTTGGAGAAGGGATGTAAGTATTCTTCTAACATTCAAAACTTTGGATATCAGGATCTGTTATTTTGCTTATAGATTTATGTAATGGTCCTAAGTTCTATAATTCTAATGAAGGGCCATGCCTTTTACTATCTTAAAACATATTAATATTAATTGTTTATAATTTAGAAAAAACATTAAAAGTAATTAATTTTCAAAATATATTATTTTGATTCAAAATCAAATTATTATCAATATGATATTTAAACAAATCACTTAATTAACAATTCTAAACAATAATTCATAATAAAGTTAAAGGGAATTAAGTAAAAATTAGATTTTGATTTATTAATTATAATAAAATATAATTATTCCATTATGCTATGTAGTAAATAATATGGTAATTTAATTATAATTCATAATAGTTGTTTATAAAGAGTTTTTTAAATATGAATATAGTTTTATAGTTTTGATTAAATATATAATAGTAATCATTTAGCAATGGTGGTATTATATCTAAATTTAGGAATTTCTAGTTTATCAGTAATTCTAATTTCTTTTTAAAGTGGTTATTTTAATATAGATAATAATGCCCCTTTTTTTTTAACAACTAATGCAAAATTTTAACAATCAATTTCTTAAAGAAGTTAATCTGTTTTAAATTTAGTTTATAATGGATTTCCTTATGGATCAGCAGAATACACTTCATAATTGTCTAATTTTTCATTTATATCTTAATCATAATAAATTTGAACAAAATAATCAATGGCTGTTTCTAGGGCTTCAATGATGAGAGAATCAGATGTAATTTCAATTTGCACCTACAAGATTCTTGTTCCTACCTTCATGCTGAAATTATAATGGCTTAGCGGTACTTCACTAAAACGCATCGATTCAGCTAAAGTAGATTAAGTTGATTTAACATCTTATTTAGACATTAATTAAATTAATTAAAAATATAATTATAATCATTCATCAATCTTATTAATCTAAATTAGATATAAAGCTTAAATCATTATCAAACATTTATCTTTTATTTTGTTTCAAATCTATTTTGGATACATCTACACTAAATACACCATCATCTTAATTCTACATTTATTTCTATTTTTTGCTTTATAATTCAGCCAATAACTGTTAAATTTCATTTTTTGCCTATAATAGAATAATTAATATACAAGTGCAATAACAGATTATTTAGGTGGTTGATTAAAAGTGATTGCTTTGACATTAGAAAAATATAGAAAAGGATTACTGTAAGATCTCTTAATACATTTTTTATCGAATTCATTATTTTACATTTGTTTCATCAATTATTATTTTTTGATATTGCTTAACTAATAGATATATAATAAAATAATTTACATCAAATTTTTTAAAATAATCATTAAACATTGACATTAAAAAATCAATGCATTCTTATTTAGTCATATCATAATATTAATAAATTTGTCCCTATTATTGTTGTTAGGTCAATTTACTAAATTTTTGATTATCTCCTCTTGCAGTTTAACAAATGTATCTATCTTATTCAAGAGATGAACTATCATCATCAATTTCTAATTATTAAATCTACTTTTTTTAACAAGTATTCTAAACTGAATTAATTTATTATGGTTTAATAATAAATTTATTGAAATTATTTGAATTCAACTATCTAGCAGAATTCTTAATTTCTAAATCATCAGGTCCTGTTTATTGTACTTTTGAACATGATGATTAAGATTGATTATTCAAATATTTCTGTTGATATCTAGGACTAAATACACCTACTGCAATATCTTATTCTTAATTTAAAGGTATAGAATTAAAAGCTTTTCTATTTCTTAATTATTCCATCAAACTCTAACTTTATTTTTTATAGAATTATAATTCAATTTATTATTTTTCATTTCTTTCATCTTTTAAATTATTTGATTTTATTATTAATTCATTTGTATCTAATATATATTCATACTTTGCCAATAAATCATTATATAATTTCCTAACATGTAAATTAGCATTTTTCTCTTTTTCAAATAATTCCTTAAATCCTTTCACCATCATTTCCATCTTATGTAATTTCTCTTAATAAATCATACGTTCATTTTTGCTTAGGTATTTGAGTTATTAAGGTTCAGGAGAGAATCCATAACCTAAACTAGATGTTCCATATAATTCTTAATGTAATTATTCTAATTTGCCTCTTTGATTTTAAACTTCTCTATTGATTTAAAGATTATCATCCGTTTTATCTATATATTCATTATATACAAAATCTAATATAAAATTAAACAAATTTACCTTTCATACTCTAAAAATTAATTTAGCTTCTCAAAACAATTCTCATTTTAAATATTTCTCTTTTTAGATTCTTATATATTAAATTATACTTACATAATTAACTTCTCTTAATGCATTATTAGTTTCACTTATTGTTTATGCTTCTTAAGTGATTTTATTCAATAAATTTCTTACATTTTCTAATTCCTCATGTAATTTAAGGTTCTATTCTGAAGGTGTTACTACTTCAATGATTTTGACGAATTGACCTTCTCTTTCTTAGATTGGTTTCATTCTTTCCAATTCTTATATTGCATATTCTTTATCGTGAATGTTTCTCTTCAATTCTATTAATTTATATTCCAAATCTCCTATCAAATCCTTATAATAATTTTATTATTCTTCAGATATCTATTCTTATAATAATATTTTAGTTTATAATTATTGAGTGATTCTTTATTAATTTGATAATCCTTTAATCAGTTTTTAATTTTCCTCATTGAGTAATTTGATAACTCCCTCCAATTGAGAATTCTAATAATTATAACCAGTTGACATTGTACTATTATCTGATTACAACTATATAGTCAATCTATAATACTTATGGTCTTTTATTTAAGCCTTCTAAAGTGAGAGTCATGGCTTATTTATTTAATTTTAAAGCATTCTCAAGGTCTTGGATGTATTCCTATAAGGATTTGTTCTCTTCAGAAAGATAATGAATTTTTGATTATTGTCGATTTGAAACAAATTCGTTTACTTCTGTACCCAAAATCATTAAATTTACAAATAATAATTATAAATCTCATCTGAATTTATCAATCATTAATGAAAAGAAATCTCTAACAAAATTTGAATTTAATAACAAATTTAAATTATGTTGAATATATATATATATAAATTTTACTTTTTATACAATCCTATTTCTTATTTCAATATGTATAAAAAATTATTCGTTTTCTTAATTAAACACTTAAATAGTAGGATCAATTATAAAAATAGGATTGTATAAAATATATTCTTAATTTTTAATTTTAATTATTAGAAATGAGGATGCTGAATATTTAATAGTTTCATATGAATTACTAAAAAAATCATAGATTTTATAATAAGAATTAATAGCTTTATTAAAAATATGTATAATGAATTTATATGAACCTTATTTGTGGATTTGAAAAAGAATCTAAATATTTATAATTATGATATCATTTATAATAAACAATTACATATAAATAATGTGTATAAGTATAAAAAAGTTAAAAATTATTTATTATCCATTAAAAAAGATAATTGTAAATGATTTTTTAGATAAAAAATATAATATTAAATTATTTGAACTATTGGTGAATCTAAATTACTTTTAAATAGTGATTAATATTATACAATATATATTTGAAGTTAATTAATTCAACTAAAAAAAATAAATCTTGCATATAAACAAATTTATTATATATATATAAAAATGATTCAATTTAGTTTGTTATTAATTAATAAGAAAAGTTTAAGGAAAAAGTATTTGTAAGATAAGTGTATATTATAAATTATTCTTAATTATTTAGTTATAAATTGATGTTGTTAATTATAAATGTATTAACTTTTTTATGAAATAGTTTTTATAGGGAACTATTATTATGATCAATCAAGGATTATTTCAAATTCGATTGAAATCAATTTAGTTACTTATTTGAATACTTTAGAAAATAAAGTATTAAAGATTAGATGTTGTAGTGTTATATATCCGTTTTTATTATATTATTTTTAATATGTTAAAATTTGTTAGCATATTGCTGCTGACATTGGTGTTAGTGAAATCAACAGAAATTCATGGAACCATCAATGTGAAAGTTATATTACCGAATTAAATTTACTCATAGGAATCAAGTGAAGAACTTGATAATGCATATAGATAGGATGAATTACTAGAAAATAAAGTAATGAAAGATGTTGCTATGTATAAATGCATTCTATTCAGCTTAGAAGTTTTCTTGAAACAGGTAGGTCTATAGAAGTGAACGAAATAAAGGATTAATCCATTGAAATTTGGTAACAAAAATCATTAGAAATTGAATAACAACCACTTATCAAAGCTGAAGATTCAAATGAAAATACTTAAAATACTTAAGTCTAATCTAATTAAGTAAATAAAGAATCAGAAAGCTAATAAAAGAAAATGTCAATTAAAGTACAGAAAAAAGACAATATATCAATTGAGTAATCAGCTAATGATATTATCACCAATTCAAATAATGATGTTCAAGCTAAAGATAATACAAATTAAACAGACTTATAAAATGAAAATACATAAAAAAAGTTTTCGGTTTCTGTAAGTAAAATACACAAACCAGATGACACTAATGTTGATTAATAAAAATAAGATATATAAGAACTATAAGATACTAATTAAGAGATTTAATAATAAAAAGTCTAAAATACATTAATAGCAAATAACGATACAGAAGTATAAACTTAAGAAAATACTGAAATTATATAAAACGTTTAAGAAGTTGCTGAAAATTAAATTGAGACTTAGAATACAGATGTAAATAAATAGGTTGATTCATCTGAACAACAATTAAAAATTGAATAGAATTAAGATGAAATCTCAACTTAGACTCAAAATTAAATTGATACTTAAGCAGAATCTATTGAAAATTAAAATGATTTAAGTATTTCATCCTTTGATATTGAATATTCAGAATCACAATAATAAAATGAGAATATAGTATAAAAAGAATCTACTGAAATAGTTTCTTAAGAAAAATAAGAATTAAATACATTGAATGATAATAATGTTAATAAAATATCTGTTGAAAACAATTAAGAACAAATTAAGTTATCAAATAATGATAATTCATAAAATGAAATTGTGATTTAAGATATTAAAATAGAACCTTAACCAATTTTATAGAGTGAAGATAACATTTAATAAACTGATAATCTTAAAGTTGATGATTCAGATATTGTAGTCAAAACAGATCAAGAAGTAAAGGTTATACCTATAGAATCTGATTCAAAAAATTCAGATTAAGGAGAAGAAGATGCAACTCCAGCTGATTCAACTGATGAATAGCCTTAGAATAACCCAGAAACATAATAATAATAAAATTAAAGTCAAAAGACTTAAGCTACTGATGTTGATTAATAGGATTAACCTATTGAAGAAAATACATAATGCGATGGTGAAGAATTAGATACAGTGCATGCATAAGAAAATCATAATGAAGCTTAAGTTAATACAGAAGCTTAAGAAAATAAAGAATAAAATCCTTAAGAGAACACAGATATGAAAGTAGATGTTAAAACAGATGTTTAAACAGAGGTTAAAGCAGATGTTAATACAGATATTTAATCAGAAGTTAAAGTAGATGTTTAATCAGAGGCTAAAGTAGATGCTAAATCGGAAGTTAAATCAGAAGTTAAATCAGATGTTTAATCAGAATTTAAATCAGATGTTAAATCAGAAGTTAAAATAGATGTTAAATCAGAAGTTAAAACAGATGCTAAAACAGATGTTTAAAATAAAATTGAAAAATAATAATAATAATAATAATCAGTGAATTAAGAGAAAAATAAGAAAGGTGAATAATAATAAAAATAATCTGAAGCACCAGATTTTATGATTAAAAAGAATTAATTAACTAAGAAAATGAAGGAAGTCATTAATGATATGAAAGAATCAGAAAAAGCTCCTTAAAATAAATTATATAGTTTGAATGTTTCAAATTTAGATCCAGATGATGTAATAGTAATAAAAGACACTTCATATTTTGATACAGATGCTGAAATATCAGTATAAGAAATAAAGAATCCAGAATAATAATTAATTGGAGAAGTAGTAAAAGTTGAAGCTGAAGTTGAGAAAGTTGATCTAAGTATATTTTCTGATGATAGTTCTGATTTAATTCCAATAATTGTTGAAGATACAGATAATAATATGTAAAGTGAAATCATAACAGATGCAATTAAGGATGTTACAGAAAAAGAAATTGGAATAATCTAAGATTAAAATTTGGGAGAAGCTGCTGTTGATGTTTAATCCTTGATTTCTGATTAAGTCGAAATTAATGGTAATTAAATAACTAAGAATAACATAGCTTAAAATGACTATACATTGGATTATGATTAATTGGAAACTGATGTTATTTTAAATAAGAGTTTAAATAATGATGGAACTACTTTTGATCAATTCCAATCATAATTGGATGAATTAGCAAAAGAACTTGATAATCTAAGTCTAGATTAACCTATTTTAGAAGAACCATAAGTTATTGATACACAATAAAATGAAATTTCAAAGGAGGATCAATAATATTTAACAATTGTTACTAATAATGATTCTATTATTGATAATGCTGTTTCTGATGATGATTACTATTTAGATGACTTAGATAATGAATTAGATTAAATTATTTAAGAATAGACAAATGTCAAATCTGAACCTGTTGTTTAAGAATAAGTAATTGAATAAAGTAAAGATATTTAATAAAATGATGATATTTAATAAAGCAATTAAATTGAATAAAATAATGAAGTTTAAGATTAAGTTTAATAATAAACAATTGAATCTAATTAAAATATGGAAACAGATGAGAATTATGATAATTATAGTGAAGATTATTATTAAATTGATAATCAAAATGAATAAGAATAATCATAAGATTAAATTGATTAATCTTAAATTGAGTCTTCTTCAACTAATTAATCTTAAAACTTATAAGATGAAATTTAATAAGAAGATTTACAATTAGAAAATGAAGAAATATTTGAAAGTTAAGTTTAATCTAATGATGAAGCTGTTATAAGTGATGGAGTTATTGTTGATACTGGTGATTCTTATTCTAATTATGATTAAGAATCTGATATAAATAAAGATTATGATCTATAATTTGAAGATGAATCTTAGAAGTAGGAATCTACTATAGAATAAAAATAAGAGTAAATACCACAAAATGTAGAAGTTAATCAAGAAGTTAAAATTGATAATTCAAATTAATAAGAGACAGTAGTCTAAAATTAAATAGATAATTAAGTTGAGAATTAAATAAATGAAAATTCAGTTGTAGATTAATAAGACAATTAAGTAGTTGTTGAATAAAATAATTAAGTTGTAGATACTAAAGTAGTTGTTTAATAAGAAGATATTAAAGTAAATGATTAATAAGAAGATATTAAAGTAAATGATTAATAAGAAGATATTAAAGTAAATGATTAATAAGAAGATATTAAAGTAAATGATTAATAAGAAGATATTAAAGTAAATGATTAATAAGAAGATATTAAAGTAAATGATTAATAAGAAGATATTAAAGTAAATGATTAATAAGAAGATATTAAAGTAAATGATTAATAAGAAGATATTAAAGTAAATGATTAATAAGAAGATATTAAAGTAAATGATTAATAAGAAGATATTAAAGTAAATGATTAATAAGAAGATATTAAAGTAAATGATTAATAAGAAGATATTAAAGTAAATGATTAATAAGAAGATATTAAAGTAAATGATTAATAAGAAGATATTAAAGTAAATGATTAATAAGAAGATATTAAAGTAAATGATTAATAAGAAGATATTAAAGTAAATGATTAATAAGAAGATATTAAAGTAAATGATTAATAAGAAGATATTAAAGTAAATGATTAATAAGAAGATATTAAAGTAAATGATTAATAAGAAGATATTAAAGTAAATGATTAATAAGAAGATATTAAAGTAAATGATTAATAAGAAGATATTAAAGTAAATGATTAATAAGAAGATATTAAAGTAAATGATTAATAAGAAGATATTAAAGTAAATGATTAATAAGAAGATATTAAAGTAAATGATTAATAAGAAGATATTAAAGTAAATGATTAATAAGAAGATATTAAAGTAAATGATTAATAAGAAGATATTAAAGTAAATGATTAATAAGAAGATATTAAAGTAAATGATTAATAAGAAGATATTAAAGTAAATGATTAATAAGAAGATATTAAAGTAAATGATTAATAAGAAGATATTAAAGTAAATGATTAATAAGAAGATATTAAAGTAAATGATTAATAAGAAGATATTAAAGTAAATGATTAATAAGAAGATATTAAAGTAAATGATTAATAAGAAGATATTAAAGTAAATGATTAATAAGAAGATATTAAAGTAAATGATTAATAAGAAGATATTAAAGTAAATGATTAATAAGAAGATATTAAAGTAAATGATTAATAAGAAGATATTAAAGTAAATGATTAATAAGAAGATATTAAAGTAAATGATTAATAAGAAGATATTAAAGTAAATGATTAATAAGAAGATATTAAAGTAAATGATTAATAAGAAGATATTAAAGTAAATGATTAATAAGAAGATATTAAAGTAAATGATTAATAAGAAGATATTAAAGTAAATGATTAATAAGAAGATATTAAAGTAAATGATTAATAAGAAGATATTAAAGTAAATGATTAATAAGAAGATAATTAAAAAATTTAATAATAATCGGATAATAATACTAATGATACATAAAAATAAATTGAATCTTAATAAGAAAGTGTTACTAAATCAGAAATGGATATTTAATCTACTCAATAACCAGAATAGTAAATCCAATAAGAAATTCAATAATAAGTTGATGAACAAGATAATGAAATTACTTTAGAAAATACTAATGCAATAGAGGATATTAAGATTGATGATTTACCTTAAATTGAAATCAAGAAGAAATAATTGGTGAAAAAAGAAATTTCAATAAAAGAAAAGGTTGAAGTTGAAAATATTATTACAAATGATGATATAAATGGAGAAGGAACAGTTCAAGAAGACAACATTGAGGTTTTCTATAATGATTCTTAAATTGCTGATACTGAATCTGATAATAATTTAGCAGCTTAATCTGAAGCAGAAGTTATTGAGAATCTTGAGGACTTATAAGATTGTATTGAAAATGATGAGGATGAACATACTGTAGAAAATAAGGGAGATGTTACTAAGGAGAAGAATGAAAAGAAAGATATGCATCATTCTATTAAAGTGAGTAAGGAAGAGAAAAAATAAAATGAATAATAGGATAAATCTTTAAAGATTGAATAAAGTGAAAAATAAACTAAATTTGAAGAATAATTACATTAATAAATTATCAATAAAAAGTAAAAAGAGAAATAATAAATGAGTCATGATGAATAATTTGATTAGATTGTAAATGAATTAGTTCATGAATTGGAAGCATCAACTAATAAGAGAGTTGAAACAAGAGAACAAGAATAATAAATATATTAGGATATTAAAAAAAATGTAGAAGAACTTAGATAAATACATAATAGTGATGATGTTATTATTAAGAAGAGGATTGATGTAGTTGAATAAGAAGTAGAAACAGATGAAAGAAGTAAGGATAAAGAATTCCAATAGAAAATTGAAGAATTATTGAGAAATTAAAAGACTTAAACTGTTTCAAATAATAAAATTAATGATGGTGAAAGATATTATTTGGATAAACCTGTTAATTAAGCAGTTAGTGATTATGAAAAAGAATTGAATTAAAGAAAATAGGAAGTTATGGAAAAGATTAAAAATGATTTATAAATTAAAAAAGGTAGATTTTCATAGGACAACTAGAAATCAGATAATTTAACTCCTTATGAATTTGAAAGAATTTATTTGGATTGGACTCAAAATAAAAATGATATAATTTCTAGTATGTTATCTCATGCATCAGGTTCAGAAATTTAATTGGAATCATCAATCTCAGAGGAACCAGTGATCAAAGTTGAAAGAGTATCTAAAAAATAAGAAGTTGAATAAGAAATCCAAGAATTATTCTCAAGTTATAAAACAAATAAAAATTAATAAAAGAGAACAGGAGGTATTATTATTAATTAATTATATTTAGATTCAAATTTAGATCAATATGAAACAAGTTTTTTGGCAGTCAATCAAAAAGTTAAAAAATCAAAGAATTTGAGAGGAAATAAATTATGATGATGAAAAAGGAATTTATAACATAAATAAAAGTATTAAATAAAAAGCTGTCTGTCCTTATTATATCTATAATTATAGTATATTAATAAATATTTTTGTCTAATATATATATTAGATTAATAATATCATAGAAGAATGTATTAAAAACTTTAATTTATGTCTTAAATAATATTAAAGTATAATGAAATATTTTGATCTAGTCTTAAGTTTAGATAGAATAAAACATAAATTCATAGATATAATATATTTTATTCTATAATACATATTTTGTATCTTATATTTCTAATAGATGCTACAGAATATTTTATTTTTTAATACATCATTAACAAATCAGAAATTCTTACTAAAATAAAAATATCTTTAAATGAGCTTATTAGCATCATAAATCTTTGATGATTAGAATGAAATGTCTACAAAGATATATAAGGATTTGGAATCAATTTTGGGATGTGCATAAGAGATTGATTGCATAATTGAATATTTTTAAGGATCACAACCTAAACTTGTTAATATTGGATTAAATAAGTTATTTGCTCATTTTAACCATTCAAATTTGATGCATCTTGAAATTAAATAACAATAAGAAAGCACAAATGCTAATAAACAAATAGTTTAGGGAGCTAAAAATGAATCGATTTAAATTGTACTCGAAGTTTAAAAGTAAATCATAGACAAGTAAATTCAATAAACTTTAAACTATTATATCGATAAAAACTTAGCCTAATTCAATATCCCTTATTAATTAAATTTGATTGAATTAGAATAAGGTAATGTATATTCAAAAGAATTACTATAAGACTTATTTTATTCTGATGAAAAAATACAAAATTAATTCGTATAAAGAAAGTCCATATTGAAAGAATCATCTCTCTTGAGAAGATCACTCAGTTTAAATTAACCAACTTCTATAAAATAAGTAATTCTAGAAAAAATTGAGTAATTTTTTTACCGTTATTCCATTTTAGGTATAGAAAATCAATGATGATCAACAAACTTGAACATAGATTTCCTAAATTAGAAAATGTAGAACATATCGTCCCATATATACTTGGGCTTTATGTTAATATAGAGAGTGAAGGTTTAATTGGAGATTTTCAGTCATCAAAAGATTAATTGAAATCTATCCATCATACAGTTTTATAATTAAGTTTTAACAATTTCTTATCATTAATTTCAACTGAATATGTGAAATTATTAGTAAAATTAGATGTTTAGTAATTTATATTAGGTAATTTTAATACATAATTTCAAATTGATTTTGATAAAATAATAACATAATAAAAATGGGCTGATTTAGATAAATCAATGATATAATAATTATTATAAACATCAAAATTTAATGAATCATTTTTTAATGAATATCATAAACTTGAATAATTAGGATAATTGATACAAAGTTTAAATTAAAAAATAATTATTATTTTTAAATAGATACTTCCTCATGAATAAGGAAATTTTGATAATAATTATTAAATTGTAGAGTAATTATTATAAGAATTAGAATAGGAAAAAAATGAAATCATTAAATCCTCAACAATCAATCCTGAAATTGTATTAGCAATTAAAAAAATTATATAATAGATCTTATAAATGATAAGTAAATTTTAAGCATCTTTTCATTCTAAATTTGGACTAACAGTATTATTTAGATTGAAATTAATTTTATAAGATGATAATAAAAGAAATATAAAACAAAAATAAACTAATTAATATTAATATAAATGTGTAAATGAATTAGAAAGTGAAATATCAAATATGTTTAAAAAAAATGTTATTTTTATTTCATCTGAATTAATTTCATTAATAATTGAATCAACATAAAAAAGAGTAGAATTTGAAAGTGTATTAAGTGATTTGAAATATGGGAATGCAACATTAAAGGCAATTTGTGAAATTTCTTAAATTTAAGAATTTATTACAAATGATTAAATTAAATAGTTTTTATTAAATGTTTTAGATTATTTATAGGATAGGATAAAAAAAAAGGATATTAATTTCAATCTTAATGAATTATAATTAACTTAAGAAGATGAATAAATGTTGAAATGCATAAATAATTAATATATAATAAAATATGTTAAAGAAAATAGAAAACTATTTACAACAATTTCGAATTATATATTATCTAATGATCCATTTACATGCTTGACTTTAAGATAATATTCAACTTTAAAGACACTATAAGAAATATCAATTTTAGCATTTAAATTTTCCAAGGATTCAGGATTAAATGAATTCTTTAGACTTTTTTTTGATTTTTAAAGAAATCGAGATTCATAATAAATTAAATTATAATCTTAATTAAATTCAAATGAATTGTAAGAATGGAAAAATATTGTACAATCATTTGAATGATTTAGTATATGATATAAAGATTATTAATATAGTTTTTAAAAAAATAGCATTTCATATTAATATTAATTATATGTATAAATTATAACCTTTCATTCTAAATCTTGTGAATCCATTTGGTACTAATCACAGTGTAACAACTTAAAGAACTAATGCTTATTTAGAAATAACTTATTTAGGAATAACTGGAATGGCAGAAGCAGGATTACCTCCAAAAAAATAAAATTGTTATTTTACAGATTATAATGATATTGAAGTTTTCTTTAAAATATTTTAATCAATTAAACCATTAGAAAAGTATGATGGATTTGATTAATTTAAATAAACACCTTATTTTAAATTGGAAGATGGAGAAGCAAAAGACTTTCTTAATTCATAATTATCAATACTTGATTAAATTCCTAATGATCCTATTCATTTAGCATCAAAATCATTATTTGAATGTGCCTTAATTGATTGGTATTGCAAGAAGACTAATAAATCAATATCATAATTTATATCAAATGAAAACAATGAGAAATTAAAAATACCAAATAAAAGAAACTTTTACACAATATCTTTATTAGAAAATATAGATGAAGTGATTTCATAATTGGATGTTGGTCTTCCATATACACCAAATATAAAAATTAAAGTTGGTGGTGATCTTGAATACATTAGAAATGTTTTAATCAGAGTATATGATAAGATAATAAAAGACAATCATAATTTCAATGGATTATTATCTATAGATTGTAATAGTAGTTGGTAACCTGAAACAGCTCTCAAATTTTTAGATATATTAAATACAGAATTGATTTAGATAAAACCTTATTTATATATGATTGAATAACCTTTTCCATTAAATTTTGATAAAGAACTTTGGTATATAGTTAAAGAAAAGTATTAAGAATAAAAAATAGAAATTTATGCTGATGAATCTATTAAAACATAATAAGATGTTATAGAATTATAGAAAGTTGTGACTGGTGTAAATGTAAAATTAGAGAAATCTTCAGGTTATAGAGGTGCAATAGCAAATTTTATTAAAGCAGAGGAATTAATGTTAAAGAAATGGGTTGGTATTATGATTGGATCATCTTTAATTGCAAATTAAGCAATTAATCTATTAGGATTAGCAACTATAGGTGGAGATATTGATGGAACATTATTAGTTGAGAAATCATGTCATAAAGTTGATGAGTAATTTATTTGGCATAGAGCAAATAGTGAATTTTGGGGTATGATTTCATTAAAATGAAAGTTTAAATTTTATTTTTAATTTAGTTATGATCAATATATATATATAATTAATATACTCACATTTCTTGAAAGATATTATTTATCCATTTACCTTTAATTTATTTTCCATCCTAAGTTAAGAATACTCCAGTTCCATTTATTTCTCCATTTAAAAAAAGCCCAGTATAGATTTCTTAATTAGACAATGTTAATTAACCATATCCATCATATTTACCTTATTTGAAATCTCCATCATATTTAATCCACATATTTCCTAACTAATTAAAATCTTTATAATTAAATGGTGCTGATAATTATTATGGATTTTAATTTTTGAGTACTCCTGTACGATGAAATCTTATCTTATATTTTATATAAAATTTACTGGTTTTCAAAGAAATATCCTTCATAAATAATCTCATTGTCATCATTAATTAACTTACCTAATCCTTACTTTTTACCACCCTAAAATATACCTTCATATGTTAGACCATTAGATAAAGATTCAACTCCAAAACCATCTTAAGTAATTAGTTTCTTACTGCCTCCTTTTGAAGCTTATTCTGTTTCAAATTTTTTAAACAAATTCTTTTTTTATGTTTAAGGTGAATATGATTCTCTCTTTTAAATAAATGACTTTTATATTATGAATTAATAATTATACACTTGATGCTTTAGATTCTTTTGAATTTTTTGATAAAACTTATTTAAGTGATAAATGTGATCCTTTTTATAATAATGATTAATTTGATAATTATGATTAAACTTCTGGATGAATAAGTGAATGCTATTTTTTAGTAAAATGAACCTATATATATATATATTTTGTTGAATACTTTCTTCTCAATAAAACTATATTAGAAATCTTCAGTTGTCCAAATTTGAAATAATCTTTTCCCATTTAATAATTGTTACAAATTCAAAAGATCATCTAACTATAAAAAATCGCATCTCACTTTTGGATCATAATATAACATTGCCTCCAAAAGTAATGGTAATACTTCTCCATAACGTTCTTTTACCTTATTAATCTGATCATTTAATAGGTTTTAATCAATCATATAATCTTTATATAAGGTAATACTTTAACGAACAGAACATAATTCTAAGGTCATCTAAAAGAATATATAATATTATTACTAAACCAAGAACAAATACATTGCTTTTAAAGAGATCATAAGGTTCCAATTTTTTATTCTGAATCATTTGCCATTATTCTGGACTCAAATATGGATATTCTTGCAATTTAACTTACTCACTTTTTATTATTTTATCAAATAAAGCATTGAATTCCATTTCTTAATCTTTTAGATCAAATAAAGGACTTTAAACTTTTAATGCAATGGCTCCATTAAGCAAATTAGAAAGGTAGATTTTATCAAATTTTAATGAGGACAATGCATGACCCTTAGATTAGAGAAAGGCTTAACTACCAATTAAGGAATCCAGAAAAAATAATATTTCACTTTCTTCAAAATATATTTTTTTTCTATATATTAATTCTTAAGCAAGAGTAGTTTCATAGTAATCTAAAAAGAGTGATAATTTGTATTGTGTATTAAAAAATTGATCTATCTATCTATTTTACATTGCTAAAGTAAGATTAAGATGAGATACCATGTATAATCAAAAGGTTGGGATGATTGAACCCATAAAATTTAGCTTCATAATATTGTAATGCTTATTGAAAGTCTTCTCTCTCTACAAATGTAATAAGTTTATGTACTAATTTAAAATCAAATTGTTTGGGTTCCTTATACTCAAGTATGTTGACTTTGCCATACAAAGGATGCTAATAATCGTCTTACACTACTATGAAATCATTGCTAAGTTAATCAATGATAGTGAGATTGCCGATTTCAACATACGATTTGCATTATTAACATGTTCCCATTAATTAATGATCAAGACAGTTATAATTATTGCTTAATAATCAATTCATTAAATATATTGAGTAAGTCCATTTTGGGAATTTGAGGTTTGAGACGTAAGATCATCTAGATTAGAATCTAATAATCTTATGCACTAAATATCCCAAAATCTATAATAATTTATTGAATCTGGATTAGTAATTCATCATAGTTATTATTCAAATCTTTCACTTCTTATTCTACTTCATTCCATTATCTATTATTAGAGACAATCTTACATGAGATCTTAATTTTTATTAATCTTTATTTCGTTAGCTTTAACTCTATATAATGCTCCTAATTAAATAGTACTGAAGGGAAAGATCTTTTATGGTGATTTCATATTCTTTTATCTTCTTAATAAGGGTTCTTAGAAAAGTAATTGTGTTTCATCTTGAATATGTTTAGGACTCAATGATGTGAAACTTTCAGAAACTGTTTTCCGTCTAAATAAGTAAGTTGGACAGAGTAAATAGTCTTATTTTCGATTCATTCTTTTGCAATTTAAAGGTTCTATACTTTGTTTAGGTGAATTTGGTATTTTGCGTGGTGATATCAAAAGTTAAGGTATTTGTTAAGATATTTCTTTTAGTTATTGTAAATGATTCCATATTTATTAAGATATTAAATTCCTACCACCTAAATTACGCGCATCTGGAGTAAATGGAGGCATTTACTTTGAAAAAAAAAGTTGTTAAAAATTATAATATAAATTCATCTTATAATCAAATCTCTTGCACTCTTTTAAGCAATATTTACAACAACAATATCTTTATTAGGTTAAGTTTCTACATTTTCAGTATCTACCATTAAAGGAATATCAGATTATTATGTATTTTCACTTCTTGTTTTCATTCTCTAAACAAATGGATTAGCTCTACTAGTTTCTCTTAAACTTATATCATTATTAAAACTAATCCAAGGTTTATTTTTTATGTCTTATTCTATAAATTCTTTACGACATAAAGGACAACATTTTTAAGTCTATAACCATTTAAATAAACAATGTTAATGAAATAGATGATAACATGGAGTTAATGAACAATGATCTATATGATCTCTTTCTGTCAATTTACCTTATTATGGAGGAGCCATTGATTCTAAACAAACTACACATTCAACAAATTAACTTAATTAAGGATATTTATCTATTAAATCTAAATAATAAAATTAAGGGAAATATGTTTAGATAAAGTCTAAATTAAATCCTTTTTATATATCATCACTTTATTATAATTATATTCTTCTTCTTCTTCTATTTCCTCTAAATTCTCTTTATACTAATCTAATTTATTCTCTTTATTATTTTTATCTTATTTTTCTAAATATTAAATAAGTAATCAATATGAAACAAGTAATAAAAATAGATTATAATATAATCTATAAATGATATGGATCATTTTCTTTTGGTTATTCTTTTTCAAATAATTCAAAATAAAATAATATTGGATAAGAATGTTAATTGTAAAATCCAATATTTAAAAATGAACAATTCATACACATAGATTGATAATAAATTAAATCACCTTTTAATTAGTAAATTTATTATTGTATTTTCTTTGGAATAATATATGCATCATAATGAATATTAGGAACTTCATGATTTTCTATTCCTTGCATACCCAATCCCATTAACATTTCAGATGATTGATCACGAATTCTTAATTTTAAAGTATCATTAGAATTCAATTATTTTGTTTCAAAACCAATATAGATCCATTAAAGTGGTTTAATGATGATATCATATTGGATTTATAAAACTGCTATTTTTCTTTAGAGTTAACAATACTTTCCAAAATAGCCAGATTTACATAAACACTACTTGTTAATTGAATTACATGTATTACCTTATTGAATACAAATAGATGGACATTCTCCAGATTGATTTTTGATTAGGATTGTGAAATTAGAGTATTGATTATATGATTAATTTAAGTAGCCAGCATAAATGTATAAATCCATTGTAGGTTCAGTAAATATTACATGAATATCATTATTTGTAATGAATGATTCATGATCATAATTTAAAGACTGTATTTTATCTTATCCTTCAACATAAAATATATTTTCAAATTTTTTATTTGAAGATGCCAAAATAAAAGGTTGATTTATGTGTGAATATAGTGTTACTTGAATTTCGAGTGCAGATTAATTGAAAAGGTAAAGAGAATTAGTTTAGTTTTGTTATGCTTAACACAATAGGATTTATAAAATAATAAATAACATTAATAATTCAAAGAGATAGTTTTTAAGTTTATAAATTTTCTAAAAATTCTTTAAATTCTTGCATATTTTTATTAGCTCCTTCTAAAGTCTCTTTGATTTAATCCCATTTTTGAGATTTCTGACTATTATGAAATTTATTGCATTTGTATGAACAAGGTTCAGTCTTTAATTTTGGAGTCATATTTCTATTTAAAATCATTCCCAATGGTTTTCTAGGAGATTAAGGTTACTAAAACTATTTGAGTTTCTACCAAACTTATTGAGGCTTATAATTAAATCAAAAATCATTTACAACATCAAATTTATCTAATCTAGGTAATGGACCATCTGGAGGTACACCTCTAAAAGGTTTATCTAATTATTTTTCTAAAGTCATTTCTAATAAAACACGAGCATAAAATAAAGAATTCTATTTCCAAATAAAATTGTGTGTTGGTGTTCTCACTTTATCTAACCATTACAATATCCTTATTTTCAGATGTTTATCATTGATCTTCTAACAACCATTATAGATCTTATTGATAGTGTCACTTAATTCTAAATCCAGAGTTTCTGCTCTAGGAGAATTCATTAATTTAACGGATAATATTAATAATTTATCAATCCTCTACGATCCAATTCCTCTACAATATAGTTATTAATAATATCTTCTTATGGTATTTCTAAGGGTAATGGTCTCAATAATATAGCTAATCCTTTTTTTTGACTTTCATGATATACTTTTCGAAAAGCATCAAAATCTTAATTCCATTTCTGTAACACATTAGTCAATAATTTCTTATATATAAACATTATAAATTATCTATTAAAATATAATAATAAATTCTATACTAATCATGAATTAAATAATGAAGTGGATCTCTTTTATTTTTATTCTTTTCTTACTATTACTATTATTATAAAGGTAATTGTTAGATTGTTTACTATTTAATCTTCAAAATGTCACTATAGATTTGTTTACATTGATGGAATATGGCTATCTTCATCTATTACATGAATTCCAATCGTTTATTCTTATGTCTAACAAGCATGTTAATACATTTTTTAACTAAATCCAAATTATCAATTACTTAGATTAACAGTATGTAAGCCTTTTGTAACAGTGTAATAGCTTCTAATATTTTATCTTAGAATTTCAACGATAATTTAGTTACTTTTCTACTTAATTTTATTCTATTGACTATGTATACAAATCTGCATACTCATTTTACAAATTAATAAAGTTCTTAATTTTATTTTTGGTCCTTGATGTTAAATATTATTTTTAATTTTCTATATAAATTACATTGTCATAATTTATTTCCTCATATTTTTTTCTGATATGCGTTTTTGTACTTTAATATAATTACTTATTGATGGTACTATGTAATTGATTAAAATTACAACCTAAATCCATTTCTTAAAAATCCATTCTTTATGCATTTATCTATATTTATAAGTAAAGCAGATTACTTGATTTAAATATTCATTTATTTTTGTTTAATTTCTTTGGCAACATCATGTAATGCATTCTAAGCAATACGTTTTAAGTTTTATTCTTTTTATATTGTTGTCTATTTAAATTTTATTTCTTTTAATCTTTCAGTATTGCAAGGAGATTCAATCTTTTATTTTCTTATCAATGATCTATTAAGATTAATAAAATCTAATGATTTCTATTTTAATTTTCTTTTTCGAATTATTTATTCTGTTAATTCTTCAAAATCTAAATTTTGTTCATCTTTTTTTTTAATTTAAGGGATTTTTCTAGGTATTGGAGGTTTGGCAAATTCATTTTTGATACTAATTTCTACATCATTATGTGCTAAGATAGCAACATATAATGTAGGATCATAAAAAGTTGTGCCATCTCTTGAGTGATATTTAAGTACTCGACCATAAGTTTCGATCTCTGCATTGAAACGGTTGGGTTATTAAAATCTGACTGAACAAAACAATCTCATTTTAGTATTAGGATCACCTTTTTTTACATATATGAATAAGACTACAGGTGAATATTTCTCATGAATATCTATTGATGTATATAAGAATTGATTTCTAAAGAGAGTCAAGGTTGTTTCACCCCAAACATCCAATTTATTATTCTAAATAAAATGTTTCTTTCTGCTTGGTATTTCTCTTTGAGTCAAATTATATTCTTTGACATCAAAGGCTCGATGGCTGAATTGATCAAGTAAAGCAAACTTGTTATTTAGATTGAGTTTTTCCTCACTTAATATACGAGAATCTAAAATAATGGAATCAGCTGCACTTTGAGGTTCAGTTGTAAAAATTGAAGGAACAACCGATTTTAAGTGTTTAGGTTTATAATATAACATATAATTATAGGTCAATTTTATTATCTCTTTCTTTTTGTCTGTTTAGTTTTATCAATATCCCTTCCACTTTCTTTATTAAAGTTCATTTTACATCAAGAATGTGACTTATACAAATTTATTACTCCATTATATTATACTCATGTTTCTAAAATTAAGTTTTTCTATGAAATCTATAACTTCTCGTTTACATCCATAACTTAAAGGAATTAAATTATGATCAATAGGTTCCTTCTTCAATAATTCGGTAGATTAGAGATGAAAAAATTTTGATTTTGATATTTAAACAAAAAGTGAATGTTAGTTTCTATATAATAAAAGAATTGGGTAGATTGATTTGCTGTCTGAAGAGATGAACCTTTTTCTTTTTACTCATTCTTAAAAAGAATCAAATTAAAAATCAACAAAATTATAGAAATCCATAATCTTACAAAGAAGTATTTATCTGGGCTCATGCTCTTTAGATAATTAACTTACCTATCTTTAAGAACTTTAGAATTGTTGAAAACCCTATCTTTTTCTAATGTTTTTTTTATTCAAATTTTTCATTTATTACTCCTAACCATCTCTAATAATTTCAAATATCATCTTACTTTAAGTAAATATTTTTTTGTTAGAATTGGATTTGAGTTTAGAATTAATTAGGGTTATTCAGTTTATTATTACTTAAATATGCTAATTACAAATAAGCATATATTTATATTATTAAAAGAATTTAATAATAGAATTATTATGTTTGAATTAAGATTACTATTGAGTTCCACTTCCTTCTTGTCACAATTAAATTAACAAAAAATCTTTTGATATTCATATAATTTTATTAATAACATTGATCAAGTCTCAAAAAGAATAATAAAATTTATGTAAAAATTATAAAAATAATTAGGAAAATTGATATGTTTAAACCTTAAAGTTTCGAAGTATTAAATTGTAGAATAGAGCAGAGCATTGAATGAAAATTTGTCAAATGTAACGCTAATTTTCTATAAAATAATCTATAAGATATATATAAAATGATAAAATTGATCTCCTTTGATTATTATTTTTGAGTAACTTAATCTTCAAGTATATAATAATTCATATAAGGTTGAAGATTTGATTAGATTTTTATTGAGACCCCCTGTCTTCACTACTAAATTTTGTTGTTCTGTGATCATTTATATATTATAAAATTATTGTTTATTTCTTTTGAAAATGATCTTTTGTTTTTAGAATAAAATATTTCTTCTCGAAATGCTCTTTCGTTTTAAAAATAATATACTATCTCAATTTATGAATTTTGATTTATTAATTAAATGTTAAATCTCTAGAGTGGTTTTGATTTTGAGTAAGATGTGGAATTGAGAGCAGTATAAAATGAAGACTTTGAATAGTAATACTTAGGTTAGTGTTTGCGAGAGACAAAAAAAGAATTTTCTTTAGTATTGCCTCCGATAGCCAGCAGAACATTAAGTGCAAAAAGTCTAGAAGCAAAATATTTGCATAGTCCTAAATCTCCAGAATCAAATAATGACGAGAACTTTCTAGCCTCCAATATCTAGACACCAAAGGAACCAGTTTTTCATGGAAAATTGATTGATAGAAGGAGAAGTTAGACAAATGCAGAATCTAGTTTTATGTCTTTGTTTTTTATTGGAAGGTTTGTGGAAAAACTATCATAAAATAGAAAGTAATTGGGTAGTCTAAATGAGGCTCATTTTAATTTGATAGGAGATAAAGCATCTGATTCGTAAATTGATATATCTATAAATAATAGGCAAAACATATTTATGCATTCAAAACGTATGAAATCAGCTGGGTTCAATATAAAGAAGATGTAGACATTATTGAAAAAAGAAACAGAAATTAAGGATACAACAACATTAGAATAAGTTAAAGAGGATTTGAGGAAACTTCGTAAACCGCTTTTTAATTGTTTAAATGCAATTATCAATAAAATTCCTATAATATAACCAGAATCTTTATTCAAAATGTATTGGGATTTCTTTACTTCAATTTTTAGAATTTTACTTTTAATTCTGGTACCTTTAGAAATAGCATTTAAACCAGAAATATTATTCAATAATCTAATATATATTACATATGTAATTCTCTTTATATTATAACTTGATTTCTTAATTAGAATAAATACATTAACATATAAAAATGGATATGCAATAAAAGATAAATGGGATTTAGTAGTTCATCAATTAAAAAAGGAATTTCTTACAGATTTCTCAACATCTTTAATTTTAATAATATTCATGATTATTCCTGATATGAATACAAATGCCAATTTATTTTTATTAATTATTTTAGGATAACATAAATATGTATATGAGACATTTGCAAAAAGTGATTAAATTTCTTATTTGACTAGACCATAAAGAGGAGTATTTGGTTTATTGAAATTCATTTTAACATTGCTTTATATTTTACATTTATTTAGTTGCATATGGTTTTATTTCAGTAGTATAAGAGTTGAAGATTCATGGATTCGTTTTAATGAAATAGAAAATAAAGATTGGGAAGAATAATACTTATAGGCACTCTATTTTGCTGTAGTTACTATGTTAACTATAGGTTATGGTGATATGGTACCTAAAAATGCTATTGAGAAAATAGTTACTATGGTATTTGTATTGGGTGCATGTAAATAAATTAATATTATTTGAATAGGTTTATGGGTATCTTATAGTGTCAATTTTATTGGTAGTATAATAGATGATATTACATAGAATTAAGTGGAAAGAAATCGTAGAATGAGAGTAATCAATAAATATATGAATTAAAGAAAGATTCCATATAGTTTATAACATTAGTATATATATAATTATTATATTCTTAGAGTAAAGGAGTATTTAACATTCAGATGGAAGGAAGATGATGAAGTAGATTTAGAGATGGAATAAACATTATTAGAATAATTATCTGATGAATTAAAAGAGGAATTAGATAAATAAGCACATAAAGTTTTCATTTAAAAATCAGAATTTCTATAGAAATACTTTAGTGAAGAATTACGTAATGCATTATTCAAGTCTATTAAAAGAAAGATAGTACCACCTTAAAATACTTTTTCTACAGATTTTTCGAATGAATAACATTTATGTTTTGTTGAATAAGGATATATAGTATATTAACATCCTGAGAGAAAATAAAGATCTAAAATGAATGCTGTAATTAATTAAGGATAATTCTTTTGTGTTAAAGATTTCATTACTAATAATCCATAAGTTGATCATTTTAAAGCTATAGGATATGTTAGTTTATTGATATTATCAAAATCTGATTTTATGGAAACATTAAAAGATTATCCTTAAGATTTTTAGAAATATTGTTAATTAAAGGAAGCTATTACTTTAAGTTATCATCCATCAACATTAGAAAATGGTGTATTTTGTCCAGCTTGTTTAAATTTTAAACATTCACTTAATAATTGTCCATAAGTTTAATATGTTCCTAATAGAGAAGCTGTAATTAAGAGACATTGTATGTCTAAATTGTAGAATTAATCTACTTATATAAGAAGATTGGATAAATCATAAAAAGAATGGCATACAAGATTAATGAAAGATTTGGCTTAATAATATGCTTCTGTATTTTAGAATGAAAATTAATAAATAATTATCAATCAAACAAAAATATTATTGAATTTTGAATGTGGATCAGATTCTAATTCATCTATTGATGATGATGCAGGTTCTCCAGCATTTAAATTACCTTAAACAGCTCCTATATTTTAAGCTTAACATATAAGATCTTCTCGAGTAAATAGATTAGTTTAAGATTAAAATAATATTATATAATAATAATAAGGAAAAAATGAATAATAAAATTAAAATAAATATGATTAATTAAATAATAAAAATGAATTATAAAATAATAAAAATGAATTAAGATAAAATCTAAATAATGCTTTATAGAATAGAAAATAATCAATTTTATCAGGTGTTATAGGATTAACTAAAAGTCCTAAAAATCGTAGAGATAGACCTATTCCATTAGTAGATGAAATTAAAGAATATGATAGTGGATTTTAAAATAATTCAAGTGATGATAATGATATGAATACATCTATTGATTTTAAAAAAAAGAGAGATTAAATAGTTGAACAAATATAGGATTTCAATGATAATATGTTAGATAATATAACAAATTTGTATCATTAATTATAAAGGAATTTAGAAATCAATGAAAATGACAGTATAAGTAAAAAAGCATTATCATAATTGGAACCATTATATTGGTCATTTAATTAATAGAAATTTGATGATTTTGAAATTAAAGCATCTTTTGATTCTTATTATAATAAATAAAATGCTGAAGATGTTATAGTATTTGTAAAATAAGATATTTTTGGATGGTAGACTACAATTCTACAAAGAATGAGAAAATTTATGTTGTATCCATTTTTATATATACAAAATTTCTTAAGATTAAGAAGAAATGCTAAATTAAAATCTATAACACCAATGAAAGTTGTTGCTAAAGTAAAAAGTACTTTAGATCATTTAAAAAAGACTTTGAAATTAAAAAGGAAAACAACATTTATTCGTTCAAGTACAAAATTAAATTCTGTAGTTCCAGATTTTGTTAATCCATTTTAATAATATAAGAAATGAATGTATTTATAAATTATATAAATGTAATTCATTATTCAATAATGATATCTGTTTTTCTTGTACATGTTGTAAAATCTTTTTTGATTTATGGAAATGTAACATTTGGATATGCAAAAGGAACATCAGCTCCTTTAAGATTAGAAAATGATTGTTGCCATTCTCTATTCAATACTTTTAAGAAAAGATTATAATTTCCTTCTGAATTCAATTTCTTAGCTGTATAATCAAAGATACCTCCTGCCATTCCTAAAACTGTAGTCATTTTACTATCCCATGTAACAAAAGGAGCTACTGAAGTTCCATCAACAACGACTCCTTCAGTACTTCCAAATGCATTCTGTCCAGCTGGTCCAGATATCATATTGTGATACCAAGATACTGCTACTTCTTAATTTGCTAAAAACATGGTCATTGTTGAATATGGTGTTACTAAATGTCTATAGGATACAGGAATAAAAGAAACTTCTTAAATTCCACAAGCACTATAATAATCTACAGGATCTTCATTTTTTGTAATATTGCTAGTAATTGAAGCAAACATACCAGGTTTTTCATTATTTCTAGCATCCCATGTACGTACTTTCTCACCATTTATCAATAAATTTAATTAGATTTAATCATGAGTATAAGGTAAGAATAAATATTTCCATTATTCATGTGCTGAAAACCACCATCCTCTTTAAACTGAAATATATTTATTCAATCCAGCAACTTTATAATCAACTACTTATAATTTAGATTTCTTTGCTACCCATATTTTCTCTCTTTCTGTTGTATCTTTCCATGGAGCATAAAAATACATCATCCATGCAAATAATTCTCCTTCATATGGATCATCCAAATAACATGGACTTCTAAAATTAGTACAATCTGTTTATCTGTTTGTATATTTATTATTTTCTACACTTGCTTTAATATCTTAAATTCTAGTGACTGCTCTTATTAATCCATCTCCTTCATAGAATATTGTTATAGAATTATTTGCCATTTTCTAATAGAATCTAGTATATCTTCCAATTAACTCTTCTTAATCTGAATACCATGTTTCCAATACAGATACAACTGCATAAGCAGCCCAAAATAATTATCCATTATCTAATGAAGGTACTCCATCAGTCCAATCCCAAGTTGGAGTGACGACACCATCATTTACAGCCACCCATGGTAAGAATCCTCCATAACCTGGATAATCCTTGTCAAACTATTCATATGTATTGATCTTTCTATTCAATAAGTCTAAAGCTTCTTCTTCAGAATAAATCTATTTGGCATATTCATTATTAGATAAAGCTAATCCAATTAATGCCAAATGGATTGATTCTTTTGAAGAGGCAGTGAATTAATGTGGTTTACCATAAGGCATACCAGTATTTACATCCAATTATTAACCATCTAAAGTTAGACCTGATTTTTTATCAATGCCTAAATCTTTAGCAAAATTTGATTCCCATTTCATTACTTTAGATAGAAACTCTTAGACTTTCTTTGGATCTGATTATAATTCCTTTTGAGTGTATTCAAATGCAAATCTACAATTCTCTTAGGTTGCTATTAAGTATATCAACAAAGATAGAACAATTAGAGATTTCATTATAATAAATAATGACGTAAATTGCTATGTTTGAAATTGTTATGATTTCAAGTAATTAAGCCAATTAAATATAAAATCAATATCATAAATGAAAAATAGATATTTTTGTAATAAATAATAATTATTATTATGGATCAAAACCACTGGAATTAGAAGTCATCTGTTTAAGAATTTGGAATTGATAAGAATGTTTAATAATAAATAGCTCAACCACCATAAGCTCAATTAATAAGAAGAGTGTCTAAACGTAATATTGCAATAAAGCCAACTCAGGAAAGTGGTTTAGGATAAATCTTTGAAACATTCCATCCTGAACAAAAGAATTAAACATTAGATGATATTAAATTTATCATTAAATGTTTTTAAGGTCATTTTGTATTTAGCTCAATGACTGAAACATAATTGTAAATGTTAATATGCTAATTAAAGGACTTAATTAGCTCATAGCATGTTTTATTGTAAATTATCAGTTGGCTAAACAATCATTCGTTAAGGAGATGGAGCTAGCTCATTTTTTATTTTAGAAAAAGGAAAGATAAATGTTATAGTTGATAATGTACCACGAAAAGAAATAACAGCAGGATAAGGATTTGGTGAATTAGCATTATTGTACAATGCTCCAAGATCTGCAACTTGTATGGCAGTAGAAGAATGTTACCTTTGGGGAATTGACAGACATACATTTAGAAAAAGTGTTGAAACCATAATGAGAAGCGAGTAAGATAAGAATCGTAAATATTTAGAAAGTGTTAAATTCTTTAGTAATAATTCAAATTTAAATTTTAGATTAATTAACAAGAGAATAGAAAGATGCTGTAGCTGGAGTCTTGATATCATAAAAATTTAATGCTAATGAAGTTATAGTAAATGAAGGAGATTAGGCTAGTTCTTTTTATATCATAGTAGAAGGACAATGTGGAGTATTCAATAAAGATGGATAATAAATATCTGTACTCAATCCTAGTGATTCATTTGGTGAATCTGCTCTTAAATAAGAACATTAAGTGAGAATGATGACTATTAAAGCAGTTTAAAAGGATACTAAAGTATTGGCATTAGGAAAAGATATGATTTAATAAATCTTAGGAGATTAAGTTTAAACAATTATATATAAAAATATATGCAAATGGGCTCTCAATTCATCTAAATTATTTAGCAAAACTCCACATACTTATTAAGATAAATTATTAGAAGGTGTATAAGTAAAAAAATTTAATGCAAATTCTAAAATTATTTAAAAAGGAGATAAAGTTGGTCAATTAGTCATACTTTTAGATAGTGATGCTGCTGATGAAAACAAAGTTAAATTTGTTAAAGGATCAATTCTATTTGAAGATTCATTATAAGATAAATTATCAGGTACTACACATTTAAAAACTGTATCTATTGAATCAGATGGACATGTAGCATTAATAGATTATGAATTATTTAGAAAATAATAAGGAAGTGTTGAAAAAATATAATAAGGTAAAGCATAACAATAAGAAAAATCAAATGCTCATGAAGAATAAATTAAAAGTTAACCATTCAAAAATTTAATCTATTTAAATAAATTAGGTTCTGGTTAATTTGGATCTGTTTATTTATGTAAATTCAAAGAATTAGACACTCTATTTGCTCTTAAATATGTTACAAGAGCACATGTTCTCTAATTTGGAATATAAAAACATATATAATAAGAAAAAGCAGTATTAGAATTGATGGATAACCCATTCATCCTTAAATTTTATAGATCCTATAAAGATAATGAAAATATTTATTTTTTAACAGAATACATTGCAGGAATGGAATTATTTGATGCCATCAGAGTTATTGGTAATATTATTAAATTGATTATAGGATTGTTAAGCAAATATGATGCTCAATTTTATGCTTCATAAATGATATTATAAATGGAATATCTACATACTTAACATAGTATTGTGTATAGAGATATAAAACCAGAAAATCTTATGGTTGATGATAAAGGATATCTCAAATTAATAGATATGGGAACAGCTAAGTCTTTTAAGAATTAATGTATAATCATTAAATATTATTATAGAATCAACTAAAACATTTACTATTATTGGAACTCCTCATTATATGGCACCAGAAGTAATTTCAGGTAAAGGTTATGGTTACTTTGCTGACTTATGGAGTGTAGGAGTATGTCTATATGAATTTATATGTGGTGGTTTACCATTTGGAGAAGAAGCTGAAGATCCATTTGAAATTTATAAGGAAATCATAAAGAAACCAATAAGTTATCCACATTTCATGTCTGATAAATCTGCAAAAACATTTATAGAATAATTAATGAATAAGATTCCAGAAGTCAGATTGGGAGGATCCTATTCAACTCTGAAATCTCATGTTTGGTTTAAAGATTTTGATTGGGTATTCATGATATTTAATCATATTCTAGGAGAAATTATTGATTAAGAGTTTGAAGGCACCACTGTTGCCAGGAAAGGATAAGGTTATGACTTCAGCTTAAATACAGAGTGCATAATAAAAAGGAATTACAGCTCATGATTAAATATAGAAAGACACTTAAGGATAAAAGAAAGTATTAGCTAGTGCTAAGGATGCTGAATGGGATAGTGTATTTTGAATAAGTTGATAATAATAAATATCATGATTTTATAAGTACATATTCTCTGTCGCTTTTCCCAAATGTCAATATATTTTCCTCTAATAATGAATAATACTTTACCGACTCTAATTGCTACTCATTTAGTTAGGTTCCATTTGTGCTATCCAAATCTATTACATATGATTTCTCATAGGATAATACTTCTCCTAAACTATTTACTTTCTTTATTTCTCTTAATTATATAACACAATGTTATTTAGAAACTGATTTATTTTCAACTTATATTTTAACGATTTCTTTATCTTTTTCAATCAGAAATACAGACTTCCTTTTAGATCAATATAAGCTTTTAAAATTAATATAAAATATTCAAAAGGATTGTGTCCCTTAAAATAGAAATATTTGGCAATTAGATGATGGAACTTTAGCATCAAAAGGTATTGTAAACTTTAATACCTTACCATTACCTTAAGCATTTTCTCCATATTAGGCTAATATCTCAGATACCTCAAAACATAGTTTTTCTTTTATTGTTTCTTATTAATTTATTTATGGTTCTTCTTACTTCTTGATATGTTCTTATTCCACATCCTACTTTTGATAATGATGCTTTTTCTTATGTTTCTTACGATTACTACTTGAATCAGATCTAGATCTCAATTCGTGTTTACCAATTATGTTTAATTTATAATATTATGATTAGAGACCTATAAGCTGGTAGATATTAGAACCATAATACTAACAATTAATGAATCAAATTATGTCTTTGAACTCCTTGCTGATAGGAATAAAATTATAAATATCTTTTTAGTTTCAGTTCTTATAATTTAGTTAAAATCTTGCTTATTGAGATGTAATCACTTTGATATAAATCCTTCAACTGGATTCATCATTCCAGAAAACATACTATTGCAATATTCAAATAAAATAAGTTTAAGTCTCATTTAGCAAATTATTAAGATAAAAATATTCTCAAAATGCTGACAGATATATTTGCTCATAATTAGTCTGCCGAAAAATACTTTGGATTATTATTTGCAGTTTTAATCCTTAAGAAGCCTTTAACTGCTAATAATGATACCCAAGTGTCAAGTTATAAATTATTTAATTCATTTTTTAGATTTATTAACTAATTATAATAAAGAATAAATAACTTAGTTTTTATTAGCATTCAACGTGTAATAATATTCAATATGGTAAAAATCATTCAAGAATTAATAATATGTTAATATTTTTGATACAATATAAATCAATTGCAATCTTTTTTTGTTTAAATTTATTCCGTGGCTTTATTAGCACCTTCCTTGGGTTTTTCAGCACCTTCCTTGGGTTTTTCAGCACCTTCCTTGGGTTTTTCAGCACCTTCCTTGGGTTTTTCAGCACCTTCCTTGGGTTTTTCAGCACCTTCCTTGGGTTTTTCAGCACCTTCCTTGGGTTTTTCAGCACCTTCCTTGGGTTTTTCAGCACCTTCCTTGGGTTTTTCAGCACCTTCCTTGGGTTTTTCAGCACCTTCCTTGGGTTTTTCAGCACCTTCCTTGGGTTTTTCAGCACCTTCCTTGGGTTTTTCAGCACCTTCCTTGGGTTTTTCAGCACCTTCCTTGGGTTTTTCAGCACCTTCCTTGGGTTTTTCAGCACCTTCCTTGGGTTTTTCAGCACCTTCCTTGGGTTTTTCAGCACCTTCCTTGGGTTTTTCAGCACCTTCCTTGGGTTTTTCAGCACCTTCCTTGGGTTTTTCAGCACCTTCCTTGGGTTTTTCAGCACCTTCCTTGGGTTTTTCAGCACCTTCCTTGGGTTTTTCAGCACCTTCCTTGGGTTTTTCAGCACCTTCCTTGGGTTTTTCAGCACCTTCCTTGGGTTTTTCAGCACCTTCCTTGGGTTTTTCAGCACCTTCCTTGGGTTTTTCAGCACCTTCCTTGGGTTTTTCAGCACCTTCCTTGGGTTTTTCAGCACCTTCCTTGGGTTTTTCAGCACCTTCCTTGAGTGTTTTAGCATCTTCCAAAGCCTTTTTCACAGCTTTCAAAATCATTTCCGGCTGCTTATCATCATAAATTAATGCATCTTTAGCTTATTAGTTAATTAATTGATAATTTAAAATCTCATTATCGATTTCATCTTCTGTTTTAATTTATGTTTTTTTACCATCTCTATTCCACCACCATAATTGTATTTATCCTTCTTAATATTATTTTTTTTTTGCATTCAACTTTGTTATTTCATTATTTGTTTAATTTATATGCTATCTGAGTTATTATTTTACATGTTCTTTTGCATTAATCTATTTTTCGTTTTCATCATTTTATAATTTTTGTTTATTTAATTCTTTTTGTAATTATTCCAATTATTCTTAGTCCTAATTTTAAGGATCTGGTTTTCCTTTATCTGTTTTTTCTTCCGGTTTTTATAATTTTAACTTTTCCATCTCTTGTTAATGATCAAATGCCTGTTACTTTTTATCTAACTAAAATTATTTTTCTTAAGCAGCTTTTTCTTGCGTAGCTTTAATTTCATCTAATTTTTATTTTTCTTACTTTTCTATATCTTCTTGTCTTTTAAGTTCTTCTTGTAATTCATCAATAAATAATTTTATTATCTTTTTTAATTACTTTTTTTTGTCTTTAAAATATTGATAACCTGATATAGATTCTTTATATTTAAAGAAATACTAATATATACAAAAAAACTTTTCTTAGGATTGTTTCTTATCTTTGCTTTATTCTATTTTTGATAGGAAATCTTTAATAAATTATGTTTGAGGATCACAATCATTTTATGAAATTTCATTCAATTATTTGATTAAATCTTTTAGAGTAGTTATAAAATTTTATAATTGATATTTATTTGATTTTGCATCTGCTTTCTATTTTTATAATGTCTCATTATATTTTTTAAAAATATTTTCTAATTCTTATTTAATATATGAGCTAACTACTTGATTCTCATCTTAATAATCAGGTTAATAAGAAATTGGTGGTATTTATTTAAGTCTAGAAATCAAAGATTATCTTGCATTCTCTGAAAGAACTTCATCTATATTTTTATCATAAACATCTTCCATTATTATTATTTATTTTGAAAGTGCTTGATAGACATTTTCATTTGTTTTATCCTCTAATGATTTTTCAATAATTTACTTTCGAATCTCTTCAATGGCATTTTCATTTATTGGTTATTAAAATTAATTTATTATCAAGCCTATAGAATCAAATTTTGTTTTTTATGATGTGAATGCAGATTATATAAATTTTTATAGATGAATACCTCTTTCTACTAATATAGTATTAGTTTATTGAAAAACAACTGCAATTTTAACATTTGTTTTAGTTACTATTTCATCAAACATTAATTATATTGATAATTAAGAATATTTTCCCTTTGTATCTTTAAAACCTGGAAAATCTATTATAAGATAATCTTCATCAATTTTATTGAAATTTGGTATATAAGTAACTGATTACATTGAATTACTTTATACTGAAAAATTCTACCCTTCACTTTAAATCAATTTTAATTCAAAATTTGAATATTCAAACTTTGCACCACTTACCCAATTAAATATAAAACTTTTTCCTGAGCCTGTGTTACCAATTAAAAGTATAGTGTTTAACTTTTATTTAACATTTTCATTTATTTTCTTCAAAACAGTCTATTAATCTAAAATCACTTAATACAAATTCTATAAATAATAATTAAATATTCATGAAACAAAAGAGAATGGACGATGAAGAAAAAAAAATTAATATGATTCTAGAAGTCATAGATTTTTTAAATGGAATGTTATAAAAGATTAATGAAAATATAGAGAAAAAGAAAAAAACAATATTACTGATTGGAAATACTGGATCTGGTAAAAGTACAATCTTCAATTTTCTCAGCGGAGCAAAGTTTGACTTTTAAAATAAATAAATAATATTGATTGAGGAAAAAGGAAAAAAATTTTCAAAATAAGGAGACTCTATGAAATCAATAACATTTGAACCTAATTTTAATATGATTGAGAATGACTATATTTTGATTGATTTCCCTGGATTCAAAGATACCAATGGAACTAAAAATTAATTGTCTATTCAATTGATGTTTAATGAAATAGTTACGTCGACTGAAGTTATATTAGCTGTTGTAATTTAGCAGCCTTGTGTAAAGCTAATCGAAAGAGGCCAAACAATTTAAGAAATAGTTTAAGATGCATTCACTTCTTAATATTCCAAAATTAATTCTATTGGTTTAATTGTTAATAGATTTGATGATAGATTAGAAGATGAACCAGCAACAAAATATATGAAATAGTAACTACAAGATAAAGGCCAAGATGCTAAAGAAAACGGCTTTATTTATAAAGCACTATCAGAAAATATCATGATAATAAGAGAAATTGATCCAGTAAAATAAATTTTTACTGATGAGAAAAAGGAAACTCTAATTAAACAATTATAAAGTATTAAACCAGTATCATTTTAACCTGATAAGGTGGATTAAGATAATATTGTTAGCGACTATATTGAAGCCAAATTGAATAGATTATTTATAGAATATGAAGGAAGCCTTATTAAAAATAGAGATGAAGCTAAGAAAAAGGGAGAAATAAAATAATTTCAGACAACTTTAAATGATAAACTTAAAGAAATCGATTAATTTAAACATGATGATTTAAATTTAGTAATAGAGTGGATGAAAAAAACTATTTTAAGTGTAATCAGTGAGGAAATTGATAATTTTTTAAAGATTTTTAAATTTTTTTTCAAATATAAAGCAAATATTTTTGGATTTAAAAAATTAAACACACATATTGAGGGATTAAAAGCGAAAATCTAAAGCATTGTTTAAGAAATTTAAGCAGATATTCAAAGAATTGATGATGAATAAAAAAAGTTGAATGAACAAATAGAACAATAATAACGAAAACATAGGGAGTATTTGAAATAATTAGATGATGATTTGAAAGAATATAAGAGATAAAAGAGAGAAGAGTTGAAATAGAAATAGGAAGATGAAAGAAAGATATAGGAAAATAAAAAAGCTGAAATAGCTAAATAAAAATAAAAATAAGAAGAAGAATAAGCTAAATAACAAGCGATTAGAGAAGAACTAAAAAAGCAAAAGGAAATACAGGAAGAAAAATAAAAACAGCTAAAATTGGCAGAAGAAAAGAAATAATCTGAAAAAAAAAATTTAATAAAAAAATTAACTACTAGTGAAAATAGTATTAGTAAATTGAAAGCAGATAAATAAAAATATATAAAAGAATAAGAAGGAATATACATGAAAGCATGGGGTGGTGATTGGTCGTCTGACTATAATAAAAAAATTTCGAATTATGACAAATAGATAGAAACTGAAGTAAATAACAAGGATAAAATACTTTAAGATTTGTTAAAGTATTGAGTATTGAATCTATTCATAATATAATGATATGCTTTTAATTAATATATTAAGTGATTTTAGATTAATAGACTGTTTTGAAGAAAATAAATGAAAATGTTAAATAAAAGTTAAACACTATACTTTTAATTGGTAACACAGGCTCAGGAAAAAGTTTATATTTTTATAACATCAAATTTTAATTTTTTTTGAAATTTTACAATATATGGAAGAAAAAACTCTTCAAAGATGCAAGATAAATTCTTTTTTATCATCATAAGGCACAAAATGATAGTCTTTTGAATTTTATTGAACATTATAATTTTTTTCGCAAAGTACTGATGCCAACCAAATTAATCCTAAATAGTTTAACTCTACTCAATTAGAGAATATCATTCTGAATGAGGGTGTAGAATTTGTAAGTGTAGTGGGTATTTATTTATAAAATAAACTAAATTTCTTGAAGAATAAGGAAAATAATAGAAGCAGAAAATGAATTTAATAGAATTAATGACTATTTGAAATCTTCTTGAAAATAAGAAATATGAAGTATATAGGACTTGATATTATTTTTTCAATATGATTTTAAAAAACGAGAAGCTTAGAATTGAAAACTAAAATAGTTACGCTCAGTTTAGCTACATAATATTTAACTAATCTAGAACACGATACCCTTGAAATTACCAACATTAGTCTGCCATTCTTCATGCTCTAATAAATTGAAATTTAAAAGTGCTTCTCAAAAGTAAGAAAATTCACTTAAATAATTTTAGAGAGACAGTTCAAATAAATTTTAGAACCATTTTTAAGTCTAAAGATTGAAACAATCTATTTGAGCTATATAGATTCAATAGAATATTATATATTTAAAATAAAAAATAATTCAATAAAGAATGGTATATCATATATTTTTGAGTAGAATAATTGTTATCAAAAAATGTATCATGATTAAGCTTTTAAATTTCTGNCGTCTGACTATAATAAAAAAATTTCGAATTATGACAAATAGATAGAAACTGAAGTAAATAACAAGGATAAAATACTTTAAGATTTGTTAAAGTATTGAGTATTGAATCTATTCATAATATAATGATATGCTTTTAATTAATATATTAAGTGATTTTAGATTAATAGACTGTTTTGAAGAAAATAAATGAAAATGTTAAATAAAAGTTAAACACTATACTTTTAATTGGTAACACAGGCTCAGGAAAAAGTTTATATTTTTATAACATCAAATTTTAATTTTTTTTGAAATTTTACAATATATGGAAGAAAAAACTCTTCAAAGATGCAAGATAAATTCTTTTTTATCATCATAAGGCACAAAATGATAGTCTTTTGAATTTTATTGAACATTATAATTTTTTTCGCAAAGTACTGATGCCAACCAAATTAATCCTAAATAGTTTAACTCTACTCAATTAGAGAATATCATTCTGAATGAGGGTGTAGAATTTGTAAGTGTAGTGGGTATTTATTTATAAAATAAACTAAATTTCTTGAAGAATAAGGAAAATAATAGAAGCAGAAAATGAATTTAATAGAATTAATGACTATTTGAAATCTTCTTGAAAATAAGAAATATGAAGTATATAGGACTTGATATTATTTTTTCAATATGATTTTAAAAAACGAGAAGCTTAGAATTGAAAACTAAAATAGTTACGCTCAGTTTAGCTACATAATATTTAACTAATCTAGAACACGATACCCTTGAAATTACCAACATTAGTCTGCCATTCTTCATGCTCTAATAAATTGAAATTTAAAAGTGCTTCTCAAAAGTAAGAAAATTCACTTAAATAATTTTAGAGAGACAGTTCAAATAAATTTTAGAACCATTTTTAAGTCTAAAGATTGAAACAATCTATTTGAGCTATATAGATTCAATAGAATATTATATATTTAAAATAAAAAATAATTCAATAAAGAATGGTATATCATATATTTTTGAGTAGAATAATTGTTATCAAAAAATGTATCATGATTAAGCTTTTAAATTTCTGATATACTTAGTCTGATTTGCAAATTTATTTTTATTAAAAAAAATAAATAGGGATAGCAAAGCAAATGTTATATAAGATGAATTTTAAATATATAAGCTTTTATATGATTATAATTCAATAATCTATCTAATCCAAAGATTCCTTGGTGAATGATAAGACATATAATTAGTAATTATTTAATAATTCTTCTGTAAAAAATTGAAATTTTTCATGTAAAAATTGATGCAAAGATAGGTTATTTGTTATTTTTTCACATTAGTATTCAAAAGTGTTATACAGGTTTTCAATTGAATTTAAGCATAAAATCATCGTGGTAAACAAATTTATTACATTGTATTCAATAGTTTTGTAACATTTTTTTCCTTTTGAATAGGATTGTTATCAATATGAAAGGCATATCATCTTAATTTTTTTTAATACCTAATTAATTGAATAGAATAAAAGAACTGGTGACCATTATTTATCCTAAAATTCTTTAATTTATGTTAATATTACACAGTTTCAACAGAAGCATACATGGGTATTAATGTTCCTTATTTCGATATCTTTAAAGTATTATCATAATTTAATTTATATTTTTTCACAATTCATAGAAAATAGTGATATATATTTATTTTTTTTTGAATATTTGATAAAATTGTAGGAATTAATTTGCTTAATTAATTTTATATTTGTATTTTATTATTTTCAGGCAAATCCCGCTTTCTTTGATATCTTTACTTTACATTTGATAGGACACTTTAATTATTTTTTCAAATTCTTTCAATTAATTTTAATTATTATTATTATTTAATTAACACACAAATATAAATTAGCAACACACGATTAACCATTAATGAGTTTTGTGTTTTCTTTAAAATTTATTATTATTAGATCATTTTTTAATTTTGCTATTTCAGCTAAAAATTGAATTTGAATATTTAGGATGAGATCATAAAATCTTATATTTCACTTAAAGAATACTTTTAGCTTTAGTAAAATTAATATCTATTTTTTTTAAAATACATCAAGTCCTTTTAAAACTGTTGCTCTGACTATGTATTCTTATTATTTAATATATTTTTAGATTTATTATCTTATATTAATATAAGAACTTAATATTCTAATAAGTTATTTTTCAAGTATTTAATAACATGAAATATTGTAAAAATCAATCTTAATAAAATAATTCATCTTTAATAAAATTTTTATTTTAATAGTTCTACTTTATGTTCAAATCTTTTTTGTTCCAATTTAAGTATTTCTTCAAATTTTAATCGTTCTTGCTCCATTTAAATTTTCATTATTTCTAGTTCTCTTTCATATAATAATTTATATTTTACCTCTTGTAATTCATCAATAAATAATTTTATTATCTTTTTTAATTACTTTTTTTTGTCTTTAAAATATTGATAACCTGATATAGATTCTTTATATTTAAAGAAATACTAATATATACAAAAAAACTTTTCTTAGGATTGTTTCTCATCTTTGCTTTATTCTATTTTTGATATGAAATGTTTAATCAATTATGTTTGAGGATCACAATCATTTTATGAAATTTCATTCAATTATTTGATTAAATCTTTTAGAGTATTTATAAAATTTTATAATTGATATTTATTTGATTTTGCATCTACTTTCTATTTTTATAATGTCTTATTATATTTTTTAAAAATCTTTTCTAATTCTTATTTAATATATGAGCTAACTACTTGATTCTCATCTTAATAATCAGGTTAATAAGAAATTGGTGATATTTATTTAAGTCTAGAAATAACAGATTATCTTGCATTCTCTGAAAGAACATCTACTATATTGTCATAATAAACATCTTCCATTATTATTATTTATTTTGAAAGTGCTTAATAGACATTTTCATTTGTTTTATCCACTAATGATTTTTCAATAATTTACTTTTGAATCTGTTTAATGGAATCTTCATATACTTTTTTTGAAAATTTATTTATTATCAAGCCTATAGAATCAAATTTTGTGTTTTATGATGTGAATGCAGATTATATAAATTCTTAAATATGAGCACCTCTTTCTTCTAATTTAGTAGTAGGTTAATATAGAACAACTGCAATTTTAACATTTGTTTTAGTTACTATTTCATCAAACATTAATTTTATTGATAATTAAGAATATTTTCCCTTTTTATCTTTAAAACCTGGAAAGTCTATTATAAGATAATCTTCATCAATTTTATTGAAATTTGGTATATAAGTAACTGATTACATTGCATTGCTTTATACTGAAAAATTCTACCCTTCACTTTAAATAAATTTTAATTCACCATTTGAATATTCAAACTTTGCACCACTTACCCAATTAAATATAAAACTTTTTCCTGAGCCTGTGTTACCAATTAAAAGTATAGTGTTTAACTTTTATTTAACATTTTCATTTATTTTCTTCAAAACTGTCTATTAATCTAAAATTACTTAATACAAATTCTATAAATAATAATTAAATATTCATGAAACAAAAGAGAATGGAAGAGGATTATAATAACATTGACATAAGTTTAGAGTTCATAGATCAAATGAAAGAAATTTAATAAAAGATGAATGAAAATTATGAGAAAAAGTATTAAAAAATATATCTGATTGGATATATTGGATCTGGGAAAACCTCAATGTACAATTTCCTGAGTACAGCAAAATTTAATCTAGAAAATGATATATTTTCATCAAGAGCGAAAAAAGAAAATTATTTTACAAAATAAGGAGACTCTATGAAATCAATAACATTTGAACCTAATAGTAATATGATTGATTTTCTTGGACTCAAAGATACCAATCGGACTAAAAATGAATTATCTATTTTGGATAAGAAAGGAGATAAATTTGCAATAAATTTTATAAAAAAATAATATTAAAAAGAAAATTGGAATAAGAAAATGAATCTATTCAAATAGAATAATAAGATAATATAATAATATTAAGAAAAAGGCGTTTAGAAATATAATATTTTGAAATAAAAATCAAAAAAGAGAAATGTGTAAAAGTATTGAATAAAAAAAGTGTAGTTAAAATTTTGAGTATTCTACTAATTCTTAAATTACACAATTAATTAATATAATTATTTTAATATAAAATTGAATCCAAAAATATTGATTTTATTATTATATCATATAGATTCATTGTTGAACTCATTTGATAATTGTTAAATATGATCAATTCATTATCTTTTTATGGTTATATATCTAAGCTTAAGAATCAAAAAATTTAGAAGTAGTGTTAATTATTAAAATTAGAATCATTCATTTATCATATCAATTCTTTATTATTCCCTAATTGTAATTATTGAATATAGAGTTAGAATAAATCACTTATTAATAATTTAGGGTTGAATAAGGTAAAAAATGAAAATTTTAAAGGATTCCTATTATTTATATATTTAGAGTTTAAAATATATTTTATTGATTCAAAATAAATTTGTTGTTTTATACTATAATATTTATTTAATGAAGTAAAAATTTATTTTGAAACAATAACATATTTTCATATATATCAATCAATAATTGCCTAGGATAACCATTAACAGTTAAATAGATATGAATAATTTAAATATCCTCATTAATAGATGATCTTATTGCTGCATATCAAGTTTAACAATTAAAAAACAAAAATAGTGAACAATAGATAGTATTAGATATTTAAAAAAAGAAGATTAAATTAGTATAATTAGATTTTAATTATAAAGTTAAAAATGTGATCTTAACATATGTGAGATAAGTTTATATTAATTTATTTTTCATCTCTTTTATATGTTATTATTTAATTATTTGTACAATTAACATTAGAATAGTAGATATAATATTGATGAAACAATAATTGAATGGGATTTACTGAGATCTTAAGATAATGAATAATAATGCTGAAATATTTGTATAATTTTATATTTTTGTATTAAATATATAAATGAGCAATAATTTATTATCCAAGATAGACCTTCAATAAAGTTTGGCTTACAAGTATTCTTAATAGGATACATATTATTATACAAAGTCTTTAAATGAATACATTGAAAATGCTAGATTACCACATGTGATTAATTTTCATTATGAAACTAATTGTAATGAACAAAGTGAATATTTAAGAAGAACATACAATATTCGTATATATTTTTTCAATATTTTAGATGAAATAGCTACTAAACTAACATTATTAACTGAATATTATAAGTACCATAATGAGATTCCAAGATGCTTCTTACATAAATTAGCTGACATTATGAGTAGGTAAACATATGAGTTTAATTATTGTAGTTATCATGATAAGAAAAGAAGAATTGAATATTTTAGAATTAAGAGAATGATTGAAAAAGAGAATAAATCAAATCCAAATTAACCTAAAAAGAAAATAGTTGGAGAAGAACCAGATGAAACAACTACATAAAAATCTGGGAAACAATATAGTAATATCTTAAATGATATTACTGAAGTATCAAGAACAATTGATAAAATACAAACTAAACTTAATTCCATTAAATTAAATGTTGGAGATCTACAATTATTGCCTTCTAATAGAGAATAAGATCAATTAGATAAATTTCTTAAATATCTTACTGAAAAGAAATAAAATAAATAGATGCATCACATTATATAAACGCCTAACTCAGTATCTCTAAAATTACCTATTGGATTATCATAGAAAACAATCAAATAGGTTTTATCAAGAAAGATGATTAATTAATAATCTACATAAATTACTTAATAAACAATAAGTTCAAATAAATCAATTAAATAATAATCCCTATATCAATAACCATCTTAAATTCAATCTTCACCAAGAATAAATATAAAATAACTACCAAAACAAATAGGTTCATTTACATAAAGAACAGTCAAAGAAAATGCCTTATCAAAATTATTATCTCCTTTATAAATTTAGATTTTTAATACAAATAGGTATGTTTATTATAATTATACTTATTTTAGTTAACATTCAAATAAATGTAAAACCAGTATTTCAATATCAAAATAATTTAAAATTACTGATTCTGTTAAATCTTCTATAAGATTACATTAACACACCAAATCTGACTTTAAATTCTTTAAAAAATTATGATGATTCAAAAAATGAATTCAATTTGTTTATATATTCAAATTTGAATACAAAATTATAATTAATAATTAAATTTCATATTTTTTAAAATAACACATTAAAACTTCTTTTATCCCAATTTTTACTATTTGGACTATAATATTCTCCTGGACCTAATTTTTATGTATCATTCTTTTTAGTTTAAAATCTATTTTCCTATATTCATATAATATTTTTACCCTAACATTAAAAGAAACTTAAATATTTTATTTCTTTTTTAATAAACCTGAAGTATTATGTAATTTTTCTAATTGTTCTTCTTCTTCTTCATCTTCAAAAACTCTTTATACTCTTTCATGTTTATTTTTCCTACTAATAAATCTAGGCATAGATGAACCAAATGCTTATTTCTATTATTTCAGTTCTTGATTTTCATCCTCATTTTTTTTTAATTCATATTCTATAGTATTATTTTTAACATCATAAGATCCAGGAGCTGGAAAATTATCTATTTTTTATTTAGGAGAACTAACTCTTTTAGTTTTTGATTTAAATATTGAATTAATCCCTTTTTATACCTTATTATTTAATTCATATGTTCCTGGTCCTGGTATTTGATTATATTCTTCCTTAAATCTTGATTCATTTATTCCAAAATTTCCTATTGGAGTCCATTCTAATTTTTTTATTAATTTCTCTGCTAACTAATTTAATATAATAACTATTATATACAGTTATTTTAGGATCATATGTTTATGGACCTGGTAATTAACCATAATATTTCTCTTCAAAACGTGTATTAGATGAATAAAATGGAGGTTAAACTATATTTTATTTTACTATTTCTGTTTCTAATTAATATTCTCCTGGTCCTATATGATAATGAACTTTTTATTCTTAAAATCTTTTAGATCTAGATCCAAAACAATTATATCCTTATTTAATTGATTATTAAGAATTTTTAGATGATACTGATTATGTAGAAGTATTACCAAAATAATGTCCAGGACCAGGAGTAGTTATCTAAATATATTAAATTATAATTCACATCAGAATATTAAAATTCTTCATCTTCTAAATCAGAGTATCCATGATTTCTCATTAATTTTTCTTTTTGTTTTTCAAAATAGATTTTCATAAATTATTTTTATTTTTCACCTTTTGTATTATCAAAAGTTCTACTAGATTTAGATTTAAAATTTCCTGATGGACATAATTTATATATTGGAGTGATTGATCTATTGCAATCATAACTACCAGGACCAACACTCTAATTTCTATCTTTTGATATTAATGGTTCTAATCTAGGAATTTTTGATTTATGCCAACAAACACCTTTATTTTTATTTTATTCAAATGTATCTTTAATTTAATACTTTCCAGGCCCAACAGTATCCTATTTAATTCCTGAATATGTATGTTCTGGATTTTTATTAGATTCCAAATCATGAGCTAATAAATTTAATAAATATAAATACCTCCTTTTTCTGTATAACCATAAACTTAATTATCAGTTGGAATAGAAGGAATTGATTAATATCTATTTAAACTTTTCAAAATTTCCAATTAATTTTAGGATGTAAATTATTACTGAATTGGTTTGTTTTATATTATATCTGTTTCATATGATCCAGGCCTAAATAATATAATATTTTAATTACCCTGGAGTCATAAATGTTTTTGGTTGTTCAAAACGTTTAGATGATGATGCAAATATAAATGATTGTTATTTTTTATTAGTTAACTTCATGAATTTTGGAGATAGTTATTACCCATAATAGTTGCTTAATAAGTAAATATCAATATAATACTCATCATATTCTTAATAATAACTTCCAGGTCCAGGAATTATTTCATTCTTAATTCTTTCACACCTACTAACAGACGAATCAAAAGGAGCATTTCCTTATTTGACCTTATAATATTCATGTGTTATATAGCTACCAGGTCCAATCTACAGCTTTTCAATTTCATCATACGTCTTGTGAAACACCACTTTATTATAGTATATCTCCTCTTTCAGATTAAAATACAAAGGCCATTATAATAATGAAAATAAATTAATACTTATTTATCTATCAAGTTTATACAGATATAAAATCAATTAATAAATGTTATAATTAATTAATACTCTAAATATCACTTTTGATAATAATGGATAAGCAATATATGAAAATTATAAACCTTTTCTATTGAAATATTATAATGTAAGAACCATTTTAAGAAATAGAGTTTACCTACTTATCTAAAATTCATAAAATAGGGATATAATTATTTCATATAAAATTCAAATTTTCTTATTTAATTATAAAAATTTACAAAACTAAAGGTAATGATATTTTAAAGTATTATATTTTTCATTTCCCTTATTCTATAAAAAATAATATTTATTAAAGTTAGTTATTTACATTATTATATTAAAAATAAGGATAATATTATAGATACTAATAAAGGATTTTATAAATTAAGAGAAAATAAGTAATTTTAACAATAATCCTAAATTTCTTTATAAAATAAATTATTTAATTCAATTTATAAGTAAATACCTTAAAATAGTCAAGTATTGAAAATAATTTATAAAATGAATTAAATAAAACAATATTAGAATCTTTATATTCCTAAAAGAATTACAAGTAATGAGATTATAAGGTACTATAGATTTAACTTAATTAAAAATATAAAATATCTCAAAAGAATCTATTATATTAAAATATTATTATAAATCAATTTTAATATATTATAAGTATAACTATTTTCAGCTTTAAGATGAATCCTTAAAATAAGTAATTTATTAATATGAAAAAAGTAAAATTCTAAGAGTTTAAAATATCTTAATAATAAAATTCAGTAAATAAGAATCTAATAGAAAAAATAAGATTGAGATTTATGGAGAAAATGTTTGTTTATTTTTATTTATTATTAATGATTTCAATCATGCAAATGTCTTTTTGGTCATAATATTGTAGAAATCTTCAAAGGTCACTTAAGCATCTCCATCAGAATCAGCTCTATCAATCATCTCTTATAATTCAGAATCATCCATAGTTTCTCCTAATTCTTTAGCTACTTTTCTGAGATCCTTCAAAGTGATAACACCAGCTCTTTCTGAATCAAAAAGGTTGAATACTTTCTATAATAGTTTATGATATTTATGTACTTAAATATCAGCTTTAGAATCTCGTTCACTAATTCTAGCTGTCATCAATTTCAAAAACTCAGCAAAATCAATTTGTCCACTTCCATCAGTATCTAAATCACTAATCATTTAATAAATTGTTTAGTTTTTGGCTTCAAATCCTAATGAAGTCATAGCAGCTTTTAATTCCTTTGGGTCAATGGATTATGTACTAGAAATAATAATGATATAGATATACCCATCTGTATCAAATAAGTCAAATGCTTCTTTTATTTCTAAGACTTCTTCTTCGGTCAATCCAGGTTTAACAAATTCAGATGGATTGAATTTACCAGCTTAATTTTTTTAAGTTGGAGCTTATTATTGTTATGGTGGTGGTTATTGACCTCTTCTTGACATTATTAAATAAAAAAATAAATAATAAAAAAGATATTTATTTGAAAGAAAATATAAAATGAAAGGAGATTATAATTTTTTTTCAGATAAAAAGGATGATCCTTTAGATGCTGTTTGTCCAAAACTTACATATCAATAAAGATTATGGGGATTTTTGATTTGTAGTGGAATAGGTAATATAATAGATTTAATAAAAATTAGGTTGGTTTTTAGAATTTTGTGCTTTTATATCATTTTTTTAAGGGAATGGCAAAGAATTTGCAATAATATTTTCAATAGGAAATTTAGTTGCAATATTGAGGTAAGAATAGGAAATTGTATAGTTTAGTACTTTATTTTTATCTGGTCCAAAAGATTAATGTAAGAAGATGGCAGATAAAAGTAGATTAATTTCTACAATAATATTCTTTTCAACATTGACTGTAACTCTTGTACTAGCATTTGCAACTGATTTAACATTTCTAACACTACTTATGACATTAGTTTAATTTTGTGCATATGTTTGGTAATTAATAATAATTAACATTTAGGTATGTTTTAAGTTTCATTCCATTTGGATAGAAGATATTAAAGAAATTCTTTTCGAGCTGTTGTGAATTTGAATGAAGTTTTATAGAAAATATATATTGTTTAATTATTATCAATAAACTATTATCAAGATAATAAAATAAATTAATAATCATCTAACTTGACTAATTACTATTTTTAAAGTTCTATATTCTTCATCAAAATTAATATTATCAAGTTATTAATACATTTCAACACTAGTAGGTGTGAATACAAATTTAATTGTTTTGAATTCAAGTCTGTCACCATCAGTGAAATTTATAATATATTTCATCCTATTAAAACCATCAGAACAATAAAAGTAATCTTATATATATTTTTAATTATCACTAATAGAACCTAAAAACCAATAATCATGTTTGTATTTAAATAAACATTCAGTTGTAATTACTAATTACATTCCAATAAATGTATTATCAATTTCAATCCAATCAGTAGTACTTGTATATGTAGTTTTAAATAATGGAAGTTCTACACTGATTTATTATGTACCACTACTTACATAATATTCTTATTATGAGAAAGTTTATAAAATAAGTGGAGGTATTTAAAATTAAGGAGATATAACCATATAATTAAACCATCCACTTGTTACAGAACATGTTGTAGCTAATATTAATATAATAATATACAAGATCCTATCTCAAAAGATAATTATGGATTAATTGATGAACTAATCTCTTCTATATTTACCTAATCTGTTAAATCAGATGTAAGTCCTAAAAATATAGGAAAGTTAAGGTTATCTGATTATTACAGAGGAGGTATTTATACACTGGAAACTTAAAATGGACTTAAATTTAAAGTGCTAGAAACTGGAGCCCATTATTATTCACCAAATAAGTAAACTGGACTTTTAATTGCCACTAATAATTAAAATCCTATTTAAGATACTCCTGTGCTTGTAAATACTATTTAAACATAAGTAGGATCAACAGAAGGCATCTAAATAGCTATTCTATTATACATCAAATTTAAAAGTAAAAGAACTAGTATAAGACAAATAATTTATTATTGGTACAGCCACTATAAAATTCTTATTAAAATGTGTTTCTGTGAATGTCTCTACATTTTAAGGTGTTACTATCTCTTCAGTTATAACCTATTTATTTCTATCTGCAAAGGCTAACCATTTAATCCAAACATTATAAATTTTTTATACTGTTGGAGCAACGACTGTTATAGTAAATGCTAAAACTAAATTAGTTTATTTACATGATGGTGATTATGATGTAATTGAAAATGTATATCCTCCAGATACTGCATTTTCAAAGTTCATTCTATACACCGAGTATATAATTTAAGGTTCATTAACAAAACCAGTCAATGTTTATGTTAAAGATATTTGAGCATCCTCAGCATGTGTATCTGCTAATATATGTAGTGGAGTAGATGGATAAAGAATTTAAGTAAGAGTGCCTGATTCATATTCAAGTGAATTCCCTTAATCTATTTATGAGCTAATTATAACTAAGATTAGAAGATTAATCTTTAAGTTTGAAGCCCAATCTCTTTTATTTAAGAACCAACTTGGCATAGTTTATATTTTATTAAAAATTATTCATAGTTTTACTTTAATTTTTTCTTTATTAAGTGATGAATAATATGACTAAATTTATAATCGAAGACTATCAAAAATATAATTTGGAATCAATTCCCAATGTAAATTTCTTTATTTATGCCTTATTATTAAAAGAAGAATCTTAATCTATATATATCTTTTATAATTTTGATATAAAAATGTAAAAATATATGAAATTAAATACATATAGATTAAATAAGTATTTTAATTAAATAAATTTTATGAAATCTACAATCCCTTATATACAATATTATATACTGAATATTTCTAATAAGAATTATTTATTTTATATTCTTAAAATTATAAAAATTGTTGATCAATAATGATTTTCACTAACAAACTTATTATCATGCCAAAGTCCAACTTTTATTTCTCCATCTTTGGTCAATGTTCCTTTTCCATCCATTTTACCTTCTTTCCATTCACCTTCATATCTGTAATTCTATCCAATTAAGATTCCGATACCATGTTTTTTATCGTATTAATACTCCCCTTCATAAATTCTACCATCAGGCCACTTTATTAGATAAATCATCAATAAATACACTAAATTTGCCTTTTCCATGCATTTTACCATTTAAGAACTCTCCTTCATAAACTCTTTTATTAGGATATTCCATTCTACCTTAACCACATATTTTATTATCTACAAATCTTCCTTCATATTTTGTTCCATCTTACCATATAAATACTCCATGTCCTGTTTTTATACCATTTTCAAAATTTCCTGAATATTCAGATCTATTTGGAAAGACTTCTCTTCCTTTACCATGCTTTTAATTTTAAACCCACTATCCATGATAGACAGTTCCTTAAGAATAATAATATGTTCCTATTCCATCCTCTTAATCATCTTTCCAATCTCCTTCATAGACTTCTCCATTAGGAAAAGTAAATCTCCCTCTTCCTTATTTTCTTCCATTCTCAAATTGACCTTCATATTTTCCATTTTTTCCTTCTAATACACCATTACCTGTCATCTAATCTCCAACCCATTCTCCTACATAAGTGGATCCATCAACTAATCGATATGCTGGTCTGCTTTCTGCATTTAGATGTTTTTTCTCTCCAAAATTAAATGGAGGTAGATTAATAATTGCTGGTTAAGGATCTAATTTTTCTAATTCCTTTAAATTTTGAATTATAAATTACATCTTCAATTTCACCATTAACATCTAGTGGTGCTGGAACTTTATTACTGATAAATTCATCATTTTCTACAGCTTTATGGTCAAAGATTCTTTTATTATGACTTGAACTTTAATCAATTTAAACAGGTTGTTAACTTTGAATCGGTTACTCTGATTCACAATTACCCATTTTATAATAAAAAATAATATTGATCATTATTTATAACTAACTAAATGTTATGGTATATCATTCAATAAATGTTTAGATAACATTTAGATTGTTTATTCTTTGTATTCATAAAATGTAAAATTATTTCTAATAGGTGGTTATTGATTATTAATTTTATCAATAATTCTTTTCACTTCTGTAAAATCATTCTTTCCCATACCTACAAAAATTAATGAATATGGTAATTTGGAACCTTAATTTAATAATACAAATACCTTTTATTAATAAATCTTAGAAAATTTAAGCATCTGTAATTTTACCTTATGCAATTATTACACAAATTGTATATATTAACTTACCAGCATTAGCTTCAGCTATTGTTTATATATAATTAATGTAGTCTTCAATTTAAAAATCACCTTTTACAACTATTTATTTCAATGTATTTTTATATAAATTTGCAACTTCTTAATATCCTTCAACTTAAGGTTTTTAGAAATCTCCTGTTAATGGAAATAAAGTTTAATAAGTATTTAATGTATAATTAGTTAAATGTGGTTCTGCACCTATTCCATATATTGCAAATAATTTTTTTTAATTATATTTTTCTAAAACTTAAGCTACATCACTTATTACTTTTCCATATTTATTATTGTTATCTATATAAGAATGTAAAGAATCTGGAAATGATGGAACTCCATTATGAGTAGAATAATCAATACCAATAATTAGATTAAATGTTGTACCTTGTTTAATATAATCATCAAAATTTGCTCTATATATTCTTTTTTTATTTTTTATTCTTATTGTTCCTACTTAACCTCCTTTAGGTTATACAAGTGAAAATTCTTCTTTATTTTTATTGAATATTTCATCAATTGTTGTTTCAAATGAACCTATTAATTAATTATTTTTTCCTTTTTCATGTCTATCTAAACATTCTATTTTAAATTTTTTATTTTCATCATTTAAACATAATCTTTATAAAGATATTTCAAATTCTTTCCATGTTGGATTTAGATCATCTTTTATAAATTCAGTTTAATGTATTTAACACCATACATTATCTGAATATAAATAAAATTTAAGAAATGGATCAGATTTACCAAAAATACCATCCATATTTTTAATATTTGAACCAGAAAATTACCATTAAACAAAATGATTTGATTATTTCATTTATACTGCTTTACATAATAATTATCCTGCATTTTTATCAAATCTTTTGATTGGTAATGAAATTAATGAATTTTTAGATTATAATATGTCTTTTATTGTTATTTATGCTTCTCCCATAAATTCTCTTCCCATTCTATTTTCATCAAATATCTAAAATCTAAGTATTTGAATTAAATTTGGTAAATATTCAATAATAAATGATTTTTCCCAATTAGGATCTAAATTACATTCAGCTGTTTCAGTTTTGCCTAAACTTATTTCTGGTTCTCCTTATAGAGAATAATATAATTCTAAATAAGGATCACTTTTAGATAAGAATTCAAGATTAGGAAGTTCTCTAGCAGCTAAAAATAATTCAATATTCATCCTTTCATCTGGGTTATATATTTATTACATAATTTTAATAATCAAATATGCAATTATACAAATCTCTAATGATAAGCAGTTGATTGAGCTCTAAATTTAGTATTTTATATCAATTTAGGTTTTATTGGAATTGATTGTAATCTAATCATTTATTTAGATTGTAAATCAGTTAATCTATTTTGTCTTTATGATAATTCTATATAATGAAGTCTTTCCTTAATTTTCTTGATTTTAATATCTAAAAAAGGATTGTGTTATTCAGATATTACATTTAATAGATCCTCAATGATGGTTTTATATTGATATGAGACTACATTCATTATTTTTAAATTATATAAATGACAAAGTAAATTATAATTATTTAATTAGTCAAATAAGTAAGTCATGAATAAATCTTTCTGTTAATTGTTCAATAGAACTTTTAATTTATTTAATAATATTTTCTAAGATACTAGTGGTTTGTTAACATAATTCTTAATAATCAATTTAAATTTATTGATTATTTTTTTTCTATTTTTTGGATATAATTAATTAATCAATAGGAAAATCTTTATTATTTGTTACTTTTTCAATAATATTATTTTACACTTATAATAAATCTTTAATTTCTTAGATTAAATGATTATGTCCAATACATAATTTACCTAAAAAGGACATTGAAGAACATAGATTTTCTAATTCTTACATTTCTTTATAAACATTATTAAATTCAGATATTTAATTTTATAAATTATGAATTTCTTGATCTTTTTATTTAATATCAATCTCTAATTATTCTATTTTAGTATGATATTATTTCATAAAATTATCTTTAATAATACAATCTTCATTATTTTATTATTATTATTAATTTATTTATCTATATAATATTTATATATTTAATTACTTATATAATCCTGTAATTTAATCATTTAAGTTATTAATGAGCATATTTAATTTTGTATTTTAATTTTATTCAAAAATTAACTATTCTTATAAATGATTATTTTGTATTTATAATTGATGATTTAATTTATTTAATGTTGTATTATTTTCTTTTGATGTACTTATATTCAAATCTATTTTTCTTTCTTTAATTTAATTTCTTTTAATATTTTCTTATTCTTCAAATAAAACAGACTAATATAAATATATATAAATATACATTATTTCTGCCTCTAATCTTTTCTTACATATTATTAAACTCTACTTCAAACCTTTTAAGACTCTCTTTTTTTTTTTAATTTAAATTTTCTTGAAATTGATTTTAAATAGTATTTCTCTTTTTGTTACTTTAATTTGATTAGTTAAATGGAGGTGATCCAATAAATATAGTTTATCTTCTATTTCTAACTTCAATATTATTCTATAGATCATAATAGATATAAACATATTACATCAATGAAACCATTTGTTTGTACATCAACTAATCTAATAGGTGATTTATAATAACTAGCTTCTATATTTTGTTATTTTTTATCATCATTACAAGCTTATGAATTTAAAATACATGATATTTATTTTTATCTCTTTCTTGTTGTTGTACTCAATTACTTTTATTTTAATATGTCTTCTAATTTATTAAACAAATCTGCAGATCTTAATGGTTGTACTGGATCATGGACGGCTCTTTGACTAGGAATGGGAAATCGTGAAACACTATTAGAACGAGAATTGTTGATAGAAAATAGAGCTGATTGTTATTATTTAAGGAGTTTTTCATTAGTTAAGTACTCCATTTAATTTTAATTATCATTATATTTATTAACGTATATCCCTTTTGGTATATTCTTCTTTTAGTAAGTCTTATAATTTATCAATTTCTTCTTTATTGAAAGACACTTGGGTTTCTTCACTATCATCTTTTACTAATTTCCATTCAAATTATAATTTTTTATCAAATTCATAATTTTCACATACAATTTGATTTTCAATTGAATCTGCAATATATTTTTAATTAACTCTAACAAGTTTAAATAGATGCCAATAATAATTCATATCATTTCCTGTTTATAATTTCATATATAATTCAACTTATAATAATTAAGGTGGAGATTAAATAAAAGAATACAACAATTATAGTAATTGTGTAAAAATATTTTAATCTATTAATTATTAATGTTCAATAAGATTCATTAATAATTCTAAAATTTCATCAAATATATTATCTGCAATACAATAACCACATTATTCAAATTAATTTATAATCATTTAATTTTCTTTAAAATAATTTTTTAATTCAATAATTTCTTTTTATAACATAATTTAATGAGTTTAAAATGGTCTTTTCATTTATAAACTTATCAAACTACTATTACTTGAAGGTGTATGTAATACAACTATTTATTCTTTCATAAATTCATTAACTTATTTTAATAAAAATGCTTCATAAATTCTAATTGCTAATGATAAACTAATTAATTTATTTTTTAAAAACTAAAATTATATTTTTGTATTCTATATTTTATCACACAATTATTTAACTTTATAAATTTCTTCAAACATTAAATCTAAATATCCTATTGCTTATTTTTATAATTAATATCCTATGTATTTTAATTATTAATCTTTTAAAACTTCATTTGTACTATCATCTCTTTCATTATTGAATATCTCCTCCTCTTAAATATCTTCACTTGCTTTATGATGTATTATAGGCATTATTTCACATGAATTCTCTTATAAATCTTGTTTAATACTCTATATATAATCAGCTTTCACTTCTCCTTATAACCAAATATGTTCAAAGAAATCTCTAAAACTTATTCTTTTTTTAAAATCTTATTATAACATTTGTATTAATAATTCTTTCAATTTAATTGATATTGTAGAAATTTCAGGAAATTATAAATCACCTTTATTAATTATTGCAATTAAATCATTTATATTACCTCCCTTTGGTGGTACAAATGGAGATCTACCATATATCATTTAATAAATTATCACACCTACAGACCATACATCACATTTTTCATTATATTATTTTCTTTATAGTATTTCTGGTGCCATTGTTAATGGAGTTCCACAATAAGATGTTAAATATTAATCTTCTTCCATATATTTGGCAAATCCAAAATCAGCTAATTTAATCTATACGTAATTCTTTTTTCAATACTTAAAAATTCTTAGATACTAATATATTTGCTAATTTTAAATCTCTATGTACAATTCTTAATTTGTACATCTATTACAATGCTTATGCTAATTACTAAACTATTCTTCTTACTTCTTCTTCTGGTAATTTTCCATTAGGAGAATACTTTCTAATCATAAACTATTATTATATAACCTAATATATGCATCTAAATCTCCATTTTCACAATATTCAAATACTAAATAATAATGATTCTAAGTTCTTTTAAAATCTATTAATTTTATTATATTAGGATGATCTAATTATCTTAAAATCTCAATCTCCTTTTCAATCATAGACATACTCTCATTTCTAACATTCTACTTTGAAATCATTTTGATTGCCACATCTTCTTGCCTTCCATCTAATTTCCCTCTAAACACTCTTGCAAATGAACCTACTCCCTTATGAAATAATACCTTAACCAATCTCTCTTATTAGACTATAAGGTCCAACTTTTTTTAAATAAGTTGCTGGTTTCATAATAAAAATAAATTAAATAATTGAGATATAATTTATCAGTCTTTATTGATTTAACATTTGACTAATGTTTACTTGAATATTAATTATTCATTAAAATTTAAACTCTTTACATAAAGTTAATTTTTTTATACATATAAATAAATAAAATCACTCAGTTTTTTCGGAAATATGAGTAAATTATTTTCTGGTTAAATAATTACTTTTCATTTTTTTAGGTTCTTATGAACAAGCAAAATAATTACTAATACCTGGAATATATGAAAATGGATCAGCAATTTTATTGCTATGAAATATATCTAAGAATAATTCATCTTAAATATATTCTTAAAAGAGCTTTTAAGAAGCTTCATCACTACATAATTCTTAAAGATCTTTTATTGTAAAATTAGGTTATTTACATTTCTATCTTGATTTCATTAAATCATCAATCCCTTTTGGAAGTACTTTTATTTTCTCATCATTAATTAACTTTTTCATCCATTTCAAAAAATTATTTCCAATTAGTTTTGGGAAGTTTTTATATTTAAGATCTTTTTCTTTATAAACCATTTTTTGAGTACTATTTTATGACATTCTTTAAGAATGCTATTCTTGAGTATGATGTTGATTTGTATATTAAAAATGATTATGATCAAATGATTATTCTTAAATTTCTGCATGTACAAGTGAATTTGAAAGAAAGTCTGTGCAAGGATAAAATATATTTCTGATCTCTTAATCCATTACTTCTATTAATAATAATTAATAGAAATAAACATAATTCCATGTATTTAAATATCTTAATTCTATTAATATTAACTCTTAAATAATTACAAAAGAATTATGATATAATAACTACTACAAAAAAATCACTTTAAAAATATATCCTAAAACACCATTTTTCATTCTTTAGAAATAATGTATTAAATAAATTTTAGTAAATAACTTCTATTTATGGTTTAAACCTCAATATAAAATTAATTCGAGCAATTTTATCATTATAAATTCCCATTTAAATTAAATTAAAATATTTTCATGTTGCATATTTAAAAAGTCTTACATTATCTATTAATAATTATTATTAAAGAGGCTTTATACATATAAATTCATCAATTAAATAATCATAAAGTGTATATCTTTTTTTAAAAGGTTATCAACCAAAAATATTATTTTCTAACTAGTCAATATAATTAAGAAAAGTGATTAAAAGTTTTTTGTTGTCCAAGTTAGTAAGTTGAAATACAATAATTATTGAATATTATAATATTCTTTTGATGTATTCAATTTTAATCAACTCCTCATGAATATCATTTTAATAATTTTTAATTAAAAAACTTGACAATTCTATCTCCTCTTTTATTTTATCAACTATAAATATATTATCACTTAAATATCACTTTTCATTCTACTTTTCTTCAATGTTTATTTAAATCAATTTATCCATAATTATATTGATCTCTTAGATAAAATATAGTAAGTTATTTATGGAAATATAACAATTAATTGGAAGATGGACTTCTAATTATTATATAAAGGAGTTTTAACAGGATTCTAGATGTAAAAGAAGTTTATTGAATTCATATTCTTTATCAAAAATTGCCTTAATCTATCACAAAAATTTTGATAAAAAATTGATTTCAATTAAATAATTACATTTTAAAGAGTTAAAGAATATTTATATAGTAAATTTATTATAATTCTATTATTCTTCTCTTTCTTTAATGATTGTTAAAGAAATCAACTAAAAATGATTCAAATCGATTTTATATTTTATTCATTTTTAATTTAAATTCTACTTTTTCTAAATATAGTTAAATCTAATTGATTAGAGATGAAAATATATATGTAAAAAAACAAATAAAATAAATATAAATAAAAATGATCAGTATATTTATGACATTTTTCCAAAATCTCTTGATGATATTTATAATAGAATTAACAATCTATAATAATTCTATTATAAAACTAAGCTAAATGATTCATAATAACATTTTAATAGACAATTTGTTAATGAAAAGAAAGAACCTGAATAAAATAAAATATTTATAAAATATTTATTAAATATATATTCCAATACTGATTATAACAATTATCTAAATTTTCAAAGTGATGTCTAATTTAGTTGTAAAAATATCAATATAATAATAATAATATTTGAATTAAGTATTTATAATAATAATAAAAGAATGAAAGTAAATAACATAAAAACAGAAGCTTAATATGGAAGAGCTAATTATTATTATTCAGATGGAACAGGTAGATATGATTGAATATAAAATAACTTTAGGTCGTGATACCTACATATAATTTGATAATGGAGGATTGACTATGCATGCATAAAGATGTCATTAACCACAAATAGGAAGTTTTCAACCTAAACGCAATGGTCCAATTTTTAGACCTTAATCAAGCAATAAAACTTTACATTATGTTAGTGATGGAAGTGGAAGAGATAAATATGTTTTGTAAATTGTATTGCATATTAATGTAAATAGAGATAATCATGGTGGTTTAATGAATACAAATGGAGATAGACATTGGTTAGTTTCATTTAAATAAGGTTTAAGAACACCTGAAAGAGTAAGGTAGTGATAGTTTGAAAATTATAGACCTCGTTCTGGTGTATAGACTCCTGCATATTCTTATTAATAGAGAATATGTAAACGTCTTTCTGTTCCAAAATATACTAAGATTCCTTTTTTAAAACAATTAAAAAGTGAAGAGATGATATGAATAATACAAAATATATTATTTTAACCGAATTTATTAATGAGTTTCTAAGAGATCTCTAAGCAAATAGAGGAGATGACTAATTTCCTTGTATGATTCCATAATAACTTTTTAGTTAGAATAAAGTGATGATAATTTAGTAAATGCGTCTCCTACAAATAGAGAATAAATAAATCTCATTATACATGATCAAAAAGTAAAATAGAGAATTAATTCTATGCTAAAACAAAAAGTAATTTATGTTATCCTAAAAATAGAATAAACAATATCCTCATCAATATTTAACTGTTGAATTATCAAGTGAAGACAATTTTGAAATTGAGTTGGATTAAGAAGATATTAAATAAGTAACGAAATTTTTATATTCAAAATTATAGGTTTGTGAAAATTTTGGAGAAGTTAAATAAGTCTATACAAAACTAAATGGAGCAATAATAATTAAGTTCAATACACTTTTTGATGCTTTCATTGTTTATAAACTATTAAACAAACATTAAATTAAAGAGTTGGATGTTACTATCAAAATTGAATTTACTACCTAACAAGATTTATTAGAAATTATGGAAATATAAGACTCCAATTAATAAAAATTTACTTGCAGATATGATGTCTAAATTGATAATGATAAAGACTTTTAAGTAGCACGCAAAATTATAGGTAATTTTATAATTCAAACCTATTTAGGAGCTAAGGGATGTAATATGAAGAAAATTATTGATTAATGCTTAATAGATTGTGATACAAAAGAATAAGATCTTGTTAAACTCAGATTAAGAGGAAGAGGTTCTGGATATAAAGAAGGTCCAGAAAAAAGAGAATCATAAGAACCTTTACATTTATGTGTTTCATCTAAACATAATCATCTATTTTTAAAAGTAATATAATTGTTTAATAAATCATAGGCTTGTTAATTAGTTGAGTAATTACTTATAAAAATTTATGATGAATATAAATTATTTGGGTTTAATAAAGGACGTAAATAATCACACTATAATATTAAAAGAATTTAATAATCAATAAAACCATAAATAAAGCAAAATTTTATGCCTGAATTACCAAACTTTAATTTCTCAAATGTATATTCATATTTTTATCTTTTTTAGAATTAATTTGTTGATTTTAACAATGAAAATATCATGGCATATTCAAACATACCTAATTAATTAATATGATTTATATATCATATATATAATTAATAATTTGTAAATTCTAATCTTATTAATATATATCTCATTTTTATAATCTATAACCCCTAATCTTTATATATCCAGGTACACCATCTTATTATTCTAATGCTACTAATTTTGGTCCATTAGTATCTTTAATATCAACATTAAATTAACCTATAATTTAAATTATATTAATTTACCATTTCCAAATAATTAAGCATAACCATCTATATTTACAGAATGTAATTCTGCTTATCCACCTAAAATTACAGTTGAATTTGATGAAATCTAAACATCTATAAAGATAATTAAATAATCTTACTTCCTTTTATTCTAGATTTAATTTCAGATAGAGTAACACCAAATGATGGGTGTAATACAATTTTTGGACCAAATTTGAATTCTAAACCATTATAATTAACTTCATCTGAAATTTAATCAGGAATTTTAACACCTGCCATTCTTAATAATTCTGCATTAAGCCAATAGAAATCATTTTCTGATGAACCTGCACATTCTAATGGTAAATTAGATTTCTATTTAGTTAAAGCAGTAGCAAGATCATTTTTACAAGCTGAAAAACAAAATCTTCTATTTAAAGCTGTAAATCCTACTTTATTTTCTGGTCCCAAAAGTTTAGGATAGTCTTACATCATGCATTCTAATCTGGATGATGATTTAAACTTAGTTTTTGTAGCATCTGCATATTTAGGATTGATAAATTCAGCTATCAATCCTTTAGTTTCTTATAATACTGTTTCATATTCATTCAATGAAAACAATAGACAATTAATATTACCAGGATATTTAGAAAAACCTTATTCATCTACAGGTTCACCACCTTAAGCTTTGACTAATGGATCTAATTAATTATATTCAACATTCAAAGTTAATCCTTTATTATTTTTATCAACTAAATAACATATAGCTCCAACTGCTTCTCCAGGTTTACGACTTACAACAATAGAATTTAATTCAAATTTATTTTCTTTACTTACTCCTAAAACTACTGGTAATGCTCTAAAGGCTTATGCATTTGTATCTTAAAATATAAATAACCATTTTCTTCCTTCATTCTTCCATTTTTATGCTAAACCAGACATATATAATAATGTATGAATATCACCATGACCATGTGGTTTAGTATCTATTAATAATTTTCCTGGAACTTGAGCAAAATGAGCAAGATTATCCAACATGGCTGGTACTTTTTCTTATTTAATTAAAGAAACTTATTCTTTTTATAATCCAAAATATAAATTATTTTCCAATAATTACAAAGTTAATTTGTGAGTATCATCTGATGTCATTATTGCAAATGGTAATAATTTATTTCCATGTTTTTTTTATAAATTCAGTATAAATTAACAATAATATTCTAAGTAAGTTGTATTAGTAACTAATTCTATTGGTAAAGCTACTTTAATTCCATCATAACCTAATCTCTCACCTAAACCACCTGCCACTAATACAAAACATGTATCTTTAATTTCCTCTACTCCCAATTATTCCAATCGTGAATATTCATCAGAATAAATATCTACATTTTATCCTTATGGTACATGAGCAGTATATTCAGCAAAAGGATTGACATCTTCAGAAGCATCAAGTAATAACTTAATATATATATTTATTTTATACTTTTCTTGCTCTATTTGCATATTCTTAGATTCCACCTGGATAATTCTTATTAAGTTGATTTATTTGATCTATGAATTCAGTAATCTATTATTGAGTATAATTGTTAATATATGTTATCAAATGTTACTAGTCAATTGAAGTTAAGTACTCAATCAATTGTTCTTATGTCTAAATATCTTAATTCATAATATATTTATTTATTTATTCATTCAAATAAATCTTAACTTTTAACCCATTTAGACATATTAAATTCATTCTCCTAAAGCAATCATTTACTTTACATCAACACATGATCATTAGTAATTATAATTATTTCATTAAAACTTAAATCACAACAATATTACAGAATTTAAAAAATATGGCATGTGAGACATTATATAATAATACTTTAAAAAAATAAAGAAATTTATTATATACCCTAATATATTTAACAATTAATATTCATTTTCTATTCAATTTAAGTTAGAAAATTATTATATATTAGAGTATAAAGCTAACATTAATGAGAATCCTAATTTAGAAGTGAATTCTAATAAAAATCCTTTAAACAATCCTCTTATTCCTTCATTCTTTATAATTTTATAACAACATTGAATACTATTTTTATAAAGAATATCAGCTCTTCCTAATTAATAGATAATGATAAAGAAATACCTGATTACATCATCATTCTTCGTCTAATTGTATCTAAAGGATATGATAAAATTCCAGCAGTACATGTGACAAATTAAGCTAAAAGAAATTTATAAAATATATGATTTGGCAAATCAAATGTCTTTATAGCAGTGTCGTAAGCACCAAAATATATTGCCCTATAAAACATTACACCAAAAATTGTAACTCCAAATCCTCTATATAATCCAATGAAACCATCAGACTTATAAATTTTGCTCAAGCAATCTGTCAAACCAATAAATTGTCGATCAGCCTATTTACCAATATCTGTTGCCAATCTTGTTCTTGCAAAGTCAAGTGGATAAACGACAATTAAAGATGTAGCACCAGCTGCACCCCCTGCAGCCATATTGCTTAAGAAAAAGAGGAATGACTATTTCTTTGGGTCTTTAAGATATTATTAATTATAAACCATATCTGTTGAATATTTATTTGTATGTATCCTTAAATGCAAAGTTCAAAGCTTGTGCTGGGAAAAATCTGATGATGTTTGGGAAGTTGCCTCTCCAAAAAGCTAATAGTCCCTGAATAATTTATCATTCAAATAACCTCTTCTTTTAATATTCGTGAGAAACAATTGATGATTCCATTATATCTCTTTGTTTATCCATTTTAGATTTTTTAAATGGCATCTTATGTTTAGAGCAATAATTTAACTCTCTCAATTGGTGCTTAGGCTGTTTTTGTAAGCGCTGCTGAAACTCCTCCTATTAGATAATTTTATAAAAAATCTGTCATTAAAATTAAAGTGATATATTGCAATTTTAATTTATTTTTAAAATATTTTCAGAAAAGATAAATATAAGAAATCTCTATTAGGAAGCAAGATACTTAGTGGAAATAGATGCTAATGAATATCTTATGAGATATAGAGATAATTTTAATAATTATGATTTATATACAAATATTATCCTTGTGAACCCTTGTTTTTAATACAAAATTATAAAGTTCATACATTAAATAAAATTATTTATATATGATATAATAATATATGTTTTTTGATTTTGATATTGAATGTAAAATAATGTATCATTCACCTCCTGCAGATTTAGTTCCTGGAGCAATGAATTGTTAGATTTCATCATAAAGAACTAAAACGAGTGATGCACCTATTCCTCTGAAGAAATTTGAAAGGGCTCCTTTGAAAAAGGCCTTTGAGCCTTCATTCTTGGCAATCTTGACTGCACAATCGAGTGTATTTTTATAAAGAATATCAGCTCTTCCTAATTAATAGATAATGATAAAAAAATACCTGATTACATCATCATTCTTCTTCTAATTGTATCTAAAGGATATGAGATGACTCCTGCTGTTCCTGTAATGAATTAAGCAACAATGAATTTTGCAATAATATTATTCATCATTGGATGTCTAAAGATTGTACCCTTTGCTGTGTCATATGTACCAAAATAGACACCTCTATAAACAACGATTCCTAAAACTGAAACTCCAAATCCTCTATATAATCCAATGAAACCATCAGACTTATAAACTGTTCTCAAACAATCTTATAAACCACTAAATTGTCTGTCAGCCTTCTTACCAATATCTGCAGCTAATCTTGTTCTTGCAAAATCGAGTGGATAAACAACCATTAAAGAAGTAGCACCAGCTGCACCACCTGAAGCCATATTTCCTAAGAAGAAAAGAAATTTCTCTTTTCTTGGGTCTTAATGATACTAATATTTATTACCAAATGGACAAAATAGCTTTTTGTAGGCATCTTTGAAAGCAAAGTTCAATGCTTATGTTGGGAAATATCTGATGACATTAGCCAAATTACCTCTCCATAAGGCAGATAAGCCCTTTGATCATTTATTTAAAAACAATACCTCTTCTTTTGGGACTCTGATGAAGCAGTCAATAATACCATTGTATTTCTTGGCACCACCTTCTAAGATTTTTTTATTAGCATCTTAGGTTTAGAGTAACAGTTTGACTCTTTCAATTGGAGCAACAGCGGTCTTTGAAACAGCGGCTGATACACCACCAATCATGAAATCTCTCAAGAAATCAGCCATTTATAAGAAAAAAATAAATCTTTTTTAAAATTTTGGAACAAATTTGTGCTTATATATCACAAATAAATAAATATTATATACTATTCATTAATTTTTATATTTTTATTACACCACTCCTAATATGTTTATTAAAACCTTTTTTAAAAGCTAATTTCTTGAATTCTATTTTACATTCACATCTATCAAGTTAACCATATTATTTTTCTATTCAAACCATTCATACTTCAATATATCAGTTATATTCACTCATTTTTTTTAATCTCTCCTTCATTATGATTTAGACTCTATTTATTATTAAATTATGCTTATATATATTTTTTTCAATATATTCTTTAATATATGTGTCTAATTTAAAATTTAAAATTTAAGGTTTTTAAATTTACGTAACGAAAAGTTTTAAAGTTTTATAAATTTTATAAACAATGGGTTAATTGTTTATTTCACTCTCTAATTTTTTTTTTCCTCCAAAATTTATGCCATTTTCTCATAATATAAATTATAAAGTAAAATAGCTTTTCATTATAGTATAGTTAATCATCAGCTTCTAAAACATATTGATATAGTTCAGTTGTCTAAGTTTATATATGATAAACCATTCAGACAAACAATTTGATCGCAAAAGTCAAAAATATTATAATTGGATTTCAGGATGGTTTGAACTTTATGAGATAAATAATTTAAAGAAGGTCAAGCTATTTCGAGATGTTTTTAGATTATTATTCCTTAATTTACAGTGATACATGCTTTGATAATTGAATCTAATTTTCTGTTTTAAGCAAAGAATTTTACAAATAATGGATATTATTTATTAAGCAAATTCTTGCAATTATGAATATTAGGTTTAATTTTCTAAAATAATGAGTTTTATAAAATTCAGGAATTTTTAATTGAATCTCTTAATTTTAAAAAATCAAATCTTCTTCTCTATTCTAAACTGTGATTAGATTTCCTTCCTAAATTTGAAAATAATATCACATTCATTCTAATTATTTTCTCTATCCTGTTGTTTACGATAATGCTTTAAGATTTTTTAATACTGTTTATCAATTATTGTTTGAACTAAGTTAATGATTAAATCTTGATTAATCTAGTCTTGCAGTTGTTAAAATTATTCAACACGGCTTGTTAAAACTTTTTTTTATATTATATAAAAAATAAATGATGTCTTTGGTACTATTGTCTCCTTATATAAGAGAATGTAAGTCTATTGTGATGTTATTTATACTAAAAAAATAAGCATGAGAATAATGAAAGAATAACAAATTGAAATATAATTCAGTTTAAAATAATATTAAAAAATATGATGAAAATAATATATAAAAATGACATAATCATGAAAAATTGAAGAAGATATATACTATATAACTCATTATATATAAGTATAATGGAGTTATTTTTAAGATATGGTCATTTATGATGCAAAAATGAAATGTAGAAATATAAAAATTACATTTTATGTAAAAATTATTGTATGAAAATGAGTGAATATAACTGATATATTGAAGTATGAATGGTTTGAATAGAAAAATAATATGGTTAACTTGATAGATGTGAATGTAAAATAGAATTCAAGAAATTAGCTTTTAAAAAAGGTTTTAATAAACATATTAGGAGTGGTGTAATAAAAATATAAAAATTAATGAATAGTATATAATATTTATTTATTTGTGATATATAAGCACAAATTTGTTCCAAAATTTTAAAAAAGATTTATTTTTTTCTTATAAATGGCTGATTTCTTGAGAGATTTCATGATTGGTGGTGTATCAGCCGCTGTTTCAAAGACCGCTGTTGCTCCAATTGAAAGAGTCAAACTGTTACTCTAAACCTAAGATGCTAATAAAAAAATCTTAGAAGGTGGTGCCAAGAAATACAATGGTATTATTGACTGCTTCATCAGAGTCCCAAAAGAAGAGGTATTGTTTTTAAATAAATGATCAAAGGGCTTATCTGCCTTATGGAGAGGTAATTTGGCTAATGTCATCAGATATTTCCCAACATAAGCATTGAACTTTGCTTTCAAAGATGCCTACAAAAAGCTATTTTGTCCATTTGGTAATAAATATTAGTATCATTAAGACCCAAGAAAAGAGAAATTTCTTTTCTTCTTAGGAAATATGGCTTCAGGTGGTGCAGCTGGTGCTACTTCTTTAATGGTTGTTTATCCACTCGATTTTGCAAGAACAAGATTAGCTGCAGATATTGGTAAGAAGGCTGACAGACAATTTAGTGGTTTATAAGATTGTTTGAGAACAGTTTATAAGTCTGATGGTTTCATTGGATTATATAGAGGATTTGGAGTTTCAGTTTTAGGAATCGTTGTTTATAGAGGTGTCTATTTTGGTACATATGACACAGCAAAGGGTACAATCTTTAGACATCCAATGATGAATAATATTATTGCAAAATTCATTGTTGCTTAATTCATTACAGGAACAGCAGGAGTCATCTCATATCCTTTAGATACAATTAGAAGAAGAATGATGATGTAATCAGGTATTTTTTTATCATTATCTATTAATTAGGAAGAGCTGATATTCTTTATAAAAATACACTCGATTGTGCAGTCAAGATTGCCAAGAATGAAGGCTCAAAGGCCTTTTTCAAAGGAGCCCTTTCAAATTTCTTCAGAGGAATAGGTGCATCACTCGTTTTAGTTCTTTATGATGAAATCTAACAATTCATTGCTCCAGGAACTAAATCTGCAGGAGGTGAATGATACATTATTTTACATTCAATATCAAAATCAAAAATCAAATATAAATTAAAGAAAGCTTCTACTAATTAATATTAATTTTTCAAGATTTAATTAATTAAAATTAATATTAAATAATGAATTTTAATAATTTTTCAAAATAAGAATAAATTTCCTCAGAAATCATCAGAAAAAATAAAAATTTTAGTAATTTTTTAGATTTATGCTGGTTTAATATTTAACAATAAATTTATACATAAATAATGAATAAATGGCTAAATTTTTGGTAAAAATATAAAAATTTGAATTAACTAATTTATGCAATTATTTAATAAATACTGTACCAGCTAAGTGGAAATTTCATAGCAATGTATTCATCTTTGTTGGTAGTTTTGAAGATCCCAATAATAGTTTAAATATTGTTATTGTCAATTTGAAAATAAAAATATTATCATTCTACCTTTTATTACTCACTATTGGTTTTAAGTGCTGAAATAATATCTTTGGATATTGGAACAGTAAATGGAATTAAAATAGGTTGTTGGTAAGAAAAGGTATTTCCATTTGAATTTTTCGATATTTAAGGAGTAGTAAATTATGGATATTGGTTATTGATTTATTATGTTTATTAAGGTGGAGATTACATAATGATTTGGAAACTAGTAGGAATAGATCTAATGGAAGAATTAAAGGGTTGTTTTTTTGAATCAGAATTATTTTCTAAGATTTATAAGGATGTTCTTAGTTTTTGAGGAGTATTAGAAGGTTATATTGGTTGTATTTATTGTTGTATATGAAAATAAGGAGTGATTGATTCATTTAGAAGTGAAGTAATTCTACCATAAAGATTTTGCTCATATAATAAGAGTTATTTGATGAAGCCAGGATTTGGGGAGACAATGGGTCTCTAGTATTTAACTTATATTAAAGCTTATTCTAGGTTAAGATTTCTTTTTTTCATCAAATAGGAGACAACGATTGCTGTAGATCTTGATTTGCCTGCATGACAATGGACTAAAACATTAGTATATTATCTGGATGATTCTAAGTAATTATGAGCTTATTCAAAAAGTGGAGTCATATCAAAGAGAGGAGTTTCATGACAATCTAATATGAGATTATTGATTTCTGATGCATATTGAATTTCTAGTAATACAATGATTGATTACTAAATTCAGAACAGATAGAAAGAACAGATGTAATATAGTAGTAATTTAATGCATTTATGTTAGTTGCTTTAATGATGGAGCCTTAAAAGAGACCTCCCTTTTTTTGATTGGTTCTATGATACATGAAATATCATAATTGTTAATCATTATAATAATAAATTATAATCAAGCATTTTATTGGAAATGTCTGGATAAGGCAGTTTGATGTCTAAATTCTAGTCTTTTTCTTTCATCATAATAAAATACTATTATTCCTATAATGGAAGGCACCAAAGCTAAATTTAGTAAGATTTATACCAACAGCAAAGACAACAACAGCTATGGGTATAAGTGCAACACCTATTAACAAAGCGAGAATCAACAAGCATGCCTATATCCNATCATATCCTTTAGATACAATTAGAAGAAGAATGATGATGTAATCAGGTATTTTTTTATCATTATCTATTAATTAGGAAGAGCTGATATTCTTTATAAAAATACACTCGATTGTGCAGTCAAGATTGCCAAGAATGAAGGCTCAAAGGCCTTTTTCAAAGGAGCCCTTTCAAATTTCTTCAGAGGAATAGGTGCATCACTCGTTTTAGTTCTTTATGATGAAATCTAACAATTCATTGCTCCAGGAACTAAATCTGCAGGAGGTGAATGATACATTATTTTACATTCAATATCAAAATCAAAAATCAAATATAAATTAAAGAAAGCTTCTACTAATTAATATTAATTTTTCAAGATTTAATTAATTAAAATTAATATTAAATAATGAATTTTAATAATTTTTCAAAATAAGAATAAATTTCCTCAGAAATCATCAGAAAAAATAAAAATTTTAGTAATTTTTTAGATTTATGCTGGTTTAATATTTAACAATAAATTTATACATAAATAATGAATAAATGGCTAAATTTTTGGTAAAAATATAAAAATTTGAATTAACTAATTTATGCAATTATTTAATAAATACTGTACCAGCTAAGTGGAAATTTCATAGCAATGTATTCATCTTTGTTGGTAGTTTTGAAGATCCCAATAATAGTTTAAATATTGTTATTGTCAATTTGAAAATAAAAATATTATCATTCTACCTTTTATTACTCACTATTGGTTTTAAGTGCTGAAATAATATCTTTGGATATTGGAACAGTAAATGGAATTAAAATAGGTTGTTGGTAAGAAAAGGTATTTCCATTTGAATTTTTCGATATTTAAGGAGTAGTAAATTATGGATATTGGTTATTGATTTATTATGTTTATTAAGGTGGAGATTACATAATGATTTGGAAACTAGTAGGAATAGATCTAATGGAAGAATTAAAGGGTTGTTTTTTTGAATCAGAATTATTTTCTAAGATTTATAAGGATGTTCTTAGTTTTTGAGGAGTATTAGAAGGTTATATTGGTTGTATTTATTGTTGTATATGAAAATAAGGAGTGATTGATTCATTTAGAAGTGAAGTAATTCTACCATAAAGATTTTGCTCATATAATAAGAGTTATTTGATGAAGCCAGGATTTGGGGAGACAATGGGTCTCTAGTATTTAACTTATATTAAAGCTTATTCTAGGTTAAGATTTCTTTTTTTCATCAAATAGGAGACAACGATTGCTGTAGATCTTGATTTGCCTGCATGACAATGGACTAAAACATTAGTATATTATCTGGATGATTCTAAGTAATTATGAGCTTATTCAAAAAGTGGAGTCATATCAAAGAGAGGAGTTTCATGACAATCTAATATGAGATTATTGATTTCTGATGCATATTGAATTTCTAGTAATACAATGATTGATTACTAAATTCAGAACAGATAGAAAGAACAGATGTAATATAGTAGTAATTTAATGCATTTATGTTAGTTGCTTTAATGATGGAGCCTTAAAAGAGACCTCCCTTTTTTTGATTGGTTCTATGATACATGAAATATCATAATTGTTAATCATTATAATAATAAATTATAATCAAGCATTTTATTGGAAATGTCTGGATAAGGCAGTTTGATGTCTAAATTCTAGTCTTTTTCTTTCATCATAATAAAATACTATTATTCCTATAATGGAAGGCACCAAAGCTAAATTTAGTAAGATTTATACCAACAGCAAAGACAACAACAGCTATGGGTATAAGTGCAACACCTATTAACAAAGCGAGAATCAACAAGCATGCCTATATCCAACAGTTTTTATCTCTGTAAAAACTTGTTTATTTTAGTTTGGCTATACAAAACAAAGGAGCAATTACTAATACAAACATAGGAGTGAATATAATTAAAAGTATAAAGCAAATAAATCTCCATATAATTAACTTAACATAAGACCAATCTTTTTATCGAATCCAACCTGGCATCAAGGCAGGACAACCAAAAGGATTGAAAATTGCATAATGAATTGATGTATAATCACTTCCACAAATCCAACACCATTCATGTTAACAAAATTAACAAGTCATATGATTACAACCATTAATCTTCTCAACAATTATTTTACATCTTGGACACTATTGTGTATCTCTATTTTCTTACCATTCATTTAAAACTTATTATAAGTTTTCTTCACAAGTTTGTAGTGGATGTGATCTTTGTTTACATAATTTACAAACTTCAACTTTACAATAAGCACAAGTTGAAATAGTTGATTATTATTTGAATTCTATAACATTATTGCAATTTATAGTTGGACACCATGCTTTATTAGGATTCATAGCAATTTCTAAGTTTTAATGACACTTAATATATTTTGTATAAAGTTCTTGTGAATGTTCCAATACATCAATATCTCTGATTGGAATATCACAATGAGGACATCTAATATTATTTATTTTCCTATCATCTATTGATTGTCTTAAATAATTGTAAAAGCAATTTAAGCAAATCAAGTGTTTTTCTGAATTTAGATGAACTAAATCTTTATCCAAATATATCAAATAACAAACACAGCATTATTAATTTTCTTATATTATATCTATTATTCTGTTTGTTTTTGCAACTAATTTCTCACTATTTTCATCAATCATTACATGAAACTACTAAGATTTATTGCAAACTCCACATTAATTATTATTCTATTAAACATATCTATGTGTTTCATCATGTTATAGATATATTGCAGCATCTTAAATTCTACTAAATCCTTTAAAATGTATGGCATATATAGATTGAAATATGTTAAATCCTTCTAGTTAAGTTAAATCAATTATTAATTAAAGTTCTTGTAAATCTATTTTTGATGAATGATTATCAGGTTCAATTCCATCATCTACAACATCCTAAAATTTTACATAATTCATTAATTTTATAATTTATTCATTATTTCTTATTTAATACTTTATTATATATTAATATTATTCATTATATTTCAATACAATCATGTAAATCTGCTAATCTAACACAAAAGAATAGTTTCTAATCTTTATAAAATTCTAAAGGTATAGTAGTCTAAACTTATTAATCTCTGTTAATTATTAATTATTTATGAAATGGTTTAAATGTTAATTCTAAAGTAGAGTTACTATAAAATCTTAAATTAGGTGAACTTCTGATCATATCTGATCCTGTCATTGATCTAATATATCCATTAGAATTAAGTAGATAACAACCATGATCCTTATTATTTGATCCTGGCATATGCTCAGCAGAACCTTAGAAAATGAAATTGCTTTCCTATAATTTTTATTGATCACAAATTCCTACTGCCATAGGATATCTTTAATTTGAATTTCTGCAAACTTTTATTATTAATGTAACTCTTTATTCTCTTGCCAATCCACTTCCATATATTGATGGTTTAATTAATGCAATATTTTTATCGCTATCTAAAATCAATTTCACTTATTTAGATGTTATTTACAAACCCTATCCAAAACATTCTGAATGAAATGAATATGTTGTACTAAAAGTATTTGAAACCTCTACCAAAGACATTTATTATCCTATTCGCTTTTTCAATGTACTAGGTTTATAATAAAATTGACTTAAAGATTGACTAACCGAAATTCGATCATCTGGAGATCCTGGTGATTTTTCTATATTAGCAATCTTTTTATAACTTGGTAATTGTTGATGAGATCGCTTAAAATCATTATTAGTTTAAGATAGTTTTTTTTATAAGTGACTATTACTTTATTATGAAACTTGGGTTTAATAATTCACTTCTACATCACTCTTAAATACATTTATTAAATCTTTTAGTTTTCTAAATAAGAGATTTTCTCCTTCAGTTTCTTCTGCAGCATCCATTAGATAATTATTTCTTACTAAAAACTCTTGTCTTTTTGTATTGTATTCAATCTTCTAAAAAAACTAACTCATTAGTTTTTATATCAAATTTTAGTCATGTTATTTGATAGCTCTATTAAAAATATCTTAAGAAGGTAATACACAAGAAAACTCTAATAAAAACTCAACTCACATACATACATTCATAATATTATAATTTTCTTTCTAACATATCCTTCTATTTCAAAATAGCATCATTAACCATATCTGATAATTCTGTTAATTGTTTGATTAAGTTTTTCAATTTACACACTAAATCATTTTACACTGTAGATTCTTAGAATCTTAAATCCTATACTAATATACAATATTTATTACAATCTCATTTAATAAACTATTCCCTTATTTCTGTAGTAAATTAATGAACTTTTTATAATGAATCACTTGATGACCGATATGATTTTCTTCAATACATGAAACACAATTCAAAACTTTGTTCATAGAAATGCATTCTGGATTCATACATAATAATTCTAAAGGCTCATCTTCACCTTTATTTACATATAATACCTTGATGATACCCTGCCATTTAACAGTATACATTCATTTTATAATTAATAAAATTAATAATATTTCATTAATAATTTTATTTATATTATTATCATAATCTTCATCAATTCACTCTTTATTTTCATCTTTCTCTAAATAAATATCATTATATATTAATAAATCTTATTATATATTAATAAATCTTATAATTGATTACTAAAAGGTTGTTAAGAAAATAAAATAATGAATAATTTTGAATTATTTAAATAAATGTTTTAAAAGAATGTTAATATTATTGTAAATACTTATTTATGAATGTATTTATAATATTATTCGATCTGATTTATCTAATTATTATATAAAAATAATAATTAAAAATAATGGAAATTGATATTCTAAATGAATTGTTAACAGAATCAGTTGCTAAACTATTTAATCCAAGAGCCGTGTATAATTTTAAGAAACCCAATCCAGTGTATGATAATTACTAAAAGAATTCAAATAACACATCTTCAACATCTATATCATCTATGCAATCTGATTAACCAAAATTTGAATAACCATAATAAAAGTTATCTAATCCTCCAACAATTGAATAATGGGTAAATATCATTGGTCCATAAAAACTATAAGAATCATTAAATAAGTATAATGCTAAATATATTATAGATTGAATATAGATTTAGCTAAATTAACAAAGAGAGATTTAGAAATGATGTCTATGGATTAACTTTAAAATGAAAAAAAAAGAGTAAAAAATGAACTTAAGTTTTATGATGCTAATTTTTAATCCATTTTTAATCGATTTCCATTACGAAATGAAAAAGAACCAATGAGACCCTTATACATTTACTATAAAAAGTTAAAATAACAAATTGATAAAGTTATTCAAAATCCAGGAATTTAAATTCCAACATATAAATAATCAACAAATAATACTTAAGGAGAAATCTAAAAGAGAATAGAAGATTTAAAGAAAACAAGAGCAGAATTGAGAGATAAATTAAATAATTTTTAAAATGAATTTACAACTACTCACAACAGAAGAATTAGATTTCATAAAGATATTGCTCCTGTTGAAAAAGAATATAAACTTTACAAAGAAATTAAAAATGAAATTTAGAAGTTGGAAAATATTTTATAAAAGAAATGAATTATATTTTATTAAGAAATATATATATATATTTTAGAGTCAAATAAATAGATTTTATATAAATTTCTCATATATGCCTTCATTGGATACCAATATAAGGATTCTGTATTTAATGTTATTATTGCAATTATCCCAATTATTGTTCCTATAAGTAAAGAGCCTTCTTTTTTCTATATTTACAACCTCCTACAATTAATCCAAACAAAGCTAAAACAGAAATAATTATTGGAGCCAAAATATGAACTAATAATGATCCAGATGGTGCGTATAAATTTCTATAAATTTAAACAGTTTGCATTGGAATAGTTTATTTAATTGTTCCAAAATTTACAATAGCAGTTGTTCTAATATTGTAGCTTCCTTATATATAACTTGGGAAATCAGCAACCAACTAATTATTTCCATATATATTATATGTTAAATTGTATTTGTTTATTGAATAGGAATTATATTGCCTCCAAATATCAGGATCTCCGTATGCACAAATTATTTCCTTAGTTTCTGAACCATCCCAACCAACAGTTACACGAAGTTCTACTTGTTCGTAATTTTTAACTTTAAAATCTGGAAATGTTATAAATATTTTATCCCCTTTTACTTACACAGATGGTCGAAAGTAGGAATAGTTGATATATGATTTTATATCCTTTATTTATTATTATTAAGCTCTTTGATACTAAATTTATATAATAAAAATTTACTTTAATAAAAACATCAGGACTATCATAATGTGATTATTATAATCTATAATAGGAGCTTCCATTGGAGGCATTAAATACATCATAGAAGAATTTATTGTTGAAATTTCCATCTAAGTTTCTATATTAACCAAATTCATTAAATTGCATCACTTCAATTTTTGATTCTGATGTAGGGCATTTTAAAATTTCAACATACATAGTTGAAGGATAAGATACTTACATACTGAAATCATTCTTAGTGTAGTAAAGTCCTTAAGTAGTGGCTTTATTAGCTGTCAAAGCAGTCTTATAAGTAGTTTATGAATCAGTTAGGAAATCAAAACTTTGAATTTTCACAGATGTATTTTAATTATATACTTATATAGTAGCATATTCATCTGTAAAGTCATTTGATAAAGTAATCGTAAAGTTTTTATCAGAACATTTATATTGTTATCTTTGTTCTGGAGTGATAGTTAAATTAGCGTAATTATATGCAAGCCATAAATCAGTAGCATAACTCTTTAAATAAAAAATTAATAATTACATCGCATCTAAGACTCAATTGATAAACTGGGTGATTAGCTGAAAATTCCAATGTTGTTCTACTTAAATCTCCTGAATTTAACTGAAATGTAAAAGAATTACTACATTTCACTACAGCTAGGTAGAGAATGAATGTATATACAAATTTCATTATTATTTTTTTTCATATAATTCATACAAAATTGGATTTTGAAACAATGAAAGTTTGTGCAATATGGATTATGTAAATTAAAAATATAATTATTCAATCTCAATTTTATATCACTTATCACATATATCAAATGGATAAATTCACTATTATTTGTGTAAATATATATTCCCAAAAATCTTTAAGTGCAATTCTTATAAATAATTTCTATTTACTTGCTTCTAAAATTGTGATTTATACATTTTGTAGTTATATTAAATGTACTTAACTCAAATTAAGTATTATTATTCTTATATTTCCACCTAAGATTGCCTATAAATAATAATCATTAATTAATAATTAATCTGATCATGACAACTAATAATAAATTTTAAACAGCCCTATAAATCAATTCAACCCAAATTCCATGGAAATATAGAGATAGCTAATATTTATTAAATTTTTCTATTAATGGATATATTCAATATATTAAGGATGGGTAAATTCAAAAAATGTATTTTTATTATCTTACAATATATAACCTAGAGAAAAATAAAGTTATACTTCTAGTAGTACAATTAGAAATTTAGAATAATTAAAATATCTAATATGGTAAGGATAATATGGAAATGAAAATCAGAGAATAGGTAGATGGAGGGCATATTGGAGAGGAGAAGGATTAAATATAGGTGGATATTATGATGATAAAGGGAAGAAATAGGGTATTTGGATAGAATTATTTGAAAATTATTGGGAGTAGACTTTATTAAAATAAATAGTAAATGTCCAGTAACCTATTAAGGAGAATATTAAAATGGTTGTAAAAGAGGAATTTGGAGTACTTTTTATATGGTTTAAAAGATGTAAGCTTATTTATTTAAAAAAGTGGAGGAGGTCTTTATAATGAAAATGAATTGAAGAATGGTAAATGGATAGATTTACATGAAAATTTTAATAAGTAAATTAGCTATATAAAATATAGTACTTTATAAGTGATTTATTAAGGAGAATATCTAAATGGAAGAAAAATTGGAATTTGGAATATACATAGTTAATAAAAGTTATATGGAATAGGATATTACGATGAAAATGGTAATAAGAATGGAAAATGGATAACTATGTCATTTTATAATTTGGAATCAGGTTAAAGTATAGAGGCTGGATAATATAAAAATGATAAACAAGTTGGAAGATGGAATGTTATATAAAATAATAATTTGATGTAATAATATTAATTTGATTAAATACAGTGGAGGAGGTGTTTATGATGAAAATGGAATTAAGAAAGGAATGTGGATAGAACTAGATTAAAAGTAAGTATATTGAATAAAAATAAAGTGACTCAGAGGTTGGAGAATATATAAATGGTAAAAAAGTTGGAATGTGGGACATCATATTTAGAAATAGTATTACGTATTATATTAAATCCTATAACGTAGTGGAGGAGGACAATATAATGAATAAGGTGAGAAATAAGGAAAATGGATGGAATTGAATGAAAATTACAATAAGTTAATATATATAGATCTCATTTATAGTTATTGTTAGGTTATTTATGTTGGAGAATATGAGAGGGGGATTAGGAATTCAAAGTGGAAAACTATTTTTGAGAAAAAGATGATGTAAAATTGTATTTAATCAAATAGTGGAGAAGGTTAATATAATAGTTTAGGTATGAAATAGGGATTATGGGTTGATTTATATGATAATTTTGATTAGTATTTGGAAAATTTATTATATAAGTTTTTGTCAAGTTGTACATGTTGGAAAGTACTTAGATAATTAGAGATATGGATAATGGTAGACGGTTCAATTAAACATGGATATGATTATGTAATAATTTTGATTAATTTAAGTGGAGGAGGATTATATGATGAAAATGGAATGAAAAATGGATATTGGATTGATCTATTTGAGAATTACTAGGAGTAATTGAGGAGTTTATAAATATCAAAGTGTGTGTTAAATTGTGTATATTGGACAGTATAAGAATGGATTAAAATATGGTAAGTGGATAACTTAAGCTAATAATCAGTACAATGCTTAAGAAATGTAAGATTATATTGTATGTTTTAATTTAGAGGTGGAGGATGTTATGATAATGATGGATAGAAATAAGGAAAATGGATTGAGATACATGAAAACTGTAGTGGGTATCTATATCATTATTAATATAATAGATATTATTAGATCATACTTGTTGGAGAATACAAGGATGGAATAAAATAAGGAAGATGGAGAACTTAATATAAAGAAACTGATGGATACTTTTATAAAACAATGTAAGATTAATCATTGAAAATATAGTGGTGGAGGATAATATAATGAAATTGGATTGAAGAATGGTAATTGGATTGAATTGGATAATAAATTTACAGAGTAAAGCATTTTTAATTTTATTTTAAGAGATTAAATAATTGTTCATTCTTGTGAATATCAATTGGGAAAATAGATATTAGGATTAAAATGAATTTTAATAGTATTGCTAATAATAATCTAATTAGAATAGTTTTTTATATAAACTATTTTAAATATTTATATTTCATTATAATATATGTTGATTGAAATTTCAAATTTCCTTTTTATATTAACATTAAGTCTAACCAAATTTCATTTTTTTATATAAGATAATTGAGGATTATTTTTATCAAAAAATTTATTAATAATAGTCATATAGATACCAATAAAAGCAATAATTACAATTTATTATTGTATCATTAATATTATTTATAAATATTAATCAGTTCATATTATAGATTAATGGTTATAACATAAATTAATATTTAGAATGAAATTAATCATTATCTGCTAATAAATTCTTGGAACATCTGGAATGCATTAGCCCTTTAATCATAGGGAACTAAATGACCTGCACCTCTGATAATATACAAAGTTAAATAGTTATATTCCATAATCCATCCAGCTAATTGTTTAGTTTCATTATTAGCAAAAGGTGTTCTCGATATCAATGTAATACCATCAATAAGTTTCAAGGATGCAAGAGTGTAATCAATACTTACAATATCATCTGAATTTCCAGAATATTATAATATTTTTATCCCATTTTCAAATAAGTATTTCAACAATACATGACTGTCTTTATCTCTATGAAATCCAAAAAACACTTCCATACTACAAGCTTCCCAAACCCTCTCCTCTGGGATTCTTAATTTCTTCTTAACTTCAGGATTATTAAAGAAATTATTTAAGGGTCCAACATCAATACAAGGGGCTTCTTCAGAGTCCCTTATACTTCTATACCTGCCTTTTTACTCTATTGAGGAATCTCCATAACAATATCCATACACATCATAAGGATTTAAATCCTTCATTACAATTGCTTGAGTTTCCAACGCTCTCTAACAACTTGCAGATTAAGGAGATCTTTAACATGAATTATGCATAACATTTTATGTTACAATATCGTAGAAATTTCTTTTTATCATGTATTCTCTGTTCCATAAATCAAAAAAGTCGTCATCATTTACTAAAACACCATTTCCTACAAGGATTCCTTTAAGATTTATTCTATTCTATCCTTCCTTATTTTTCTTAACAATTACTTCAGCTGTACATGGTACATACATACCTAATTTATCAAATAATTATACCTGAATATGATTCTCCTCCAATCCACATTTCTCTATCTTTGTAATCTTAAAATCCATCTAGCCAAGTCTTAATCGCTTCATATGAATCAATTCCTGTATTTGTATCACTCCATTCATAATCCTCATCATGAAGCTCAGAATACCCAACCCCAGCAGGAATGTCTAAATATAAGATATTTCCTAATTTATGTAAGGAATATGGATTTTCAGTATATACAAATTCTTAGCTAAATTTCTCTCTCACATATGGCCCTATTTCAGAAATCAAACCCAACATAGAAGAACACCCAGGTCCACCACCATACCAAACAATAAGTGGTTTATTTTCAGGACTTTCAATGCTTTCCATAAATATATAATGGATTTTTCTATTCTTAATCATTATTCATACTATTTCCCTTCATATATTTCAACAAATCCGCTGAAAGTTTTAAAATTATACTCTGGATAAAATGGCCATTCCTTTACTTCATCCTCTATAGGATTCAAGCAAAATATTGAATTCAAAATCAACCCAAAAAATACCAGATTTCTCATTTTATTATTTTAATTTCATTATTTATTTTATTGATTCATATATTAATCGTTGATGTCATCGTTGTAAATTATCAACTCAATACATTATTATTAAATTAATCTCGATTACACTCAGATCATTAAAATATGTTCAAAAATGATCAAAAATCTTTGATATGAGAAATAATTGCGATAGAAATTTAAAACATATGTTTTCAGACAAAATTTATTAATTTTGAATATGATCAATAAAAATATATTTTTAGAATAATTCTTATAGATTCAGAATCTGATAAAGAATTAATTTTTTGTTGTTAATTAACGTCTGAATCAAAATTAGAAACTCACTAATATTGGTATTTAAGTGTGAATCAATAATAAAATAAAAAACAATAATTTTATTAAAATTTATTATTATATAATCTGATTATTTTAATAAAATGGGAATTTTACAAATCAGATTTAGATTAATCTGTTTTAATTTCAGATTAATTAATTTATAACAAACCGTACCAATTTAAAATCATCTTGAACCATAAGTTTTTGATAAAATACATATCTATCATAATAATGATTTGATTATTTATAATTATTATATTTAATATTAAAGATATATAATTATTTATATATTTAATGTAGAATATTTAATTTATAAAATTTTACACAATACTTTTTAAAAATACATTTGTCACTTTTAAAAGGATTTAATATTGCAATTGATATGATTGTCGTAAAAACTGCATTATTTTTTTTGATTTCTAATAATTTTGAGCTAACTGTTATAATTTGTTCTCAAAACTTTCATTAAAATTTTTATATCTTGTGATTAGGATGTTAGTTGATTCTTTTGAATTAATTAGTCTATTTATATAATTTATCCTTATAAATCAGTTCGTTTCTAAAATTTTTTTTTGGTTGACATATGGTGTTATATCCAATCATGTTTCATTTAATGGTTCTGTTATATTCAAAATTGAAAAGATTAATTAATTATTGAATAAATTCTTATTTGATGATTTTTTTTTGATCTACTTTATAGAAATGAGATCTTTATCTTTTGAATAATTTTTCTAAATATTCTTTCTACAAACCTTCTCTAAATTTTTCTTTTTTAGAAGATAAACAATAATTACTTTAATTTGAACATATTATAATCAATATTATTACTTTAAAATTTATTAGACAATATTTTGCTTTCAAAATTTCACTCAATATTTCAACAAATTCATAACAAAATATTATATTTTCTTTTAATTGAAATCAAAATTTTCTATATATTCATTAATCAATATTAAGTTTTATAAATTTAAATTAATAATATTAACTATATCCATTTAAAAACAAAATTTAAAGATTATTGTTATTGAATAAGTAGATAATTTTTAAATTTATAATATTTCATTGATGGTTCATAAATATTTTAAAATTTATTTATTTAAAATGCTTAATTGATTTTTGAAGCAAATCATAACATATTTTATAAATGGTAAAACAATTTTTAATTGGTTTTTGTTATCCTATTTAACAACATATTCCAACCCAAATTTAAATGCTAATAAGTAAATTGTTTCGAGAGGATTTTGTATATAGTCATTAATATTTAAATTAAAATTTTACGAAACTAAATCTAAATTCTAATTTGATATATAATTTACTTTGATTTAAAGAGTATTATTGCCTTCCATTAAACAGATTAAATCCATAATAAAATTTTGGAAAGTTTAATATTGATATTCTAAATTTAACATTTTAGTAATCGATTACAATATAGTTATAATATATTAGATTGAAAATATGAGGATCTAAAATTGGGATTCGAGCCTTTTACTAAGGAAACATCTTTTGTATCTATTTCTAGGAACCATTAATCTAATTAATAATGGACACAGTAAATAATTCAAAAAAAAGTTGGAATTTATTTCTATCTCTAATCATCAAGACATGAGAACTATATATTTGGAGATAATTAAAATTTCAGTATTGTAACCCCTAGATATTATTTCTAAAATGAACTTAAATATATAAAAGTAAATTTTAGATTTACAAATTATTGTTATCATTTAAGGATTGAAAATTCAGTATATAAGTTGCCTAAATTGTTTTTTTATAATTATAAAAATACGATTATCATTATTTATTTATGATTACTATTTATTTCAATTTTAATCTCGATCAAATATTTAAAGTAAATTCATAAATTCTCCAGTTAAGTTGAATTCTTTTAAAAATTATCATCAAATTATAAGGCAAATTTGAAGAGAACATCATATATATAAGAATCCAATTTTCAAATTTAGAAATACTTTTATAATATTATAAATTCTTATTGAAATTATAATTCTTCTAAACTATTCTATTATTAATTTTCTAACACTTGCTTAGTAATTTCATTCTGAATACATTTTATACCAATCTGAAACAAGAAGAAAATATAGGATTTTTTTTAGAAATTTTACATTTCAATATTTGTAATTTTAGAATTGGCTTTTAATTGAGCACAATCTTAATTAGAATTGAGAAAATAATTTAACTCAAATCTAGCAATTAAATTATCTGTTATTTAAAGTTTTCTAACAAAAATTCTTATTCACATTTATAGAATAATTCATAAGCTCTAATGTTTTTTTTAATGCATTCTCGTATCATTATTGTTTATATCATTCATATTTTTCATTTTTCTGGCATTTCTTAAATTATAATTACAATGTTCATATACTAATCGATAATTGATTTATTATTATTAATAATTTTAATTTAACCTCAATATTCATTAAAATTTAAAAATGTTCGGATTTTCTTAAATTGTAAACATGAATATCTTCAAGTATTATTATATTCTATATTGTAAGTCATATTAACTTAGAATCTTGAAGAAATCAAAGCAAAACCATTAATAATGATATAGCATAGTAGAAATATCATCTAAAAGCAATCTTCTATTTGGCAGATCATAGAGATAAAAAATAATAATATTTGTCAAATTGACATTTTCATTTTTATATACCAATGAATAATTCAAATTTGATGTTCTCCTTTAAATTTATGTCTTCTGGATACACCTCAAAATCAAAATCATAGGATCTAACACCACCCAATTCTTCAGGGGATAAAGTAGATAATGATGACCAAGCATCGATCACTACTTTTGGAATAGGACCTGGTCCACAATCAAAACAGCAGAAACGATGAGCAGGTACTGTTACAGCTACTAATCCTTCTGATAAATCATTGACTTCACTTACCATTTCTCCTAAGACTATTTTATATCTGTTTTCATTTTAGTCATTAGGGCTTTAATATTCATAATAGATGCAATAAGTTCTTTTTGGGTGCAAACGATGGGGAATTTTATCATGGATCTACTGACTAAAATAATCTTCATGTGCCTTCCTAATTTATCCTGTATTTGGATCTAATTCCTCTTTTTAGAGGATATTCCTTTGAAAAACCAACAATTGTGAATGATGGTTATTCAACAACCTTTCTCTTCGGAGCTTATATTTATGGGTTCATTTTATATGATATCCAATTTAAATTATAATTTGCTGTCAAAGTTCGTAAAATATTTATAGTAAATTTTGAGCTTTAATTCTATAAATATATCATTCTATATACTTACATATAACTGTTTGAAAAATAATTTATAATTGCCTTCAAAATATAATAATTAAATTGATTTGTTGTCAATATAATAAGATTATGATATAGATTCAGGATATTTATTATAAACTAGGAGAACATTTTATATTTAAGTATATCTGATTACCTTCATTTTTTCTGCTTTTGTTTCTAGATTATCTCTTTGTAGTATAGAATTAACATTGCTTTATTAATTTTTTCAAATAAATCTTTATGATTACATTCTTATGTAATTACTAATGTAGATTTAAAATCACTTCCTTCTCCTTTGATATCTAAATATTATTTCTTTTTAAGATATTTATAATTGGCTTTTATAAGGAAAAAAGTTTATCATTATTTTATGATCATACACTAGTTTCAACAATCCAATTCATATTGGAACGTTAAGTATTTAAGATTGAATAAAGAAGAATCAAGTAAAAAATGAGGAATAGATTCTTATATAAAAAAGAGCTGACCCCAAATTCTTACATGTATATCTTACTCAAACAATAATAGGACTAAGAACTTGAAATTAATTGATAATTTAAATATGTATTGGGAAATTATAAATTAAAATTTGGGAAAAAAGATTCAAGAAACATAAAAGAGAATTTAAAACCATCTTGAAAAAAGCCAAAAAGACTATAAATATATTTGAAAGTGAGCTTACAATAACTCAAATTTAAATTGAGCATTATCTGTAAATCTTATTAAATTGATGAGTTCACATGCTTATTCACAAGTAATTATTGTTATTTAATACACTATATAGAAATAATTTACTAGATAACTTGTTGTTCTCAGCTTAATAGTTCTTTACTATGAGAACTTAGATTTGGGCAAAGGAAAAAAAGAAGACTAATCAAAATTCTAAACTTATCTAATTATTATAATCTGATCAGAAGATCTTAAGTATTTGAAACCTCAGATAATGTAAGTTATCTGAATAAGTTTACATTTTGGATTCTATGAAAAAAAGACCAAATTTTAAAATGAGATAAACAAGAATCACCTCTCCCCATCTGATATATTCTTTGTTCAAATTTTTGGAAGGTTTAGAAGATAAAGAATGTTGTTTAAGAGGTTGAGATAAAGGAACATCAATAAACATAAGATTTTCAACCAACTCCTTTAGATGATAATGTTACTATAATTACTTTTGGCATTGGCAGAATGAAAAAGATTAATCAATCTGACTGAGATATATAACTTAAGGATTAATATTTAGAAATAAAATTATGTCTCTAACTTAAAGATTGATGAAAATAATTCCATTTTTGGATATTATAAGGCAAAATGTTTTAAGTTTTATTATTGAATAAGATATGAAGTTAATTAAATAGAGAGTTTCTGCTCTTCTCAGTCAAAATCTAATTAAAATAGATACTTACCCATAAGATATGTGACTTAATGATGGAACTCATTCATTAAGTCTCAATTATTTTATATCTTATTTAATTAAATGGTAACACAATTCACTTCTCTATCAAGAAACTCTAAAGATTTATGATAACTTCAAATAACAATATTGATGAAATAGTATAATAATTTGGCAGTAAAATTAATAAAATTCTTTGATAAACTACTTAACAAATTGGTAAATTGAAGATTTGTGAAAATTCTTTTAAGGTTAATTTTTCTTTTTTAAAACAGCAACAATTTCTTGAAAAATTTGAATATGAAAATGATGCCTTAAAAATTAGATACTATAGTCAACAATTAACAGGTTATAAAAAAGCATCCTGAAAATTAAAGATATCCCTTAAAATATTAATGAGGATATCAGTGAACATTTAGTTTTCAAATGTTCATATAGAAAAGATCGGCTTATTTAATATATTTTTTGTTTAGAGATGTCTAGATAGTTGATAAAGGAATAGATTATTATACTTTCAAAATATGGATAGACATATATATATATCCTAAAAAATTATACAAAATGAAATATAAAAAGAGTAATAAGACTAAAATTGTAGATTCATATCTTAAAGATTTTTATTTTCAAAATTGAACTATTTTTAATAAGTAAGGAAATTTTGATTGCCTATATTGCCAAAATCAAAATATTATTTAATGAAGATCTTACAAATACGATTAGTTCAACAAGCATAAAGAATCTCTTATTTCATATAAGTTAAAAGAATATTTGATAATTTAATTTAATGTAATACAAGATTTAGGTAGTACATATGTTTTTAATGAAATACTGTTATAGTAATTGAGGATATGGAGAAATGAGATGCTTTTATTTATCAAAAAACTCATACTTGATAATATTTTGATATTATAACTATATAGATTTTTAATTTTATAATATTATATTAAATTAAACTTAAATCAACCTACTAACAAGTTTTTAAGAAAAAAAAGTTGGCTCTAGATACTATAGCAAAATTAAGATGGATAATGAAAAAGATAAATTTGGAAATTTAGGGCCTATTTTTGGAATATTTACTAATGAGTTTCATAGAAAACTAAATAAATATCTTTTTAAAATTAACATAACTTAATTTTATAAATTAGAGTTTTGTTTGATATATTGAATTTACTTTGCAATTTTATCTAATGAATTAATATGAAACTTTTCATATTTAACAATTAAAACTTGAATCCAAGAATGTAAATTTTCTTAATATATTTTTATTTCCTAAAATGTATTTTAGTCTGATATGATAATTGACATAAAATTATTGAGCCCTAATAAAGATTTCCATCTTTATAAATTGTATTTTCCTTGCTTTTGTTCTTTCTACTCAAATACTTAAAATGAAATAAATGTAAAAGATGTTTCACTTTAAAATTATTATAAATTAACTATAAATTGTGGTATTTTAGTTTTCTTCACATAATTGTCTTATAAATTATGGCCAAATTGTTTTCTTAAAACTTAATTAAATACTTATGAAAATTATTTTATTTTATTTAAATTAATAACCCTATTAATTTATAAGACAAAAAGCTCTATTATTCTAAACATTAGTTTGAGAAGGATTTAAAAACATAATATAGAGAAATTCGTGTTAAGTTAAAAACTATAATATTTCTAAGGTTCTTTTTATTTTTCAACATCAATTTTTTTAATTTAAGAGGAAAATGTTGTAATAATTCTATTAACAAATTTATATTAAATTAATCTTTTATCTTCAAAAACAACTATTCACTAATTGTAATATGAAGCTATTTGATTAGAATTTCAACAGATTATTTGACGATAATTAAACAATGTGATGCTTTTAGATAAACACGACTTATGTTGAACTAACATTGCTGAAATGTGAAATTAAATGATAAGAAAACTACTATTTTAAACAATATTAAAAAATATACTTCTGATAAACTAATCTATCATATTTTTTATGAATTATTAACTTACAATTATTTTGAACAATCTTTATTATAATAGAAGCTAGGCAATGACAAACAAAATTACAAAAATTGATTTATTTAAATTACATGTTGTTTTAAGTAATCAATTGAAAAGACATCTCAAAACTTATTTTGGTTTACTTATATATTTTCTATAGATAACCAAGTCCTATCATTTTTTTCAAATTACTTTGATAAGTCAAAATTAATAGATAGATTTAAAGTGAATTTTTCTTCAAAAATGATAAATCAAAAAATTAACAATTACATATTCTAAAGATATTATTAATAAAAAAGGAAAGAAATTTTTGAAGTATATTTTGATCTATTTAAAAACAAAATAACGTTAAATTTTAACTTGAATTTTTCCTTTTGAATATTCAATTTTTATAATAAAATTCTTTAAAAAGTATAAATTTTTATATATAAAAATTGAAAAATTAATTCAATATATAAATATGCATGGTATATAATATCATATTAAATAGAAAGTGATAGATATTAAAGTTATCCTAGAATTGATATTTGTAATGAGACCAATATTGATTCTGATTAATGATTTCAAATGCTTATCATTTATTCAAAATTGATCTTTCATACAAAATTTAATTATAGATAACAAAAATTTTTAACACCGCTATTTAAACAGGATTCATATTATTTTCTTGTTTTTAAATAAAATTCAAACCTATAATTAAATATATATTATACCCTTATTATTCCATGCCTTTCTATTTTTGCATGAATTTCTTGCCTCCATTATGAAAATCCAAAGAGATATTCTAATTTTATATTATTAATTACAGAACTTAATTAAAAATTCTCCTATATTGTAGTATGAGTTTCATAGGATTAATAGCTAATGCTTTCCTAGATTTAATCTAAAGAAATTCTAGTATGCATTAATAAGTACCCCATCTCTTAGAAAAATCAAAAAAAGGCTTATTCTGCAGATAAATGCAGAAATAATTGTTTAAATATTTTTAATAATCAAATTGTTACCATAAATTAAAGAATAAAAATAGATAAATTAGTGTAAATTTTATATAGAAAAATAAACTGTAACATTCAAGAAGATCAATTATTTATTGAATTATAATCTAAATTAATTGTTAATGGTTTAAATTAGAATTTTTTAGTAGACTGATGAAATATTAACCCACTTGTAATCTATTGTATCAAATTAAAATTCAATATTCAGTATAGTAATAAATTTTGGTCGTATGAGTTTTTTCTTCTAATACAAATATACGTAAATTGACTTTTAATTATAATTAATATAAGAGAAAAGTCATAAATTGTATTTGCTAAAAAAGTTTTTCAATAGTAAAATAGAAGTTATTTGATATATTAAAATAAGATTGCTTTAAAAATAGGATAAATCATTGAAAATAATGAAAATTAGGAAAATAATGAAAATTAGGAAGTGACAACAATAAATAGAAAAAATTATTAACTTTCCCCATTTAATTGATATTACCAATAATAAATAAAAATTAAATTTTCAGCAACAAATGTTCTCTTAAAAACAACCATTGAAATATCCTAAATCATAATTTTAATTATATATTTATTATGTGAATATTGATTTTCTTGTATAATTATTATTTGGAGAATTCTATATCAATCATCAAAGTTAATTTAAATATCTAATTATTACTTATATTCTTTACCTATACTTATACTGTCATATTTACCATACTTGGTTCTCTCAAATAAGTCAAATCATTTTATTAATTTAATTAAACTCCAGGTCTTTATTTCAATATATGATTCCCTATTCCTGGAGCAGGACAATTTAGTAACTAATTAAAATTGAAAACAAAATTGTTGGCTCTAATTGGCGAATAAAAATCTCAAAAATATTTTTTAAATTATTAATTTTGAGTTAAAAATTAAAAAAATGAATAGATAATATTTGACTTTTATTCTTTATAATTCATATAATTGATCTATTAAAATCTAGCAAATATCAAATTTAAAAAATCTAAAAATCGAAATCAAATTCTTCACTTACTTGTTTACGATCAAATTATTTATATGGATATAAATCTAAATAACTATATTTATTGAGTTAATTATAAAAAATTTTGAGATAACTTATGAAGTGTTTAATTTAATATATTTTTATATTACACTTGCTTAAAAGTATCGATTATCAATCTATATAATCGCTGTTTTAACAGTGTATTTGATATAGTACTATTATTAATATAAACCAGAATATTTCGGATTGAATTGAATAGTATGATCAATATCTTACCAGATATTATTTATATTTTACAATTATCATTAGTAATATTATTAAAATTTATGTAAAAGATATTGGTATTATTTATATATACTCAATAAAGAATTATTATTTCATTTTTTTTGTTTCATTTAAGTAATTATTATATTATATTTAGCTAAACTGGATAAATATGTATTTATTTTATGAAATTTTCATTATCATTTTAAGAAAAAAATTTATATGATAATAATAATACCAAATATAATAATTATTTAACTATTTAATTAAAGATTATAATTATATCATTTTATGAACAATCTCTCACAAATAGTATCAACAATTTTCTATTTAAGTACTTTGACATTAGCTCAAAACTTAATTTAAATAGGAAATTAATGCACTTGTGAATAATTGATATCACAATTTGACTGTTCTTATTTTAGCAAGTGTTAATTTATCGATTAAGTTTGTTCTTAAAAATCTTGTGATTAGATGAATTTTGAGGCTTGTTAAAGTAGTGATTGTGCTTGGAATAATGGAAAATGTTCTAAGTTTACAAACTGTCAGGATTATTAAGTTTCCATTGATGAAGATTGTTTTAACCTTAAACATGATTGCATTTATAATCATTTAACAAAAACCTGCTAAACATAAGATCTATTACAAAAATCATGCTAAGAACAGGACTAAGCCAATTGTTATTATGGGATAGAAGGTAAATGTATATACAAAGACAACCAATGTTAAATTTGGATAAATTGTGAAGATGGAGAATATGAACATTGTATGTACGGAAATCTACATTGTATGTGGAATATATAATAAAATAAATGTGTATCCGTTCCATCATGTTAACAAATAGAAGATTAACTATGCCTGTTTGCTTTCCCATATATGAATTCTATGGATGCTTACATATGTCAATATGATAAGAATGGAAATTGTTAAGATTTTGATATTTCCAATTCAAGTTAAGAATCCTGTATATCCCAATCTTATGGGTATTATTAATGGAAAAATGGAAAGTGCACTGCATGTTAATCAATTAATTTTGATTTAATTTCATCAGCAATAGTGTTAACAATTCTATTTTTGAGTTGATTGAATCAATTAAAATAAAAATATAGAATAATTATTATCAATTTATTCTAAAAAATCTAATTTCTAATTAAAGTAAATAACAAATTCAAATACTTATTGTTTTTTTTCAAATAAATAATCTTCAATTTCATAAAATAAATTAAGGCTCTTTTAAACACTCTAAAAGATATTAAATACTATAATAATTAAATTAAACTACATAAATATACAAAATTTACAATCTAAAGTTTAGAAATTATTTTTAATGAAAAAAATCAACTATTTTATTCGACTAATTTAAATTTGCTTTATCAGAAATTAAAGATCACCTAAATTTATATTATGACTTAAATCAATTTCATTTAAACTAAAATTATAAATGCCACTATATATTTTAAACATCTTATCGTCATCTATTTTATTAATGGGCTTATATTTAATGTATTCAATCAATAATTATTTGGTTAATTAAATGATTAAATCATCATCTTATTTTGAACTCAATTATTAATTACTTTGCTCATATTCAAGATTATATATCATTATTCAACACAAGATTGTTTAATAAAAAATTTACTTGGATTATTAATTCGAAATTTTTCATTTACACTAATCTCTCTAATATTGGAGTCAATTATTAACGACACTATCTATTTTATGAGTTATAATTAGGATAAAATTAATAATTTAGAATGGAAATTTTAATGTTAGATTTAAAAAAAAAGGTAAAGATATTGATTTCATATATTTTCTTAAGAAAATTGATAATATAGATATATTGGTTCTGTTATATATATTTTATAGAATTTTAACTAGAGTTACCAGTATCGTATATGAGTTTTTTTAAATAAAATTAGCTATAAATATGATAAATTGCATTTTATCACTTTATATTGAGCATATAAATTTTTACTTCTAAATGAATTAAATTTGATAAGATCTGATATTTCATTGGATGAAAATTTCCCCACTTCAAAGTCGGTAAATTAATTTTCTTTGAGTCTTAGAAGAACAAGGGCATTCCATCAAATACCTATTTATTGAATTTAATGTCATACTTTATCGAAATATAAGTAATCAATATTAAATAATAAGGAACTTTCTAGAAATTATACCTATTCGAAAATTGATAGGAAAGGCAGTTCATTAAACGCCACCCTAAGTAAAGGTATCCAAGTACTGTGAATAATTAAGGTCTCGAAACAGGTCAATCTTTTTAAGAAAATGGAGGAAACTGGATGAGATAAGGTCCATGATACAAGATCATCAAACTTCTAAACTATAAAGTCAGTCGTAGGTGTGATGAATTGGTGCCTTGGGTATTAGAAACCTCCGTATGATTTGACCAGGGTCCTTTTAGGTTATATGAACCGAGCCATGTACCTTCCGTTACCCTGAGCTCTTGTGCTGTGGATAGAAAGGACGTGCTTGGTTTTTAGAACATTTCTTTCTCTGGAATTTTTATTAGTTTGCTATAAATCTAGTTAAGTCATCTATGCTACATAAATGAGAGGCACTATTAAGTTGAGGAAATAAAACAATTTTTATTTCCAAATGAATTATTATCCTATGTCATATTAATCCTTTTTGATTTCAAAAAGGTAAATAATAAGTTAATAATTTGGTTTAAGGATTAGTCTTTTATTGAGCTTATCAGGCTCATTCTTTAAAATTATTTCTCGATTATTTGATTAAAATATATTCCATTGTTAAAATTAGATTGTTAATAAATTTGAAATGTTTCTTTATGATGGATTAATTTATTAACGAAGTTTTTTAAATAGAATATAGTTGTAGGTGATTCCTTTAAGTATGAAATATATTGAATTCTTTTGATTGTTGATTGAATATCAAAATAAATTAAAATCTTTAGTAAATAATTAAGATGTATCGACACTAAATTAGCAAGTCATAGCAACTGATTATTAGTATAAATACTTTTATCGAAAAAAAATCTTTTGAAAATAAATTTCAATTGACTTATGCTTTAGATAATTTTTCAATTATAGTATACTGAAATTTATAGGATTGATATCCTAATAAACAATTACCTGCCTCTGTAAAATTACTATATACCATTAAACTGTTTTTTGAATAATTTCTCCTATCGCCTTATTTTTGTAGAATTGTTCTTTATTAATTCAACTCACTATGGTAATAGTAAGCAATCCAAAAATACTTTTTAATTTTCTAAAAAAAATTTAGATAAAAATAAAAAGTAAGTGAAAGGCTAAAATTTGTAAATAATAAGTTGAAATTTTTGTTTTAGATACAAATAAAAAATAAGTAATTGTAATTCATAGAAGATTAAAGAAGACTTAAAAATTAAATAAATTTAATCGTCATTTAGAGAATAAAAGTTGGTCAATCAATAAAACTATAGAGAAAGTTTAGTAAAATAGATCAGATAATATTTCTAATGGAGAAAAAACTAGGTAAATCTAAATCAATACTTATGTTTCAACTTTTAAAGAAGATATAAAAATTTTATCTAAGAATTAAGTCCATTCAGATTTGAAGGTTTCTAAAAGAATTGGAGAAATATCTGGATGAGAATTCCTAAATTTATTCAATATTTCAGTAGCTGCAATCTATAAATAATTGTCCTAAATCAATCTAAATCAAAGAAAATTTAGAAAAGATTAAATAGATCTATTAGTAATAATTATATAATACTTTAAATTATAAAACAATAAGTTTAACTAAGCAAACATGATAATAAAATTATAATATTTAATTATAACCCTGAAAAAAACTTATTTTTCTAAAATGGCTTTTGTAAAACTTATATATTCTAATGAACCAATCAAATACACAACCTAAGTGAGGCTAATTTTAAATGGAATGAATATTTGGGATAAATGTAGATGGAATATTTATAAAAGATATTTGGAATAACAAAAATTAATTAATAAAATATTGAATGTATACAATGAATCTAGTCATCTAAAACAATAAAATAATAATTAAGTGCTTCCAAACTGATTTTTGAAGAAATTGACCATTTAAACCTTTAGCAGATAATAAGATCAGGATCAGCAGCAGAATAGCCATCGCTTGATATACTTATATATATTGGAGTCTTTCCTGGACAGGATGGCACTATATAAGCTATGTACAACTGTAAAGGATTTACTACAGTTTGTTAAAATGAACTGATATGCTAAAAACATTACTTAGATGAGACGCACTATATATGTGATATTTATTTAGACTTCTTGTTATAATGATTAAAAAAACTCTAAAAATAATAATAATAATAATTGAATAATGTGCTAAAAATTTGTTTCATTGGAATCATCCTTTAATTAGGTGTTGATCTCTATCTATGTATTATGCAAAATTTGCACAGTTTTGTAACAAATATTTGACATCATATTCCAACTTAACAGAGGGCTCATTAGTCGTAAAACCACATCTTTTACACAACTTTACAAAAGTAACCTTATCATATGGTACCTAGGTAAAATTTATTTTGTAGAATTCTAATGGTTAAACTCATATTTGCACTTTAGATTTGTTGAATACCTTGTGAATTTTGCTACGGGGAAGTTATTCCATACCATTATGATATTGAACCTTACCTTCCAAAAAAAACTTAATATGTAAGGGCTACACGTCATTCTCATTCACACAACTTTCAAAAGTTAGTTATGGATTAAATAGTAAAAAGGCTTTAGCTGCATTCTAGAGTTCCTAATTAAAAGGTTGGATGGTACACCATTTTATGTATAAAATATCTAAAAATTCCTCTTCTTCAGTAGCATTTGGTACCTCTACCCACCAAGGGGTTTTTTATGAGATACAGTTTGCATTTATACATAATTAAATCTCTATGCAAGTATAGATTTACATTAATCATTGATCTTATCATATTACTTTTCAAGCTCTTAGATTTTATTTTACAATTCAAGCAGATTGAATAGTCTCATCTTCCTTTTTGTTCCACTTCCCATTAATCCATTAATCCCTTGACCAAACTTGTCATAGAAGGAACCTTCACTCCAAAATCTTATCCATGTTATACTCTTTCGAAATTTACCTACCAGGGTCCGATATATTCTTCTTATAACTTAAGATAATCATCAATATCACTATGATTATAGTTGAAAAAAGCATCCTTGTATTAAAACTGCTCCATTTATTTTTCTTCTAACCTTAGCTTTAAATTCCTTTAAAGATTTTACTCCTATTCTTTTTCAAATTCCTCTGCAATTAATAAAAGTTACTCTCTTTCTTCATTGCTTATCTAATTTATTTAAGATGATTAAGTTGACTAAGTAGATTTTTTTTAGATTAGGTTATTATTTTCTACTATCATATTATTAGAGTGTGATGATTGATGTTATATAATTAACTCCTTTTTTTTTAGTATTTGAATTATTTTATTTTGTATTTCCTATTGAGGTTGGGTTAGAAAATACTAGACCCAGTTAAGTATTCTTCCCAGCATTTTAGCAATAAATCGATACCTATAGTATCTTCATCCCCGAATTATTTCACTAGTTTGAATTTCCAGTTCACCTAAG